GGGGGGGGGGCTTTACTCCCCGGCCCGGCCTCGGTGGGCGCCCTCGGGTGGGATACCCGTGAGGGAGGGTCAGAAAGGCCCCAGCGGGGGATACCGAGCCGCCGAACTCCCTGATCCCGTTTCTTCCTACATGATTGATTGATTAATTGATTCATACACGCATCTAAGCCTAGTGGCCGGCGTCGCCTTCTATTGGGCAGCGGGCGTACTACCATATAAGAATCGAAATGCCAAGACTCCCGGCTTGGCGCTGGCTGACTCAGCCCGCACCACCGAAAATCTCAACACATATCCCCAGCTTAAAACAACAACAATGACGAACAAGTACGCCGAAACGCTAACAAATGAAATGTGCAAATACGTACCTGGCAAGAGGACATGATGGAACGCTAAAAAGTCTAACCCTAGGAAAGATATACAATAAGGGATAAGCTGGGGTGGAAAAAGAGAGAAATTCCAAAAGGACGCCCATGGTCGTCGTTCGGTTGAGTCAAGTGGATGATTTGAAGACGAGACTATTCAACGAGGACATCTTCCCGGAAGAGATGTTGCACTCACTGAGAGCACTATACTAGGGGAATCGCGTTCCGAAACTGGGTCAACAGACCAGTCCGTAACACGAATTCGATGCTTCTTCGCACCCAATGAGGCTCGCTGAGGAGCCTCCGGTCATCAGTTTCACGTGCTTCTGTGACGGCTTAGTACGATTTGGCTTGGCGGCACGCGGTTACTGCGGAAGTACCTGTGGGCCGCCTCCTGTGGACGAATCACATACAGGGGAGATATGGGGCTAGATATGCCTTATGGGGATTACCCTGTGTTTTGATTCACGCTGCAGATTGCCGGAGGATCTATGTGATATTAAGAAGGGTAAATGGCCTTTGCCAGCCAGTATTTTACATTATTGGAACCTTTCAGAAATCTAGATTACTAGGCACTGGCACACAACGGAGATAGCCCACAGGTATCTGGAGTAGAAGGAAGTATAAGTAGGAGGAAGGGGGCCGGTAGTTGTTCTTTTCTCTTCTTCTTCTCTCCAGTTTAGTCTCTTCGTGTTTAGCGACCAAATAGATTTGGCATTGCATCGTCACAGCTTCTTTATAGAGCGTCTCCATACGGAGGTCTATATGGAGGGGACAGCATACAAGCATGTGTGCCGTATTCTGATTCCCAAGTCCGCATTGACACAGTAGTTAGTCCTCAATCTTTATTATTATTATTATTATTTATTCATACTCGCATCTAAACCAGCTAAGGCGGTCGGCGGAGAGACTTTAGGGCAGAGAGCCGAGCCTGCCGTACAAAAGAGGGAAAGCTCCCGGCTTGGCGCTATAGGCGGCAGAACGCGCCAACAGCGCACACCGCCTAGAGTGTGGGTATCCCGGCAACGCGTACAGAGTCAAAAACAACGACACACCAAAATAGAACGCCGAACGCATGTAACAAATGAGACGTGTAACCCACCTTAAGCCAGAGGGGAAGGGACGGAACGCTGGAACGCTAGAAAGCTATCGAGCTATTAAACTAACACTAGGGAATAACATACAACGAGAGAAGGGGGACGTGCCGGGATATAGGGGAAAGGCTCGGAATCAATTTTTCTTGTCGTTCGAGTGGCCAAGGCTGCACGAAGCAGGCCTGACGTGAGCGCTTTATGGTTCAATTGCCTGACTGCAGGCGTTACTCAGAGATTGATGGGGGTGAAGCGACGTGCTGGGATTGGGGTAAGAGCCCCGTTCGTATCACGAAGCTGATGACATTCTTTGTCCAATATGGCTCGCTTAATAGCTTCCGGAAATCGGTCTCACGGCGCTCTGTCCACAGCGTGTTCTTTCGTAGCTGTGTGTACTCGGGGCATTGGGTGAGAACGTGCTCGCTATCCTGCTTGCCGAGGCCGCAGGCGCACGTCGACGAATCAACGATATTGACGCTGGCTAGAAAGTCAAGCAGAGCTGACTTCCCAGTTTAAAGCTGTACTAATACAGAGCTCCAGGCTCTACGGAGTCCTTGATGCAGCTCTAGCCCCCGTTTCGTAGGCTTCACGAAGACCTTCCGTACGTGTCGACCGTGCTCCGCTTGTTCCCACTGCCGATTCCACTGCGATACGTCGCTCGCTCGGAGGCGTTGACGACACACCGCGACGAGGATCACATCCCGGTGTTGGAACAATGGGTCAAAGGTCATACGTGCGGCATGAGGTGTAGCCTGATTGGGTGCGGCAATCCGGGCTCGTCGACCCTCGTCGCGAGTACGTTGAATCGCCTCCGTAGCAGCTTGCTTTGCAAGCTCGTCGGCTCTCTCGTTCCCTGGCACGCCCTCGTGGCCAGGGATCTATTGGATTCGCACGAGCCAGCCGTCTTCGTGAAGCCTGTTGATCCGGTTGACGATCTGTCGTAGGATATATTGACCAGACGAGCGTCTCGGAGCTCCGCAGGCTTGAATGCTGGCTTGGTTGTCGGTGTAGATTGTAGCTCCCCGTATCCCCGTGTAGGTGTATTTGTTACGGTTTAGCAAAGTAAGTGCTTCGTTGATTCCTGCGAGTTCTCCTGCGTACACCGTGTGTTTCTATTGAGTCAACTGGCGTAGCGATATGCCCTAGTTCAGAGCAGTAAGCCGAGGCTCCAATGCCATTGTCAAAGCCGCTGCCATCTGTGAAGAACTGTAACTGCTGCGTCTGTCGTTGATAGGCCGCGATTGCTTCCTCACGGCTCTTAGCAATCTATATGGTTGGAGGCTTCCACCACGGTGGCGCTGCAAACGGGTTAATAGTCTCAATACGCTTACAGACACCACGGCCTAGCTTAGAGTCGATCGAGGCTTCAAGACGCCGTAATGGCGACGTGAACGGCCCATTCCGTGTATCTAGGGCCTCTCCCCGAATACGGTGTAATGTATGCCGTAACGGAGAGGCCTGGATACGTAGGCACGACTCCTCAGCTAACCGGGCCAACGTCAGCTCGGCTGGTGGCACGTGCAAGCAGACCCCAAGCGCTTGTCGACTTGTGCGTCTATAGGCTCCTGCGATACGGTATAGTGCCTGGTGTTGGATCGATTGTATGGCTTTCTCCGCCGCTGATTGGGCACTACGGAAGCCATGGCCACCACGTACGTACCATGCTGAACATGCGTACATGATTTGAGGTAGTAAGATTGCTGTATAGACCTTCCGTAAGAACACCAGCGGCGTCCCCCACGTGGAACCTGCGATTGAGGATAGGCCAGCAATCAGCTTCGCTGCTTGCTTCCTGATTCGTCGTACCTGCGCCATGCCCGTGAGATTCCGGTCGAGCTGGACGCCAAGATATTTGATAGACTCAGAGGGCTTGATCTCCGTGCCCCGTATCACCAGTGGCACGTTGACTGAACCCTCCGGTCTGTACTGATTCCGGAACCGGTGGACCAGCTGATACTTGGCAGGTGCGAATCGTGAGGCGTGAGTCTGCTCCTAGCGTTCCGCAACCTGGTGCGCTTGGGAGAGTGTGCGGCAGTTCTCAGCAGCGGTATCACCCTATGTAATGAGTAATATATCATCGATATACCCTGTCACTATGACATCGGGATGCCGGCGTTGGATATCCTCAATGAGATCGCGTTGAAGAATAGGAACAGAATCGGTGAGAGCGGGGAGCCTTGAGGGATGCCTGTATTAACGGGGAACTGGCCCATACCACCTTCTAGCAGGATGATGGAGGTCTGTCGATTGCTGAGGAAGCTCTCGATCCAGAGCACCAGCGCTTCTGGGATCGCACGTTTTCGCAAATCATGCAGTAGCCGTGAATGATTGACGTTGTCGAAGGCTCCAGACACATTTAATGCGAGGGCGCTGACGATTCGGTTCCCACCACGCCATGCGGAGTATGTCTGCTCGAGCAGCAGGTGTAAAGCATGTTCGCAGGACCGGCCCTTACGGCCACCGATATGATTCTTTGGTAAGAACTGATACGTTTCCACGAGATAGCTGAGCCTTTGAGCCAATATTGATTCCAACGCCTTGCCAATCGTGCTCAGCAGCGCAATTGGGCGATATGTTTTGGGGTCCGTGTAATCAGGCTTGCCTGGCTTGCGAATGACCACCGTGTTGGAGCAGTGGAAGTGCTCCGGGCAATAGTGAAGCCGTAGACATTCGTTGAAGAGATTGGTGAGAAAGGGCTCTAACGGGGGCAGGACTCGTTGCAGTACTAGGTTTGGAATGCCGTCGGGGCCTGGGGCCTTATTGGGCTTGACGTTCGATATCGCGGCACGTACTTCGTGGGCTGTGATAGGAGGCATCTCATGTCGTTGGGGGTAGCGGTAGCCGCTGATATCCTGTAGGCTAGCAACTGGAGGCTCAGGGTGTAAGACTTCACGGAAGAGCTGGGCCTTCTCCATTGGGGAGCTGTATTCGCAGTCTCTGTGCTTTAGCGTAGGCGTGAATGTGGCTCTTGGTGAGCCTCGACTACGTACCCAACGGGCTACGTTCCAGAATCCATCCAGCGACTGTGTAGCTTCCTCGATTCGACTGCGGTGGAGCTCACGAGCCAGCTGCGAGCTCTGGTGCTTCATACGACTTTTTGCCGATTTGTATGCTTCCCAATCCCGTTCTAGATTGTGAACCGAGCTTGACGACGAAGCCGGGCTACGTCTCCCATCTCTGGCGTGTATCCTGGCGTGGAGAAGCCGGTGATTCGCTTCGTCGGGGTAGCCAGCTCGGAGGCCTCGTGAATCGCGCTCACCAGCCGACGTACCTCCTCGTCAATCGTCTTGGTATTACGGAGTGGCAATGGAGACCAATTGTGGTTGGTGATCAGCTTCGTAAAGAGGTCCCAGTCAGTGGCGTCCCACTGCTTCTTGTGAACCTCCGGTGCTTTAGTGAGCTCGAGGCTGAATTCGGTGTAGATCGGTACGTGGTCTGCGCCGTACCACCACTCACGACGATCCTGGCAACGTACGAGGCGCTGCTCCAACTCATCGGAGGCCCAGATCAGGTCAATGGTTGTAGCGGCGCCTGCTTTCTCATAGGTAATCGTGCCACGAGGTAGCAACTGCCGCATGTTGTGGACGTCCATGATATCAATCAGCTCCGTGGCTTCCTCGTCGACCCGAGCGTAATCTGGAGCCGCCCAAAGTGGGTGGTGCAGGTTGAAATCGCCCAGGGCGACGTGGAAGCCTGAATGCGACTCGATAGCCATCTGTAGGTCTCGTAGTACGGGCTCGTCATTGCTGGCCAAGCCAGGATTGTAGGCGTTGTGAATGTGAATTATTTCCTTGTTATTGGTGCGAATCGATAGCGTGCTGAGATCCCTGGTGTGATAGTGAATCTCCCACTGCGTTGCATCGAGATTCTTATTCACATAAAAGCACACTCGGGGGTGCCGATCCCAATCCTCCGGTGCCACGGGCTGTAGAAGGACGTGGAAATGGCCCTCTAGGGCTTGTGAGTAGGTCGTCATAGGGTTGGTGCGCTTATTGATATAGGGCTCCTGGATAGCCAGGATCTCGTAGCTGTGGAGCTCCTTCTCACCAAGGAGATGCATCTGGACCTCGTCTCGCGATTTCCAGCAGTTGGCCTGTAGGATGCGTAGCTTGTGATTGGTGTGCTGCATTAAGAATGGTCTGCCCAAGAGCTGTCTTCTAGATTAGTGGTCATTAGCTCATCAACAGCCACCTGCGTGCGGACTGTGGATATCGCGCTTAGCTCGTCTTCCGATTCATCATCGAGATCCGCGGACCGGACGCTGCGGTCTCGGTGCACTGCCTTGACGGTGCTAAGGATGTCTGATTGTAGAATCGGCGTGGCTCGAGCTGCGGTGATGCCTTGGGCTGTCCTCCGTCGTGAGGCTGCACTTTCATAGGTAATTCCATTGGTTACGCGCTGCTCTGAGATGATATCGTCGGTTGGGGCCTCCTTGTTATGCATGGTCTTTTTGGATGATCTAGTAGTAGGCTTGGAGGCTAACGCCACCGTGGGGCTGTCCGGTTCGGCTTCTACAGCCCGTTTCCGTGCTGCGGTGCTCTTGCTGCGTGATTTGGCTGTGCGTGCTGTAGCTGCTTCTCTGGCTGGAGCTCGAGGGCTCCGTTCGTTGGCAGCAGCAGCGGCTTCTGCTGGGGTCGGGTCATTGGCTGTGGTAAGTCCGGGAGTAATGGCTCCAGGCCTCGCAACGGTGGGATGATAATGTGGGCCATATGTACGGCGTTGCTGTACCTCGAGTAGGTGCTGCACCCGGATTAGGCACTCTCGCGCGTATGCAAAGTGTTTTGTATCAAGCTTCTTAGATGGGTCTTTGATTTGTAGGTTCTCCGCTTCACAGTTGGCGCACTTGGCGTGCTCCCAATCTTGCTTGATTGGGCAATCTCCGGAGTCGTGGTTACCAGCGCAGTAGGCGCAGTGTAGCCCACGTCTGCAGTGTTTGGCAATATGCTTATACATCTGGCGTTTGAAGCATTGCTGTAGGTTGACGCTCTTATCATAGATCTGGCACGGGTGGAGTTTCCCCTTGATAACGAGGCCCCGGTTGATAATAAAGTTGGCCACACGGTCGTCGTCGAACATGACCACGAGAAAGGAGGTCTCAAGGCCTTATTCTTTGATCTTCTTGTCCCCAAGGAGCCATCCCATGCACGTGATGTTCATCGGGGGCATGCCCTGGCTCTGGAGAATCGGCGCGTTGTCGGATTTGAGGAAGACTTTGAATTGAGGGTCTTTGGGGTCAACGCTGCAGTGGACGCCGCGTACGACGACGCCCCAGATGCGTCTTTTGATGCAGGTGTCATCTCCGAAGGCCTTAATCCAATCGGGCTTTCTGATAAGCTAGTCCACGTCGTCGACCAAGCTCGCCAGGAGCGCGATGTCGCCGCTAGCTAGGACCCGGACTGCAGCGAACTTGCGGTGAGCGATGGTCGTATCCTGGGTGGACTGGATAGCGAGGTTAGCTTTGTTAACAATCTTATCAGGGTGTCGTCGTAATGGGTTGATGATCTCGGTGTTGGTGCGCTCCAGATAGACCTCTAGGTCCTCCTGCGCTGGAAAGGGGGTCAACGGTGTGCTTCCGGAGCTCAGTGAGTTGCTCGGGACGGAGGATAGCTGCGACGGCAGCTTCTGATTCCATCCTTGCACCCACGACGTTGAGCTCGAGGATGAGATCATGTGACTGAAGCTGGCAGAGTTTTTCAATGGCCGTGTGCCTTGGGGTGTTGGCGCGCAGAGCGCCTCCAACAGTCGATTAGTGTTGCTTTTGGTGTTGAGGACCTCTCGGGAGGTCTGCGTCATCTCAATCTGCGTGTGCCAGAATCTCGATCGTCGGGGCTGTGTTGACACGGCGAGCAAAGGCGAGTAAGGCGTCAACCAGCTGCCCTGAGAGCTCCCATGGCATGTTGGTCTTGGTGCTCTCATGGTACTGCTTCAATGCTTCGAGGTCTTTGACGATATTAGCTGCGTAGGCGCGTATATCAGTGTCTTCGTCGAACCGTGGGTCGGGCCACGGAGCCCCCTTTTTACGTTTTCCTTCCCCATGGCTTAACCACGAGGAATTGGAATCTGTAATTTGGGATTCAGGTTGTACGAGCAGCCTATTTGAACTGAGATTCTTTCCAGCAGTACTTTTTACCTGCGTGGGTGCGTTTTCATAGGTGCGCGAAGTTTCCCTCAATCTTTACACTCGCGAGGAAGCTGTGAAGCGCAGATTTGCCAGTTTGCAGTTGTATGAGCAATGAGCTCTATACCTATTTTAGTCCCTCATGCAATGCCATCACCTTCTTCGCTGGCGTTTGTATGATTTGGTAGAGGTGTCAACCATGCTCAGCAACGTCCCATTGCTCTTTCCACCGATTCGCGAATCCCGCTCATAGTTGCTGTCGACACACCGCCACCAGGATAATTGAGTGATATGGATTGTAGGAGACACGTGCGGCATGAGGCGTAGTCTGGTTGGGTGCGTTGATCCGAGCCACGCGCCCATTTTCCTGTGTATACTGTGTCGCTTCAACTGCGGTGAGCTTCGCCAGCCGGTCTGCTTTCTTATTGCCTGGAACGCCTTCGTGTCCTGGCACCCATTGTAACCATACACGCCAGCGAGATCGAGTGTCCCGTAGTAAGTCCAATTAGCGTACAATCCTACGGAGGATGCACTGTCCCAGAGGACCGTTGGGGATGGCAAGTGGCGCGTATCGCGGCTTGGTTGTCTGTGTAGATTGTAACTTCACGGATATCACTACAGTGTTGATTCCGGATCATAAGGCTCAGTGCCGCATCAATTCCCTCTAATTCACCTGCATACACGGTATGCGTATCCGACGAGCCTACTGGTCTGATGGTATAGCCTAATGTTGGCGAATACGCTGCTCCTCTAATCCCATTATCAAACCCGCTCCTATCCGTAAACAGTTGTATTCCCATAGTCATAGTTGTCTGCATACAAATTGCATCTTCACGTGTATCATTGATTCTCATGTCTAGTGGCTCTTGTGACGACCGCGTAGGAATCCTGCCGGAGCTTACTAGGTGCCTATTAGAAAGCTGGCGTGCCTGAGGCCATGCTGAGGCACTGCGGCGAACGTCAACGGAAGTAAAGTATTAGTAAGTATTTGGACCAATCACAAACAGGCTAGATGTGGGGCCGCGCGGATGCCTCAGGAATGTTTCCGGCAAGCAGATCTTTGATATGAAACGTACGCCTCATATTCACCTTTATCCAAACAGTCTATTTGTGAAATCAACGGAACTATCCTAGGAGCCGTTTGTCTCAGGAATTCTTAGTAACGGAGCTCGCCGATGAGGCGGAGGAATGCGAAGGGAGGAATCAGGTATAAGGGGGGGGGGGATTTTGGTCATGTATTCCTAGACTCCTCAGCTTAGAATCTTAGTGTATTGTCATACCTACCTTTCTATTTGACGTCGTCACAGCTCCCACCATGGAGGCACTACAAAGGGGTGGATTATCTCAATCCACTGGCATACACCGCGCCCAAGCTTGCGGTCGATGGCCGTCTCCAAACAGTGTAATGGGGACGTAAAGGGGTCGTTACGATGTGCTTGATTCCGCGTGAGATAAAGCGTTGATTGTAGTAGTGAGATCATCAGACAGAGGCATGCCTCCTCCGCCAAACTCGCGAGCATAAGCTCGGAAGATGGCACATAGAGGCAGACCTCGAGGGCTTGTCGCGATGTGCGTTTGAAGACGCCAGAGATCCGGTGGAGTGCTTGGAATTGGATAGACTGTAGTGCTTGCTCCGCGGCCCGCTACGCACCAGCGAAGCCTCTCCCACCCCGGATATACCACGTGGAGCACGCGTACATGACCTGCGGTTAGAGAATGGCGGTATACATCTTGCGAAGGTGAATCAACGGTGTTCCCCAGGTGGAACCCGCTATCGAGGGCAGTCCTGCCACCAGTTTTGCAGCTTTCTTCCTCATCTGCCGTACGTGGGATCGATCTGTTTATTAATATAGAAGCAGACCCGTGGACGGTTCTTGTAGTCTTTCTGTGGCGTGGGCTGCAGTAGGATATGGAAGCTGTTTTGGAGCGCCAGTGAGTATGTCGTTAAGGGGTCAGTTCTTTTGTTAATATAGGGTTCCTGGATGGCCAGGATATCGTAATCTAACACCTCTTTCTCACCAAAAAGATGCATGCCTGCGGATCATGACCTCGCCACTGAAGCGAACACTACACTAGCTATGCGGTGACAATACTCACCGGAATAACCCTCACACATCTCCGCTATGGAGGCTGGAGGCTACAGTGGAGTCCAAGCTAGGCCTGGGCACCTGTAAGTGAATAGAGATGATTCTACCCTTTGCAGCATTATTGTGGTGGAAGCCACCGGAGACGCAGATCCCCAGTGACTGGGAGGCCGCTATGGCGGCTCATGGCACTGAGACAGTACGATTCTACACTGCTGGTAGTGGCTACAACAATGGAATTGGGGCTGCTGTGTACTCACCCACGCTAGGATGCAATGGAAGCCAGTAGGCTCTGCAGCAACGCACACGGTCTATGCAGCAGAGCTGGAGGGCATCAATGAGGCGTTGACCATCCTAGGCAAGCAGTACACGCACGCTGGACCCTATGAAGCCACCATCTATATTGACAACCAAGCCGCCATTATAGCCCTGGATGAGCCGAGGCGTTCCTCGGGCCAGTATATCTTCTGCTGGATCGTCAGCTGGATTAACCGTCTTTACGAAGCAGGCTGGCGGCTTTGAATCCAATGAGTTCCCGGCCACAAGGGCGTGCCAGGCAATGAAGAAGTAGACCGATTGGCTAAGATAGCCGCTGTTGATACTGCGCGCTGTACTACTAAGATAGAGGAATAGAGTGCCCGGATTAATGCACCTAGTCAGGCAACTCCGCAGGCTGTACAGATGACCTTTGACCCTTTATTCCTAGATAGGGATATCATCCTCCACGCGGTATGCTGGCAGTGGCTCCGGGCTGCCTATAACGATTGGTAGAAAGAGGATTGGACGCGTGCAGAGCATGGTTCGCATGTATGGAGAGGATATTCGCGCAGCGAATATAATTGGCTGGCCCAGGTGGGGTCAGCCCGCTACGCTCTGATTGGTCTAAAAGACTCCAGAAGAGCGCTAGGCTGCGCTAATCAAGCACTAGCGAGAATATCCTCGCCAGAGGGTCTGAGTTTCTGAGATAATTATTTAGTATATGTGCTAACTAAGTGCCATGTAGGGTTTTTATGCCAGGAGCTACTGCCAAGGCTTGGCATGTGATAGGCCTGCCTACCGTGTGCGGCCCGAGGCGGCTCCCGCCGGCTATCCGCGCACGTTCAATTCTTACCTATTGGCAGGCGGCCTGCTGCCCAATTAGATAGCTCCGCCGGCCACCCCAGGCTTAGATGCGCGTATGAATACTACTACTACTACTACTACTACTACTACTGTAAGGATGGCCCAAGCAATGGCTCGACATTCGCGATGTGATTTATCGGCACATATGAACAAATCCTCCTTCAGCAACGGCAACAATGTGGATGCCGGTCTCAATATGATTGGCTTACATCATGGTATTCTATTGGACAGTTTCTAAAAGGTTGTTCATTGATACTATTTCGGGATATCTAAAGAAAAAGATAAGAGTCCAGTGCCGGGCATCTCTGTAGAACCACAAATGGCCTCATACTAGGCCAGCATTATCAAACCGTCATAAGCTTTTTTATGTCATTTCCAAATTCACAGGGCGGGAGGCAGTACTGATTTCGTGAGCTTGAGCAACAAATATAGCAGTTTGACGTACTTTAGCGATATGCTTCTTGGTAATTATGGCAATGTAGACCAGGCCACGGAGCACGTTTTTTCGTCACATTTCATCGGTATGCCTTGACCACAGGTATTGACGCCACATGGATTGAGCAACCAGGTACAAATCGAGGCTTTTCAACTTATAGATGTGCCCGAGCCAGTTTGCTAACCGAGCAAAGCGTTTTTGATATACAAACACCGGTCGACGGTGATCCGGTTCAGGTGATCTTGTAGCTAGGTGAAATGTCCCCAGGGTATCCCACAACTTGCGTGTGGCTCTTGCAAAGCCGCAGTGTGCGGCGAGGATAGTTGTGCTTACAGTCCCGAATTGTGTATCCCAATAGGTCAGTCGCTTACGGAGCGAAAGTCTGCTGGTTCGTCGTCGGCTCTTAGCTGGCTGGTTGCTTGCAGGCTTCCTGGCACCTTTCCCTTGTGTTGCTCATGTATCTCGTTGTCTTGTCGTGTGTTTGTGCATAATCTACCTCATGTATCAACGCCAATTGTGCGTTGTTCTTTCTTCTCATTGTTTAATAATCGCCAACTCACTGATTGCATAGGCTTGTGAATAGCTATACCATGCAACAGATAGATAGATGTATATTCTTTACGAAACGAAGCGGTTGAGACGAGCGAGTGAATCGAAGAGAGGAGCAGAAAAGCGGCGTTCGACCAACGCTTGACAGATGATCTCCGGCCCTCCTTGAGGGTACGTGGGCGTCGACGCCTCGGTAAGTACTTTATGCTGTGTAGATTTTATGACTTATAACTGAGCCTACTAACTACTCTACAAAGCTAAATAGACAAGTGATAAAAGGGGGTATTCCGAATGCGCCCCAAGGATAGACTAGATCTATCTGAAGTTGGTGGTTTTCCACTACATCTGCGTTGTAGAAAAGGTACAGGACGGCGATGTGCCTGTTTTTACCTTCAATTGTCGCGCTACAGTAGGTATATCTATGAGACGGTGCCTGCCGAAATAAACAGTTTGCCGATGTTCAGGATTGTGGCATGTTGAGACAAAGCAATCGAACAATCAAGGCTTATGAAGGTGTGCATAAGTCAGAGAACAATGATAAACAAAACAAAGCTTGGATTTGACTATGGTGAGATCCTATCTGTACGCTTCTGAGGCTAACAACACTGTTCACGTCGTTGAGATAGCATAGGCATAAAGCTCGAACAAGACACAGCCATTGCCATCGTTAGTAATGTATCCGCCTCCATACGTGTAGGTGTCTTCTTCACTCGTGGTTGTACTCGTGCTGCAATAATCAGGCGACCATTGGTCCATGCAGACATAGAGATCGCCAGCATTAAATACATATTCCTCCTCACTACCGCCACAACCAGACTGGTCAGGTGCCCAGCCTCCAGATACCACAATGGCGTATGATTCGGTGGTAAATTGCTTAGTATAGCTGATCGTTTTATCGCCTGACTTTAGAATGGGATGCTGCTTGCAGAAGTTTTCTGTGGCGAGTACTGCATCGTAGAGATTGAATTGGGTATATCCATCTGCTTCACCGAAACAATATGCACCGGTGGTTTGAGCGTCGCCTGTCAGAGTTGGCCAAGATGCCGCAGTGGTTGAAGTCGTGGATGTTGTGGTGGTGGACGCGCTTGTTGTACCTGTTGTGCCAGCAGAGCCCGTTGCCCCCGAAGAGCTTGTTGTACCTGTTGTGCCAGCAGAGCCCGTTGCCCCTGAAGAGCTTGTTGTACCTGATGGAACTATTGCATTCCACCTGGACGATATTTGAGATACCATTGAGGCGAGCGCAGCAGTTCCAACTGGGGTAACTTGAGGCTGAACAGTCATAAGTGCTGGCATTGCGATAGTGTACGACAACTCTTCACTCGAACTGGAGCTGGAGCTGGAGCTGGAACTGGAACTGGCAGTTGAAGAGGGATTCGATGTTCCAGTTGTGCTGCCATCGCCATCACCGCCATCACCGCCATCACCGCCATCACCGCCATCACCGCCATCACCGCCATCATCGCCATCACCGCCATCACCGCCATCACCGCCATCACCGCCATCACCGCCATCACCGCCATCACCGCCATCACCGCCATCACCGCCATCACCGCCATCACCACCACCGCCGCCGCCGCCGTCATTATGACTTCCAAAGTCGGCTGGACACTCAGGGCAGAGCCTGTGACAAAATAGCGTACCTGTCATGCCAATATTAGCAACAAAGTAATGGAAATGTAGAGCGCAACGTGTGTTCAGTACTCACAACCATGGCCGGCACCTGTTGCACCCTTTGAAGTGGTTCCTTCGGGCTTATGGCTGGAAAAAGTTGTCTTTTTAGTATTCAAATCCTTGTCCGTTGTACTGGGCGGTGTCTCGGGATATGGATTTGGAGTGAATGTCGTTGTCACCGGAGTACCCGTTGTACCACCAGCTATGGACGTTGATCCGCCAAAAGTCTGTGTTGTCGACGGAGTGATCCAGGTATCCGACCCTATTACAACAGTCGTTGCACTCTTAGTGGTGACTGTGCCACCTGATACGTATGTCGTCCCTCCCCAGACTCTGATGGACCGCCTATTATCAGCCTTCGTGATAGACAAAACTATAGCAGGGAGAAGAATAGAAGGGCGGAATGACATACGGAGTGATGACCACGGGAAAAGGAGTGGGCTGTATCGAGGTGATCATTGGAATTATTGTAGAGTTGGTTTGGCTGGCAGGGATCGATATACCCCAGACCGGAATATTATCCCCGGTGTCTGAACATCCCTGGTTAGCAACTGATATAAAATACGGGCATTTTGTGAATGGTAACATACATGCAGGGATGGGCAGCACTGTTGGTATCGACAAAGGGCTATAGTAGATCAGCGTGGTTGATATCGTCCCAATGGTAGTGGGGACTGGTGTAGGGCTCGAAACCACCAAAACCACCGATGTTGAGGGAATTGAAACAGTGGTAGTTGTTGGCAGAGGCAACGGGGGGAATACTATCGAGCAGGGCGGGATACATCCCACGTTTTTTGTGTCGTTGCTCCAAATGCTTGGATCAATGTAGATGGTGCCAGAGCCATTAGTATTTGTAGTGCCGGGGTCGAGAGGATCTGTTGTTGTGCCATTATTTTGGAGATCGATGGCCCAATCCACCCATCCACCCATGGCAAGCACCGAGTAAAGCTCCCCTCTCTGCTCTTTATTGTCGTCATCCATGTACGATACCCATTGGTCGTCGTCATATACGAGGATGTTGGAGTAACTTTCATCCATGAACTGGATCATACCAGACGAATTCTGGGCAATAATGCTAGTAATCTCGCCATTTCCTAGATAGCCCGCGGTGTCGGTGCATGGGCCTGGAATGGCACCAGAATCTGGTCCGGTATAGGTGCACATATCAGTATAGCAACCTGGAGTTGTCATCTGGAATGATCGGCCATAACTGGTTACGCCAACGACAACCATGTTTGATGGAACTCCTGCCTTGGTGATCATGGACAAGGAATTGAGCGTCTCTGTCATATTAATGTCAGAGCGAAGACAGTTGCCTGCTGGACAGCCCGAGTCAGAGTATTTATTCCCGTAGTCCCATTGTCCGTGAAGGTCGTAAGTCATAAACACAATATAGTCCACATACGCCGACATGGCGTAGATGGGGATGTTTTTCAAGTACCAGTACGACGAGGGGGCAGTGATAGAGACTGAGTATTTGCCAGCGTTTGATTCGTATAATTCTCCCAGAAAGACGTAGAAGTCGACGACATCGGCAGTAGTATCGGCTGGTATCCCTGGAATATCAGGTTCACCTGGGTACTCCCAATCAAAATCAACACCGTCAAGGCCATATTCATCCAAGAAGTCGAGCACATTCTTGATAAAAGTTGCCCTGTTGGCTTCCTGGACTGCCTGTCGAAAGATATCATATGTTGAGGAACTAGTTGAGAATTCCCATCCTCCAAAGGACAGGATTCTCTTGACACCTGTTAATGCCCCAAATTCATAAAAGTTCGACGATAGTGATGAGATATTAACTGAGAAATCTGCATTCAGCGTGGCAAAAGCAAGATGAATATGGGTATATTTGCTTGTATCGACTGATAGAATGCTTTCAGCGAGACAAGGCCTTTGCCAATCATAGCCTTCAAAATATCCAATCTTGAAAAACTCGGCAGGAGGGTCACTATAAATAATATCGGCTCCGCAGTTTGATATACAACCATTGGTGTCCTTCGCTGCGGTGCCAGGCGCGCCAGTTGGTGATTTAGTAATTGTACAGAACTCAGCCGTGGTACCACACTGGCCCCAAATATCACAGCAAGCATTTAATGGACACTCATTCAGAGTACTCAAGTTTGTGCCATGTGGAGCAACAGCAGTACCATTTACCTGGGGTCCGCAAACTGCATTCGAGATGGTTGATGGCATTGGAGCATAGCCTGAGCTAAGACAGATGCGAGCACCAAGTTGCAGATCATCACATCCCATCCATCCCCAAGTATTATTGTTGTAGTTATCAATATCACTAACGGTGATATCATATGTCGCGGCGATTACGGAGCACGTGTCATTTGCTGCCACTGTATAGGTGTAGCAAGTTCCATTTGAGTAGGCACTCGGTGTAAGATCTGGGAGGGATCCAGATGTACAACACACCGATTCTCCGGGGGTAAGAGTCGAGCACAGATCCGAGCTTGGATTGTAGTCTGTGAATTCAGCAGCCGTGATTCCACACTCGGTAGCCAGGGTAGCACATGTGTCGCCTGAGGCTACTCTGATTGTCGTACATGTGTCTCTTTGGTGCAGGTTTCGGCTAGAGAAGGTGCTGTTTGAGGTGTGATTGCTTGAGACTGCCTGTGGTGCAAGATACTCGATGGCATCCCATGTTATTGCCTCGTCGTAGGTTGTCACGCAGCTGGCGTTGCTCCATGTTTGCACTGCTTCTTGGATAGAGGTCCAATCAGCGTCGGTGCTCAGCGCAATGCCAAATGTATACTTAGAGCTGGGATGTTCCGTTACGGCACACAGTTGTGCCACAAGAGTGCCTGATATGCTATTGGTCTGGACATACGACAGAAACTGACGCAAGACCGGGCCTGTGATGTTTTGGCTGTGAAGTCCTGAGCCTGAATAGAGTCCAACGATTGCACTATCGGAGTAGGCAAATGCAATTTCCTCGCCACATGAGTCGTCGGCCTGCACATATGACTGCAGTTGTTTAACGGCGGCGATGCCGTTATCTGTACTCCCGGCGCCATTGGAGCCTGACCAGGCTAATTGAAGTGTCGAGTTTACCTTGGAGGAGTGTTTAGGGACAGTGCAGGATCCACCATTGCTCTGTTCCGAGTCCATCACTGAGGTGCATGTGTACAGACTGATGTGTGCGCTGGGTTCTTCTAGAGGCGTGTGGAGGGCAAAATTGACGAGCATAGACTCATTGCACCAGGAAAGGCGATCCAAATCATGATAAACCGTCCAACTGCTCAGATCTTTGCCAGCACCAGCACAGCTTACTGGGCAGAGGCTGTACTTGTGAGACTTTGATGCGATTGATGCCTGTTTAAGCGTGCTCTCTTTTGTGCCAAATGTCGTCGCGTTTCTAGGCTTCACGGATATCGGGTGTTTTGACAGGTATTCGTCAAATGCCGCTGGTGCAGCAAAAGGAAGCGAGTCGGCATTGACTGTATGCAGGATAGAAAGAACGAAAATCAGCAGCACGCTGAGTGAAGGATGTCTGAAAGCCATTGACACCATTGTGATATGGCAAATCCAGGTGGGCGCACGGGAATCACCTCAATCGATGTCCCATGCGAGCGGTACGAGTTGAGAGAAGTGTTGAAGGGGCATACCCAGGTAGACTATTATTATACTTGCTTTCCTTTTCTTGCAATGAGTTTCACACTAGTCATCTTGTCCCATTACGCAGCCATCCAACTGGATCCATACTAAGCATTTCGCTTAATATGCCACCTGCCATCCTGAAATTTCGCTCACTGACGCGAGGTCTCTAACTTGTAAGCACTAATCCCGGAGGTTGCGAGACGTTATTATTTTGCTTGTTGGGTGGCTTAGATGTGGCGAAGCCTCACTGGAGCACGAAGGAACTGTCTATTGTATTTTCTTGTTGGCGTGTGATATGAACCATAAGCCCTAAGAACTAGAGTCTTCAGAAGCTAGCCAGTTCAGGCAGGTCACTCAAGCCTGAACATGGAATATGAACGTCTTGTTTGGAGGCCGCAGTAACATCGCGTGTTCGGAGAGTTTGGAGTATATGCTAAGTCCGTTGCAAGAGTGGGACTCATATTATTACGCTGGGTTTCAAGACTCGTGATTCAATAGTTGGCTTGCAGGCTAGTAAGGGTTTGTCCGGAGTTTAGTCCAAAGAATGCTGTTGTTTAAATTGTTTGGTTAATCCAACCCTCATACACAAGACAAAACAAGTGAGAAGGAAAAATGCGGCTGCCTTTCTCGCGCCTCTTTGTTCTGGCGTTGTGCAGCGCTGCTGCGCACGCTGAGATCTTCGACTACGACGTAGGGACCACTGAGGGGAAATGCACCAAAGCGCAGCTGATGAAAATAGACGAGCTGATTGATGATTGCAATGCTCTGGTGGAAGCTGCAATGTGGGCTATTGAGCAACATTCGCAAGGGCAAGCAAGCGCGGGTGTATTAACATTATTTACCTCTTACTTTGGTATCGAATGGGATTGGAATATAGAGGGTGGATTTGCAGATGCAGTTTCCGCTGACGCCTGGAGCAACATCATCTGTGAGTTTCCACGATACCGTGCCATAGTCAAGGACTGACGAGAACGATTACCTGCAGACACGTTTCAGGAGATTCAGGTGTTTCTCCAGGGCGCCGACCTTAGCCCATATGCCTCAAGCGACCCCTCGCAGAAACCCTATATCTTCTGTGGTGAAGGGAACTATGAGCGCTGGGACTGGTACGATGAAGCATTGGACCAGGACATGGAACCCATTCCGAAAGCACGGCTTTACGGAGGCGGCTACTACACTGTCAAAGAAATGTACGGCGCTGAGTTTACTGAACAAAATGTGTTTTACTCTCTGAAGGACAAGGGTTACTTGTTCTCGAACGGAGACGGCTGTCAACCCTACGTGAATAGCGAGGGAGTGACATCGGTGTCGGTTGCGTTCACCTCAAGGCCCGTTAAAGCGAGGACAAATCCGTCAGAACCGCAGACCGTGTTGCCTCCATCGCTGACACTGTGCCCCGCTACACTTGATGCGCCTAGCAATAACGAGCCGGCTCTGCTCTCCGATATCACATACCCAACGCCGGAGGCCCCGGTTGCTCTGGATTCGATGGTAACACAGTCTGCGAGTATGTTTCATGAGCTGGCGCACCTAACGACGGACTATGTGGTGGACTACTGGTGTAAGTCTGACCTCTTTGCTTCGCAATTGCACAACTGACGCCCAAACTTCTAGACCCACTGAACGTGGTTATCGCAAATGCCGTCTACTCCTCGGATCAGGGGGGCACCCTTGCGAGCAGAAACGCCGAATCGTATATGTACTTTGCCCTGGCAGTCTGGTTTTACAAGAATGCTCCGAGTGGAACGACTCCTGCAACTTTCTACCGGGGCATGTCAAACGACCCGATCAGGATTCCAGATAATTAACGCCGCGGGTTGGATTGGAAAAGAAAACCGGCCTCTCGCGCTCCAAGACCGGTTTATGTATCGTGTCAATCAGGTTAGATCGAATGGTGTCAATGCTACCTAATCCTCCGTACCTACCGTAACATAAACATCGTGGTCGGATTTGCCTCTTGGACTAAAATGCAGACTATGTAAAAGTGGTCTTCAAGGCTTGTTTAAAGTTTAGGCACCTCGCGGTGGCGTGGCCATGTCAGACTTTAGCTCTATACACTGGAAAAGTTGGCCAGTAAGAAGAACCAGTTGGCAAGGATCTGTGGGGATAGTTACATCTTTCAATTCGTGCTAGGCCACGGCATGGTAATAAAGCCACGGCGTTAATTATCTTATTCACTGCTGTGTGCCTGACTCAGGAGGTAACTACCCCCTGATGAAGCTGACATATCTGCGCACGACGACGTAGTTTTTCAAGCGCTCGGCTTATCACGCAGATAATTGGTCTTCAGGTCAACCTAGTCTTCTGGTATGGCGCTTTGAAAAAAAAAAAAAAAAAAAAAAAAAAAAAAAAAAAAATAGACAGAAAAGAAAAGAAAAAAGAAAAAGAAAAAGACCGGTGTTCTCAGTATCGCTGTAAGTCAACATGCAACTACTTGTATTAGGTAATATTTCCTCGTTTGATCTACTAGACGTATGTATACCTGCCTTACTGTAATATAGCAGAGATCGGGTATTGTGCCGTATTTCTTATGTTCCTCCTCATCGGCGAGCCAGATTGGTGAAGAGAGTGTGTTGTCTCATGAGAACACTCGCTAGTGCGGCCAGCACCGTAACGCCGAAAAGCGTGAGAAATATTGCCCGCAACGACAGCATATAGGTCTCCAGAACGCCCTGGCGCCAGTCAAAGGGGACCTTCCAGATCTCATCCAGGCTGTCTCGTAGACGCGGGATCAACTCAGCTGCCTCTTCACGATCACCGAATCGAGCCCATAACCCTTTCTTGAGCACGTTCTGAAATGCCGCCGAAGCGATGGTGATGCCAATTGTACTGCCGGTGCTGCGGAACGCGTACGATGCTGAAGTGACCACAGAGTGATAGTGGTGGTCGACGGCTGAGATTAGTGCAACCAAGGTGATGGTAAGCATAGCCCCATAGCTTAGTCCAAGTCCACCAAGGCCAAGCAAAGGAAGCCACGAAGGGGAACTGAGCTTGAAAGTACAGAAGAGTGCTGAGCAGACAACCATCAAAGTCATGGTGACATAATTCAAAAGCATGTATCGACCGGTAACACGCATAATCATACCTGAACCCAGAGAGCCCAGAGCCGTGCCAACAGCTTCAGGCACCAAGCGGACGCCGGCACCCGTGAGTGAATAACCTTGAACTTGGAAGTAAATTGGCACGTAGTACAGCAAGCCAAAAACCGCCATGGTAGAGAACCAGTTTGTCAAGCAGGCAAATCCTATAGTTCGGTTCAACAATAATCGAACTGGAATGACCGGTTCAGACGCAATTCTGTCTTCGATGTAGATGAAGAGCACCAGAAACACCGCGGATAAAGGTAGGCTGGTGAGAACTAATGGATGATCCCATGGTACTTGGTTCCCACCGGCATTGAGACCCAGTAAAAGCAAAACCAGAAAGACAATCAATGTAAAAGCACCCAAGAAGTCTATTCGTTTGATCCGCGACTTATCTGTCTCCTTGACTGGCACCTTCACAGTGAACCATATGAGGATGGTGGATACAACAACAAATGGCACCTGAATAAGAAATGCCCATCGCCAGCCAAGTGAATCATTGACCATGCCCCCGAAAATGCCACCTAGTCCCATGCCAGTGCCATAGCAGATATTTCCCAGTCCCTGCCACACGCCTCGTCGCCGAAGCGGAACTAGATCCGATGTGACAAACGTCGAGATGGCGGTCAGGCCGCCGCCGCCAACTCCAGCGACTACACGACCGAGCACAATCACCCATTCCTCGGTAGCAAGCCCGCAGATTAAATTCCCGAGCCCAAAGAAGAGATTGGAGAATATGAGGCCGGCCCTCCTCGAGAAGATGTCTGTCAATCTGCCACTAAGCGGCTGGAAAGCGGCGTTGGAGATCAGATATGAAGCTGCAATCCACGATAACAGGGACAGGGAATTGAATGACGAGGAGATAGGCGCAGACAGAGTCGCGATGACGGTGGCGTCCAGTGCTGCGAGGAACACGCCCAGCCAAATGCTGCCGAGAACGAGGACCAACTCCAGGGTTGTCGGTTCCTTGGCGATTGGAGTTCCATCTGTATCCTCGCTCTGCTCGTCCTGGAGGAGGGGAGTGTCCTCGGTCGCAACGGGAGGAAGGCGCGTGAGACCGTCGCTCGTCTGCCCTGTAAACTGGGAGTCTTCGTCGGCGGACATGTTAGCGTCGAGGTCTGTCTGTCTGTCTCTCTCTCTGTCTTGTCTCTGACGCAGTGAAGTTGCGTCACCGGGATGGATTTTATTGTCGCCGAGCCATGTCGCTATACCCAATGTGGGCTAGGGCGTGTTCTCCGCTTTGCTTGCCAATGCGGGGAAGCTGTATCTTTGATACGGGTCGCTGTAGGAGGGAGAGAATATCCTCAAGCGCTGAGTAGCTAGAAGCACGCAAAATCATGGTAAGGCGTGCTCACTGTATTAAGAAATCACGGCGTGTTGACTGTCAGTCCAAATTGCGGCGGGGTCCCGGCTCCGATTGTCGCATGAATAATAAATTACCGCCATACGGTCACAAACAGCGATGGCGGTGGCATTGTCCGCGGGCATCCAATGACAGCCTCTGATTCAGCCCCACTCCTGCATCATATGTTCGTTTCGTAACGATCATGCTATGTATGATAATAACGGAGGTATATAGCCTCGGGTCTCCCCCAAACCTGGGTGCTCGATCAAAACAGCTTCGCTTTCCTTGACTATTATCTTGAAGAGTTCTATTCGAAACCCAGTCTATCAACAAGTACATTCTATCATACATGGACCAATTTGCGTCGTCAAGTCGTCAAACGCCCCTCGGCAACGGTGCCAACCATCCACCCAAGCACATCGTCGGGCTTGGGCGGTTGACGAAAATGTATGTTATCTTCTCTTCTGTGTATGCATAACGGCTATGTACTTATACATTAACATTCTCTTCCAAACAGAGCTGTTCCGGTAATCGCCGTACTAGGGCTCGGCTATGGAGTAACTGTCCTGCGGGAGGCGCAGAAGCGCGTCCAATATCAATCCATTCAAGAAGAGGAACGTCTTCGCCAAAATGCCCAGTTAATGGATGCCTATGGAGACAAGACCAGCCTGGATGATATGCAGAGAGCGTTGGAACATTACCATCAAGTAAGTGCCATTTTTATGTTTTATCGGAACGGAACGGGGCTCTTTCAAAACAGCCGCTGACTATCCCCCCCCCCCCCCCATTTTTATCCAATCAGAATTGATAAAAATGATTCTTCTTTTTTGTTTGCTGCGGTTTCGGGATACCTCCATGCATTTGTTCGGCGTTGAAATGCTTTCTCATAACGAGCACCCTCGTTGCCAATGTTGAGCGTCAATCGGGCAGGCCCGATGGCCTTTTCTTTTATCATGATGAAATGTATTTTCCAGCGGTTCGACACTCGTTCTTTCTGCAGACTGAGTTAATAAAGACTACATGTTATTGCGCTGGGATAAGTAATGTGACGGAGGAAGAGGCACGATCACGAAGGGGTGCACTCGTTGAAGAGGGTGTTGAGATTTCGTCCGAGATCAACCGAAAAACGGGGTCATCGAGTACTGAACCCATAGTTGGTCATCGGATTCGTTTTTGAAGCACTATAATGAATTAGTCGTTGTTTTACCTTGCCTTAGCTTCAATATTGAATAAATCCGAAGAAAGCCTACCCTCCATAACCCCCCAATGCCTTCATCAAGGGAGGGTGCGAAGACGCTGTTGATGTAACAAAAGACCGAGTCAGTGTCTTTGCAATCAAGCTTTTTCCGTAAGAAATTGACCACGGTCTCGAACTTCTGGGAAGCAGAAATCTTGAACACGGTTTTCCGTAAGATGGGTGCCGAGGGGAGGGGTTGAAATCGCACGGTGACTATTTTTGCAGGTAATAAGTAACCGGATTAGAAGAAGGCTCAATTAGAAACGCACCTTTGCCCACATCCACGGCTTCCGCATCAGCTAATGCCCGATGAGCATCCTTGGGTAGTCCGGTCAAGACTACAGAAGCCGACATGGTCAGAGGAATATCAACACCATGGTCTTCGTCCGGGATGGGAATGGCTGAATTCCCCGCTGTTGCTCGAGCCGTGTCGGGGGGCGAGTCCCTTGGACCAGCAGCTTTATGTCTCTGTACTCGTGCTGGAGAGAACACCGCTGGACGCGGGGAATCGCGACGTGCACCGTTGGAAGGAGAAGAGCTCGAGTCCATTGTGCTTTATTTTTGCTTTGTCTTATGCAACGTCGTTATGGTAGTTAGGCAGGGTAAACTTCATGCGACTTGAAGTAGTTAGCAGAATGCGAGTCACTTGCAGACAGTTAGTTGGCAGCAAAGGCAATAGCTTCGAAAGTTTATGCCTGAAAAACTGGGCATCAATCATATTCTTATTGGCTGCCTGAGGAGTCCACACGGCAGGGAGTGGAGCACATGACCGACCGCACCCCAATTGGCGATAGCTTATCTAATCTCCCCGAGAGTCGAGTCATCGTCATATAACTTTTAACTTAGTTACAGGCTCCTCGGTCCTCGTCCACCACACGACTTCAATCCTTTTCTTTGCGAGCGCCGTTCTTCCACCCCGAGCACACCGGCACCACTACAAATCGTCGCCTCGCCCGACGTGAAATACCAGTGCGTCATCTACTGTATCTCTTTACCCAATCTTTCCGCTTCGACTACCCCGCTTGCCACCGCGACTACGAGAAGGGCAGAACATTGGCGGGGAAAGAAAGTGAGGACGGAGCATATTGTAGCCTTTTGTTGACGGCCGCTATTCACTTTTGTCAATATGAGTAGCCCTAAGAGGAGAATTGAGGCGGATGTAAGTCCTCTCACTCTTTGCCTATGACAGTGCACAGTGCTGATTCTTCCATCCCTCGACTGAAGGTGATGAAGTACGTATTCGTTCATGGTCGAATTTTGTGCTCCGGGGCTTGAACTTACATGGATCTCAACATTAGGATGTTGATGAGTGACTATGAGGTGACATTGGTGAATGACAATAGTGAGTGCTCCGAGTCTATTCTATGATTAACTTACATACTCACCATCTATCATGATAGTGTACGTTTCTACATACACAAAGCTTATCTCGCCATCTACTTTAGGACGATATTGTGCGTAAATGTTAATACAGGTCGACTATCTACTAGGCAGGAATTCTATGTGCACTTTAAAGGTCCTGAAGAAAGTGCGTACCATTACCTGCCCGGCAAGAGAACGCTTGAGTGTGCTAACTAAACCTGCAGCGCCATTTTCAGGTGGTCACTGGAAAATTCATGTCGAGCTACCCGATCAATATCCATACAAGAGCCCCAGCATAGGTTTCGTGAACCGCATTTTCCATCCGAATATTGATGAGCTGTATGTCCTTGCAACTATGTCTGTTGTAAGTACTAGAAAACTAATTTGATTTTTCTGTTCTGTGAAGATCTGGATCGGTCTGCCTGGATGTCATCAACCAAACCTGGTCACCTATGTATGACATGATCAACATTTTCGAAGTCTTTTTGCCACAGTTATTGCGCTACCCCAACCCATCTGACCCGCTAAACGGGGAAGCTGCAGCGTTGATAATGCGAGATCCCAAGAATTACGAAAACAAAGTCCGAGGTCTGTTAAGACTTTTCTTCCCTTAGTAGAGAAGAATTTTACTAATAATTCCGTCTCGCAGATTACGTCGCCAAATATGCAAGCAAAGACGCAGCGGAAGAAGGTGGCGAAGACACTGAGTCGGAAGACGAGTTGAGCTCTGTCGGGAGCTACGAGTCCGGCGGCGAAGAACCAGCCGGTACGATGGACGATGTCTGATTTTGAAGCATTATCGACGGAGAGAGTTCGCTTAATGCATTGATTTTTCGCCGCTTCAACCACTCCTCTGATCGGTGGGAGGATTCATATCATTTGAACTAACTAGCGGGCGTACTGTGGCGGTGTATGTTTGTTTGTTGATTTTCTTTCCTTTTCCTTTTTATGTCTTTGTTTCTTTTCTCACCTCTCTTCTCCTGTCTGATTCTTGGTGTATGTAGGTACGTAACTAGACACGGGGCAAGATGCCGGTACTGCATGATCTAATTTTCCAAGTACGGTCAAGGTGTAGTTGTACTAAATCGTAATTTATAAGGAGGTCCTATCTACATATACATCACGATACTCATAGAAATAAGTGTTTGAGACTATTGTTACAGTACGTAAAGGATGTACATTCAAATATTCATACTATGTAACTTAGTTAACTGCCTATGTATGACTATTTCGATTCTTATCCTTAGTTAACACGTGTGTAAGCAAGATGTATTTTTCGTGACAAAGAGAATGAAAATATAACGGATGTAATCACGAAGTTATTATGCACTTTGTGCAAGAAATGATAATTGACAAGACATGCATGTACGAAAAGAGAAGAAAACACGAAGTTGACTAAGGCGCTTTCGACATTAGTATACACTGTATTGTATCAGGGGCGGGTGGACACAATGCTAGGTTAGACGAGGGCAAAAGGAAGGCAGAAAAAAGAAAAAGTAGTAGAGAGAGAACAAGAGAGAATCCAGCACCAAGTTCGGAGTTCAAATCCATGGGCCATGATAATATCGGGAGTCTTAAACATCAATAATGTCAAATACCAACCATGGAGGCTGAAGCGTAAATGAACAAGAGGCAGGAAATGAAACCCCGAGTCATGTTGTTTTGTTTGAACAAAATATAACCGCCAGAGAGGTTTTACTTTCACACCTTCAAGACGTCGAAGATGTCACCTCCTTCCGTCGAGCCAGCTTGATTTTTCTTTCGTCGCGGCGAAATCACGACTTCCCCCCAATTATTCGGCACAGGCGACAAGGGTTTCTTCTTGCCTATGGTTGATGACGACGACGGCGTGTCTCTCACTGCAGCTAACCCATTTTCAGGTACGGTGATAGCATCGTCGGCTAAGACCGGTATTTGTGCCTCGTTGCTAGGTACTCGTGAAGAACTAACCGAATCATTACTTCGTAGGGTTGCTCGAGGTTGCAGATGTGGCTGAGATTGGAGCGCCCAGATATCGATGACCGTGCTGATTGGGAATATCCCGTTACTTATTGGCTATGCTCCCAAGGGGAAGAAGAAGAAAAGGGACTGAACATACTCAGAAGCCCTCTGGCAAATTGCTTCTAATGCTTCCCTCTCACGCTTCAAATCCTCGGGATCTGACTGCTGCTGATTCGCATTATTTATGGATCCATATCCGTATCCGCCAGGATATAAATCATCGTCTATGAGCCGAGCATGTTCAGACTGTTTATTTGGTCAAATTAGTTGGCCATATCCGAGTGGAGAGCAAGAATAGCTCCATAAAGGGAGTCTCATATGTTTACCTCGTTCTCTTCCCGGCGTCCAAGGCCAAGACAAGACTGACAAGCACCCATTTACCAGAAGTACTGACAGGGAGCGTTGCTCCCCTATCCTGTGCCGCGTTTTGGTTGTTGAATATTGTGTTTCTCCTCTTCAAGTTTGAGCACGAGAGCAGGTTGCGGTCGGTAAGAAAATATCTCCGAAACAATCAGACACGAGCGGAGGGTGAAAAAAAAAAGAAAGTCTCCCAAGCCGAGCCGCTCTCAAAGCCGAATCATTTCATCGCTTAACAAAAAGGAATGTATGGGTATCGCTAATATGTCTGTTTATTCATTCATTGTACATGGCGTGGTGGTTGTTGCTGGGAGATGACGTTGCGGCAGTTGCACTGCTGCCGCGTGGCTGCCTCAGGAATCGGAATGGCACGTGCTCTGCGTTTGGCTGCCTTAGGAATATGCAAATGCTACCAGATACAGCCAGAACTTCCACTGCCGAAACTATTACAAGGATAATAATTCTTGTTCCATCCATCAATGCAACTGCTTCTACAGACTCTGTTTGGAGGGCGTATAAGCATATTCTATCATTTCTATGCCCACCCCTCCTAGTCCCGAAAAGGCAAAGCGTGTCGTTCTCTAAATTTATTTGCGTCTGGAATTCTACACTTCACAAGGACTGTCGGATCAAACGATATATTCACACAGCATCGACAACTGATGTTTGAACTACCAGAAGCCAAGCGGTATTGTTTATATAATGCCCTCTGCATAACCCCACTTTTCTAACGAATAACCGATCCTTAGAATCCGTCGCGATGAAATACTTTCACCGTCTTCATCAATCGGGAGCTCACCAGAGACAGTTCCGGTTGTTGACGATGAAGATGCACGTGCCAGACTTGGAAGGATTTTGGCCTTTGACACATTCACGCCAGACACGAATCATATTGGAAAAGGAAGAAGGAATGCCAACGCCAACGATGACACAGTAACAGCAGCGGCAGTGGCTCATGATAATCGGGATGATCAAGACGACAATGATGAGCAGGAGTTTGAATTCCGTCTATTTAGTACTGCGCCTAATAAAAAGAGTGCGGATGCGGCGACTGTGAATGCAAACACAAGTGCCGAGAAAGACGTGACCAATAAAAGGATTGATGCCAGAGCAGAAGCTGATGACGGCATCAAGACCCAGAAGCTTAAGATTCGACTCCGATCGCCCACGCCAAACGATAACAACAATGCCCTTTCCCTAGAAGATGGCCGCTTCGTCGTTCCATTTCGAGGATGGGACTATTATTTCACAACACCGGAACTTATGAATATATCACCCGCACGCGACGGAACTCGGTCACTAGAGATGGAAGAGGTAGGAAGCAAGCGAAAACAGTTCGAAAGTATCGCTGTAACGGGTGGCGAGGTACTCCATTGGGCTCAGACAGCAAAGACACCAGGCTGCCATTTGCCGTGGCGTGTGATGCATCTAAAGCAAGAGCACAGCAGAGTACGAGGAGCAGTCGGAATAGTTGAAGATCAAGAGAAGATCAAGTCGAAGAAACCGGGAAAGAAACGCCGCATCATCTTGCGTACCCGTGCCGCTGCTCTTGCTGCTGCGGCGGCGACGGCAAATATGACTGAGGCGGAGAAGCGGAATAAAAAGAATCGAGAAAAGAAAGTGAGGAAACGGCAAAGAGAAAGGGAGAGGAAGGCCGCCTTGGCTGCTTCTACAGGAGGTGCTGTTGTTCCTGATGTAGAGCATGCTTCTGTCGGTGATTCTTCGGATTGATTTGTTAGGACGGATATGTTTGCCCTTTTCTTCTCTTTTCTTTTTCTTTCGCCCTTATTACATACTCGATGTCTACGGAGAGAAGATTCGCCGAAGAATAAGCAACTTCGGCATAATTCAAGCTTTTGTCTATTCGTCAAAATATGTATACACGTGTATATGTATGAACGTTGTTTGGTATGGTACGCTATGATGCAAGGTCATCGAAAAGGACAGATATGCAAAAGGCGTCATTACAAAATAGACTAACCCATCGACGTAGATAATTATTTAGAGTCATGTTCATCTACGAGTCTCTGAAACTCAGCGACATGCTCCCCATCAATCGCATATGTATGCTCCTTTGCAGGGTACTGTCTGCTTTTAACTTCGGCACGATATTGATCGATCCCCTGCTTAGCCTCAGCCCAAACATTGGCAAACTTCTTGACGAATTTCGGGAGATGGCGGCCTGGCGCAAAGTTACCCGTCATGTCCACCTGCACCAGGACTTGACCAGAGCACCCATGGCCGGCACCAATGCCAATAGTGGGGATGCGTAACTTCTTGGTGATTATGGCTGCAATCTCGGCTGGGATGGCTTCAAGAACAACCATAAATGCACCAGCTTCCTGTACAGCATAGGCATCCTCTAGGAGCTTGAGCGCGCCCGCGACGGACTTGCCCTGAGCACGGAACCCTCCCAGTGCATTCTGACGTTGAGGTGTCAGGCCGATATGTGCGACAACGGGGATTCCTGCAGATGTCACCGCCTTGATGGCAGGTGCAAGGTCCACGCCTCCCTCGAGTTTGACCGCTTGAATATGTGCTTGCTTGACAAGGCGAATAGCGGATTCAACCGCCTGCTGAGGAGTCACTTCATAAGATCCCATTGGAAGATCGCCAACCTGCATTGCATACAAACAAGAAATGATTAGTACATGGTTTCTGTGTATATATGTATGCATGTATGGTGCGTGACGCCGAGCTACTGCAGTCTTCCGCTGACCGTTGAGAAAAGGAAAAGAAAATACAATCAAACGACCTAGCCAACTTACAACAAACGCCGATCTGACCGCTCTCGTCACACTGCGACAATGTAGAACCATGTCATCCAGAGTAACCGCATTTGTATCATTCATCCCCAAAGACACCATGGCCAAACTGTCACCAACGAGAACAACGTCCATTCCAGCTGCATCAGCGACAAGTGCCGAGGGGAAATCATGTGCCGTGAGCATGGCAATTGGTTCGCCCTTCCTGTACATGCTCCGCAAGGTAGTTATTGTCACGGGCTTGCGTGTCTCCTGAGACATCGCGGGTCCCATTGGAGCGTGAGAGCTCCATCGCACTGCTGCGGCGGGGGCATGAGAAAAAGAGGCTGCTGGCAGCAGATATCTGGGTTGCCGCGTTATTCCCCCCAGGGAAGAAGGTAGTCTTCGAAACGAACGAGAGGCATTCATTTCGTGAGATGGTGTAGCAAGGGCAAATAATGGAAGATTTAAAATGTACCAGTATGGACAGTATGATGTCACCCGTAGAGAAGCTGCGACAGTCGGTGGCGTGGATTGATTACAGCACTATTTCGAGCGTTCGAAGACAAGTGGAGTTGAAGAATAAGAGAGCGCATGATGGCCAGCGTGGTATTTAAAGGGCGCGACAAAGTAGAGACGACTGCAACAGTACTGTGCTGGTATATGCGGCGTAGGATGGAGCATCTTCGGTTTTTTTTCAGTTGCCCGTTTGTCGTTCTGCTTGATGTGGACTAGCGCGGGCCTGCAGCTGCTGACCTGCCAAGCGGTCCGGACCGGAAGCGCCGAATAATCCGTGCCCTAAATAAAGTTCAGGCTGCAACGTTTGACAGGCACGCACCACCACCTCGCCTTTGGTTAAAAGAGAATCAACTCGATTTCATTGTGTATAGCTACTATAGAGAAGAAAATGGAGTATAGGAGGGTCTAAAATATGAGGAGAAAGAAGAGAAAACGCCTTGAAATGCTCATAAAATGTCCCAGCGGAATGCAAAGATGCAAATGAGTACCGCCAGTTTGAAAAGAATCGAAGTTGGAAAACAGAAAGACAGGGTAGGAAACAATCCAGTAGGATGATATTTCTGAATACAATAGCCATAGAACAGCCGACTCACTCGTACATGGCATGGCATGGCGGGACTACAATCACAAACACAACCCATCGTGTCTTCATCTAGTATGCTTCTTTCACCGGACGCTTGAGCTTCGCTAGCAAAGCATCCAACTCAGTCCAGTTAGATAACGTTGTCGCAAACTTGCGGTGCTTTCTGGTCATTGTGTGCTATCAAAGACATGCCAACGTTAGCCCCATACTACCAAAAGGTGCCCGAAAGAGAGAAAAGAAAAACATACCTCATCGAAATCATCGAATTTATCCCGGCAATTCTCGCAGTACCCTGGCTTTGGATCACGCTGTTTCTCTTTGACCGGCTTTTTCTGAGGTGCACCTCTCCGTTCGGAATTTTCGTTCGCATTTGCATTTGCTGATGTGGTGTGGCTGCCATTATCTTCGGATTGTGTTGTGTCTTCCTCCGGGACGTGACCCATCTTCTCTAATGGGCGTTTTGAGCCAGCCGGAACCCCAGATGCAACTTTCGCCATCGGAGCATCGACTGGTCTGTGCGATGAGGTATTGGTACCAGCAGTCATGCTCCCATTACTTCTCTCCAGGACTTTACGTTTCAGTTCGTGTACCTCCTTGCTCAATCCTGCCTTCGCCCCGGGAGCAGCGGCAGTTGATGAAACCATCTGCGAGCGGATCGCAGAGGTGACGTTAGATGGCTGCATCCCAGAAGCGGCTGGCTCACGTATCATCGGCCAATGTCCAATGTTGTTCAGCGGATGCTTAACTGGATGGCTTATCGGCTTCATTCGAGGCGGAACAGGTCGGGCTGGAAATGCTTTGAGAGTGTCTGTGGGCCCTGTTGGCGCAGTGGCGTTATCACCTTTCACATGAACCACTGTGTTTTCATTCTCATGTCGACCAGAATCTCCTACACACTCTTTCTGTGGTGCCTGTTCAGCATCTGCGACCGTCTCTACTTTGACGGAAGCTTCCACCGCAGCCGCATTCTTCTGCTCTTCTCTTTTCATACGCGCGAATTCTTTCTCGGACGGGCCCTCCTCAATGAAGGGGCATTTACCGAGGGGAGCGCTGCGGAATTGTGGCCAAGTTCCATCCTGTCTTTTTGCCACTTTGGGATACTCTCTCACCATAACTGGCCGCGTCTTCTCGTCTACATCGTGAACATAAATAAACGGACCCCGGAAAAGAACCAGGTCCTTCATCAGTTGAGAGGGGTCGCGATCAGACGGACCATGCAAACGTTCGTTTCGAAGAACCTGGGAAAGTTCCGTCTCTCCACGACCTTTGACATTTAAAGGACCAGTACGGCCGCCGGTAAATGTGGTAGTAGTATCTGGTTCGTGCATAGCTGCCAACATACGCTGTAGCTTCTCCATTGCCCATATCTTCATGCCCATCTGGCGTGCACGGTACAACACGTCGGTATTATTCCCTTGATCTCTTCGATTGTCGTTTCTTTCCAGGAGGACTGGATTGACCGTTTGAATTGGACCTTCAATGGAATGCTGATCATTCTCTGATATTTCAACCGGGCCGTGAACATTGACCTCAGGTATGGGACGCGAGGTGACAACATGGGTAACTGTTCGGGAGAAGAATCTCTCCTCGCGCTAGACAGACGTCATCAGTACAAATATTTCATGAAATGTTTTACGGTGAGCGGTAGCAGGTGTAGAAGGAGAAAAAGGTATTCACACTCACCGCGCCTAATGCCAGCACTTCCCTAAGGCTTCTATTACGGACGTCTGCAGGTAGACTATCAAAGTAGAATACGAATCCAGGAAAGGCCTTTCGGTAGTGTCTTTGCCATTGTCTGATATTATCCAATTTCTCCGCAGAGATTTTGTCTTGTTGTTTTGAAGCTCTGGCTTGTTGTTGTTGTTGTTGTTGTTGTTGTTGTTGTTGTGTGAGTCCGTCTTCTTGATCCCTCGCTGCCATCAACCGTTTCTCAAATGGAGTTGCCTGAGCAAGTCGAGGCCGCCGGGAAAATAGCTTGTTCTCTTCGGCTATAGTCATTTGGGGAACAGGCTTCGGTATAGCGACACCCAGGGCCATGTCTTCGTGGCCCACGACTTGTCTTTTTGGGGGAGGTTGACCGAAAGCCAGGTCCATTTGGGACTTCGGGCGAGCCCGCTTGACAGCAGCTGAGTTACTCACCCGGTGAGGAGAATTGGCGGCATTGGGAACGTTGGCGAGGGGTGGTCGTCGTGAAGACATGGCGAACGAAGTCTGCGGAGAAGGTGGTACAAATACTGCTGCCATATGGTAAGGAGTAGATTCCGGTGGCAGATAAAGATAGCAAGCAGGAAAAGAGAAAGGCACTCCAAACGAGGGAGGGGTGCCCTTCACTGGCACCAGAGGAGCACGCGATGTACCACACGCCCTCCAAGGATCAATGAGAATCTAGTGAACCATCATGTAAAGACGACGAGACAATTGACAGGGTTGGTCCGTAGTCGACAGTCTGCTAGTGCTCGAGGAGAGGGATGTAAATTGCTGTCCAGTGTGTGTAGGCAGAGAGCCTGGCAGAGCAAGCTGTGTGGTTGGCGAGGGAAGAGAGATCTGAGGGAGCGGGAAGGCAAGCTTGTTGTTGGTGGAGCCTCCGCGAGTTGTTTTGGCAGAAAAGCCTTAGGCCGCCCAGACAATCAACCAACCATAGCGCGACTAGCCCGGTACCCTCAACAACACATTCCAACATCAGCCGCGTCGTTTGCAACGCAACGACAAAATGAGATCTTACGTGTTGGTAATTGCAATGGCAATGGAGACGGCGGCCTGTTCTCTCACACGAAGTGCCGCGTAATCTCGTTCTAATACGTCGAACGCGTCACACTACTAGCGGTGTCAATCAGATCTCTTCAGATAGCTTTCAACCAGTATTCGATTACAAACGAACAACATCGGGTGCATATCACATGCAATAGATTACACGGTGTCTGATATATATACAGTTGTAGAGAGGTGGGTATCATTCAAGGCCCTCTTTGCTCTTCCTTTCTCCTTTTTCTTGGGTGTATGGCATGTTGTCTACGGCCGCAGTGCCTCGATGTCATCGATCTAGCCGTTGTCAGCGCCTGATATTTGCTCGTCAGGAAAACGTAGAAATACCTCTTTTACGGCCTCTGTTGTGAGCACAATTGGATTTTCATCGCCCACACAGACACTGTCTTCAATGCGAATACCAATGCCGCGGAAATGCTCCGGCCACCGTTCGTCGTCAGGGACATAGAGACCACTATCGAATATTAGCTCCCTTACACCCTCCCGGTTCAGATTATAATAAATTGGAACATACGGCTCAATGGTAATACATTGTCCTGCCTTCAGAATAACATTTCTTGGGTAACCAGCACAGTCATGCACGTCGAGGCCGACATAGTGGCCCAGGTGATGCGGGAATAGGGTCCTTATGGCCTGTTATAATGTTAGCGGGTGCGCATTCCATGATCAGTGTCTGGTTTCGTCATACATCACCAGAGACATCGAAATTTAACTGTTGCAGTTGGTCCTTGAGACTCTGTTCTGCAATCCCGTGAAGACGGTCGAGGGATAAACCTGCACTTTCGCGAGAAAGGGCCACGCAACTTCTATGGACATTTAAAACGGCTGCATACAGGTCCCGCTGCGGTCCACTAAATTTGCCGTTCACGGGCCATGTCCTCGTTATATCTGAAATATAGCCGCCGTATTCCTGCCGCATTTATTAGGTACGAAGCCGGTATAACAAAGGACAATACATACGCCGCCTCCGTCCACAAGCACAAGCTCTCCATCGCTATTGATATAAGTTAGCGTGTATTCAATCGCCGTATGCGTGAAATAGTACCACTTACCGCAAAATGTCATCGTTCCGAGTATAGTGGATGCTGAGGGCGTTCTGTCTTCGGTCAGCAACTAGTCCCGAGGGTTGGTTTTATCACATACCCGTCCTCCTCCAACAACAGGAACGAAAGCACTGCCACTACAGCCGTTCACCTGGAATTGATACTGCAGAAATGAGGACAAGTCCTTTTCAGTGGTGAAGTGCTGGCGCATTGAATCTGTGAATGCTCGTCCTGAGGCTCGTCCAGCTTGTCGCAGATTTACTACCTCACTCTCACTCTTGAACGTCCTCAATTCATTCAATATTGGGCGAAGAGGTCTGACTTTATGCTCTTTAATGACTTTCTGTATCTCGGACTGTGTTTCGCTGCCGTATAGATAGCGAGATATCGAGGAACCTGCTGGAGTGAGAGATCTTATGTCTGTATATATCTCCGTTGTCTCTGACAAAATTGGGAGTATAAGCTCCTTAATCCGTTCAATGTCACCGGTCTATGGCCCATCATTAATGCTGCCCTGGTTACATGTATGGATAAGTTGTTACTTACTTCGTCCGCATTGAACACATCCATTGCAGCCTGAGTGCCCGATCGAGCACCTTCCCACAGTTCTATTTTGGGGTCCTTCTCTCGCACGTACAGATGAAAAAGATGATTATCTCCAGACCCATCGTTGACTTTTTGTTTCCATATTACCATCAATCAGCATACGTCAGAACATCCATATACCATCATCGTCTACTCACTTATAATAGCCAGTGCGCCCGGTTCATTGAAACCTATCATCCCAAATCTTAGATTTATAATCACTTGGTTTCTTCGTAAGAGCTTGACGTGCATACCCGTGAGGTAGAAAAAGTTTGAGTCTTGGCGGTATTCGTAGAAAACGCCGGAAGCGCGATATTTCACGTCGGCCGCTGCCACAATGGCAATTGCATTCTTAGGCAATCGATTGGCGAGTCTTGAACGGCGGTGAGCGTATTCTTGGGCGGTGATTCCTGGTGTTACTACCTTCACTCTCAGCATATGGCAGTCTCAGAAAAAAAGAAAAAAGAAAAAAAAGAGGGCGTGGAGAATGACAAATAGAAATAGCCACGGGGCCAGATACTCAAACGTACATTCGCCAGGCTCTAGTAAGTGAGGATGGGTTTCATGTAGAGGCTGGCCGAATTGCAGCTCCGCGGCGGAGATTGAGGCATACGTCCTGCTGGATCGCAGGAAGCTCCAAACGCGAGCATAAGAACGATTCGACGGCGATGGGCGGAAGCGAATGCTGCCAGGCCGAATGTGAGATATAGCATGCCGACGCCAATGCAGATGCGGCGTGCGTTTTAACATGTTGGGTGATTATGGAACAGGAAGAAAGTAGATGCGCAAACAGTTGCCTCTCACGGACTTTCCAATGGGCTCAGCACTGTCAAGCGCCTGCCGCTAGGCCCCTTTAGGCAGTCAAATGCTATCGAGTAATCACACCGACGCTGATTGGCCAATCTGGTCTCCATTGTCCGTTAATGCCGCAGTTACAGTTCGGCGCTGCGGGCCAATCAGAAGCAGGCAGCCCCCAAGCCAATACATCTCAATGGGAAGGCTTCACTTCATGTTGTTTTGTAGTATAATCGGGAGTCATACCTGGGGAACTGTCGTTGCTAAGGCTTGCGTGAGGTATAAATACTGATGGACACTCCAACGACTTCTCTATCTTTTCAGCACTGATCCTGACACCCAGTCAAGCAATATATACATATATATTCACCCATAGTTATCTACTTTTTGTTTACTCAGCGCGACCATGGGCCGAACACTAACCTATCCAAAAAAGAGCCTGAATACGGTCAAGCGTTATGCTCATCGAGGTATATACATATTCACAGACCGCTATAGCGTCCGCTAACTCATATATTCCACCCCGTACTAGCAACGTACGATGTCAAGGCTATTCACTCCATCATCAACGACAGTCGAGTGCTGCATGTCTCGTTCAGCCCGGGACCAGAGGACCTGTTTCCGACCACCATACCCATGATTGGACAGATGGGATCTTTTGAGTACCCTTCCGCCGACCTAGGCGAGCCCTTGGACTGCTACATCCACGGCTATGTTAGTGCTCGTTTGGCGAATCTTGCACGCAGCTCCGAGCAAGGGCTGCCCGTCTGCATTTCAGCCTCGAAGGTCGACGGACTGGTGCTCTCACTCACCCCCTTTAACCACAGCTACAATTATCGCTCGGCTGTCCTGCATGGCTACGCCCAGTTGGTTACCGATGATGAAGAAAAATTATGGGCTCTGAAGTTAATCACTGATTCCGTCGTTCCAACCCGATGGGACAACAGCCGCACTCCACCAGATAAAGGTGAAATCGCCGCGACTTCGATCTTGAAAGTCAAGATTGTTGCAGGGAGCGGCAAGATTCGGGATGGCGGCGCTTCGGACGAGAAGAAGGACTATGGAAATGAAGAGGTGGTCACTCGCGTTTGGACAGGTGTTGTCCCTGTATACGAGGTGCTCGGCGATCCAATTCCGAATCCTGACAACAAAGTAGAGGCTGTCCCAGAGTATATCAAGTCCTACGTTGATGAGTACGGCAAGCAGAGCCAGCAGTATGCATTGGGAGCTGTGGGTGCTAAACTACCAGAAGAGGAGCAGCATTGATGAAGCAAAATTGTTGGAATTTTGAGTGTTGGAGATATTAAATATTGATGTGTATTTACCGAAGTGATGTTTGACGCGGGGTGCGGGGAAATAACAAGCAGGCTAACGCGCCTGAGGCATCTACTGATCCGTAATCTCTGTGACTCGCTTCACAATTGACAAGCCCTTCGCTGCATTCTTTCATGCAATTCTGTGCGATCGTTTAATAGCCAGGCAGTCGAAAGTCTCTTGGTTTTTTCCCCATCTGAGAATACCCACACGAGGAATCGGGTAGTCGAGCACTAAGAGGAAAGTCGTACAACAACCACCCCTCTTCTTCCCATCTCTGTACACTGAGATGCCGAGCAGGATATAGTAGCATTCGACAAATGCTGCCTCGTTTGCCATCGCGATAAAGAAGCCAGCATTGAGCCAGTTAACCAAACTTCAGATTGACGCCACCGGTCGAAGCCATGCCCCCAATCCCCGCAGCGGATCTCCAGTCTTTCGCTGAGTATCTCCAGCGGAGCACAAGAATCCTGGCTCTGCTCGGTGCTGGGCTGTCGGCGTCATCTGGCCTTCCGACGTTTAGAGGTGCCGGTGGCTTGTGGAGAACCTTTGATGCTATGTCACTCGCAACGCCTGAAGCATTTGAGGAGAATCCAAGCTTGGTGTGGCAGTTCTATAGCTACCGGAGGCATATGGCCTTGCAAGCCGAACCAAACCGGGCACATTATGCTCTCGCTCAACTTGCAAAAAAGAACAAAGATTTTGTAACATTGAGTCAAAATGTGGACGGTCAGTATGTTTTTGTGCACCGGGTTTTGCTCTGAGCCTGTTCTTTTCCTACCTGAACCTCCTTTTGACACGTTACAATGTAGGATTATCGCCGAGAGCAGAGCACTCAGCCGAGCAACTACACCTGCTTCACGGCTCCTTGTTTGACTTCCGATGCACTTCTTTCTACTGCAATTACTCAATAAAGAATGACTTTACAGACCCGCTTGTCCCAGCCCTCGCAATTCCAACTCAAAGCGTAAGACCCGAACCATCAAAAGACAACAAGACTGGTGAAGAAGCAACCAGGACGATGTATGAAGCAATGGCATCGGCCCAGAACGACCAGGAACTAGCAAAGGAGGAATTGGATATATCAGACCCCTTCGTTCCGCTACCGACTCTGCAGGTAGAAGACTTGCCGCAATGTCCCGAGTGCGGAGGATTGCTTCGGCCGGGAGTCGTTTGGTTTGGCGAAAGCCTACCTGCGCACACTCTCAGGGCAATCGATGAGTGGATAGAATCGTCGCCCCGAATAGACTTGATGCTGGTCATAGGCACTAGTTCCAAGGTGTGGCCTGCTGCTGGGTATGTTGACATTGCACGTGAAAAGGGTGCTCGCATTGCAGTTGTCAACATGGACCGTAATGACGCTCCCGGAGGGGTTTATGGACTGGAACCAGGTGATTGGTTTTTTGAAGGTGATGCCAGTGAGATAGTGCCAGAGTTGCTCAGAAGTCTAACTGGCGAAGTCTAGAATGGCGTATACATGGTATGCTTTCATCGTTGCTTGTCTTCCAACTTGACAGCGTTTGACGATTGGTATTGTGGCATTTGCATGGCCCTTTTTCTTTTATATATTTTGCGGTATTGAGTCACCGAGTTTGGAAGTATACAATAACGGACGAAGTCATAATAATGATTAACTAACTTAGCAATGAATGAATTAAAAGTAAAATGATACGTTAGCGCCAGGCGTTGCTGTGGCACCCCGCAGCCAAGCAATCCATCCGCTACAGTCCCTCACCGCCACCTGCCGCACGATTTCTCAAAACTATACTAATTTTATATGTTCGAATAACTTCACCAAAATGGCTCCAATCGATGAGGCAGTGGCATATTTGAGATCGCTAGATTCTGGCGAAAAGATCAATATTACTAAAGCTGCAAAAATGTATGGCGTTGGGCGTTCCACGCTGTCAAGAAGATTTCATGTGATTCAGCATTCGCGCAATGCGCAGTACGACAACCAGCGATGATTAAATAAGCAGCAATCTACTGAGCTTATAAAATGGATTAATACGTTGACGGAGCGTGGTATTCCACCTACGTTAGCAATGCTCAATAATTTTGCGAAAGAACTGTCTGGAAAAGAACCTGGCAAGAACTGGGTTACGCGCTGGATCAAGGCTCATTCTGATCAACTGATCTTGCGTTATTCTTTAGGCCTTGACGTGCAAAGAAAAAAAGGCAGATTCGGCGCTCAAATATTCGTTATATTTCGAACTTTTAGCCCAGAAGATTGAGAAATATAACCTTAAACCGGAACAAATCTACAATATGGATGAGAAAGGCTTTATGATTGGAATCACGTCAAGATCAAAAAGAGTCTTTTCTCGGCGTCAATATGAACAAGGAGGGCTTAAGCAGCATATTCAGGATGGAAATCGAGAGTGGATTACAACTATTGCTTGCATCTGTGCTGATAAAACGATGCTTCCTCCAGGCCTAATCTATATGGCCAAATCCAGCAATCTTCAAGAATCTTGGCTTGATGATTTTAATCTTATAGAGCATACTTGCTTCTTTACGGCTTCAGAAAGCGGTTGGACGAATGAGGAACTAGGATTCCAATGGCTCGTTCGAATATTTGATCAAGAAACTAGAAAAAAGGCAGGACGAGGATATCGACTCTTGATTCTTGATGGCCATGGCTCATATCTCAATATGAAGTTTATAAACTATTGCCATTCGAATAGGATTCTATTAGGAATCTTTCCGGCTCATGCAACGCATACTTTGCAGCCTCTCGACGTGTCTCTATTCGCGCCCTTATCGCGGGCCTATTCCAACGAATTGGAACAGTTTATATATCAAAGTCAAGGATACAGTCGTCTAAGAAAACAGGACTTTTTTCGGCTCTTTTGGAGTAGTTGGAATACATCTTTTACGCCTCAAAATATTGAATCTGGCTTTAAGAATACTGGTTTATGCCCATTCAATCCGGAGATCATTTTACAACGTTTTATGAAGAAACTGGAAAGCAGGCCATCATCTAGTGAATCCTCAGTTTCAATACTCAAAGCAGAAGATTGGAGACGCATTCGATCGCTTCTAAAAGAAGTAGTTGTTGATTTTTATGATCAAAAGGCTGAGAAGCTCAACGGTACGATGATGTCTCTTGCAACTGAGAATACTCTGCTTAAAATGCGTTGTGAGGGCCTAGAAAGAGCTCTTATTAATGAGCAAAAGCGTTATAATTGGAGGAAGCCTTTACTACTTACTCTTCCTAACGAGAACGATGGTGGTGTGATATTTTTTAGTCCTCAAAAAGTTCAGCAAGCACGCGATCTTCAAGTTCAAAAAGATCAAGAGATTCTTGACGCGCAGGTTCAAAAAGAGGATAAAAAGCTTCAAAAACAGCTTATAAAGGAGGAAAAAGAGCGCTTGAAGGCTGAGAAAGCTGAGATTCGCAAAAAATCGAGAAAAATCCGTCAAAATGTGGCAGCAGAAAAGCAACGCCCCAAAGCCGAGAAAAATCTTACACGTCAGCTTAATCGTCAGCTTCAAAATGATATAGAATCGATTCCGCGGACTCCATGAAGCAAAAGAACCTTTTTCCAGGAAATTTTATCAAGATTGAAGCTTCTAAGGCCTCTGAGCATGCTGATGAGCCTATTCCGACAACAAATCGTCGCGGTCGCCAAATACGCCTTCCAGTACGTTTTCGCGACTAATTGATTCGCTTAATAGATTCTCCATGACCGATTCACTACTACTCCATAGATTTTCTAATTATTTAATATTATATGGTGTTGAAAAGCTTCAAATTATTATATTGTATATACTCATAAAATCGTGCGGCAGGTGGTAGCGTGCGGCAGGCGGTGAAGGACTGTATCGATAACAATCAGAAAATTAGGGCGCTGTCTCTCTAAACACCAAGCAACATCCTTGGTTGCCGTGTTGCTGGCTCGAAGTGCGCGTGTTTATGCAAGTGCCTTAAGCACAAGTGGTTTTCTCTCCCTTGCTCGCTCAAAAGCCTGACCGATTGCACTCCAACAAGCGGACAGCCAACTTCCCCCCAAGTGAGGGGCAAGAACAACGAGGAGGCACACCTGGGAACAGAAAACACCGGTTCATTCGTGTGAGTTTTCTCTCCCTTACGTATATATAACACAAATACCGTCCTAATAATCGATGATCTAGGTTGTCTTTTCTAGACTTTTGGGACTCAATATACGGACAATGGTACACGAGGTAAACCCTCCAAAGGGGCCGCTGTCCTCGTGGAAATCAAACGAACAGAAACAAGATATCCCGTCCACCAATCCAGAGTTTGGCAAGACGACTCCTTTACGGTCGATTCAATCGAAATCGCAAGTTCCTTTCAATATTCCCAAGAACAACCGTCCCCGTGCCGAGCATCACCGTCCTCCAAGCCGCGTGCCGTCCCAGCCATCGGATGGATCGGATCTCCCTAAAAAGAGCACATCAAAGCAACCATTTGATCCGTTCAAGCCGGTCATTCCATCTACCTATACAACCCAGCGATCTCTCGCGTCTTTCAGGGGAGATGACCATGTCGTCGAAATACCGCGTCCGTCACAATTCACGTGGACCACGAAGCAGGCACCGCCTGCTGTTTTTTCATCGAAGCCTTCAGCACCTCCAGCAAAAATGTCAAACTCCTCCAAGACATTACAGAAGTTCATGGATCTCACAGGCAATGAAGACGGATTTTCGAGTAACTTTGCACTTCGGTCTACTCAGCGAGAAGAATTCGGATCTGCAAATACATATTCCTATATCGACTCAGTCAAGGCACAGGAAGACATAAAGGCTCTGCTAGAAGGTGCCTTTGAAGATGAGGAAGATAAGCCTAGAACGAGAGCTAGGAAGAAGAAGGTCGAGGCAGATATCAATGACTTGGCTGCTAAGTTTCAACAAGTTTCCGTTGACTCAAAACACGAGGATGAGAACAAGGAAGTTGAACAAGAAGATGAGGATGAGGAGGAAATCGATGATGGCACCAGAGAGGGACTTAAAATCAAATTACTGCCACATCAAATTGAAGGTGTCTCTTGGATGTGTGACAAGGAAAACGGGCAAAGGAAAACACGAGGCATTTTACCAAAGGGGGGCATTCTTGCGGATGATATGGGACTAGGAAAGACCATCCAGTCCATCGCGTTAATACTCACAAATCCTAGACCTTCCGATCAGACAAAGCTTAAAGACGGCGAGAGAAAAGATTCTAGGAGACAATTGCCAGAAGGAGTGGGCAAAGGCACACTAATTGTCGCCCCTCTCGCACTGATCAAGCAATGGGAGTCGGAGATCGAAGACAAGATTGAAAAATCCCATCGACTCAGAGTATGTGTCTATCACGGAACTGGACGGGCCAAACACAGCGCCGATTTGAAGGACTTTGACGTAGTCATCACAACATATGGCACACTCAGTTCAGAACATGCGGCTTCAGGGAAAGGACAAGGTGGTTGTTTCAATGTTCACTGGTATCGTATCATCCTCGATGAAGCTCATACGATCAAGAATAGAAATGCCAAAGCGACACAGGCGGCTTGTGCTTTGGATGCGCAATACAGATGGTGCCTCACGGGCACACCATTGCAAAATAATCTGGATGAATTACAAAGTCTGATCAAATTTCTGCGCATTCAGCCTTACGACGAACTAAGCTCATGGAGAGAGCAAATCACTCAGCCTCTCAACAATGGACGCGGCGGTCTCGCTATCCAACGCCTGCAGGTGTACTTGAAAGCTTTCATGAAGCGACGAACTAAAGATGTCTTGAGACTGAACAATAATCTGGAACCCGAAGAGGGAAGAGCGGAAGATGGCAGCAAACAAGAATCTTCGACCGGCTTCCAGATCGTCAAGCGTGAAGTCATCAAGATTGAAACCGAATTTACCGAAGCAGAGAATGACTTTTACCAGCGGTTAGAGCAACGAACAGATAGAAGATTGTCCCAAATGATGGGGGGATCTAAACTTGATTACGCAAGTGCATTGGTCATGTTGCTCCGGCTCCGTCAAGCGTGCAACCACCCAGACCTCGTCAAAAGCGACCTAGCTGAAGACAAGGATATTTTGCTAAACAACGACGGCAAACAATCCAAGGCTTCGAAACAGGACGAGGATCTCGACAAAATGGCGGATCTTTTTGGTGGCCTTAGTGTTGTCAGCAAGAAATGCGACATTTGCCAGGTAGATCTGACGGTTGCGGAATCTAAAACAGGAGCTAGCAGGTGCAGCGAATGCGCGGACTTGGGAGTTGATCTGAAAACGACCAAGAAAAAGAGGCGCAACACTGACAGAAAGCCGAAAGTCATAAACCATACCTCCGAGGCCCGCGAGGCTCGTGCCCGAAGAAACCGACGAGTCATTGAAGATAGCAGTGATGAGGATGAAAACGATGGAGACTGGGTTGTTCCTAGGAATCAGAGACCGTCGTCACTGTATCTAGGCAAAGCCGGAGGCTCTAATGATGAGGACGCCGAGGGCGGAGAATGGATCGGGTCCGAGGACTCTGACACCGAAGACGACGCAAATGAGGTCGTCAGCGTTTTGAGCTCAACCGAATCTGCTGACGAGGATGATGACGGCGAAGGGGAAGACGATGGCGGACTCGAAATGGCTCCGTCGACCAAGATCCGAGCCTTGATGCGAATCCTAAGAAAAGAGGCACCGGAATATAAATTCATTGTCTTTTCGGTATTCACGACAATGCTTGACAAAATCGAACCTTTTCTGAAACACGCAAATCTCGGTTATGCCCGTTACGATGGAAGCATGAGAAATGATCTTCGAGAGGCCAGTCTCAACCAGCTACGAAGCCGCTCTAGCACGCGAATTCTGTTATGTAGTTTGCGCGCGGGGTCATTGGGTCTCAATCTGACTGCTGCCAGTCGAGTAGTTATTTTGGAGCCATTCTGGAATCCGGTAAGTCTTGTAGTCTACTGTTTCCAAAAAAAAAAAAGAAAAAAGCATTATCACTGACCGGACTCGTCTAGTTCGTGGAAGAACAAGCAATCGACCGCGTCCATCGACTCAACCAAACGATTGATGTGAAAATCTACAAAATCACGATCAAGAATAGTGTCGAAGAGCGAATTCTAGATCTTCAGGAAAGGAAACGCGAACTCGCTAATGCCACTATCGAAGGCAAAATGGCTGCTGGCAAGCTCGGGTTGCGTGACATGATGGCGCTCTTTGGCCGTGATGCAGAATCGCGATTCGACGATGAGCGGGATGCACCCGACCTTACGCAGAAGACGAAATTGCTTGTTTCTAAAGACGATGGGTATGAAGAATACAGTTCTTCGCGGACCGGCGATGTCTGGTCGTTGGCTTCCAGCCAGCCCAGTTCCCAGGACAGAAGACGGAGACAGGCTCAGAAGCCCGTTCGAGGGGACGATTCGATATACGGGCGGCGCTGGGATTGAATGATTAACTGTTCGCTTTTTTCAATTTTTTATTCATTGCGGGTGGCCTGGTAGTAGGTAGATTTGCGGTATTTACAGGTAAACAAACATCATGGATAGTGACTGACATCGGCTCGGCGCTTCGGGGTTACTGTACCTTTTTCCTTGTGACTACTTAACAACTAACTAGAATAATGAATGTATACGAGAATGAGAAAAACCAATCAGAACCTGCAGGTCATGTGACACTACTCCGAACACTTCAAGCTGTGATTGGCTGGAAATAAAAAGGAATCTGCCCCGCTATCACACATAGGGGGCTCTATGATTGGCTGGCCCCACCTCGGGCGGCACACTCAATCTTGTTTCGATGCACGCTAACTTTATCCAACCGGCTCTAACTCAAAATTAAGCATGGACACTGGACAGATATGTTAATAATGGTGAGCAGTGAACTGACCACTGAGAGTCCGGGCAAATGCGGTCACGTGCCCTGCTCCGGGGCATGCCATTGAGAACAAAATCTCCCCGCTATTGCTGATTGCTGTCCTTCCCTAACGACGAGAGGCTGGTAAACCCGTACAAGCGAGCAACAAACAGTATAGATATATATATGCATACTTAATGTATTCGTATGTGTGTGTGTGTGGCTCCGTATTCTGTACCTAGCTGCCAGATGTAGGAACCAAAGTATGGAGTCCGCCGGGGAAATTGCCGCCGCTGCTTCCTTCCTCCACCACACTAACTATATTAACTAACCTCCCCTCTCTAATTCCAACTGTCGCCATTTCCTCTGACCAGAGGCACTGGCCTTGACTGCTTGCCTCTTCTTTTTCCGCTGAGAAAACAACTCTCCTTGTGCGACATACCGCATTCTTTTGCCCTGTCTGCGAGCCCCCGCGGCGTCGTTTGTGAGGGGCGCTCCACTAAGAAATAATCATTACTTAATCCGGTGACTTCAGCGACATCGACTTTTATTTTTGACGCCCTTCCTTCTGTTTCTCGGAGAATAGCCCCGACGGTCTGATTAACGCGACGCAGATAACGTGTACGAGCTTCATTCCTTGTGTGTATCCTTTGCGAAACGTCGCCGATTCACGCTTGACTGGATGTGCTGAAAAATTTCTTATCGGAGTATCCCCCCCCCGCCACCATACCTCATGCCTAGCTAGTTCGCTTTCTCGCTCAAGCCTGCTCTTTATACCAATACCTCCTATATATCCTCAAACAGTCAGATCGCCTGACCAATGGCGTTTCCACCATCCCACAGCCCTCCCACCACCAGGGATTATCCCACTCCAGCTGCACCTCCAGATTTTCCCACCACAACGTCGGACTCGCCATCTGATCCTAGCCAACCTCTGCCTGCTTTCCTGAGCCCCCACTTTCCTGACCTCAGTTCCGACGAGCCAGACCGCGTGTTTCCCATTAGGTCCGTCATCTCTGTTGACCCGACGGCTTCGACCGCTTCAACCACTCAGGCGGCGCCCCCGCAATGGCAGCAACAACCTCCTAGGTCATCGTCTCCCATAAAGGAAGGCGCGCGTGAATACTCTATTATTGACCAGACGACATGGGATGCTTCGAGGGGGCAAGAAGAGCATACACGGACGTATGAGGGCTCGCCTCCTGAGTCGGCAGGCGCGGTGGGTATAGTCGAGGACAACAAGGAAATATGGAAGAGCGCACGGCATCCCGTGATCGAGAGTATCTCGGGCGACGGGAATAGTAGCTTCACGTCAAGCACTGATGGTGGCGTCCCCGTTTCCAGGGATGATCCTCCGCGAAGCACAGCGGTGGCGCACGGCGAACCAGATTTGGTCACTTCTCGATTTCAACATGTTGTTACCGAGGCGGGCCATGCTATCATAACAGGACGCGACGGTGACAATTTTCAATACTGTGAAGATGAGCCGATCCATATTCCGGGTGCCGTACAAAGTTTCGGCGTCCTGATTGCACTGGAAGAGGAAAGAGAAGGGAAGCTGGTTGTCCGAATTGTTAGCGAGAATTCGGCGGCTTTGTTAGGCTACACGCCGAAGCAACTTTTTGCTCTGGAGAGTTTCACTGATATACTCACCGAAGAACAAGAGGATAACCTTCTCGACCACGTTGATTTCATCAGAGACGAATCGTGCGACCCAAGAGTTCATGGACCTGAGGTTTTTATAGTGTCCATTGCAAACCCAGAGGGTGAAACTAGGAAGTTTTGGTGTGCGATGCATGTGAATGATGCAAATAACAACCTCATCGTTTGTGAGTTCGAATTTGAGGATGATCAAATCTTTCCGTTGAATGTCTCGGGACAAACCACCCCCGAGGAGCCCTCTGATACCTTAGGAATTGATCCAACACCTGAAGAACTTGCGGCTAGTACGGTCAACATGAGTCGTCCTCTAAGAGTTCTGCGGAATGCTCGAAGGCGCAAGGGTGAAGCCGCAGCTATGAAGGTTTTCAATATTTTGTCGCAAATTCAAGAGCAACTCTCGGCCGCCCCAACACTGGATATGCTTCTGAACACGGCAACAGGGTTGGTGAAAGAACTCACTGGTTTTCATCGTGTCATGATTTATCAGTTCGACAGCAGCTGGAATGGGTTGGTCGTCGCCGAACTCGTAGATCCTCGAGCCACCAAAGATCTTTACAAAGGGTTACATTTTCCGGCGTCTGATATTCCAAGACAGGCCAGGGAGTTGTACAAAATCAATAAGGTCAGGTTGCTATATGATCGCGATATGAGCACTGCGCGTCTTGTGTGCCGAGCCGTGAAAGATCTTGAGACACCTTTAGATATGACACATGCATACTTGAGAGCAATGTCTCCCATTCATATCAAGTATTTGGCTCACATGGATGTACGCGCCTCGATGTCTATCAGTGTGACCGCTTTCAACGAGTTGTGGGGCCTAATATCTTGTCATTCGTACGGAGGGCTGGGCATGAGAGTATCCTTTCCAATACGCAAAATGTGTCGCTTGATCGGTGACACTGTTTCTCGCAACATTGAGAGACTGTCCTATACATCCCGTCTACAGGCCCGAAAATTGATCAACACCGTTCCCACGGAAGCGAATCCTTCAGGTTACATCATCGCCTCGTCCGATGATCTTCTGAAGCTGTTCGATGCGGATTATGGCGCCCTTTCAATCCGTGATGAGACTAAACTTCTGGGTCGTTTAACTCATACGCCAGAAATCTTAGCTCTACTGGAATACCTCAAATTGCGCCAGCTTAATTCCGTACTTGCATCTCAGGATGTGATCAAGGACTTCCCTGACCTACGCTATCCTCCCGGCTTCAAGCATATTTCGGGCTTGCTCTATGTACCTCTCTCTGCTGGAGGTCGGGACTTCATTGTATTCTTCAGACGTGGGCAGTTGACAGAAATCAAGTGGGCGGGCAACCCGTATGAAAAAGAAATGAAAAGAGGGACGGCTGCCTATCTAGAACCTCGCAAGAGCTTCCAGACTTGGCGTGAAACTGTTTTGAGTCGCTCGCGAGAGTGGACAGAAACAGACATTGAGACTGCGGCAGTTCTTTGCCTCGTCTATGGAAAATTCATTGAAGTGTGGCGTCAAAAAGAGGCGGCTATGCAGAGCACTCAACTAACCAAACTCTTATTGGCCAATTCAGCTCACGAAGTCCGAACTCCTCTGAATGCTATTGTCAATTACTTAGAGATAGCTTTGGAAGGGTCCTTGGATGCTGAAACTCGCGATAATCTTGCCCGATCTCATTCTGCATCCAAGTCTTTAATTTACGTTATCAATGACTTGCTCGATTTAACCAACACTGAAAAGGGACAGAATCTTATCAAAGACGAGGTGTTTGATATCCATGATACTTTCAGAGAGGCCACAGAGATGTTTGAAGGCGAGGCCAAACGGAAAAACGTCACGTACAGCTGTAATGTATCTCCGGGCCTTCCCAAGTCTGTTCTTGGCGACCAGCGCCGAGTTCGCCAGGTCATAGTCAACTTAATTTCGAATGCTATCCAGCATACTGAATCTGGACACATATACGTCGATATATGGCGTAATGCGGCTCAACCTGATCACCATGGGTCAATGGAGATCGAATTGGCTGTCCACGACACTGGCTCAGGGATGTCGCCGACTACGGTCGACGCACTCTTTCGAGATTTGGAGCAAGTGTCCTCTGAAGAAGAGAACTACTACTACGACAAAGACGACGGGAATCACGAAGCGGAAGGAAGTGGTGGCAATCGTGTTTTGGGCCTTGGTTTAGCTTTGGTCGCTCGTATTATCCGTAACATGCATGGACAATTGAGCGTGAAGTCGGAAGAAGGAAAGGGCAGTCGCTTCAAGATTATGCTTAGGTTCCCCGTGCCTACGGATGAATCGAGGTCTGCTGGTGCGGAAGTAGCAGGTCCAGAAGCTGCAGACAACCCGACCACGCCGCCGTTGACAGAGGGGGAGGTCATGCTGGTTGATAGCAACACACGTCCCAAGAGCAGCCAGCGACGACATAGCGCAGAGAGTAATCGAAGTGGTGGCAGTTTTGGCAGTTCTCGTAGTGGTCGAAGCGAAGCCGATCGTCTCATCAGCGCGATACAAGAACCGACTTTTGTTAACACCCGAGCCGAGTCGCCAGAACTGAAAAAGCCGGAGCCTCCCAGCCCTGATGCTGCAAGAAAAACTCTCGATGTTAGCCCACCGACACGATCAGCATCCAGTTCGTCAAAAGAAAATGCACCAGTTCTTCTTGGTCTTCCTCAACAGACCGACCTGCGTCCCATGATGCCCCTTGGTTCCCCTCCTCTTCCTGGACAAGAAGCAGTCACAGATTCGGGCATACCATTGAGAGCTCTGAGAGTAGACGAAACACAGGTCGAAAGACCGCCTTCACCCCCACAGCTTGCTCGACAAAGGTCGACGTCCGTGGCTATAATGTCCGATACTTCTCACACAGGGATCACATCACCAGTTGCAGGATCAGAGCTATCTCTGCTTGATTCTCTACATGTGCTTGTTGCCGAAGATGATCCGGTGAACAGCAAAATTGTGCAGAAGCGGCTCGAAAGATGTGGACATACGGTACACTTGACTGTGAATGGAGAAGAATGTGCCCTTGCATACCGTGCTAACTCAAAGGCATTTGATGCGATTCTGATGGATATTCAGGTTTGTATAACACAGATACTATAAAGCTAGAGTTGAGATGCTAACGACTACTGTAGATGCCTATCGTGGACGGTATGGATGCGACGAAGATGATTCGAGAATTTGAACAATCTTACCCTGACTACACCATGTCTGACAAGGCCAAGCCACTCGGGCGAGTCCCAATATTTGCGGTGTCAGCATCACTCGTGGAAAAAGATGCGCAGAAGTATGTTGACACTGGATTTGATGGATACATTATGAAGCCAATTGACTTTCGACGTGTCAATTCTGTTCTCTCCGGGCTGCAGGCTGACACTGAGAGAGAGGCACTTACATACGTACCAGGGAATTGGGAAATTGGTGGCTGGTTTGAGCGAGCGAGCAAGGATGACCAATAACTAACCAACTACCCACCTTATGTCGCGGTATGACACGGCCCCAGCTTTGCTTTCCCTCCACCTAGCGCTTAATAGACCATACGCAGGTCATGATGGGAAGGCTCTTTTCCCATAGAGAGGAAGTGACAGGAGACGGATTTCAGTTTTGATTACGTTTGATTTTTGAGCATACACTGTAAAGTATACGAAGTTATGAGTGTGTGTATATTTACATATAGATACTTTATTATACCAATTGTACATATAGAACACGAAAAGACATTGAAATGATCCATACATTCATCACTATCTAGGTAGATGATTTATATGCTGGTTAGTATCTGTTGCTAGCCAGTAGTGAAGGGGAGTTGATTGCTAACAAGTAATGATGGATAGATGTCGGATATATATAGCTTTCCCTCGCTAAAACGCAAGTATATAAATCAGAAAAAAAAAGGCTAATAAGACTCAGGCAAATCCCCGAAACTCGGCACACTATCCGAGCACGTAAAATTGGGCTGATAAGCCAACTGAGGCATGAACCCATTGGCTCTGGCCTGCTTATAGCTCCACTGAGGCGCCGACTCGGTTTCCCAGGTCCAATAAAACCAGCCTAGCGCTGTTTCAAATGCAGAGAATTGTGCCTCTGCATAGGTTTGCAGCCACAACTTGTATTCGTCGCTGTAGTCTGAAACGGCGGTGTTGGCGTTGGTGCAGCTGCAGGCGTCGCTTTTAAGGTAGCAGTCTGGTGTTGAACTGCCGTCTAAAGTGCCCTCCCAGCGGGTGCCGGTGTTGATGTCGTTGAGGTAAGTGGCACAGTCGGTGTCGGATTGTGAGAATTCGCCGCAGATTGTTGGGCCCCAGCTAGTTTTCTGTTAGTTGTTGTGATATTTGAGCGAAGAAGACAAAGGGACATACCCTTGAGAAGTACTATTGACCTTCTGAATCATGGGCAACCACGAGTCACATATCAGACTGATCTTGGCCGTGTGGTTCAGGTCGATTTCATTGATATTGAAGATTGTATACTGATGCGTGTCCAGCAGCAAGTTGGACGGCACATCGCCCTTCATCATGTACTCCCATTTATCGAGGTTCAGGAACCCGTCACCCATGGCTATCTTGGCCTTGATTCCGTTCGCTTGTATAACTTCAGTAGCGTTAACAGTCCAGTTGAGGACTGTCGATATGTCGAGGTCCAGCATAAGCGGCTCATTGGCCAAGCCATATATAGCGATGATGTTTTCGTAGCGCGGCTGCGCAAAGAATTGCGAGAGTTGGTTGTGAACGTCGATCGCACGCTGGCCGTTGAGCATCCCGTCTGTCCCATTCAGCCATCTGATCAGTCCCTGCCGGCCGCTGTGGTTGTATCCATTTTGACTTCCCGGCAGACCGTGTAGGTCGAGATTGACGCGCAGGCCGTATTTTCGGCAGTACTCAATCGCGCGTAAGAGATATCGCCAGGAGATTTGCTTGACATATGGATCGCCATCATATGTGGTTACTGCCCAATACGAATACTGGATACGGACGTGGTCGAGTCCAGCAGCCGCAATCTCGGCAAAGTCTTCTTCCTGGATAAATGTGGTGTAGTGTTGTTCCATGGTGTTTGCTGCGTCTGATCCGAGTTTCTGGCTCAGTGTGTATTCGTCGACGATACCGTCGACACTAGAGTACCCAGAGAAAAGGGACGGTGTGATGAATGGTTCGATGGATAGCCATCCCCCAAGATTCACACCGCGAATCGGCCTTGTTCCGTAGGGGAAAGTCTCATTTAGACGTGGCACATTGCTGTTTGGCTGTGCAGTGTCATCCCATGTTGAGTTGAGTCCCATTATCGGCAAGCCGCCAACTGTTTCGTTTGTATATGTGAGATTGAAGTCCCGCGTATCGTACCATGTGAATGGATCGAGGTATGTTCCTTTGGCAGAAGCCTAAGCCCAGCGTTAACGCATTCATATACTCAGATGGGCGGCCAATAGACTTACCGGAATGCTATCCTCCGAAATGGTTGAAAGACTAGCATTGTATGCGCCATAGGATGAGCTGCTACTGCTGCTACTAGATGATGATGCGCCAGTTCTGTTCTTCCTAGACTCGACTATTGCAACGGGAATGGCAATTGCGAGGATCACCGCGATGACTCCGGCGATTATCCAGGTCTTCTTCCTTCTCCAGAACGGCATGTAATTGTAGTCGTCGTTAGGATCCTTGAGATCGTGACTGTACAAGGAGCCATCTCCTCCATTGCCGCCGTTATCATTACCATGACCGTCGATATCGTCATAAGCCACATTAGCAGCGTCAGCGTCAGCAGCATCAACTATTTCATTACGACGACCGCGACGTCGCCAGAAGAACAGCTTGTGACTCCGTCCTTCTTCCATCACGGCGCCGGATACAAGCCGGCGCTTCTGGTCTCGTCGGGCGGCCACAAGGTCGACATCGTTATCATCATCATACAATTCCCTTGGTTGATCCAATTGTTCTTGTCGTGGTGGTGGTGGTTGACGTCGACGTTGCCTTTTTTTTTCTACCCGAATAGCACCCCGGGGAGTATCGCGAACGAGGCCATCATCCTCATGGAAAACGTCGTCTTCTGCGACAGCAATGTCTCGCGCCCTTTGACGACGTCGCTCTCTCCGGTCTTGCTCCTTCCGTTCCCGCTCCTCGTCTTCATAGGCTTCCCCCCCTTGAGCATCTGTCCTCATTCTCTCTCTTTCGTAATGATCGTTCAACTTAGCCAATGCATCCGCACTGAGAAGCTGGGAAGCACTATTCGCTGAGTCGGTACTCGTATGTTTTGGTGCTGCGGCATACTCCCGATCTCGATCTCGACGATCTCGTTCTCTACGGCGCTGTTGTCTGCGTAGCTCGCGGTCTTGATCGCGTTCTAGCTCCCGATTCCGCTCTCTATCTGGACCCCTGATAGAATCTTTATCTGTTCCTTCGTCATACTTATGACGCTGCCTCCGTTCCCTTAGGGGACTTCCATCTCGAGGAGCACGACTTGTATTCCTCCTATATCCTTCACGATCGAGCCTCTTCTTAGGTGACGTTGCAGGCGACTCTTTCGCTTTGGGCGTTCTCTCCCTTGCCCTCGTTCTCCTACTATAGTCCTCTTCTCCCCTTTCTTTGGCCGGCCGCACTCGCCGCGTTGTCGGTGTACGCGGCTCATCGTGCTGTGACGAATCCCGTCTCTGTCTCGCTTTGCTGCGTCTGTGGCTTTCTTCTTCTTCCTCTTCCTCCACTTCTACCTCGTAATACCCACGCGCACGCGCATCGTCCCTTGACGATTGTCCGCGTTCACGTCGTGCCGAACGGTATTCCTGCCGTCTGTAGTCATCGTTGTCGTTGTCATTGTCATCGTCGTAGGAAAACTGCGGCTCGCCTTTATTCAGTCGCCGATGGCGCGAGTAATAGTAATCGTCGTTGTGGTTGTTGGTGTCACGCTCGCGATCGCGATAGTAGTTGCGATCTCGGGTGCGTGAACGACTCGGCATTTATGGGTATGGCTGGCTGGGGATTTGTCGCGTGGCGTGTGGAATGTGGAATCAGTCATGCAACGCAATCCATAAGGTTCAGCATACAGAGAGCAGATCCTGAAGGTGTTACTATGTATGAAGTGCGTAGTGGTAACTTAATTGGAGGGTGTCGCCTGGTCGGAGTAAACAGACGCGTGTCTTGCCTGTGGACCCCGTGACTGCCTGTCTACGCAGAGGACATGTCGACTTCGTTTGGCCTTTCCTTTCTTTTCCCTTCCTGCTCTCTCGGTCTTCCATTCCACTGAGTCTGCGAATCTTAACTTCCCAAGACGAGCTTGCCAAGCTACTAGAAGCTCGACTGGCTGTGTTGGTTGCTGGGACAACGGCCAAAGTGTGTCAACTTCTTCTGAAATCGAACTGGTCTAAGGATTTCTATTAACTACCACACTGACTACACAAGACCGGATGCCCAACGCTCATAAAAGTACAAGGATGAAGGAAAAGAGAGGAAAGGAAATAAATCACATCAAGGAGGGCCAGGGATGAACAGCTCGGGGTATGCAAAGAAGATGTGATTCATCATGAGTGAAGAAAAAAAAAAGGGGGTCACCGTCTAGCGGGACTGGAAAAATGCGAGTGCACAGAAACCAAAGACTGTATGGACAAAGCGACCGAACCCCATGCATATATGAACAGTGAAACAAGAGCAGAAAAAGGAGTACAAAAAAAAAAAAAAGGCAAAGCCTCCCGTATTAGTCGAGGTGATATCAGAGAAGTATCAGGTATCAATCACCGTAGCAGCGCAGCAGTAATATCGGCTGAATAATGAACTCGTAATGCAATGTAATGCAGTGTGATGACCATGAGAGGCCCCTGTCCCCGTTCTTTTCTTTTTTTCCCTTGAAAAAGAAGTAACGTCGTGCTCGCGGTCTTGCCCGATCGGAACGTAGATGTGTATGTGCGTGGTGTGATCGAGAAAGGTTGTCGAGGAGTCAGTCGTTTTGTCATCGTGAGAGAAAATGATAACAGCTAGCCGTTGATAATATGGCGAGCTCCCTCTTTACCAAGCACTCCGGGTTCCGTAGGTTTAGGGCTACGTTCACGTCCCTTTTTGCGACTCAGGAACGCAAGCATGCCACTATTCGGAGGCTTTTGGCCTTTGCTTATCAGCCCTTCATACCCTTCAGCCGGAAGCGTAGAACTCTGATCCGCAAGCTCACTCCAACTGCCCGCCTCTTCCAGGACCATCTGCACACCGCCCCCTTTGCTCATTTTACGCGTGGCGCCTTTCTGACGCAACCCAGCTGGTAATGGCGGTAGCGGCCGGCTGAAAGACTGGGGCGACGACGTCTGCGGCAACGGAGTAGCCGAAGGAACTGATGGATGCTTTGTTCGAGATGACACAGACAAGTGTTCTTCTTCAGAAAGAGGGGCCCCGGTTCCGGAAACCGAAGTCATAGTGTGTGTCGCAGCAAAATGCTTGATATTATTATTGTTGTTGTTATTGTTATTACTGAGATGGCCGTGCTGGGGAGGAGAAGTTCCGCTTATCGAGTTCGATTGTGATATTTGTCGCGAATGCAATGACCCAGACCCCGTGTTCGTTCCTGTAGAGGGCATTTGTTCTTCAGGCTCGCAAGCTTCCGCCAATGCAGCAGCCGCGTGTCTATGGCTGATTAGTATTCATACAAATGCGTAATATGAGCGAGATGCATACCCATGATATGAAACCTGAGTGTAGTCGAAAGGCTCAAACATAGTCTCAATGATGCGGTACAGCTCATCCTCGCGAATCTCCTTGGCCGTCGCATCTTCTCGCAGCTCGGCGCGGGGCTTCTGTCTCCGAGTCCTTGCCTCCAACGGAGCCTCTTCAAGCAGAAGCTCCTCCAGATCGTATGTGGCGTCAAAGTTAGTCTTATCGCTCGCCGGGGTGAAAATCGGGTCGATCTCTTTTCTCTCCAAAGCCTCGAAATCTATCTCTGCAAAAAACTCGTGTGAGGTAAAAGTCTCAAAACCGGATGCGCCAATTCGCTTGCTACGGTCTTTTTCTAAAAGAGCGGCTATAGCTCGTAAGCACGGGATCGAGACGGCAGGATTGGTGACGTAGTATTTCGGTTGCGCTTTGATAATGGCTTCGCTAAGGGAGTCCTGGCTACGCCCTTCGAACGGACGCTATAGTGACGGTGTCAGTTTCAACATAAACAATAGGAAAGGTGGTATATCTACCTTATTGAAGATGCATTCATAGAAGGTAACTCCTAAGGACCACCAATCTACTTCGCAGTAGTATCCACCCCCTTCGTAGACTTCAGGCGCCAAGTATGCTAATGTGCCAGATTTGCTCGTCAATGGTCTTCCAGGCTTGAAATCGGAAGCGACGTTCTAGGAAACCAAAAATTTAGCAGAAATCCATGGCTTCAAGGGGATGTTGCACATACGAAATCGGCTAAATGCACGTGGCCTTGGGAATCCAGGAGAACATTGTCCGGTTTGAGATCGCGATGAACGATGCCTTGTGAATGGATATACCTCAGCGCACAGCCTAGTTCTGCCATCCAGAACCGCACGGCTTCTTCAGTGAAGCATTTTCTCGAAATGTGAAAGCGTAGATCACCGCCGTTCATTAGATCGACCACAATGTAGCTGCCGGCGGTTAACACAAAGACAAGAAAACCGAGGATAGAAAGCATACATGTACTCAATATCTTGGAAACTGTAGCGCAAATTGCACAGAAACGGGTGGTTGAGATGTTCAAGCATGCGTCTCTCTCGGATAATATTTCGAACGCTCTCTGATCGGACCACTAGTGATTTCGTTTTCGTTAGCAGACCAGGGAAGGGGGGGGGGGGGGAAGAAAAGGTCATGCGTTTTCAGTGTACATACCCTCTTCTTTTCGAATGTATTTGAGGGCGAAAGTCAAACCCGAGTCCCTGCGTTCGACAATCCTGACTTTGCCGAAAGCTCCTTTGCCGACGACACGGAGAAGGCGAAAGTGATTGAGGTTGACTGTAGCAGGGGACGTTAGGGAATATAAGCCTCTTTTCAGTGCACATGGGGGTAATAACTCAAGACTCACCCTCATCGGTGGAGGCCACCTGCTTTCCCTGCGAGTTCCCCATCCTCACTCAATGCGGGGAATACCTGTACGACGCGCACGCACACAAAGGCCCTAGTTCACGAAGAGGCGATTGGCAATTTGCGTCATAATCGTAGAGGGTCCGAGATTCAGGTTTTTCTTCGACTCCAAAGAAACGGGGAAGAAAAAAAAATGGAAGAGAAGAGCACGCAAAACGATAGAATTTTCTGGATAGCGGAAGGTACGGCGTTGCGACAGAGAACAAGTTCGTGCAGGGTCCGGAGGTGATGGGTCTGAAATGTCGAATGACGAGTCTGGGTAGCGACAGGCTGGATGTGATATGAGATGATTGACTGACTGGTTGATTGAACGCAGACAGCGAGGGGGGGGGGCGGAGGGGAGGGAGAGAGAGAGAGAGAGAGAGTTCCCGGAGGCAGAATGAGGAAGCGCTAGCGACGGGAGACGATGACGATGACGATGACCGTGACTAACGACCGCCAGCAGCGCCCTGGAAAGGGCCACTCGTGGTTGACTGGTGAATGGTGAGGGTTGAATATCACCAGCTAGGACTGTTGAAGCGTGATTCTGGGGCCAGCGAGGAATCTGTGAGGAGGCGGGGGTGGGTGAGCTGTCTGTTCTTGTCTTGTTGCACGAACGACAGACGCAGTGGGAAAATGAACCAGGTCCGATGCTGTTGTCGAAAAGGAGACTGGATAAGTGATCTGAGATCCCCTTAACTTAATTATTCAGAATAAAATTGAGGACGAGCGAGGAGCTAACTTAAACGGCGTGGTTTTGCTAGGCCAACCATGCACAGCATAGCGTCTTACCAAGTTCCTTATAATACAGCGGTACTATAACTAGTTAGTTAATAACTAACTAATAACATGCTGGTAATATTTTTTGCTTGATCGGTCTTCACTCTGAAAAGATGCTCCGTACACGCTTTCTGTTTCAGCTGTTTCATGCAAAATTCGGGCCATTCTTGCTATTGTTGCTCGTCTTGTGCTTTTGTGGCAGTGGATCCGATCAGCAGTCGGGATATAAATATTGAATGTATGTTGTGACTATTAGAATATTCCATGCAGATCGAGTGTGGATAGTGGCTTCTTCTTTGCTTCTCCGCCCTTCTATTGACATGCTTTGTTTTTTTTTTTTTCTTTTTTTCTCCGACGTATCATATCCACACAGAACAATGCATGTGACTCATCTGTTTATTACTCGGACAGTAGTACGGAGGACTTCGCATCAGATCAAATGCCTGGTCTGGTTGGGAGGTATCCAGCGTGGTCTCCTTAGATAATGCATTCACCTCCCAATGTAATTTGCACGCAACAAAAAAAAAAAAAAGAAAAGAAAAGAAAAGAAAAGACGCAAACAACTCCCGCGAAATATATAAAAACGCCATAATCGTACATGTACAAGGCTTGTTGATATCCCCAGACTTGCTTCCTCCATAACATTCGCACAAATGTTTGTTAAACTCGATTTCGGTTTCGGTTTCGATTTCAAATGAAAGTAAAGGCTACTTCGCCTTCCCCCCCTTCGTAGCCTCTAGGAACAGCACCTTTTTCCTCACGACAGGGTCGTATTTGAGCATGCTCAGTGGGCGGTGTGTTCGCGGTCGTACCATTGTCCTGTAGAATCCGGTCATGGCCATTGAAATGAGGCGGACGGTCATCGTCCTTGACTTCGCTGCGGAGCGTGTTAGCTTTCCTTCAATACCTGTAGATCAAACCAAATCAAGAGAAGAGTCGAAGGAAGAGTGTACCTTTCTTCGCCATTATTTGTTTCTGAAATGAAGGCTGAAGGTGGTCTTGGGTCTTCCGATTCGCTGGATTAATCGAATCGATGGATGGAAGAATCGTAAACGGGCGGCAGCTGCTTTTCGAGGACCAAGATATGCGAGACCGACCGTCTCCTGTCGTATGGCAATATGATGGGTGCGTGGATTACGCTTGATATTTTTGGATTGCTCTCGAAGTTGCGGATCTCAGTCGGGCACTGGATGCACGTGATGACTTCACGTGACAGAGCTGTCTAGCTGTATGGGGATTAGCGCTTTATTGCTTTTTATCATCCTCTGCTTGATCAACTTAGTTTTTGACTGCTACCTTCGATATCTGGATCTCACAGCGGTGTTTCCTTGCATAGTTTTGATCATCTTTGTCGGTTGTATTCGGGGTAAGTCCTAGGCTTTATGGATGGTTGAGCATTACTGTATTTAAAAGTCGGGAGATTTCATTCACACCCCAACGCAGATACTGAGGGCCGTCCTGATAGAACCCCTAAGTAATTTTAGGCATGCAGCTTTTCGTCTGGCCAACAGCATCATCACTATGTCCTCATGGTTATAGAACCCATACTTACATTCTTAATATACATAAGCCAACAAAGTGATGCTTAGAAACGTATATCGGCAGTAGTGTAATAGTCAGAGGAGACACTCCCATCCAGCAATATGACCAATACATCCCATCTATTGGCTGGAGATGTTTACAGTTAACTACCTAGTTAGTTAACTTACAGGTATGACTCACATAAGCTTGGGATTGTTCTGTCTGGTAGGCTCATACCGAAGATCTATCTATACATGAATCCACCAAGGCGAAAATCGCCAAGTCCAGACACCTCTAAGCGTACATCTCTACAACAATACAATATGGTTACATACATGACTCAATGACTCACGAATAGTCATGACCCTGGCTTAGATGTTATCGGCGAATAGATCATTGATCAACGAGGCTGTGGCTATGTGAGGATAGTGGAGTCTTATGCATGATGCTAAGCCAAGGCGAAATATGTATTCTGTCTTTACATAGAGTATGTACTCTATGCCTGATCATAATGTAATAGTCTCAGTAGCTAGCTCGTACATAGTACTAAATATGTTCATTGGACATTCGGACCATTAAATAAACATAGGAAACTAACTATTTCGAAGTTGTACGTATATAAATTGTAGCCTGGCTTTGATTGGGGGCCGGGGTGCCCCGCTGGCCCCCGCTGCATTCCCGCACGCTAACCATTTCAGGATTAATTGGCCATGCATGACTCATCATGATCCCGCTCAAGCTCAAGCTCAACTTTCAAGCTCAATTCAAATTTGGACGGACGAAGCTATTGCTCGATGCAAAAGCAAAAGCAGAGACAAGAGTCTCGTGGTTGGTCCGGTAATACCTGGTCGAAGACTCTTTTGGCATGCAGCAGTGCAGCAAATTGATCTGACCACCGTATAGACGAGCGATGTCGCGCATGACCAGGTAGGCAGTCTCTGGGTGTAGGGAGGTGGAAAATTTCGACGCTTGAAACAATCCGATTTATTCACCGCAACACTCGCACATATTGGCGGCGCTCGTGGCGGTCCGTTTCGTACAAGGAACCGCGATTGGGTGAGCTGCGACTGGGCGAGCTGCGACGGTAGACAATGACGCGGCGACGCGGAGTGCGCTCAATGATCTCGGTGACGGTCTCCGCGGGCTGGCGGGCGCCGACATGGTAGGTGCGATCGTAGCTGACGATGGGCTGATCGCGACGCAAGTGCAGGCCTTCTTCGATGGCCCTCAGCAGACGGCGAGCCGCCCGGTGTTGGCGCGGGATACGGATGAGAACTTCTTCGTTGTGCTCCTTGTTGACTACCGAGTAGGCCTTGCCCTGCTTGCTGAATACGTAGTTGGCGACATCTTTGGCATGCGCAAGGCCACGATCACAGAGCGAGCGGCCCTCCCGGAAGGTGTCGAGCGCATCGATACAGAGAGCGCATTTGTTGGCGTGGTTTTCGAACTTGGTCAGGACGAAGGTCTCATCTTCGAAGAGGTCACGCACGCGCGTGACCGGCTCGTTGTGACTGTGACCAACGTCGATGAAAGGCATGGCGGGTGACCGGCGCCGGTAGTCGTAGAAGGAATCACTGCGAGGTCGTTGGCGAGGCCTCAGGAAGTCGTCTAAGGATAAACGGTCTAGACGAGGCAGCGACAGCTTGACGGTTGCTGGGGGAAAGGTCACAAAGAAAGAGAGATGAAGAGCTGTCTATCCGACAGACAGGTGGTAAGAGCAGCAGTAAGCTGAAGAATCTGAATGGAGATATCTAGGCTTGCAGGTGAATAAAAGACAATTATGGTTTTGATCGCAGAGGAGATTTCATGGTCAGGACAGAGGGGGGGATGCGACTCATTATAAGCTCAAGGCATTGACGATAAATACGATGATATTGTAAAGTACGGTAACGGGGGGTTGCATACGGTATGATACTCTAGGCTGACCCGTTCACGCGCCAGAAAGTGCAGGCAGACATCTCTGAGCTTGTATTACGTATACGAGACTATTCCTGTCCGGGACAGCCACAGGACGGTGGGGCTTTGCTGCACGGCCACAGTCGCTCCGTTCCTTGTTTTCAGCCTCAGGCCACGCTGAATCGATAGATAGTAATTCGCAACCAAGTAAGTTCGCTCAGCCACACGCCGTAGCAATATCCGTATCAGTATTAATTCTCGAGTCTTGAGCGCTCATGCCACCAACCACAAAAACAGAGTATTGCCAGTGTATAACACGCTCGATACGACAAGCCGTAACCATGGGACGCGCTTTGTTTCCTGTGATTTGCCCGACTTGCTCGTGCCAAAAGACCCTGTTGACGACTGCTGAGACGAGAAACAGACGCAGGAGCTGCCAAGCGTGTAGCAGGTATTTCTGGATGCCTCAGAATTGAGTGGATTATTGATATCCTCGCAGAACTTGCCAGCCTCAGGCACAAGTGGCGCTAGGCCCGGAACAGACTAGCGCGGAAGGGGCTGTGGTGAGTTCTGCTTCGTGCGTCGTTCGGAGGTTTCGCGCACTTTGGCCTTGGTTGGATGGGAGAGACGCTGCATGCCATTGACTGTGCCGCATAGACGCGTTGCAGATTCTGCGAGATGCGGCGCTGGTGCTGCTTGATTGGGCGACGATGCACAGAATTGGATTCTTGTCGATGAGATAGCCGCCCAACGTGAGACACTGCCAGGGGCTGTCGAGATCCACTAATCCTCCGACGTGAGAAGGTGTAACGACACGACAATTAATACTATAAAACAAGTCGCTCTGCCGTCGCTGGTTTCACTGTTTGCGTGTGCGTGAGAGTTTCGGGTCACGCGAGCCTACCAAGTTCGCGAGCGAGCAATGGCCTGAGACTGGCCAAACAATGTTTCTTCGCCGTCATATTTTCCCCCTTTCATCGATCACTCTCACTCCGAGTTATATTTGGCAACATGATGAAGGTTATGTCGATGGAAATCTGCTCTCGTATACCCCCCGTTTCGTCTTTCCAGCCTTCTACCGAATATGACTCCTGAGTCCTGAGTGGTCCCGTGGCTTGACGCTGTGGCTAGTTGGCGGTGGCTGGGGTCAAAGCATCAGTACGAGGTCAGACGTCTTTTCCTTGTCTAGCAGTCTAAACACAGTGTCATGATGACTAGCAGTCTTGCTCTAGGAGCTCTGCTCTGGCTTAGCTCTGGCTTAGCTCCTTGAGGCTCAAACCAAAATCCGATTTTCGGCTAAGACGGTAGTTTTCAGCTGAGATCTGCCTTCCTCCATTCGAATCTGCCTTGAGGAAAGTGAAACATTGTCTGTCCCCAATGATATGCATCCTGGCGAAAGAATACCAAGCATTGCGTGTGCAAACCTGCGTTCGATATAATGAGACATCTCCGGCGCTCGTTTCTGGAGTGTCTTCTGCCCGGCTAATTCTGAACTATGCGCCAGACCACTAAACGTTGATTGCTAATCGTCATCACGCTGATAAGTTACTAGCTCTCGGTAGTTTGCTAGGTGGCAAGATTCTTGCAGGTGACTGAGTGATTAACATTCTTGTTGCCTTGCGCACCTCCACTCCGAGGTGTATATTCAAAGATTCTACGATTATTGTCAAGTCAACAGCAAGTCGCTAGGCCAATTCCAATTTAGACTATATGATTATGTTAGCTTCAACCATTCAATAATTGTTGGCTTCATGTATATTAAGGATAAGCCAGTGCTTCATACTATTGATGAGGCAACTCGATTTGGCAATATTTGCAAAGACAATCTAGGATAAAGGCTGCATAGGACACATGAATGTGTGTGGGCTGTTGGGCCACGGCACAACAATGATAAACGACAAGCATGCTTACTGCCATTGCCCATGATAATTCTAGGATAACTAGCGTACTAAGTATGTTTACTAGAATAGTTGAATTGGTCAATATTTGAAGATGCGCTACAACTTTATAGATCCATAGTAATTAAGCCTTTACTTAAGAGTGATAATTTCATGCCTATTTAAAACTATCCCTGTTTATTAACCGCGTCTTAAGAAAAGTTAGCATAATACTATGTCTTTTTGCATTGCATGTCTTCTAGCTTATCATCCTATTATTTTATTCACTCATCCACTTCTCCATTGAACTTGACAATAATAGAATTTAGCATACTCTATAATTGGGGCAAAAAATCGTAAGTATATTGAGATCTAATTTTTATTAAGCATGGCTAGAACGCAACTACTGTTCTAATAACTGCTGAGCATCTTAAGGCTTTATATAAAGCAATTGAAAAGGAGAAACTTTTAATTAGTCTTTGATACATTTATGTCTTTATTGTCCATTATTGCTTTAAGCTTACATCCCTAACTCTTTTCAATGTGGCGACTGACGGGTTGTTGTTCGCGATAGATGTTGTTGGTAATAAAAATGACTTCAACTTCATGTATCCCACCTACTAGGACTTGTCTAGTCTTCAGTCTTCGTCGACAGGTATATGGAATTAGCAACCTCGCTACTAGGCAGAAATTCCATGCTGCCATGGAAGCGCATACGCGCTTCGCCGTTCCTGAGCATCGCTGGGCCTTCGTAGAGCTTTCTTAGTACCGTCTATGTATATAAAAATGTATGACATCAGGTATAAATTGCTCGAAGGTAGGCATCTGAACTAGAAAGGTAATTTAAATATAAGCTTAGTTGAGTGGAAAGCCGGAGGGTCCGAGGCTTCGATGCCTGATGGTGCCTTGGAGCCGAATTTTTAAGGCTTTCGCTAGCATCAGCAACATAACTTAATTAGTTAACTACAAGATGAACACCTACAGCTATGCCTACCCCCCCGACAACCTCTCTCCATCCCACTTCCACACCCTCATCACCCACATCAAAGACTACCAAGCCAACCACGGCTCCTTAATCAAAGTCATCGGCCACGAGACACAGCACAGCGTCCTGCTCCAGCCCGTTGGCACTACTGTGTTCCCGAGTTTGTTCCCTCGCAGGCTGTTCCAGCAAGCTACCGATGACTTACAGCTTTTATACAATGAATTGTACTGCAAGCTTGCTCAAGATCCGGAGTGGCTGTATGCTGTCACGGCCCCGTTGAGGAAGACAGAGCCTTTGGTTGATGCGCTGTGGTGTGTCTATGAAGAAGTTCAGAGGCGGCGCAGCAGTAATGACACTGCGCAATGCCTGGTAGAGCAGAAGGTGCATGCAGGCATTTTCAGGTCGGATTATATGCTTCATACTGGTCAGCATGAGAGCGATGATGATGACGACGACGAAGATCAGATCTGGACGCGAAATATGTCCCTGAAACAGGTGGAATTCAACTCATATTCCTGCGCTGGTGGGTGCCACGCAAACAAAGTCGCTAATATGCACCGACACCTTGTTCAACGGGGTGTATATGATTTTTCCTCCGAGAATACGAGCACAAAGATCACCCCATCATCCCTGCCCCAAAACAATACAATACAAGGTATTGCATCTCTACTCGCTTCAGCGCACAGAACCTACGGAAACAGACCCTACAACTCAGCTGCCTCCTGCACTGCAGTTCTGATGATCGTGCAACCGAACAATTTCAACATCGCCGACGAGCGACCCATTGAATACGCATTATGGAACTGGGAGGACAACAATAATCCAATTCCTACATATAGACTTGAATGGCAAGATATATTACGCTCTACAACTCTCACCCCAACAGGAGAGCTGCTACTCCGTATACACCCATCTGAGAAAACCCCCATCGAGGTTTCAGTAATCTACCACCGAGCCGGCTATGAGCCTCACGAGTATGATGACAATCATTATGGAAAAGAGATTCGCATCAGACTTGAATTGTCGCGAGCAATCAAATGCCCTTCTATCCTGGGACATATCACCACAATTAAAAAAGTCCAACAAGCCCTCACTGCCCCGGGGGTTCTGGAACGCTGGCTCGCCCCTAGCAAAGCCAGTGTGATTCGGGATACATTTGTAAATATTGATGCACTCGACAGCGAAAATATATCGTCTGTGGCCAAGGATCAATACATTCTCAAACCAGTCTCCCTCGAAGGCGGGGGTCACAATACGTACGATTCTGCCGAGATTCGAAATTTTATAAGTGAGTTACCGCCAAATTCGCCGCTGCGGAAGGCTTATATTCTCATGGAAAGGATTCAGTCTCCGAGAAATGTGTATGGGGTGCTGATGACTTCGTCGAGGGGCGTTGTGGCTGATGAGGTTGTGTCAGAGTTGGGCGTTTTTGGGGGGTGTCTTTGGTCGGATGCTCGCAAAGAAGAGAATAACTCGTGCCGCGTAATTGAAAATAGGGTTGTGGGTTGGTCTTTCAAGACCAAAGAGATAGACGTGGATGAGATGAGTGTTGTTAAAGGTTATGGATGTTTTGATACCCCTTTTTTGATCGGTTAGTCCGCGGACGACTGGGTCTCTACTTATGGAAGAAATTGAGATCTATGCAACGCAGCTAAAGTTTCAAATGTACAACGCTTGTGCAACCAACCGGTAACTACCAGTCATGTCTTTGACAATAACACACATAAAACTACAAGGGAACGTCTGAAATATTTGACCAAGTCAGAGAATTATATCAAATCAAATCCACATGCACAGATATTCCGCAACTGACAAAGATCTGCGTCCAAATCGTACATTCTATAGAATATAACTCAATAACTCCTGTCCCTTCACAGCCGTGGCAATATGCCATGGTAAAGTGTTATGCTGTACATGTAACGTGCCCTTAGCACGAGCCAAAGTCGCCAGATCACGATAATTGATTAGTGCTTCCTTAAGCACAACCTCGTGAAAGGCCGCTGGTCGTGATGTGTGTACCAAATTTAACGACATGGCTGCAACTCCCTGGCTGTCATTCGCTCCTTTTCTACGGAGTAAGTATCCACTGACGAGCGCGGGTTTGTATTCCGTCATGTAGGTCGAGTTGCTTAGTCGGTGTGATAAAATAATTGCCCATGATTCCTCGCATGCATCAATAAGGACAGCTTCGGAATCTGGGTCGATAAGCCCAGACGGTGTATCCGTGGGAGTCACTGCGGTGTTATTATAACTTAGGCTACCAAATCCACCGCTAGCCGGCGTTGCGACCCCAATCTGGTCTGGTGACGAGACCCCGCCGCATGGAGTAGTCGCCGGAGTCGATGCCATAGGATTCATCGCGTTGGCATGCAGTTGGCCTGCTGGGAGTTCTAGACAAAGACCAGGCGCAATGTTGGCGCTGAAAAGAGTCAATTCAACCGGCAACGTCTTTGCTTGATTATATCGTTCAGCGAATCCAGTCCACACTGATGAAGTTAACGTCCATCTTCTTTTAGTAAAGTAGTATTTTCTTCTTTAGCAGCATAATGTTGCCAACAAAGCGTAAAAAGCACTTACCATCAATTTCTTCCTGATCGATAGGCTCTGTCCTGACCAACAAAACTCTCCATCTGGTCTGTGTTCGCTCCATTAGATCTTTTGTCGCCTCCCAAATTTCCTGACGTATTTCAGACACTTTGCGGTTGACATTCGAGCCCCGAGAACGCACGCAGTATGACATGGTAATTTGACATGATCCTGAATTGTCAGACCATGCAGCGCTAATCCAACGCTGATCAACACTCCGTGATACAGCAACATGAAGACATCGGCCTTCTTGGAAAGGGGAAAAGCGCTCTGATGTAACTCTGAAATTAATTGCTTTGGGAACAGCATTCGCTAGCACCACTGGCGGTGCATAGCCTACAATGCCAGTATTAGCATCTTTTGGTGGACATCGGCTGTACACTTCAAGAGCCAGGTTGAGATATTGCGACTGAGTGGGAACCACCAACGACGTCGAGGAGAACACAAAACTCAGCGGCACGATTTGCAACACAAGTTCATTCAATTGGCTCTTGGCATAGGCTTTATCGACATCGCCAATGTACTTGTGAAAGAGCTGCAAAAAAGTCGAGCAGATATCGGCAAACGCCGTCCCATGCGTGAATGGATTGATAATGTAGACGACAAAGTTTTCTTTGATCGGAGGCGCTTTGGACAATGCATTCCCTAAAAGGAGCCAGTTAGAGCTGAAACAGACGTTCCATCTTAGTACATATTCATACCTAAACCTTCACACAGACTTCGCAATGATTGCATTGTCCGTACGTATGCTCCATCCCCATTCGCGATGTTCCACAAACCTATACCATTTTCAAATATTTTCGACTTGTCGCCTCTTGGATGTTTACCTAAGTTGCAACTAGAGTAGAGAAATTCTAATCGTGTGAGAAACGCATCCGCTTCATCACCCAGAAATTGGGGACAGATACAATATGCGGAGATGTCTTTCTGTCCACTCGCAGGTGCCAATCCAAATGTTTCCCAAAAGGGCATTGACGTCGGCAGCACCTCTAAGAAGTCACGTCCACGGTGAATACGTAAGTGCGCAGGTGGTAGTTTTGTAATCGAGCCCTTGATATCTCTGCGCTGGAGATTGGGACGCGTTGATGGAGTTTCAATGACAGCTTGTTGAATATCGTGTAGAGACACGTATGTTTTCAAATCCAACTTCTCGGTCTCACCTATCGCCGTAACGTCTTCAAGACATGTATGGAGATTTACGGCTTCATTTTCAAGATCTAGAACGGATTCCCAGCCATCAATGTTGTGACATAACGATGATTGGGTAAATTGATCGACCACCAGCTGAGCGACTTGCATCTGATCTTCTTTGCGACTCGAAATGGAGGAAGTTGAACTCTGTCTGGCCGAGAAGTACCCAACCAAAGACCAATCGGCAAAGACAGAGAAAAAGTTTCCCAGAAATATCGAAGTATCTTCTTTGGAAACGTGACTCTCCGCTTCAGACGTTATGGAAAGTCTTTCCATCGAGGATGTTGTGGATTTTTCCGCTTCAGAAAGCGGTCGTTTTCGCTTCAAGGTCGTTGCTCTGACTGGTGAAGTTTCGGTTTCAGAATAGTCATCACTACTATCAAGACTCGTTTCATCGCTAGACACCGAGGCGCTTCGTTGCACAGTCTGTACCGAGTCTGATTGACGGGCATCTGCACTCCCTTCTTCCGAAATGGTTCGAGGTCCGGGCTTGCGCCCTCGAGGAAAGCCAATGGTGGGGATTCCAGGGGCTAAATTGGTAGATTCATCACATTCTTTGTTTGCCATGAAGAAGAAACGCCCGGCATTTGCATACTTCTGATCTGAGAGCGACATGTCTTGTCTGAATGAGATTGCATTATATCGACTCTGCTTTTTTTCAAAATCTGAATTCGATGGTCTGGAGATTTTATTAATGTCACCACTTGGTTTCGTATCCTTTGAAAACAGAATTTTCTTAATATCGACTGGACTGAGAGAAGTGCTCATGACTTCCTCTAAAATGATGGATGAGGGTCCTTTGAACGTTGGATTGCGAGGCTCCGCGGTTGGGTGCTGGGTGTCGACCTTCAATTCGGACTCAATCTCCATTTTATTTGGAGAATGTGGTTCCCTCAACTGCTCTATTCTATCATCCTTCGGGGCCACTTGATCTGCTTTGACGTCTTCCTGGAGAAATTGAATTTCAGCGCCATCTGCTAATGATGGATGTTGTATATCTTGAGGATGTTCGGTTTTTGGGTCGTCGGCCAAAAAATCATCCATTTCATCGTCATCGAAGAAATTAAAATCGGCATCTGTAATCCCTTTAGTTGCAAAGTCTCTATCGTTCATGTCGCTAAATAGCCCATCATCATCGTTAGTGTCGTAAAGACCAGTTCCAACTTCCAATTCATTTCTGGGTTGAAGAGCGGCCTCGCCACTAGAGTCTTCATTGACGTGCTCCGGCTGTTTTGCAGAATCAGAGATATGCGACAATGCCATTTCCTGACCATCGGTGCCCAGAGTATCGGAGCCGATGGGATTGATGCCCGAGACTTGAGCCCCGTCTGGTGGTGTAGGATAGACAGAGCCTGCGCCTTGGAGATCTGGATAGTGCACCACCCGAGCAAGGCTCTCGATCTTCTCGGGAACTTCTGATTTTGATATCGAAGACACTTTGATCACTTCTGGAACTTTTGAGGATCTATCTGTAGGCTTTTCATGCCGTAACGTAGCTGTTTCCAGCCAGTTTTCGGCGAAATGCAATGGATCTACACTGTCAGTAGTGATACTATAGAGCTTGTCAGAATAACTGCTCGAAGAAACCTTCTTTCTCCTGAAGCAGTACCCAGAAGGCCAGAGGATTCGTTTCAGAGGAGATGACGATTGACCGTCATCCATTTTACGTAAGTGATCAGCTGCAAGTCGCGCGTAAAAAGGTTCCGACACTTCCACTTCAATCCAATGCTCATTCTCAGAGGAATCTACTGGAAGACCAATATTACTCATCCATTCTAAGACCGTTGCCTTCCAAACTCTCTGTTTGGCTTCTGTGATTTGGCGTGCGGAAACATCATTTTTCGCCTGCTTGGGGGCAAATGCTGTTGAGAGCGTTGTATCGACAGTGATCACTCGAGCAACAGTCCCATTAGGAGCGAGCCAGACATCAATATTAGGTTGTACATTGGCCGGGCTAATCTTGGTGAAATCAGGCCCTCCCAGACGTGAAATGCCGTCTTGATAGACAGTATGTAGAGCCGCGATGATTTTGCCCGTTTGTACAAGCTCAATTCGAAGAGTTGTCAAGGCGGGTATTGAACATGCATCATCATTAAGTATAGTTGGGTTATCGTAGAAACTCCGTTCAAGGGCCGTGAAGAAAGTCCGAGTGCCTAGAGGAATCGCATTATGACGCCTGGTGAGTTGGAGTCCAATGGCCCCGGCAACGGCTGTTATAAATGATGCATAGATAGCATACGTATCGCCCGATCTGGGTCCTGGGCCTGGTGCTCTAGACTGACCAGGCGTGCCCCCAGCTGGCGTTAATCCATCAGCAGAGAGAGATCTGATGAGATCTGCGGCGGTGATGCTGCCGGACGCAGAGACTTTGTCCAAAAATCAGTGGGACATCTTTAGAATACCTTTGGATAATCAAACTCACCTTTCAAGGATGATGCACCAAGAGTTAACTTTGTTGACTCCCTAGAGCCTTGGACGGCCGAGTCCCTAGTGAGTGGAAGCAAGTTCTCGAAACCTGGAGACGGCGAGAAAATCCACAGACCAAGACGTCGTGGATAACACGAAACTAGGCAATCGAGATTTCGCAATTGAATCTCTAAATCTTTTAGCCTGCTTAGGTGCCGAAGAATATTGTAGCCGTTGGTTGGGGCTATTTCCGAAGCTAGATTGCCAATAGCGGCTTCTTCGGTGTATATTCTCCAATGTATTACAGAGAATCCATTCTGCAAAGGGAATCAGTAGCGATATGATAGTCATGAGAAGGCTTACTCACAATGGCGCTAATATTGGTGATGGCGTCGCTGGGAAAGTCCATAATCACTGCCAGAATGGCTTCCACGCCAGTAATCGAGGCTACTCGCTAAGTGTAGAAGAAGAGCAGGTGAGCGGTATACGATCGCATTTCTAGCGAGGTAGCTAGCGCAACGCATTGGAATAGCGGCAGCGCAACGAAAACCAGACGATGCGTAGGCGGAATGTTTAGTTAGATGTCAGAGCCTTGGGTGGGACGTGCCTCCATGTTGATACTGATACACAGCCTTTCTTCTGGGAGGGATAATGTCTTAGTAATTGCTTTGACTCGATCCACGGGCGTGTTGGCACCATTGAATGGGGGCAACAGAGCGTTTCTTGAGACGAATATGTTCAGTCTGGACGTCCTGAATGCATCCCCGAGTAATCGAGGTCATCGGAAGGCAGGAACGCACCCAATCAGCTTTATCGGGAGCTTAATCACGTGGGGAATCTTGGCATCTCTTTTATCGGGCCCTGCCTTTTTTTTTTTTTCCTAATCATCTCTCGTTATCTCCGCGCCACCTGCGAGCAACCAAGAAGAAAAAGAAAGAAAAGGAAAGGAAAGGGCTTCGAATCATTTATTGTCGCCAAAGAATATCCGGTGGGAGGAGGCTTGGGGCGCGAAAATGAAAATTTCAACACAGTCCTCTGTGCCGGTATACACCATTTCCGGCTCTTCAACTGCGCGGCCTCTTCCAGAATGGCTTGCCCGGCGGAGGAAGCGCAGTCTGAAAAACGACCCGGAATTCGCAAATCGAGTGGAACTACTGCAGGACTTTGAATTCGAAGAAGCGAGTCAATGTATCCGTGTCAGTGAAGATGGACAATGGGTGATGAGTACAGGTATGTTGCGTTTCCTCTCCCACCTGAGCTCTCCGATCATCACTGAAAAGTTTTCCTCTAGGAACCTACAAACCGCAAATCCACACACACTATTTGCCTCATCTATCATTATCCTACGCTCGCCATACAGTGTCTCTAAATACCACTTTTCTTTTGCTCTCCAGTGATTACTCAAAGTCCCTACATCTGCAGGCAGATAGGTCCCTCGAGTTTCATACACCGTCAGGATGCCACTACACCATGAGACTGCCGCGCTATGGGCGAGATCTGTTATACGATAGACAATCCACCGAAGCCCTCGTTCCTGCTGTAGGGGTCAACCAAGATGGGCTTGGCGAAGTTTTTCGATTGAATTTGGAAGCCGGTCGCTACATGCGCAGCTACGAAGTCGACGTAGGTGGAGACGATTACACATCTGCCGGCGGTGGCGCATTGCAGGGCGGTATCAATACTGGTGCCGTTAACACAGGTGCTATTGCCGAGGAAAGCCATAATCTGCTCGCTTTCGGAACATCGACAGGTACAGTAGAGCTATGGGACTCGAGGGCCCGAGGTCGGGCCGGGATTTTGCTGCCACCATCACAGTCGCAGCCTGGAGAAGCTCGACATGAGATTACTGCATTAGAGTTCCATAGATCTGGTCTTACGCTGGGGACAGGATCGTCAAATGGTCTTATTCACTTGTACGACCTACGGTCGCCCGTTCCGTTCCTAAAGAAAGATCAAGGCTATGGATATCCTGTGCACACGTTGAAATTCCTCCAATCATCCTCCAACGCACGCGACCAGACAATGGAACCTAAGATTCTTTCGTCTGATAAGAGGATAATAAAAATATGGGATCCGCGGAACGGAACACCATGGACCTCAGTCGAGCCGGCAGTGGATATCAACAGTGTCGCCTGGTGCCCGGACAGCGGAATGATATTGACAGCAAATGAAGGCAGGCAGCAGCACGCATTCTTCGTTCCCCAGCTTGGTCCTGCACCTAAATGGTGCTCCTTTCTGGACAATCTCGTGGAGGAGATGGCGGAAGATCCTAACGATCCGCAGGCTTTCACGGGCGGCCAGACGTCATCTGTCTACGACAATTACAAGTTCTTGACAGTACCTCAATTGCGAACGCTGAACCTAGATCATCTCATTGGCAGGACGAATCTGCTGCGGCCATACATGCACGGTTATTTTGTGGCTCAACGTCTTTATGAGGAGGCTCGCTTAATCACAAATCCATATATCTGGGAGGAAGAGCGTGCCAAGAGAGTGAAAGATAAAATCGACCAAGAAAGAGAAAGCCGCATCCGAGGAAAGAAGAAGGTTGCCGTTAAAGTCAACAGAAAGCTGGCTGAGAAGCTTCTCGAGAAAGCAGAGAAGGCAGACAGACGTAATGCCAAGCGTGTCCTGGAGCAAGGAGGCGATGAAACAATGGCCGAAGCAGCAGCTCCTGAGACAGCAGAAAGCACCACCAAAGGCTTGCTGGGTGACAGTCGTTTCCAGAAACTTTTTGAAGACGAGGAATTCGCTGTGGATGAAACTTCGCGAGAATTCCAAATGCTCAACCCTAGCACTGCTGTTGAGAAACCCGAGAGGAAGGAGCGTGGTTTGACGGCCGTGGAACAAGAAGCTGTGGATGAACTTCCAGGTTCTAGTGACGACGAGGATGACGGGTCCGAGAGCGACCAAGACAAAAGACCATCCAAACCAGCAGAAGAAGAGATCTCCTACAGACGCAGTAGGAAACCTTACACGAAGATGCAGGTATCATCCTCATCGGCAGTAACAAAAGAAAAGGGAGGACGATCAGGCCGGGATCGGTCCTTCGGGTCACTTGCTCAAAAGATGAGCAACAGCGGTAAGATCAACAAAGACAACAAGAAGAGGACAATGCGACGTGGTGTGGTTGGTGAACAAGAAATCACTTTTGCACCGTCGACTTCAAGATCGAAATCACAAAATCAGCAGCCTCGATTCAATGAGTCTAGAGATTCTTCAGATGCTAGCTACAGAAACAAGGCGCGACGAAGTGCATCGGGGAATACATTCCGGCGGATGTGATATGTGAAAATAGCATGTATAATTGGGGAGAAGACATATTCAGACATATTTGAGGGGAGGGGGAGTGTGTCATTGCGTTGCCACTGTCATCATTAACAAACCCAACTGGGGGGAAAAGTTTTACAAATTTATAGAGAGCCAAGATACCCTTCTTCGTCTAATAGGTTCTTTTGCATACATTCACCGAATGAAATAATAGTTGTTGTACGTACCATCGTAGATATATCTCTATTAAGCAGATTATCATTAGAAGACATACAAAAACGAACCCTTGGAGTTAGATAAGTATATGTGGAATAAATTTGTAATTTTTCGCCTTTCAAACGGTCTTCAGGATATCATCAAGCTAAACCCAACCGCCCTTAGAATTCGATTCCATCCATATCCAATTCATTCTCTTTTCCAAAAGAAGAAAACAGCAATATCCTAAGAAAAACAAAAGCTGGAACCACCAAAACTCAAATAAGAAAGAAGAAAACCAGTCCCAAAACACCAAATCCCAAGATGCAAGAGATAATGTTATAAGAAATGGAAAGAAAGTGCGGGGAACGTATAACGAGCAGCATAAGTCGAAATTTAATGGGGTGTTGTAAGCAAACATATGATACCTAACGTTGATCAAAGTGAAAAAAACGGGGTAAGCAATACCCAATCCAGTCTCAAGAGAATCAATATCAGTATGAATATATATATCTCGTGACGTCTAAGAGGGGAGATCGATGGTAAATCGAAGATGAACACAGATCTGTAAGGTGGCGGGAAAGCTAAAACGAACAATGTTTTGAGACCCTCAAAATGCTGATTGGTCTCTTGTAGAGTGAAACAATCATCACGATGGAGAGAGCATAGCTTTGCAGCTGCTCCTTTCAAGTCTATATGTGTGAAAAATTTGTTCTGAAGAGAAGTGATTTGAAAGAGAGCATTTGTAAGAGCCTGGGAACTCTATGTATTCTGCGAGGGAGCTTGAATCTGCAATTGTTGTCCCGAGACCATGAAGGTCGTTAAAAGCTAAACTTTGTCCATTGTGCTGATTTCGAATTCGAAAAATGCGTGTCAAGACTGGGTTAAATTGCCAGTAAATTGGCAAAGCTTCACTAAAGGCTTTTTATTGCCATGGATGAAAGCTCGGCATACCGGCGCCTCGTCGTCCACTACCCCTTCTGGATCCTCCAGAGGCTGCCCCTGAATCTCCAACACTAGTCCGCCTACCTTCTTCAAGGCTCCGTCGTGAGGCACCAAAGTCGCTCATTGCGAATAATAGTGGCTCATCCTCTTCAAAAGCCGTTGCTGTGTGTTGGGCTAGGGAGCGTCCGGAGATGGAGCGGCGGCTAGTTCCACGCCGATTGTCCATGAGCGACGTGACACTATTGCTTCCGCTTCCGCTTGCGCTGCCCTCGCGCTCTCGTTCTCGCTCGGTGAGATGTGCCGGTATGGCACTGCCACGTGGTAAACTGCTGGAGGTGGAACTGTGAGATTGCGGTCCTCCTGAAGACCCTCGGCCTCGACTGTGAGAGAAGCGAGCTTGGTAGGGGTGGTTTGATGATGTCGATGTGGCAGCAGCACTGGATCCAAATCCTCCACGCTGCGGGTTGAATTCACGGAAAGGAAATGATGCAGAATTACCGGCGTCATCAGATGGTTGGGCTGCCTCTGCATTTTGCTGTTCACCATTCGCATCCATAGTCTCGTACTCTTGTTGTCGCATTCGAGCACCTAGGCTGAGATGAGCCCTGTCATCTGCGCCTAGGGAAAGACTCCGCATTCCAAAGGGAAATATTTCCTCATCGTCACCACCACCACCCCCGGCACTAATACGGCGACTCTGAGAAGCAGAGCTCGAACGTCGATAGACGGGTGCACAAGAACGGGGAGATTTAGGAATGTCAATCACATTCGCACCTGGTTGAGTCGGGCGATACGATGTTTCCTCGTTTTGATTTACTTCAGTTTGGAAATTTTGCTCAACATCTGCTTGCCGAGGAGAAGGCTCCCGCTCCCTATCATAGCTCACAATATTATTGGAACTTAATCGGGATCGTATGGCTGGTGCATGAGGAGTATGAGGAGAAAAGGGTTTTCCTGGAGATGAAGCTGTGGATATTGATGTGCCAGCAACCATCGGTGGAACATTAGATAACTGCCGACTAGATGAACTGGAGGAACGGTGGAGAAGGAATGAGGACGACATCGAGTCAGAAAGTGCAGCGTTGGTGTCGCGCATTCTCTGGAACCGAGTCAATGCCGCAGATGTTCTTCGAGTTGCAGCATCAACTGCAGCTGCTTTCACAGGATTCAGTAGGTCCTTCTTCAAGTCAAGCATCTTCAGGAAGTCGGATATATTCTCATCATCTGTGTGCATGGAGTCACCACTGGCGCCGCTGGGATCGGCCAGTATTCCGGAGCCAGGGGGAGCACCGGAAGACGTTGCGCTTGCTTTCCCACTTGAAATGTTGTCTTCTTCAATACGCGTGTTGCCGCCGGATGATAGCCTGCCACGTCGATGACTAAAAGAACTGCTATACCTTGAAATCGGAGTAGGTTTCGGGGAGACGGATGCGGATGATGGTATTGCTTGTTCAAGACCTGTTTTGCGCCCTGCTGAGGCCGGCACTGTTGGTGGTGGCATAGCTCGAGGGTCGCTCAAAGTTGATGCTATCCCTGTACGACTAGAACCTGCTCGTGGGGACGCACCTAGAGGGGGGTCCACGAGTGAAGGAGATGCTGACAGTGGCGGAGCTTTGAAAGGCTGGATTGAAATCGATGGGCGTCTGACCATGCCGCTAGTGCTCTCACCAACCAGGCGACCTACTGGTCCTAGCTTAGCAGCAGAGAGCAGCTTTCGCGGAGGGGAAACGGAGGATGGAGAGGTACTCCCCAAATCTCGGGCAGCTCGTAATGTTGATATGGGACTGGCACCTGTTGTCGGCCCTATTTGATGGAACGTTGAGAGACTACCATAGGCCTGAGAACGATCAGGGTTTTCCAAAGCTCGTCGCCCTGAGGGAAGGGAGCCGGATTCTTGAGCTAGCGGCTTGCTTGGTTCTTCAGAGGGTAAAGACGGCAAGAAGTAATTGTCATCGGCGCCCATGAAGCGAGAACTGAGAAGTGATTCTGAATCATCGACTCGGAAATCGACATTAAGGCGGTAGGTCACTTGAACTGAGAAGGGCCCGGCTGGTGAATCAGTAGTGCCAAAGGAATATGTGTCGACGACTTTATCGACTCCAGATTGCAGAGACAGTGTCAGGCTATCGTCGGTCGAAGTGAAATCAGCATTACGAGCTTCACGGATCCGATATCTGATCTTCAAGGCCGGGTTTGTGCGCATGATTCCGGCACGTTTGACGACCTTCCAAGCCGGTAATAATCTCGCATATGCATGTAACGATCGAAACAAGACAATACTTTTCTTGTAAACAGTCGGGAGTATAGAGCCCAAGTCAGGGGGTGGTCTCGCGGAAGACTCGCCCAGCTCAACCTTCCATCTTTCTAGAACAACTTCCTTTGGTGTGGCCCTCACCGTGGAATTCTGCGACGCTGCCAAAGCGCCCACGACATCCCAGCGTTTTCCATTTTCGTCTATGAGAACGAGGGTCTGACTATTTGTCAAAGACTTTGCATCGAGAAACGTTTCGATGATCATGGGTGGCGGCCTATTATCAGTAGCATCGCACGTTCTCCATTTTCGTATACTGTCCCGATATTCATCGGTTTCGTCCAGGTCCACATTGAACTGATATGTGATGGGTAGAAAAAGGAATTAGTGTTCCGGCCAATTTTCTTCTTGATGAGATATCCGGTACACTTACCCATCGATTTACTCTCGGTGTGTCGGATCCTTTGATGAAGGTTGGGGGGAGTTCAGCTCTCGCGTGGAGTATGATCAACGCAGCTTTGGTGTGGTAATTCTATAGGGGCACCATGGGGTTAGCAATTGATAAAATGACGTCCCAGTGAGAAGTACGCACTGATACAATCTGGTTGAGCTTCGCCATGGCTTCCTTCCCGGGAGCGGCGGTGTCGGTTCCTGCCTCTATTCCTAAGCCCCTTGTTGTGTCCGAAGCCTGACCGGAAGGCTGCCGGTCATCATCCTGAGATCTCAAAGCATGTGCTCTCCCTGATCTCGGCGATGATATGCTGGGCTGTCGTGCCGGCAACGGTGATCGCGGATGCTGGTGCATTTTTTATTGATGTGTTCAGGACGATGACTAGGGAGAGAGTGAAGTACAATTGAAATGGCGCCGATTTGTCCACGACGACGCGAAGAACTGGAGATGAAAGAGTATATCACGAGTCCAGCCGGTTATCAGGCGGGGGGGAGGATGGCTGAGGGCTGGCAAAAAGTGGCCATGCTCCCTGGAGTGGTGCGACTCGATGAATAGCAAAGCGCTGCAGGGTCCGCAGGAGTAGAAACGGAAAGGAGTAGAGAAAAGAGAAAGAAAACGAAAACAAAATCGGGCCCAGACGCTGAATCTATATGGTGGAAAAGGGAGACATCGTAACGGGCTGGTCATTCAGGCAACAGTCAGAGGGTTGTTCGGTAGTCGTCGATAGCCTCACAAGAGCGAGCTTTCTCCGCAGTACTGCTGCGGACCCAATCACGGGAGGGCAAGAACGGTGCCTCCTCACAAGGTGAGAAACGGCACGGTTCAGCAATGCATGTCGGCGAAGGGGCAGGGAATAAAGCGCGGGTTTGGGATTGGGATTTAGGCGTGTATTGTATTGTGCGTGTGGCGGAGAGGAAGAGGGCGAAAGGAGAAGAGAGGAGGAAGCGTCAGTGCGTGCGAGAATGCCTTGCGATAGATAAGAGGAAGGAGAGGCGGATGTGACGCACGCTCGGTCTAGGCGGTCAAGTGCTCGAGAGAATAAGCTATGGGGCCCACTAAGAGCCTTAGCCCGGCCCACTGATTTGCTGCCATTGACTACACCTTTGGCAGCAGAATTAGGACCAGTAAGAAATATCCTTGAGACCGGTATCGCAATATTGCGCAAGGCTGGCCGGTAGCTTCTATAGCATCTGCCTTACGTCGATGAGTTAACTTCAGGAGTTGCATTTTGGGGGATGTTGCTTGTGGCCACAAAAGCATAGCTACGTAGAGACAGACCCTAGCCCGGCAAAGACATCTCATCTGCCATCTCACAGAGTTATGATGACGATGAGCTAGAGCCTGATAGACTAGGCACAGTGCAGGTGCAGGTCCACCGTGCCGGCGTGCATGTTGCAGAAGCTCATCGTCCTATTAGACGGAAGTCCGGCTCATTCTGAAGCTCCCGAGTGGACGCCCCGGTATGAGCGTTTGTTGTTTTACGTGCGACGCCGTCTGCGTTGTAACGAGGTAGTTAGACGAGTATACACCATATGTAATCAGGACTGCGTTTCCCCCGTCTGTTTCTCGATTGGTCACGTGGCCTCTCTGCTCTTCGAAAAGGCGGTATCGCATGATTGTTGTCGCTGACTGTCTGGCGCCAGGTGTGATTAGTGCTATGTGAGCGCGTTTCTTAGCTGCATCGCCGTCCATTCGGTGGTAATGGCGTTTGTCAAAGCATCAGGTTGTTGGACATATCGACGAGAGTCCATCATCCATGGATGTGAAAGAAAGGTGAGAGAGAGAGAGAGAGAGAGAGAGAGAGAGAGAGACAGAGAGAGAGGGTTGTGGCGGCTATGATTGGCTGTCCGCGGCCCCCGACACTGCCTACCTGCCTGCCTTCTCTGCGGCTTCCATCATCTATCTCTTCAGGCAAGAAGTCACGACAAGACTGCAAGCAGCGTCTGCCTTCATTCCTCGTCATCCTCGCTGGAATTGCATACCTATCGCATCTGAGTCGCCTCATCAAACTGGTCTACGTATCTCCAACTAGCGCCGATAGCTGACAGCTCTCGCCACCCCGCCCACCCTTTTCGTTCCATCGCAAGTTTGACTTTCATCTCGTTATTCCACAACGTCAAACGGGACACACGAGAGCCAGGCATACGCGTCGCATCCCTTTTTTTTTTTGCCCTCTCCAGGAACCTTTCCGCGGCCTGCCGAGCTCCTTTAAATACGCCGTGGTCCACTGTGATCACAGCGAGGAATTCGCTCCACGGCCGACTACGAGTTCTCGACTTCGTGGCACATGAGTAGCACGCTGTTAAAGTATTTTCTCCAGGATGATGTGGACAGTTTCAAGCGTTTGCTGGCGAACATCAGCAATACGCCAGCTGGCCAGCGTTCGACCGGAGGAAACATCGCAGCAAAAATAGAAAGTCCCTCATATGGCTCGTCTCCCAGCACCCCGTTGCGCAACAAAAAGGCCGTCGGGACACCCCCGGGTGTGTCGCTTACCGATCGCGGAGCATACCTACGAGGAAATCCTGCTTCTTGGTCCCGGACACAAGTGAATGCGCGCGACCAGCACGGACGCACCCTCCTTCATCTCGTCGCTTCGTCACCGAGCCCGAGCGCTATTGATTTTGCAAATGCCCTATTAGAATTGCCGTTCGTCGATATATATGTACAGGATACGGAGAGTGGATGGACTGCGCTGCACAGAGCTTTATATTCTGGAAATGTGGCTATTGCGCATGCTCTGATGCAAAGGGATCTCCGGGGTGCTACGGATTTCAGCGCACCTAGCAGCACACAATACCCATGTGGAAGCTTGATCAAGATCAAGGATCGCGAAGGCAACAGTCCTTTCGATATCTACGGTGCTACCATCATTGGCCGCGATATCAAGCAAGTTGTGACCCCACGCAGCGGGTCATTCGATCCCGAAAGCGATCCAGATGCCTCATCTGCTGAAAACTCTGTTGATGGCGATGATGGTGGAGAAGAGGGGGTTCTTTCACAAGCACAATTGAAGCCCCGGGTAAATCTACAAGCTGACGAAGTGTTCACGTTTGGTAGCAACAAGAACATGAACCTTGGTTTAGGGGATGAAGATGATCGGCATTTTCCCGAAAGAATTTCTCTGAGTCGTCCAGACCATTTACTCCAGCGCTTTTTTCAAGAACGAGAAGCAGCTCGCACCCACCAAGCACAGTCAACTGCATTGATAGATCATGCGGAGCATCAGGATCGTCTTCCCACTTTGATCGCATTAAAACCAATTTCTATCCAAGATGTTTACATGTCCAAGCTGCACACGGCAGTTTTGACGAACGACCCAGAATCGAATCTTTTCATGGCTGGCTTTGGACCTGGTGGTCGGCTGGGTACAGGCGATGAAGCTACCAGATTCGATTTTGTCTGCATCGAGACTGGTGGACTGGTCGGGAAAAGGGTTGTATCACTCGCCCTTGGCCAGGATCATTCGATTGCTATTTCGGAGCAAGGTGAAATATTCACATGGGGAAGTAATAAATATGGTCAACTGGGTTACAATCTGCCTAGGGCCAACAATAAGAGAGAGACGCCGATTCAAAGTACACCGCGGCAGGTCTTCAATCCTTTTAAACGTGAAGTCATACTTGGGGCTGCTGCCTCTGCAGTGCATTCCGTTGTTTTCAGTGCTTCAGGCCTTTATACATTTGGGAAAAATGAGGGACAACTTGGTTTAGTCGATTCCGATGCTCGCTCCCTTGTAGTTCAGGTTATTCCTCGACGTGTTGGGGTCTCTCTATTCAACTCTCCTATCCGCATGGTCTCTGCAATTGATAGGGCCACCGCGGTCCTTCTCGAGACTAGCGAAACCTGGGTTTTCACACATTATGGCTATTCTAGGGTTGTTTTTCCTCTAGATTTCAGTTCATATTTCATAAAGGAAAGTTTTTTGGCTACCAGGTACGGCAACACCGCAAACCGCATTATTAAAATTACCGCTGGTGGGAATACTATTTGCGCGCTGTCCACTTTTGGCGAGGTTTACAGCATCAAAGTGAGCAGTAGACCCGATAATACTTCCGTTACTTCTTCAACTACCAATCCTGCGAAGATTCGAAATTCTCTTTCAGCACCAGAACGAGTTTGGTCTGTTAGGAAGTCCCATATGGCCGCACACGACGTTGATGTTGGTCAGGATGGTTCTATAATTATTTGCACAACTTCCGGGTCAGCGTGGAGAAAAGAAAGAAGAACTCACAATAAAGGAGTTAGCTCAAAAGACTACAAATTTGTTCGCATAGCAGGTCTCTCAAGGGTGATTGCAGTCAGAAGCAACGCATTTGGCTCGTTCGCCGCCGTTCAAAGAGACTGCGATGTCACTAAGAAACAAATGACTGTCTCTCCGTCCTCCCTTTGGAATGATTTTACTCAACTTCTGCCAGTTAAGTCTTTGTCAGATGCAGTTGAAAGCGATGCGATAGGTGATCCCACCGCTGTCAAGCATCAGATAGCCAAAATTAAGTTGGCAATCACTTCGTCGCCTAATATCGAATCCCAAATTCAGCATATCCTACAAAGCAGCAATTTGGATCAGTTTGGGCACGTAGTTTGGTTGAAAACTTCGATATCTGATGTGCGCATCCCTGTTCACGAGTTCATTCTAGCTGGTCGGAGTGTTGTCCTGCGAGCAGCATTGGTCGAATTTCGACGAACAGACCATTTCTCGATTCCTGACTTCATGACGATGGGATTGGATCTGAACAGCGATCTCCAGTTACTATTATATGGGTTCGATTTCCTTTCACTGTTTAATCTTGTCGTCTTTCTCTATACCGATGAAGTGCTGGACGTTTGGCGTAACGTCAAGCACGACTCTATTAATGCCTTCCGGTACCGCCAGATTCGCACTGAGATTATGCGCATTGCTACGCATTTAGATCTACGGCAATTGGAACGAGCTGCACGAGTAATGGTTGAGCCGTCTCGGACATTAGATCATGACATGGAGCAAGCCTTGAATGACCCGGCATTCCTTGAAAGTAGTAATGTTACGATCCGATTGAAAGATGCGACAGCTCGCGCTCATAGCCAGGTTCTCTGTCAAAGATGCCCTTTCTTCGATGCCCTCTTCTACGGTCGTTCGGGTGGAAGATGGCTCGATTCTAGACGTCAGGAAGAAGTCGTTACAGTCGATCTTCAGCATATGGACCCGCATGTCTTTGATTTTGTCCTTCGTTATCTGTACGGGGCTACGGAAGATGAACTTTTTGGGGAGGTGAGATATACTAGCCTCGATGACTTTATTGACTTGGTTCTCGACGTAATGTTCGCTGCAAATGAGCTCATGATCGATCGACTATCGCAAGTTTGCCAGAAGATGCTCGGACAATTTGGTGAGTAACCAGTGTCACTTTTATTCATCTTCAAGAGGTTGATAACTCACAATTCGCTAGTCAATACTCGCAATGTTTGTCACCTTCTTAATGCTGTTGCGCCCTGTACAGTCACGGAATTCAAGGAAGCTGCGTTGGAGTATATTTGTCTTAACCTTGAAGCATTGCTCGAGAATAGGTCAGTCGTGTAGATTCAGTTTTTTGTCAATACTCTTCGTCTAATGCGACCTAGGTTACTCGATGATTTAGAAGAGGACTTGATGGATGAGTTGGATGCGATTTGTCAGGAGAATCAGCTTACGCGGTATCCTGTTTCTCGTGGTCGTAATTCGGAGGAATCTTTATTTGAAAGATATCCTGAATTGGTTACACGCTTTGAAATTGATAGGCAGCGGAGGATTGACTCTATGGGGCTAAGCTCGCGTCGTGATCAAGACGAGCTATACGATGAGAAGATACGAGCAGGTTTGGTTGACAAGGCAACCCCATCGCCATCCTTTCGAAAAACGAAAAATCCCCCATCTAGTGAGCCAAGATCTTTCGCGGGAAGTCCGAGACTCAAGGCGCAGCAGTCTATCAATGATCTCATGTTTCAAATGGATGATGAAACTGCCATGTCGCCGAGCCCAGTTCGTAGAGGCAAGGCTCCAATGACTAGCTCACCTGCAGATGAGATGGGCGATCTGTCGCAGCCCTCAATTCTTCCCCTTTCTTTAAGCCAGTGTGATTCTTTGGGTGAAACGAGCTTTCTCGGCGATAGACTCGGTTCTTTGGAAAGCGGTGCTGCTGGAAGTCTGACGGGACGGTCTATACCCACTATGCCAACGATTCAACCAAGTTCTCCTACTCCATCGAGTTTAAAGGGAGCGCCGTGGGTGTCCCCTGTTATCTCAGGTAACAAGCGGAATCTCAAAGATATAATGGCTGAGACTTCGGAGTCACGTATCTCAAATCTTACCCTTGGCATGACAGATCGTCCAAGCAACCACTCAGGTGGCGCATTTTCCCAAAAAATGTCACAAAGAGAACGTAAAAAGCTTCAGCATTTACACGCCCAGGAGAACTTGGCTGCACAACAAAGAGCTGTTGATGCACGACAGTCACCGTGGCAAATATTTGGCAAAAGTCCTCCTTTGAGTACGCCTGAAGAGACTGTTGAAGAGAGTGTTACGAATCTGTCAAGGACGGTCCCAAAGCCCTCTATGACACTCCGACAAACGGTGGCGGGAGCCCCGTCAACGCCTCCAGATCCACGGGCTGGTCCATCACCAAAAGCTCAAGGCCAAAATGTCTCCCAGCCTATTTCAGGACCTTATGCTAATACAAAGTTAATCGCAACAAGTGCCAAACCGGTGATTCCCAAGATAAAAACATCCCCTAGTTTGACTCCAGTTTCAACACAACCAGCTATTCAGTCCATCCGTCATACGCCTCGTCCTGAACGATCTATGCCCAGCCTTGTAGGTCAGGCTTCTCTAGCCTCGATTCTTGTCCAACAGCAAGCAGAGAAGGACGAGATCCGTGAAGCAGCAACTGCCAAGCATAATTTACAGGATATTCAGGCAGAACAAGAATTCCAAGAATGGTGGGATAAAGAAAGCAAACGTGTGATGGAAGCCGAAGCCGCCGCGGCAGCAGCCACTGCTCAGGCAACAAAGGGCGGGCACCAACGTCGCAAGAATCGTGGGCAGCAGCCATCACAGCGACAGACACCGCAGCAGAGACAACAGCAAGGGGGTAACCAGTCCCAGCAACCTCAACGTGGCTCAGACAAGACATCCGAAACCTCACGCTCTCACGGAAAGAACAGTCACCGGCGGCATCCCAGAAGCACTCAGACGCCATCGTCCACTAACAGCCACCGTCCTGGGGCAGTCGACAAACAATAAGGAAATCGAACTCGTCGTCGATTGTGCCAATACCACCACCTTCATCACCATATTATATATACATACATACTTGTAACTATCATACCGCATTTCCCATCGTTCTTGATTTCACTGATAGTTATTTCCATTGTATTGTTATACTATCATATTATTTCAATGCCTTTGTTTAATCATTGGGTTTTATAGATAAAGAATATAGAAGACGAATTGAAAACATCAATATGGGTTCATTCATTCATTCGTTCATTCAACAAGCCCCCACCCAAGTATAATTTGGATACTAGTCGCCTCGTCTCGTCCAATCCAGTGACCCATAACATGTACGTCGACATGCTTATAGATACTTTACATACAAGGAGTATACATGGGTATATACTACCAAATGACATCGGGCATGCTTTTACATGGATCATTTAGGGAAGTATTATACATCCGAATTTTCCCGGAAACAGAGAATATACTAACAACATGCTAACATGGGGTAGTTTGTTTGGTTTCGCTATGTAATTTGAGAACTCCTGGACCAAACCCTTGATGCATGCATGCATGGCGAATGACAATGACCGAAAAGCAAATGACACCGCAATCCAAAGGGAAAAAAAAAAGCAATTAGCATTATACCGGGATAATAAACCAGGTTGATCAAAGCGATAAAACAAAAATCCCAAAGAAATCACCAATATGTATGGACGTATGGATGTATGGACCTAATGGTAACAATAACAATAAGAGACTGACGAATAAAGATTGGTGAAGATGATTATAGAGAAGAAGAGTGGGGAAAAAAAGGAATAAATAAGAGCATGTGGTATATGTATTTGACGCCGCTGTAATGTTATGCGAGAGGAAGAAGGGAGGAAAAAGAAAGAATAAAGAATATTAATAGGGAGAATGTAAAGGATAGAAGAGTTCAATTTGAGAACGACAACAAAAAGTCACGAGAGAATTGAATTATTAACAATGTTCTCGAGACACCAAAAGCCCGTTCCTTAAGTGTGGGTGTAGGTATGTACGATGGGAATAAGTATAATAATGATAATGATGCGGCCAATTCAATTATCCAGGGCTTGCAACTTCGCCTCTGCTTTCCCACATTCGACGAAGAAGCATCTCCTGTTCGGTAGCAAAGTAGTCATCGCGATCTTGATTGCCAATTGTACCTTCACCTGTAGGTCCGTTGGCGGAGGTGGAAACACCAGGCTGGGTGGCGGTCTGTGGGTTGTGATTATCAGACCGAGTCTCAATTGCTAACCGGTCTGCTGAGTCTGGAGAAGGGTTGCTGGTATTGTTTATCGCATCGTCGTCTTGAAAATAAACACGACCTGAATTCGCCGCTCGTTGGCGACTATCTGCCGGCTCCCCAGCCATCCCATTATTTTTGGGTGCTGCCTTTGGATGCTTATTAGACGGGGTTTGTAGAAATTGCCCTGTGGTCAGCGACGGAGCCGATTTTGAACTTTTCCCCAAAAGCCCACCGGTAGATTCTGAAGCCGTGCCCGGTCTTTCTGTTACGTGCTCGAAACGCTGTATTCGATAGAGACTGTTCTTCGCTGGACTCTGAAACCGTCGAACGACGTGCAATTCCAAGGATATCTTCTCATACGCTTTGCGGGTGTGTTTGGCCTCACTCTCGTGTGTCGTCCCAACTCGAACGCTCCCATTTACGATTCCTCGACCATTATCGTATTGCCCGGTTCGTGAATGCGAAGCAGCCATGAAGACAGGGTCGACTGTAGCCTGAGGCAGAGCTTGGGGTCCATGTGAGTCAGGAGGGGACGTAGTCAAAGCCGCCGTCCGCTGAAGCCATAGCTTCTGCTGTGTTCTAGAAGCTGGCCCGGCTCCTGGAGGACGTGGTGCCTGAGAGGCAGTCTTTGTTTTCCTCGCTAAAGTGAGTTCCGGAGACGTTGGTGGTTGAGGATGGTAATGCGGCAGGAAGGAAGACGGCGTATTAGGATCGGAATCGTTTTTTGAAGTAGCATGTAATCCCGCCTGGGGGTTGATGATGAAACGCGACACGCCTCCTTCGATAGATGATGAGGTCGCTTGAGGCGTCGAAAACTGAGCCAGAGATGTTGGCATGGGCGAGTCATGTCGTAGTGCACCGTGGCTAGAAGCAAGGTTCGTTAAAGACTCATTCCGGCGGGTAGTGTCGACTGTAGTCGGAGTACCCATGGCTGATATTGAAGACATCGCAGGTGGTGCCTTGGATATCCGAGACTGGCTTAGTAAACGATTTGCTATATCCTCTGGTTCCTGCTTTCGCGGTTCTCGCTGGTGGTCGTTTGATGAAAGCGATGACGGCTGTTCGTGATCTGAAACCTCATGATCGGAGCTTTCGATTGCTTGGGGTAGATTGTTAATAATAGTCTCCGGAAGACTCCTTGACTGCAGGCTTTGAGGGTATGGGCGTTTCACAAAAGTTAATGGATCCACCAAAACTTGACTGCTTTCAGCGCTATCTTTGGCAGACGGCACAGCAGAACCGCGTCGTGTGCTTTCTGGTGACTGGGTACTGTCTTCCCACTCTGCTTCGGAATCGGAGTCGGCGACTAACTCGAATCCCACCGATTTCTTTGGACGTCCTTTGGCTGACTGGGGTCGCTCTGTAACGAGAGATTTCTTGGAAATGATAGCGGATGTATTGCGATGAAGGGAAGGCGTGGACAAGTTTTTGCGCATGGAAGAGGTGTTCGGCTTATGTTCGCCTAGGGATGTATTTGTGCCCTCCCAACGGACATGGGAGCCTGACGTTCGTGGGCTTTCGGCCGGTGTAACGGGGGCTGACTTTTTACGTTGATGATGTCGGGCGCCTGTACCGATCGTCGTACCCTCGGCAAACAACTGCGTGCTATGCAGCCTCTGCAGCTTATTCATGTTCTTACCAAACGACGGGTTACGTCCGTGAGCGCGATGACCGCCGCCCACGACATGGGCACGAGTCTTGTGTGCAGGCGGTCCTTTCTGGGGATCGACTGCGTCGGTCGCATTGGCCGAGGACGTGCGTGTTATGATCGCGTGGGATGACACAGAGCGGCGGGCCAATCCTGGCCGCTTTGCCGGGGAGGTAGTATTGTTGTTTAGCGGTGACATGCTTGCTGGTAGAAATAACGGACAAGGCAGAGGCGCAAACGAGCTTGCTTTCTTCCAAAACCGAGCGCGGCACAATCGCCACCGAAATCTCTCTTATATAAAAGCGAATCTGCCAACCATCGATCGTGACTGCCGCCAAAGGAAAAGGGGGAACGTTCTTTCGGTGCTCTTCGCTTGTCGCTGGGGCGGCCCAAGCTTCTTAACACTGGCGTGGGCGGAGGATATGATTCGATTGCTCAGGGCTCATTATTCGGTCATCGAGGTAGGACGCGGTGGGCTTGGTGCGCGGCAATTGGCGGGCTCGATATGTTTCATCAGCGTGGCTGCTGCAGGTCATTCGGTCATAGTCGACAGCTGCACACCGCGTCGACAAGGGATGGAGATGGGAGGAAGATGGAGAGGAAGAGAAGGAGGAGGAGGGAGGGGGGAATGGTGAGAGAAAAGACTCGACTGAAGAAAAAGCTTAAGGAGGAAGGAAGGAAGGAAAGAAAGATGTGGGGTGGCTGAACCAACTTCTTCCAGACCCGGCGAGAGTCGAGACCGCCGGCGGTGACCCTAACTAAACAAAGCCCGATGACGCTTGCGGCTGCTGCACGAACGACCGACTGGGTTTCAAGCATTGATTATCATTGTCATTGTTTATTGGATTTGAAGAAAAGAGAAAAATCAACAACTCGCGGTTACTGTACTGTACATCAATCGTCGCCTCACAGAAGAACGCATCAGTATCAAGCAGCTACACGCGGTCCCAGGATCTACGATTATACTCAATGCCGATTGGTATCATATGCGGTAAAAGAGCATGTGAGCGGTGGAGGTGGGATCGGGAAAATCAAGCTGAAAAAAGAAAAAAAAAAAAAAAAGGATGGTACATTTCAAGTTGGAATGCTCAAAGCTCTATTAGACTCTCCTCCACTACTGGCTTTGGAGCAGTGGACTCCGGCAGCTGTGAGTGCAGAGAGTAGGTGGCACCAGATGACGGTGCTCCAGGATACACCGGGAAGGATGCTTCCTGAGGCTGTTGGCCGTACGGTTGCTGATATAATTGTGGTGGTGGAGGGTATTGAGAAGTAGAAGGCTCGTGGGTGAGCTGCTGGGGGGAGATAACATCCTGAGGTGGGAAACTCTGATACTGAGACTCATTGTGCCTCTCGAGCGCGTGCGACGAAGTATACGCAGCTGAGGAAGGGGTCCGCTGGGAGAATTGAGAATCTCGCCTGATGATTCGAGGTTGATGATACGTTGGCTCTCCGTCGCCTTGCGGCGTGGAAACCACCTGGCCAAGCCCCGGATTACTAGCTCCATGACTTAAGTAAGCGCCTGAAGGTCCCGGAGGAATAGCATTATACTGTCCCGGGTACGGTTGGACATCTGCTGCACGTGGTGAATGGAGCGGGTTTGTGTTATCCCGATTCCACCCTGAACTCGGCGTGTCCCCGAATTCACCGTTCAATGTTGGATAAGGACTCGGACTGCCGGCCCTCGGGGCTGGACTAGCTGTGCTGTAAATAGATGCAGAAGGTTGAGGTTGAATACTCGGTCTGTATTGGTCAGGAATTGTGTTGGAGAGATAATAATTTTCAACTTCACCAGCGCTGCCCGGGGGGTTTTGAGCTAGTGCAGGATACTTGTTGTACGGTTGTGCCCCTGGTGGTACCGAACCGTATCTTCCAATATTATGATGCGAATAAGCGCTTGAAAGACGTTCTTCAAGCATGCGGTCATAGTATCGCACAACAGTTGACAGCTTCGCATGAAGGTCTAAAAGTGCATCTTGGCTAAGTCAGTACGAAGATGCTTACCTACCAACGGTGGCAAACAGAGGTAAGAACTCACCATGCTTGCTCATAGTTTCTCCATAAGTACGTGCCAATTTTGGCCGTAAAGCCCCTATACTATCATAAAGCTCTTGGATCTGTGGTTCCCGCAAGATGGTACCTCGCGGTTGATGCTGAAGACGATCCACGAGAGTCGCGAATAAATTGATATTCTCCGCTTCAACTGGACTGAGTTCGTAAGGATTCTTAGGCAACTCCGCCGGTCTGACAGCACCACCCAGAGCCGCATCTGCAGCAGCTGAGCTCTTCAATGCTTCGGTATGTTTCTGCTTTTGTTCTTCCACGTCCCTTAAAGATGCTTCAATAGCGGCTTTAAGGTCGGCGTCTTCCTCCTCGTTGGTCGTTGGAACCTTGTTTTTGCTTTCAATAACTGGCTTCGGCTGAGGTACATAACCAGATCCCCCACGTCCTTCGGCCTCTTCAAGGCTCATCTGCAATGCCTTTCGCAGGTCTTCGTCAAAGCTCGCATCTGCACGAGCAGCCCTTGGTTCCATGGCTGCGTTGGATTTTGTAATAGAGTGGTTCTTAAATGTTGATCGCTCCGATATACTGGCGGACGGGAAATTCTTTGAAGTTAGTTTGGCGTAGCACCCGTCATCTACCCGAACAGGCTGTAAGATACCAAGATGAGGCAGAGGCAAAGACTTGCTAGAGCACTGCGCATCGAAGACATTGCCACAATTCCGGCAATGGTGCTTTCTGTTTGTGAACGTGAAAGGCGTCCTACATCGCATGCAGACGTCTGAGTCAATCCATTCGGGTGGCTGCATAACGATAATGCCATATATTAGAATTCCTTATATTTTACTCGAGGGTCCGCGCTGTATAGCGAAGACTTACCGCGCTGCTGTCAAGCATGCTGCTAGCGATTTCGCTTTTTGGTGGGAAGTTGAAACCCTCATTTTGTAATTTCCGATACGTCTCTCCCAGATAGACGAGCTCAAGTCTTCCTTGTGCAGCCAAAGCCCAGCTCTGAACCAGTTCTAACATCTTTTGTTTGACTTCGTGATTGAGAGATACGCTATCAGACTTCAGAAGAGAGACCAAATTGTCCATGAATTCGCGAGACGCAATTTCGGAAAGGAAGTGGGAACCGCCATTTTTGACGCAAGTATCTGTCAGCTACATCCGTATGTTAGTTACATATATCTCTACTTTTTTAAAAATCAAAATGGACTAAGAAAGCAAACCTTCAAAGTAGCAAGTTGTATATTAGGGTTCTTATTCTCAAGCCGCCGTTTTAGAGATCTCATTGCATCTCGTGGCTGAACACTTTTCGAACGAATGAGATCGGATATCTCTAAATTCAAAGAAATGTCCTCTCTAATAGAATCGCCAAGTCAGAAAACATTCATTTGTAGCAGCGATGGAAACTTACAAAGACGATGATGTAGCCTTTTCGATTTGCTCGTCGAGCGGAGATGCGGAAGTGAACCAACCCGCCATGGCAACTGCAGCTGTGAGACTCAATATCGAATGAAACAATAATAATGCCTCGGTATCGATTGGTCTGCAAGGGAATGCTGGAGCTTCGGAAGTGGGATGACGTTATTCAGCAACAAGAAGCCTGGTGGATATCGGGGAAGTTCTGAAGAGCGGTGGTACGTGTCTTCCAGCTATTCTGTCGAGAACGATGATCTTGATTTGACATAAAACAAGTCGATACTCAAAAGGAGGATGGATGCCAGTTGCTGTATCGAGACGGTGTGATGGACGTTTGGCGCAGGCAGCCTTCTTCGTGTACGGCATGTGGAGGCTGGTAATATTACGCCGTACTGTCATAGATACAGGCCGGTGCAGCCTAGTGGAGTGGGTATTACACAGAAAAAACCGGCCTGGTAACAGACCATCCAATAGCCGGCAAGCGTCGAGCTCCCAAACAAATGAGTGGCGTCATAGGCAAAGGCGGTGAGAGGCTGCCATGCCGGGCCATCGCGACCATGGATGCTTGTTGACCTTGACAACAGCCCCAAGAAAAAGCGAAAGAAAAGAGGGCGAAAAACTCGGTTGCCTTCAAGGTACGACGATTCCCATCAGCCTCCACCATTTTCCGCTTGTCCTCACCGCCAGGACGTCCCCTCGTTCACGCCGACAGCTACGGTTGCTGCCTCCACGTGTTACAATCAGGAAGTGAGGGGCGTGCTGACGAGATCTTCGACACGCAGCGAACACAACGCCCGTGCTACCCACGCCGATTCTGGGTCAAAACGATGCCCGATACAATATTTATACACTCCAGATAATGCCACCTGGAGCAGCTGTGCTGCCAAGCGCATTTGGCTCATCCGCATCAGGGAACGGTGGCGGCATTATCGGCGGCGGCATGCAACCCGCCGGCGGACGTTCGAGTTGGGCGAACCCGTCCCAAAATGGCGCGCCTTCGACATATCGCTCTCGTGATAGCCGAGTGCCTCTTCCATATATAAAAGATCTTCAAGACCAGGCTGCCCGGTTGGAGGTTGATGACGCGAGTCCGGTATGTCTCATTCATTTCAAACGGAGTATCGCTTCTGATGCTGACGGGAGCAGGTAACCCTTCTTTTAAGCACCGCTGCCGAGAGTATACGCAAATGTAAGGCTTTGGTTGATGAGGACCAAGTTGGGCTTGCCTACGTACAATTTCTTCGGGCATCCGAGATTGTTGTGAACATTATCCCTCGCCATGCAGACTATCGCATGCTGCCCTCGCAGCATCCGGACCGGTACACTCAGTTCTCGAATCTTTTGCTGGTGAGTTCTCTTAGATCTAACTCTCAACTTGGAACGTCGACATTGATAATCCAACTAGTCCATCAGTCAACAGCAGTCATCCATGGACACCATTAAACAACGAATTATAGAAGACAATTTGGCCAATAACTTGCCCCAAAGAAGCTCGGCTGTTGCGAGCAACACTGCCTCCGGAGGGAATTATACTACCTATAGACCGCCAAGCGGGTCACTCCGGATGCCGAGCCCAGCAGACTTCCAACGAGGTGATGTATCGCAACAGGATAATGTCCAGAGAACGAACGGCTCAACATCCAAAGCGGATGACGCGCTTGCACAAAGATTTGCCAGACTAAGTGTAACTCAAAGCTCGCTTTCCGCTCACGGATCCGCGATTACAGATCAAACCACACCCACCATGCCTAGGCTATCATCCGGGGTAGTGACGGATTATCCTCCTCGTCCTACGACGAATTCAATACCGAACACCATCAACACAGCAACTGCTGTTGGGTCTCCTAGACCCTTGGGTCCCCGCGCCATGGGATCAACGCAGTATGGGCAAGGGTCTCCTCAGAGGAAACCCTTGAATACTTCTAGCGTACCACTTCCTCGAGCTCCCAGCCCGACTTATAGCCCTATATGGTCAGCCCCATCCCAGCCGCAATCAAATCCACCTCGAAAGTCAACCGATAGCATCCAAGCGACAAACACAAGGTATTCACAACTCATTGGATCCAGAGTGAGCAGTCCCAGCATATTTGCTGGCGAAGATAATCCTTATAGGTCCCGCACACCGAATGGAATTCACCTTGCCCAAGAGAACAAAAGCAGTTCCGCCGAATTACCATATAATACAACAATAAGGGCTCAGCAACTACTTGAGTATATGCGGAAATATAACGTGTTGGTAATAGATGTACGTCCACGTGAGCTTTACGATAGTGGACATGTATATGCTCGCTCCATTCTATGTATCGAGCCAGTAGCGTTGAAAGAGAATGTATCTGCGGAAGAGCTAGAGGAACGGCTGGTTGTCTCTCCAGAACATGAACAGTCTTTATTTGAACGGAGAAATGAATTTGACTTGGTCGTATATTACGATCAAAATACCGACTCGGTCAGTTATCTTGCTGGGTCTCCAGTTGGAACTTCGGCACCTCACCTCAGAGCAATATACGATACATTATATGAATTCAATGCCTACAAACCTTTGAAAGATGGAAGACCACCGGCGTTGTTAGTGGGAGGTCTGGATGCTTGGGTTGACTTGGTGGGATCTCAGTCTTTGGCTACTTCTTCTACAGCAGCAATAATGGGGTCATTGCAGACCAAGTATACCCAGCAGAAGCGCGGGCGGCCCATTGGTAGAGTTCCGATGGCGAGTGCTAATTCCAGTCTTGAGATTCGCAAACGACGTCTTCGCGAGTTCACTCCACTGAATTCAGAGGAGCTGAGGGCGTGGATGGAACGCGCTAGAAACGAAGAAATCACACCTAGTACATACGAAGGAGATGAGGCAAGCATACCAGAAGAAGAAGCAGCGGATGACACCGCAAGTCCAGAGGAGCCTCCGTCTCCATTTGTTCATAGTTATGAAGATTTTCTCAGACGTTTCCCAGAACCACAGTCAATCCAACAATCAATGATTGTGCCGGAACCCAAAGCTGCCATGCCCTCGGTGCCTAATTATGCTACACCCGTTCCAATAGCCCCGTCACGGCCACCCCCTGCAATACCGCGGCCAAGCTACGGGGGCGTGTCGGATGGACGCCAGATACAGCCTACTCTAGCGCGTCAGAATTCTGCAACCAAAACTGCTCTCTACACACCCAGCTCGTTTATGACAAAACTGAAACTCCCTCGTACGGGACTAACGAACTTTGGAGTGACTTGTTATATGAACTCTACCCTTCAGTGCTTGAGTTCCACAACTGTCATGAGCAAATTTTTCATTGACGACCGTTTCAGATATTATGTTCAAAAGAACTGGAAAGGATCTCAGGGTGTTATGCCTGGTCTCTATGCAAATCTGATCCGTTCGCTGTGGAAGAACGATGTCGAAGTAATCATACCGACTTCCTTTCGAAACTTCTGTGGCCGTCTGAATCGAGAGTGGGCTATTGATCGTCAGCAGGATGCTAAAGAATTCTTTGATTTCGTGGTTGATTGTTTGCATGAAGACTTGAATATCAACTGGCAAAGAACACAGTTGCGCCCGCTAACGTTTGAAGAGGAAATGCAGCGTGAAAGGATGCCTGTTCCCAAAGTGTCAAAAATTGAATGGGATCGGTATTGCCACCGCGAGGAATCATTTATCTCTTCTCTGTTTGCGGGCCAGCATGCGAGTCGTCTGAAGTGCACAACGTGCAAACGAACGTCAACGACTTATGAGGCTTTCTATAGCATCAGCGTGGAAATACCACATACTGGCAGTGGTGATATTTATCAGTGCCTACGGAGCTACTGTCAGGAGGAAATGTTGAGTGGTGACGAGGTTTGGAAATGTCCGTATTGCAAGTGTGAGCGGGTGGCCACCAAGCAAATCATTATTACTCGAGCACCCCAAATCCTCGTTATCCATCTCAAACGCTTCTCTGCTTCCAAGACCCAGTCCGCTCGAAAAATCCACACGCCTGTCGACTTCCCGCTTCATGGTCTCCGCATGGATAATTTCGTGATACCCTACCCAGCTAGCAATACCGAATTCGGTGATAACGCAAACGGCAATTCGCCTGCGTCGAATTTCCTGTCGCCGACAACGCCGCCCTTCACGTATGATGCATATGCCGTGCTGAGACATCTGGGCTCGACGCTTAGTGGAGGGCACTATATTTCTCTCGTCAGGGACGCACAGCGGCAATGTTGGCGTCGCTATGATGACGATCGAGTCTCAGATTTCAACCCCCGAGATCTGCGATACTCTGATCGTCTTCAAAATGAGCAATCGTACATATTATTCTATGAGCGTGTCCCCGGGAAGTGAAAGAGGCGAATTTCTCCTGCTCTTCCTCTCCTTGGATTCACCAACGACTCTGATCCGGACTTGATATTCCAGCGTTTACATGTACACTCGCTGCAACTATATCACATCATTCATCACTGTCTGGCGTGCATGGATCTTTTGTTTTTGGCTTAGCAAGCACTTGTATAAAAAAATTTTTCTTTTATTTTTATTTTTATTTTTTTTTTTTAGTTACGAGATCATGATGGATGGCATATACTTTTTACTGTTATTTTGCTCGCCCCCCTTTGCATGAACGAGATACCAGTTTCTTTACTCTTTTTAATATACGGAACCTCTGGCTTAACTTAATGGTAATGCGCCGATGCTGATTGGCGAAGGCCTCCGAGCGGGGCCACTTTAACCAATCAGGGCGCAGGGACGGACTCCGCTGTGCGATAAGCCGTACGGAGTAGTAGAGTACTAACTTAGTACATGGAAGTACGCATACTGCACACCATACTTGTGGGATAGTTGTAGGACGACGGAGTATTGGGTGCATGGTAGAGAATTCAAAATGTAGGTACAGATCCTTTTTTCGTCTGGGAGATATGCATCTGCAGCGAAGACTTATCTATTAAGCAGGTAATTCGGTTATCGTTATACGGTATAATTAAAGAATTCCCTTCGGCTCCGCGTAAAATACCGTACTGCCATTACATACTAGCCCAGTCCAGGCCGAGGGAAACGTGCCTGGGCAGCCCGTGGGCCAACCAGCGTGACCGCTTTCTCATCCGCCGACTTTCTCACTCAACAACAGCAGGAATTAACCACCTGTCACAATCCATCCCACCATCTGTCTTTCGATCACTGGCCAACTCCACGTCTCCATCCTCTGTGAGTCTTTGTGCACCCGATGTCCTCACTCACGTTCATCTTTCTAGCCATGCTTTGGATATGGATAAACGCGACTTGAAGCTATAACACATCGGTTATCTTTATCAGTTTTGCTAACAGACCTACCTGGTGGTTTTATTCTGTAGGCGGAATTTCTTTTTTCGTTTCGTCTTGACGTGCATTGCCTTTTTTTCGCTAGCAGCCATGGCCGATAAGACATTCACCTTTGCCGAGGTTGCGACTCACAACACCAAGAAGGACCTCTACATGATCATCCATGACAAGGTCTACGATGTCGCCTCTTTCGTCGATGAACACCCGTATGCCCCCTTCCCCCCATTATCGGAACTTGCGATTCCATTCTATCTAATAGAAGAACAATGATAATATCTAACTGTTGTTTCATTTCAGTGGTGGTGAGGAAGTTCTTCTAGATGTCGGTGGTCAAGATGCCACCGAGGCTTTTGAGGATGTTGGCCACAGCGACGAGGCCCGTGAGATCCTGGAGGGCTTGCAAGTCGGTGTCGTTGAGAGAAAGGTATGTCAATATATATACCTGCCACTCCTGCTTCCAATCGTTCTGGAATTGAGTCAAATCCCCGGTTCTAACGTGATCCTATCATCGGTCGTCTAGCCCGGTGACCCTGCTCCCAAATCTTCCAGCTCCACCTCTGGCCAGACTGCCGGCTCCGGCTCCAGCTCTGGCGGACTAGGTGTCGGTCTCTACGCTATCCTCCTGCTTGGCGCTGCTGCCGCCTACGGCGCTTATCAGTACATCCAATTGACCTCGGCCGAGAAGCAGTAACATTTATGATTTTATTGAAGACTTTGGATGCAGTATCAAGTCATAAGCTTTTTTTTCCTCGATTCCCTTGCTCTTGTAGATTCTCTGTATGGCATGCATGTCTTTTTCTTGACGCTGTTCCAACAACCGGAGCACAGAATGATATGTTTCGATACCAGAGAATCAGGGAGGAGAGGAAGTGCCCTAAACACAGGAAGCGCTTGAGAATGGTTCATCTAACGCTGCTTGCTGTTCGGCTTCTGCCGCAAAGTAGAGCGTTTTTCCTTTCCCTTGATTCCCAGATATTTGCTTCATCTTCTTTCCATTATCACCCTGTCAAAAATGACAGTGTTTACATTGTGTCGCAATTCGGGGGAACAGATATCTTGTCCCTCACACTCTTTTAGACTATTTTTGCTTTGATAATGAATGCATTTTGAATCGAGTTGCCTAGACCAGTGATGCCTTGGCATGAATTGATTGGCATAGCTAGGGCCAATTCATATGCATGCGTGTATATATGGAGAGGGAAGGAGAGAGACCTACAATCGACATGGATGTATCATTATCCAAGGATATCGATGCCTAGTACATTGCTTCCTGATCGTTCATTGGACAACATCCATTGATGTCTCCGGCTCCGCGAGATCTCTCGTTCCGTCGGCGCCGAGGGACGTGATGCTTCACTCTCTTGCCAAATCTTTTCCTCCCAACACCGGGAGCAAGGAGTCCTGATGTCAGATGTAACTATCGTTCGAGTCTCTTGCCAAGTGGGCTAGTTAAAGTCTTCGAAATGACTAAGCAGGGTGGTCGCCGAGCCCTAAAGGCTTGTCGCTTCTGCCGTCAACGCAAGGTGAGCGAGCGAGCGATGCTCCGTTTGATGCTCCTGTTCTGAATACATGTGCTTATATTCTTCGTATGGTGTTTATTTTCCTTGGTTTTTACTCGCGACTCTATAGATCAAGTGCGACAACAGACAGCCGTCATGCAACGCATGCGATGTACTGTATATGGAAAGTCTTGCATCTATGAGGATCTCCCCAGACGCGCTAGGTTAGTTCTCCTTTGGTCAGATGTTATATGTATCTACTTAGATCTATTTCTCGTAAATACTCTTGTGATTCCATTCCGAGAAGCTCATTAACGAACCAGCACAGGCCGTCTCGCTCCCGTATAGCACAACTCGAAGAAGAAAATGACCGATTAAAACGGTCTTTAGTAGCGAGCCTACAATCTCATAAGGACATGGGAAATGCACATTCTCTTCCGGCAGAACTGCCTGAAGCATATCCTTCTCATGGCCACCATGCATCCTTTGAGAGACATGTAGTGACGAACAAGCCACAAAACCTGTTCCAAGTGTCAACTTCCTCAGCTCATCCACCACCTTGTTTAGATGACAATGAAGGTGCAACTCCTTCCGTGAATTATGCACCGCCTGACGCTGTAGAATCAAGGTTCGTGATGTCAGCCGAGGCAGAACCGAGATATCATGGTCCCACTAGCACACTCTTTGAAGATGGCACTGGAGATCGCAGGGTCCAACAAAGCATATCTTCTTTACCCAGAATTTCAACTGTATGGGTGCAGAAAGGCGTCATGGCAGAAGCGGCATGTCAACGTATGTTCACTCTAGCAAGGATCCTCTTCTTTCTCTTGGAAGTTCTCTCTTGCCAGGAAGCCACCATGTCTCCTACCAAATTATGCTGACTGAACATTCCATCCAGGTCATTTGGAGATGATTAACTTGCGGGAAAACATAATTGATTTTGATGGCGTGGATCCTGACCTCGGGATGCATTTCATAAACCTACACTGGAATCGCCAACATCACGCTTTCCTTATAACCTACCGTCCTGCATTCATGCGGGACATGGCATGTAAGGGTCCGTATTTCTCTAAACTCCTTCTGAATGCTATATACTTTGGTGCATCAAAGTTCAGTTCCCGTCTGGAGGTTCGCCATGATCTTAACGATGTCCGCACTGCTGGTTGGCTGTATCAAGAACGAGTCATACTCGGAGGAGCTCTTGACCGCAGCGATATAACCACATTTCAAGCTCTCTTAGTAATAGTAAGCTCTTTGTTTGCATTGGGCGATGAAAGAAGTGCCGCGTGGTTATACGCCGGCACTGCTTTTCGCATGATTATTGATCTGGGAAATGCATGTCGATGAGGCTAGATTGTCTAGCTATAGAAAATTCGCAGATGAGGAGCTTGAAATACGTAGGCGTGTTTTATATGCGCCAAGCGTAAGGATGTTTGAGTAGTTCCCTAGGTGGAGTTAACTCGGGCTTCAACTCACGGGAGCTGTCTGTCTCGGAGCGGCAGCGCGCATTCCAGGGACAGTCGTTTTCGAGGCGGCTTCGTCCAAGCAGGCTCTGGCAAAAGTCAGATTACAGGGACTTATAGATAGTGCAGCCACGAACTTGAACGTGTCCGTGGCTCCTAGAGCTACCCCCATAGTGACAGAGCATAACAGCGGCACAATCGATGCTGACGTCGGGTTGGGCCCGGCTCATAAGGTTAAGAGCGTCACAGTGTTTCGCACCGCGCGGAGGTTATTTGAGGGCACAATTCTGATTCCGATATAGCCATATCTTGTTAGAGCTGCTTTTAAAAACTTTGAAAGGTTTATGATGTTGTCGTTGATTTTGCTAGGCAAAAGCGGGGCCCACGAGCTAATCCTTTCAAGGTTTAGGCTTGTGCCGTGTGGGGTTAGTGTACTGGGGTAGTTCGGCCCGATGTTAGCCGGGTGCAAACAAGTCTATTTAGGGAGCTAAATCTATTTCTTATGATTGATATACTCCGGTTGACCCCGGTGATTTCCATAGTACGGTGGGGCTTACAGGGGTGCTTACCGCATGCCTATATTGGTTATTACTACACCTCAAAAATTTACTTATAACTACGCGCTCCGGGACGCGCTCTAATTAATTACATAGTAAGCAACAATAATATGCCTTCCACCCCAGAGCCTCCAGAGGCTTCATCTACAGCCTATTCTACACGGCTCAATCGAGATGATCGTATCCGCATATTAACGCTACGTGATGCCGGTTTTACATATATGCAAATTGCTTCACAGCTCAATATTACGCATATTCAAGTTCAATATACGTGCCAGAGCCAGCAAGCTACACCTAAAAAGGCCCGGGGCCAGACCCCCAAGCTCTCTGAGGAAGATGTTGATCGGATTATTGAGTGGATAAGCTCTTCAAAACGTACGCGCCGTATACCTTATTATAAGGTAGTACGTGAGCTCGAGCTTCCAGTTGGAGCTACAGCATTAGCTCGAGCGCTTAAAAAACGAGGATATACGCGTTGCAAAGCTCTCCGGAAGCCTCCTTTATCAGATGAGCATAAACGTGTACGTCTAGCATGGGCACTTGAGCATGTTAATTGGTCAACTGAGCAATGGAATCGAATTCTTTGGACTGATGAGACATGGGTTACATCAGGTTTCCATACAAGAATCTGGGTCACTAGAAAAGCTGGTGAAGAGCTAGATGATACGTGCTTACGTACATCCCTAGCTCGAAAACGTGGATGGATGTTTTGGGCTTCATTTCATGGTGGTATCAAGGGCCCATGTCTATTTTGGGAGAAAGAATGGGGCTCTATCGGATCTGAGAGCTATTGCCAGAGGATAGTCCCTATTATTGATGGATATATACGTCTTAATCGACAACAATCTCAATATCTTCAATTAATACAGGATGGCGCACCGGGGCATGCAAACAAGGATACGAAAGAGGAGCTACATATTAGGGGTATCTATCCAATATATTGGCCAGCATTCTCATCGGATCTCAATCCAATTGAACCTGTATGGAATTGGATGAAGGATTGGATACAGGAACAATATCCCAATGATGAGCAGCTTTCTTATGATCGGTTACGTGAGGTCGTACGGGCTTCTTGGAATGCCTTACCGGAGCAATTTCTTAAGGATTTGATTGAGTCCATGCAGGCCAGGTGTCAAGCTGTGATATCGGCCGAAGGTGGCCATACAAAATATTAGTGTAGCGTAGTATGGACAGAATTTAGCAACTTGATTGGTTGTTGACCCCTGCAGAAAAAACGTACTATGGAAATCACCGGGGTCAACCATAGTACGTATTCCACGGGTAAACGGAACGCACGGGTAAACGGAACACCACTTCAAAAATTCCCCTCGAATTTCAAACCGTCATATTCTCACCAACTTACCAACATCAAAAATGCCTCAAAAACGCATAAAAAATGAGCCAGGATATGAACGAAGGCTTCAGCTTGCTATTGACGCGTTAAAAAATCAACAAATCAAGAATGTGCGCGAAGCAGCGCGTCATTTTGACGTTAGTACGACAACGTTATGGGCACGTATGCGAGGTCGAATTGAACACCAGGAGGCCGGCATAAAACGCAGAAAATTGACTCCTACGGAAGAGGCCGCGCTCCGGGATTGGATATTATCTTTAGAACGGCGAGGATGTCCTCCCCGGCCTAATATGCTTCATGAAATGGCCAATCTTTTGCTTGCTGAAAGAGATACTACCCAGACACCTAGTAAAGTAGGTGTAAACTGGGTAAGATCCTTTTTGAAGCGACAACCTGATCTAAAAACAAGATTTTCACGTCGACTCGCCTATAATCGGGCTAAATGTGAAAATCCAACCATTATCCGAGGCTTCTTCGCTCAGCTTGAAGCGTTGAAGATTCAGTACGGGATTCTTGATGAAGATATTTACAACTTTGATGAGACCGGCTTTGCCATGGGGATAGTGGCCACAGCAAAAGTTATATGCAGCTCCGATCGTTCAGGAAAACCTAGTCTCATTCAACCTGGAAATCGTGAATGGGTCACTGTCGTTGAATGCGTTGGAAGTAGGGGTAACATGGCGCCTCCGTTGATTATATTCAAATCAACTCACCACCAAGCTGAGTGGTATACGCTGCCTTCTTTGCCTCCTGATTGGTTGATTACACATTCTCCAAATGGCTGGTCAGATGAAATCGGATTACAGTGGTTGGAAAAGGTGTTTGAACCGAATACTAGACCTCTTACTCTCGGCACCCATCGTCTTTTAATCCTAGATGGCCATAGCAGCCATTTAACACCAGGATTTGATCAGGCGTGCAATAAATATAATATTGTGCCATGCTGCATGCCGTCACATTCTTCTCATCTATTTCAGCCTTTAGATGTGGGTGTTTTCTCGGTTCTAAAGCGTTTATATGGACGTGCCGTTGAGGCACGGATTCGGCACGGGATTTACCATATGGATAAGGAAGCTTTTCTAGGAATCCTTCCGTCAGTACGTCAAGAAACGTATACCATACAAAATATAAAAGGAGGATTTTCTCATGCTGGGATTGTGCCTTATGAGCCTGAAAAAGTGCTATCTCAATTGCAAATTATCGTCAGTAAGGTGACGCCACCTCCAATGGAATCTACTTCGTCAAGAAGCACTACTTGGAGCCCTCGAACACCTTATAATGCACGTACGTTGGAGCGGCAGGCCACGGGGATCAAAAAGCTTCTTAATATATCTAATTTGAGCCCTTCCTCACCGTCAACCCAGGCGCTTAGTCAACTAATCAAGGGCTCCTTAACAATGATGCATAATGCTGCCATTTTGACTAAGGAAAACCATGATCTACGCGAGTCTCTTGATCAACTACAGCAACGGCGAGGTCGCCGTACAAGAGCACTACCAAATGAGGGTATTTTGACGGTTTCCGAAGGCAGAGAGCTGGCGCAGGCGCTTGATCAAGTTAATGAACCCCCTCCGTCGGCCAATCAGAATGAGGCTTCGCAGGCATCTCGACGCGCACCCCCTAGGTGCAGGAACTGCTTCTTACTAGGTCATAAACGTAATAAGTGCCCCAATCCTCCTAGGTAGTAAAATCTATGTTTTTTCGTTTTTATATACAATTTGTATGGGTTCAAAAAATGTGGTGGGTCCTAGGTGTTCCGTTTACCCGTGGAATACGTTATATACATATCCATCACGGCTTCCTATCTCGTGGACGACAGCAACCCCACAACCTGCTCATACACCGAGAAAACAATCCCTCCACTCAAAAAAGCCTTCCTAACCTCATCGTACTTCCCTTCCAGAACCTTCTCGGATCTGACTCCTTGAAAACGCCTGTCACAGCATCCTTCAGAGTAGCCTTCTCCGTGCCCTGCACTCGTGTCTTAACAGTATCAAAGTGCTGTGTAGCATACACAGTGATCATACCGGCAATCGAGCCAATGCCGAAAGTAGTGACTTCATTCAGGGGCACGTCGTAGTACTTGGCGCTTATATATACTTTTTATGCCCTGCTCGCGAATCAAAAGTTGGACACCGTGGGTAGCGCTGCGGAATCGTTTTGCGCCCTTGGTGTTGTCGATTCTTTGGAGACGAGTAAATAAGAGAACCTTAACTTTGACTACCGTAAGGGGAGTAGTAGACATACAACACAGTCTTAATCCTCTCAGTAGGTGTGAGAGCAACAATACTCTCGACACACCCAGCTATCATATCATGCCCGCCAAGATGCCAGACGATTTTGACAGATGGCCCTGCTCATCGGCGAGTGAACGTCCGCCATGTCTGTGGCAGATAATATAATACAATAGCGCTGTTGTGCAGCAACAACAACAACAACAACAAGAAGAAGAAGAAGACAAAGAAGACAAAGAAAAATATGGCCATTAAGATAGATGTACTAGTAGCTCTCTTCTCTTGCCTTTATTATTATTTGATTAATAGCTTGGTTCATGTCGGACTGATACCCAGCGGCAAGTCTTGCTCCGTGTTGCTTTGCTACGGCCGGAGGATGACGTGCCGATACTAGTACTGTATGACCATGTTATAGGAAGTTGAGACTGTGGTATTTGGCAAAGTACATGTTTCAAAAATGATGTACGTAGTGCATAGGGAACAATTACATGTGCTGCTGCATGCACTGGGTACCTACGACCTAGGTAGGGGGTGCCCCAGACGAATGTACCAAGGCTTCCGGCATCATTATATGTAAGTCAAGCATTCGTCTTTATGTAACAATTTTCTGTCTAGATAGATAGGTACATCGGAAATGAACAGGAATATATTAGATTTCAACTATCTAAATAAAGAGAGGGGGAGAAGAAATAACAAAAAGTTTACAAAGAAATATGTAGATATCAATCAAGTTTCCCGCATCCTAGCAAACAATTTGCGTATTGCTTTGCTAGTTGAATAGGAAATCTTCCCCCTTTTAGTTTCGTTTTTTATCACTTTTCTTTTTCTCTTCTTTAATTATTTCTTGAGATTGCTGGATGCTATATTATGAGCGAGAAGCGAGACCCGTGCGAACAGCTTCCAGTATCATCTCTTTGGCTTCTTCCAAGCCTGCACTTGTACCCTTCACCTCGATAGCCTCACCCTTGGCTTGGCTCTTGGGAACTTGGATGCGACATCCAGTTTTCTTGCGAATAGTGTTGATTTGGCTACCGCCCTGACCGACAACGAATCGGTATGTCTTCGGGTCCGGAAGAATGAGGTAGCCAGTGGCACCTTGCTGAGTTGCAGATGCCAAAGCTTTGTCCAATGCGGCCTTGGCTTTGGCTACGTTTTCTGTCGAGCCTGACAAAACCCATGGAATGACGGCCGAGGTATCCTCACCGGCAGCTGATGTATTTTCAACCACTTTCCATGAATGCGAGTCGATAGCCGCATCTGGTTCGTCTGTAATCAACGGAAGAGAAGTTCCATTGGAGGCTCCTCCGCGTGAATCGACTGGGGTCGGTCTGGCTGGTGGCTGTTGGCCTGCGTGATCTACTGTCACTTGGTAGTCATTTCGCAAACGCCGGAAGAAGGAGCCATTGTCGGAAACAACATGGTGCAAGTATTGAGGGACTTGGACGGTTTCGCCCTGTTGCTCTTTGAGAAGTTCCTCGATGTGAGCCTTTGCTTCCTCAACTGCATTGCTTGGCCCCTTGATCTTGACATCAGTGCGTCCCGATCCCTGCCGGGGAATGTCTATGGAAATGTTAAATTTGCTTTCCAGACCGCGCCTAGTGTCTCCGCCGCGTCCAATAAGCAATCGGTGTTGTGTTTGAGGCACTTCTAGTGTCGCTGTGACCTGATCCTCTCGCTCTTTGACAAATGCATCAATAGCTGCCGCAATCTTATCAACGACTGCACCGTTTCCTTCAAGTTTGATGGCCTTCTCATCGCTTTCTGCGCGAGGGAATTTGACAATGCGAGAAGCCGTGCTGTCGTCGGGTCCACCGGCTTCAACAATTATACGACGAATATTAGCACCTCCACCGCCGATAAGGGCTTTGTGGTGCTTCTTCTCGACTTCAATGGTCCTTGTAACGATCGAGTCAAATTCTCTGGCTCTCTGCTCAAGGATCTTCTTGGTGTCCTCTACTTGCTTCTTCGTGCCCTTGATTTTAATTTCAACGCGGCCGGAAGCATCAGGCAGATCCTGAGCGCTGGGAACGTCAATCTGAGCTCCAGTGTCGGCACGCAGTTTGTCCATCTCACGGCCGCGCTGCCCGATCAAAGAAGGAATTTGACTTTGGGCAACAGAAACGACGGCAGAATTGGAATGATCCACAACCCATTGAAGCAAACTCAGGATCTCATCTCTGGCGGCATCTGCGCCCTTGCTGGGCCCCTTGACATGCACTTCATCGGGAGCTTGATTGTTGCGCCCAAAACGGCCACCACCAACTTCGCTGGCCGTGTCGGCAACGGATTGGTCGTCATTCGTAGGAGAGGCTGCAGCCCGAGGGAATTGTACACGGACGCTGTACCTGTCCTGTAGTCGGTTTACCTGGCTACCCTTTTGACCAATCAAATCACGATGGTATTTGGCAGGAATCTTAAGGATGTGAGTTGTCTCATCTTCTAATTTCTTGCCTAAAGCAGCAATTCTGAGTTTTGCCGCATCTGCCTTTGCCTTTGGTCCTTTGACTTCAACCTTGCCGTTGTCGATTTTGATGTCAACGTCGAATTCATCCCGTAACTTGTTAATGTTCTCGCCACGTTTGCCAATGAGGAAGTTGGCGAATTTTTGAGGGAAATCAAAGGTGATGGTGTAGTCTCGTTCAAGATCATCTTTCTTCTGTTGTTCAACGAAGGCGAGGATCTTCAAAGTGAGCTCGTCAACATCACCAGAGCGTCCGCGCAAAACGACAGCACTCTCTGCGGCAGTGGCTGGTTTCTGACCATTGCGGCTGTCACCACCTTGTATAATTGCCCGAACGGGGATGTGGTCAGCATCTGCGTGCTCTTCCCGTGCAATGTACTTGCGCACTTTGTCGGTATATCTATAAAAAAAACTGAGGTTAGTCTCATGAAATAAACAGTAGGAATTTAGCAGGCGCAAACGTACTTAGCAGGAATAGGAACCGACTTCTGTACAATGTTCGATTGATCGCCTAGGGTATTAATTAGATATTCCTGTGCGGACTGGAGGGCTTGCTCAAATGCTGCAATATCTTCATTAGAGGGCCGTTGTCTTGGAACTTCGAATTGTGCCTCAGGTGATTGCTGTCCCTCATAAACAAGGATCACATCTTGGTTGTCAATTTCCTTAGGAACGATAATATGAACACCATACTGATCCCTAAGCTGAGGTGTACCCCACGAACTCAAATAAGAATGGAAGTACGGGTCAATTTGAACGGAACGAATTTTGGCGGGCGGATGGGCTTGAATCAGGTTCATGATATCGGAACGGGCACGGATGGTGTTCTTCCCGTCGCGAGAGTACACCTCCCAGGTGACAGGTCCGTCGACAGCTTGAGGAAGAACAATACGAGCGTCATATGCACGTTCCAAATCTCTGATAATCTGGCGTTGTTGGAGATAGGACGTGAGCGCTCTAGCATGTGCAGCGGAGTGTTGTCGAGACAGGTCAATACTGGCCATCTGCATGCTTGTAGCTAACTCCATTGCGCGATTAATGCCGGCTTCAATCTGACCAGGAGGCCCGGTAATTGTTAGGAATTCGCTATCATCGGAGGCAGGAGGCAAGATAATTCCACAACCAGTTTCTGCAAGGAATTCGTGGAGGGCCGTGTTGCTATCTCCAAGGATGAATTGATGCTGGCCGCGGTTAATAGCCAATTGACGCAAGGTCAGCTGGCGTTGCAGCTCGGCAGCGCGGCGCTCAATCTCAGCGCGAGCTTCCTGGGCAGCGTTACGTTCTCCCGAAATATGAATATGTCGGTCTGGGTCTGGAATGAAACGGATTTGACCAGGGCCGGCCTCTTGAGGTGGTGGTTGGTTAGACCATGTGTCATAACGAGGCACTCGGATTTGTGCCTTGGTACGTTCCTCAATGTCATTGACATGGGCGTTGTGGGCGCCGGCAATGAAAGGAAAGAATTCCGGTGGGATCGATTTCAATCGAAGATTGATATTTGAAGCGCGCTCCTTAACAATGGCTTCGATTTCGCGACGAGCCATTTCAGCGGCTACAGCATCTCCTTCTATGAGAACATCGATGGTGACACTGTCATCGTCCTCGTCACCAGGCATTGACTCCTCGGCTCTGGGTACCTGGACACGAGCACCAGTTCGCTGCTGAATGTCTTGTACAACAGCGCCCCCACGGCCAATAATATGGGCTCGCGCAGACGCTGGGATTGGTACACGGACGGATTGCTAAATGAATGCTTAGTAAAAGCGATTTTGAATTCCGAGGCGCACATTGAGAGAGAAAGGTACCTTTGAGCCCACTTGCTGAGCGACCTCCTTGAGAGCCTGACGAACAGCGTCAACGGAGCCTTTTCCTTCAAAGATTATTGAACCGTTTGGTCCGCCGCGCATATCAACTGTAGCCTTTGATCGTTTCGAAATGTCTCGCAAGATATCCCTTACGGGCTTTTTGAGCTGACTACGTGGAAGCATTTGGGACGGAACCAGACGCAGCTGTTCTACATGCTTTCCGGGTAAGCTCATAATTCTTGGTGTATTGGAGAAGTCGGAGGAAGCTGGAGTCGCATTTAGAGGTTAGTTATGTTGTCTACCAGTTTGTGTCTCTTGCATTAGTGTCCGGCTTGAAAACGTACTAGTTGGTTGGGGAATTCCTGATGCCCCATCCGTGGGAGCAGCCGTTGCAGTAGGCCTTTTTGTCCCCCAAGCTGTAGGCACGTTGGCCGCAGCCTTCGATTTGGGACCACTTCCCAATGCTGGGAACAACTCTTCGGACTGAACGTCGAATGCCGGAGCTCTGGCTGGCTTCGGGGCTGCCGGCGGAGCAGCGGCCTCGGAGGACTCGGAGGCAGATTGCTTGGCTATTGAAGATGGGGGAGGATGCTGAATATCATCCTCATCTACAGTATCCTCCACAGTCACATTGTGTTTTTCATGTTGCTCCGAGAGCAAGGCGGCAGGGGATTTTGAGGACTGCCCGCCGTTGACAATCAAGCCGGGGCCTTCGGCAGCCATTGCGAAATGCAATTGTTCTCACAGTGGTGGCGGAAAAAACACACAAAGGAAGAGAAAAGCGTCTTAGTAGATGAAATGATGCCAAAGAGATTGCTGTTCTCAAATAGCGCAAAGGTGGAATGATGCGAAAGGGGGAAGTGCTGCTCGAGACGATAGATGATGAGAGGAATTTCTCTCGCAGATGTGTATACTGTGCAAGAGCGAAGCAACTTACTATGACGCTTGCAGAGGCAAATACTGGTATGATCACTATACAGCGTTAATGATAAAACGCAGCCAAAAACCGACTGGACGCGTGGCTATAGCGAAATGAAGAATTGTGGGATGCGGAGAATAATGAGCACGGGGAATTGTTTTTGTCTCCGTGTGCTAATACATGACCAGCAAAGGGGAGAGGGAGAGAGTTGCACGAGGAGCCCAGGGAGGAGGGGAGGGCGGTCGACCAGGTGGATGGGGGGGGAGAAGTGAGACGAGAGAAAGAGAGGGCGAAGGGAGGGGGGAGAGAAGAGTTGATGAAGCTGAGCGAGAGATCTCTTGAGGCCACCTGCGGTTTGTCGGGACTTGGCGCCGTTGGGGAGAGACATTGTCCAATGGCAGCCGCGGGGGCCTCAGGCAGCGAGAATAATGCTCGACTACACAAACACTCAAGGATTTGGACACATACAGTAATTCATCATTTTTGACCATTGTTCTTTTTGCTAGCAATTAAGCTTGTCATTGTCTTTCTCTGTGCTCGAAGGGAGGAGGACCAGGAACAAGAATAACCATTATACATATCGAACGTTCGCTCAGGGGCAGGTCTGATCAATCGTGATAGAGATGGCTCATGGAAGCAATCTCCTTGATTGAGGAAGTCACGTTACCGTGGGTCATGTGAAGAACCTTAAATCAACTGCAGTCTGATTTTGATGTCTTCTTTGGGCACTGTCGACATTACGTGTCTCGATAACTACAACCTACCATGGCGCCTTTCACGGCCAGCAGAGATTAGGCAGTGCTCGTTAAAAGGCACTCCTGGGGCTCACAACCGATCAAGGATGCCGATGCCTCTGTCATTTAAAGAGCATGGCTAACTTTCCCGTTTCTGCTGGGCAGCTGAGTGCTGCCGTTCAATCCCCGTGAAAGAGCACGACTACGGCTACGGATTACCCAGAATCTGGCTCGGTATCCTCGATGTCGTTTCCCCAGTGCCCAAGGCTTTGAGCTTGCCGGGGCTCATTCAAGGCATGACCGAGTCTTGATCGAAGTGCAATGAGAACGAGAGCTAGAAGGCGACGTTATACTCGACAATGACGCTAAGAAGCCCTTCGTCGTCGTGGATTCTCCCAAGTCTTGCAGAACGCGCTTTGTCTGTACGCAGGGGTGCGCACCTCATGAAGGCGTCTGGTCGTGATAAGACCGAAGAATGGCGGCGCAAGATCCGAAGTACGTGCAATGAATAGGGCAGGGCGTCGTGATATGATGGATGATGCTGAAGCACGGCGTGTGTTGTGTGTGTTGTGGCTGTAGAACCGTGAACGAGCCAGTGAAACTGACAAACAAGCTAGTCCGAGCGGTGGGGAAGTAATTTTAATGAACAGATTTGAGTTCCAACTTCCCGCAGAAGCGAGGCCTAGATTTAGGGCGTATCGACATACGTATTAACGCAGTAGTTAGACGGAGTAATTAATAAATACTCCGTATAAGACTTAAATTAACTGCGTGTTCCCATTCTGATGATGCGCAAGGTATCGGCCCTCACCGAAACATGCGTCATAGGATCTGCTGGGCGCGATTCCTGCTCTGAGACACGGTCTTGGATGATATTGGCCCTTCCATTCTGAGGCCAAGCAAAAGCTTCGTCATCAGCTAACTTGCTTCCTGTAGTTACTTCCACTGCCACTCGCAATAGAACAAGCTAAGTTGATTAAACTGCATCCACCGTTGTACAGCGGGTTGGCGTATGGTACGGTACGGTAATCTCGCTCCCGCCCTCTGAAATTTCCAGCAGTAACTTTGTCCCTGTCAACACTCGAGGAATAACGAAATAATAGCCAATACTGATTGTCAGTTATCGCCACAAAACCACCCCCCTCGTTGCATTTCTCTTGCCTGCGCGGTGGTTGTTGATTCTCGCGGGCGCTCGCCTCCACGTGCTGTCCTGCAATACAAGTCACATTGGCACACCAACCGACAGGAACAACTCAACACAACCACAACCAACCAAACCAACCTCTGGCATCAATCAGCCATCCCTTGCTGCTGGCATCGACCATCACGCCGTCCATTCTCACATCTCGTTTCTCTTCGACGAGTCACCCCCCGCTCCGTTGCATACACGGTCTCAAGAGAGAGACACAGAAGGGAGAGAGAGACAGAGAGCCACCCGGGCGGAGGGGCAGCATCCCAAATCCAAAAATCCCGGGCCTCCATCAAACACAGCCAGAACTCAGTCGCTCGCATTGAACGCTCCTTTGCGCCCCATCTGACGGCATCAGCCGCTATCGTTTGCTGCAGCTGTCTTGCAGCGATCGCTCCCTGTTTCCTTGACCATGGACCAAGAACGTTCCACAGGCTTCAAATTCCGTCGCCCAAGCAGCAAGCTGCATAAGGAACCCCCGCAGTTCAATCGACAATTGAAAAGCCAGCAGAGCAACCCGTCGCTCAAGAGACACCCCTCTGCCCCCGTCTACCCGCGAAATTACACCGGCAGCCGAGAACACCTGCGCACTCGCTCAAATGCCTACGGGTCGTCGTCGTCGTCTTCGTTGGAACAGCAGCACAATAGCAGTGCAGGCCATTCACCCGTCGGTGAGTTTCTTTACTCTTCGCATCGCTCATCTCAAGGTCGGAGTCCCTACCCTCTTTGGTATTCATTGACCAACGACGCCTCAGATGAGTTAACTGGCCCGCCGTTCGATGTTCGGGGAATGTTCAATGTCCTTGAAGAGGGTGGTGACCCGGCCGATCACGAAAAGCAGCAACAAAGCGAGCTGTCGGCTACCCGCCGCCCACCGACTCTGCAATCATATCACACCAGCCCAGATTATCGCAGCAACCAGACCCTGCGCCAGTCTGCCAGCTTCACAGCCCTGAATAATCCACCCATGGACACGGCGCTTCCTCAAATCCAAGATGTGCCGTCGAGCTCCAAGAGAAACTCCGATGACGGCACCGGCACCAAGCCGCGAAGGAAGGGGACATTCTCGAGTTTTGTGAATAGCGTTCTGGGCTCACCGCGCAACATCAAGATCTCTGCGCCTGAGAACCCTGTTCATGTTACCCATGTTGGTTACGACAACCAGACCGGCCAATTCACCGTAAGAACCATGCTTTTATGATATTTTTTTTTTCTTTTTTTCTCAGTCTCTAATCTATGGTGCTGATTGCCTGTTTGCTTTTAGGGTCTGCCCAAAGACTGGCAGCGGATGTTACAAGCGAGTGGGATTTCGAAGAAGGAGCAGGAGCAACACCCACAAACAATGGTCGATATCATGCGCTTCTATGAAAAGAATGCTGCTGGCGCAGGAGATGATGAAGTCTGGCACAAATTTGACCACGCTCATCCCCGACACGGCGAATACCCAGATGCTATCAGTCCAACTCAAAGTCCTATTGCTGGTGGACCGGCTTCCGCGACAGGTCCGCGATTCCCCCAGAACCATGAGGGTAGCTTTGAAAATCCGCGCGCTGCTCCGCCAATTCCGAAACCTGCACAGACTTCCCCCGCGCCAATCTTGTCGCCTGCGATGCTCCCCCATCGCGCCGCTCCAAAAGCTCCAACAAGCGTACCGGGCATCGTTCCCTCTCGGCCACCACCACAGCCTCCTCTTGTATCAAGCAAAGCCCCGGCCACAACATCGCCCCCGGAGCCGCTTGCAACACCGCCCATACCCGAAGATGAAGAGCTAATTTCCAACGGCCCTGGTCCAGACGTTGCTGGAGCTATTCACTCTCCTGTTCAGTATCAACAGCAGCAGGAACGTGCCATGGCTGCGGCACAACAGGCAATAACCAACAAGCAGCTCGATAGAAGCCGCAGTCAGCGTCAGCAGCAACAGCCGCCTCAAACTCCACATCTAGAACCGCAGACTACTACTCCTTCAACAACTCCGCCGATAGCGCAAAGTCCATTTCCTAATGGGCAAGTACCAATTCCTCACCCTTCTCCACAGCAATCTGCTGCTTCCGCTGCTCGGCCACGACCGCGGGCTCGCCAAAGTAATGCTTTTGATGTTCGAGCCAAGCTACAAGCCATCTGCACGCCCGGTGATCCCACCAAGAAGTACTACAATTTGAACAAAATTGGACAAGGTGCTTCTGGCGGTGTTTTCACTGCGTATGAGAATGCTAGTAACAAATGTGTTGCTATCAAGCAAATGAATTTGGATTTACAGCCTAAAAAAGACCTCATTATCAATGAGATTCTCGTCATGAAAGATAGCAAACACAAGAACATTGTCAACTTCTTAGACAGCTACCTGCACGGACTAGATTTGTGGGTGGTGATGGAGTACATGGAGGGAGGAAGTCTGACGGATGTTGTTACGTTCAATATCATGTCTGAAGGACAGATTGCCGCAGTATGTCGTGAGGTAAGTACACAAAAGCCCGCTCTACTCGGTTACCGCAGGACTGACTTTTGTACTTAGACGCTGAGTGGGTTACAGCATCTTCATTCCAAGGGCGTCATTCACCGAGACATTAAATCGGATAACATTCTGCTGTCGATGGAGGGTGAGATTAAACTAAGTGAGGTGAATCCCTGCAATATTTGACGTTATTTCTTGCTAACATCTGTTTAGCTGATTTCGGCTTCTGTGCTCAAATCAATGACTCTCAGAACAAACGCAATACGATGGTTGGAACACCTTACTGGATGGCACCTGAAGTTGTAACGAGGAAAGAATATGGCCGCAAAGTCGATATTTGGAGTTTGGGCATCATGGCAATTGAGATGATCGAAGGCGAACCTCCGTATCTCACTGAATCCCCACTTCGAGCTTTGTATTTGATCGCTACGAATGGCACGCCAAAGATTAAAGACGAACACAACCTTTCAGCGGTCTTTCGGGATTTCTTACACTTTGCACTGCGCGTGGATCCTGAGAAACGAGCGTCGGCTCACGATTTACTCAAGGTTGGCATTTTCCCATCTCCTTCTCTCATTTTATTTCTTGCAGCAAGATGCACTGACCTTGCGATATTCCTACTGTAGCATCCTTTCATGTCCGTGTGTGAGCCTCTTTCCAGCCTTTCTCCTCTCGTCAAGTCGGCACGCATCAGCCGAGCCCAGGAAAAGGCCCAAAAAGGCGCATGATTTTCCTTTTTCTTCTCTGTTGTAAATTTCCTCTCTCCCTCCCTCTTCTTTTCTTCTTCAAGCTCTACGACCTCATTATACCCGTGCTTCCAGGGCACACTGAACGCATCCGCTCTGGACTCTTTCTCTGCAGATTTTATGCCTGTTCTGATTGCCTAGACGGAGAGTGTTGTCTTCTCCATTGCTTCTACTTCTTCTTCTCATCTTGCACTTCGCTCTAGAGCCGGTGTTTTTATTTTTCTTTTCTTTTCTTTTTTCCCCCCAACCCACGAAAACTTTATGTCACGAATCCTCTTTTCACGCATCTCTTCCTCTTTCCTTATGACTTTCCGGCTGTTAATGCATAATGTTACATAGAAGTCCTAGCATGTCCTTTGCACAGTCATCGATGGGTTGGCTATACAGACGGACGCTTCTCACACTAGCCTAGCTGTAACTCTTTCTCCATGGTGTGTGTGTAGACATAGATGCTCAAAACGCTGCTTTCCTCAGGCCTTCGCAAGGGCTTTGAATCAAACAATGTCGAATACGAATACGAATACTCGAATAGCAGTAACTATTAATTATTCGGTGTACTACCTACTGCGTCATAGCTTCCGCTGCCAACCAACGCGAGGTGAATGCTGAATGGCTGCCGTGCGACTCTCCGCCTTGCGCCTGTCCACTCAGACTTGGTTAGGTTGCAGCATTTCAACCTGAGCCGTTACAGCATTCTCGCTGTTCTGCTTCTTGCATCCCATCTGACTTCATCGCGAAGAACCAAATCCAGTGCGCTTTCCATCGTCCAGATATATTATTGTCCGCCAGCCGACCAGTGCGCTAGTCATCCAAACGCCGGCCATTTGCGCGGGGCGGGGACTATCAATCTCCATCAACTCAACCACCACCGCACCTGTGAAATATAACGACCTAGGCAATCCTCGTGAGAGAGAACCAGAATCGAAGCCGCATTATATCATTGCAGAAGAATCAATCGCATACATTTGACGAAGGCTGGGCAGCGCACTTCTGCTGGAGGTAACCATGTTTCGCGCCCAGCAGAATGCCTTTGACGACGCTGTCGGTGAGTTTCCCCCCCTCTCCCTCTCCCCTTTCCCTTCCAGTTTCCACGCTTGGAATTCTTGATCGACTAAAAAGCTGACGTGCTGTCATAATATAGCCAAGGCGACTGACGAGAACCTAACCTCAGAGAACTGGGAATTCATACTTGTGCGTCGAGAGAGAGCTGGGCTTATTTGTCTTTCGGATCTGACTGTAGCTTAGGACGTCTGTGATAAAGTAAACAATGAGGAATCTGGGTATGGCAAGGAACTCGTCTGTTTTATGTTTCCGTCATGGTATATATTCTGACATGTTTTTCTCTTCCAGTGCTAAAGATGCCGTTGCGGCCTTGATCAAGCGACTCGCCAATCGAAATGCCAATGTGCAACTTTACACGCTTGAGGTTTGTTTTGGTTCATTGTTCAAGGATATATCCAGTTCACTTATTTGCTATGTTTCTAGCTGGCGAACGCTCTCGCGCAGAACTGTGGTCCCAAGATTCATCGCGAGCTGGCTTCTCGAAGTTTCACAGAAGCCTTACTGCGCTTGGCCAATGATAGGGTGAGTCTTCTTTATCCAAAGCTCTAGTTTCAATCTCTCATAGTGAAATTGTATTAACTATATTCAGAACACACACCAGCAGGTCAAATCGAAAATTTTGGAGCGCATGGAGGAATGGACAGAAATGTTCTCCAGTAATCCGGATTTTGGCATCATGGAGCAAGCTTATATGAAATTGAAGACTAGCAGTATGCCTTTTCGAGAGGGTTCTTGATCAGGACAGCCAAGCTAATGTTAAGATAGATCCTAATCTCCAGCCGCCATCAAAGCCAACTAAACGCCAGATCACCGATATCGATCGACAGAAGGAAGAGGAAGAGCTTCAAATGGCGTTGGCGTTGTCAATCAAAGACAAGCCATCTGTGGATGTCCCAGAGCCGTCGAGTTCCGTCCCGGCGGCGGCAGCAGCAGCAGCATCGACTTCCAACCAGCCAGAAACCGTTAATGTAGCTGGTCAACCAATTCCATCAGGAACTACAGCAGCTACTGTCTCCAGAGTCAGAGCGCTATTTGACTTCCAGCCTTCTGAGCCGGGTGAACTTCAGTTTCGAAAAGGGGATATTATCGCTGTCTTGGAATCGGTTTACAAGGACTGGTGGAAAGGCTCATTGCGTGGTCAAACTGGAATATTTCCGTTAAATTATGTTGAGAAGCTTCCAGATCCCACCCCCGAAGATCTGCAGCGCGAAGCACACATGGAAGCGGATGTGTTTGGCCAGATAAAGAATGTCGAGAAGCTCTTGACCCTTCTCAGCACAAGTAGCTCTGAGTTGAACGTCCGTGATAACGAGGAGATTACACAACTCTACCACTCGACGTTAGCCATTCGACCGAAGCTAATTGAACTTATTGGGAAGTATTCTCAGAAAAAAGGTATGATCAAACTCCACCTTCAGATGGACATACTTTTTATTGGAGTTTCACTAACACTCATCCAGATGAATTCACGCAACTCAATGAGAAATTTATCAAAGCGCGGAGGGATTACGAATCTCTTTTGGAAGCTTCAATGTCGCATCCTGCCCAGCCACAGTACGGCAGGCCGCCTGGCCCTCAGCAAGCCTATGCCTATCCCCCAACAGGAGCACCACAAGGCTACCCCCCAGGTCCTCCAGGCGCTGGGCAAGTAGACCCCCAGCAATATTATAATACCCGGCCACAAGGTAAGCCCGATAATTGTTTGCACTTAACAAGATGGTAGCTGACTTGTCAGAACCTCCAACAAATGGTGGCCCGGGTTTCTACGCTGCCGATACTTCGCGTCCCTATCCCCAAACATCCCAATCACCAGATCCACGCAAACAGACGCCAACGAACGGTCAGCCCTTTGCGCAGCCACCTCAACCCTCAGAGCTTTACCAGCCCGTGCACCATCGCCCGCAGTCGACTGCCGAACATCCGCAAGAATTGGGAACTTCCGTTTACGATTCGCCGGTGGAACCGCGCTACCAATTTGCCTCTCCTGGAACAGCGTCTCAACCGCAACAGCAGTATCAACTGCAGCAAGTAAATGAGTACCAAACTCCACCGGAAGATCAGCGACCAATCCCCCATCAGTTCCCGCCTTCACAGCCCCCATATCCCACATCAGCAACACCACAGCAACCACCGCCGCCCATCCCTACAACTAGCCCACAGCCAACGCCCTATCCAGCATTGAATGCCGGACACCCTAACTCGGTCTATAGCGGATACCAGCAGCCGCCTGCTAACTCTGTGAATTCGAACCCAGCCTCGTATTATCGATAAATCGACCCCGCCAGGAACAACAAGGTAGTTCGACGTATTTAAAATAGCAAGGGAATTCAGTTAATGCTCACCCAATCCATCATGTATTCATACCAAAGTGTTGTCTTTTTCCTTATATTCTGTGTGCTGGATCAGATCAAACATCCTTCTTGGCTTGAATTATTCGTTTGCAGGCGGGTTCTGTTCATTCACACAATTGAAGTATGATTGATTCCTTTGTCATGTTTATGAAGATAGTCTCTGAGCTGAGTGAGATTTTATGAGAAATGGTTACGTTCGTGTTTTGCGACGTAGTTAATACGATCTATAGAATGTATGATAGAGGGCCACGTGACTTCGTGTATAGTGTTTATGGAGCCGGCTGGCTGCCTGCCAAGCTTGATCCTGCTTCAGACGAGTCGCTGGCTGTAACTACGTACGTCTCCCCACACTTCTCGATACAATTTCCAAGACACACTCCGCACTCAATCCTTCTTCAAAATCCCCTGATCTATCTTACTTTCCGAAGAAGAAGACTTGGACCATGGCCGCTCGCCCAACAGCCTAAAGCCAACTAAAACCCCGCGTTTGTTTCCCGCGTGCCCGCCGCCCTGGACGATGACGCCGAGCTGTCTCGGCATGATATGTTGGGGGACTTGAAAAAAACTTTGCAGTCATTGCCATAAATATCGCGCCATATTAGAGCTTGAGGGGCGAGGCGAGGGTCTTTATGGGCTTGGAAGTGAGACCACCGAGGTCATAATGGAGGCCGATTGGGATGAGGTGTCGCGAATTGCGGTGCCGCCTCCAGGCCCGCATGTTCTCCCTACCATCGCAACTGCCATTGCGTTTGATGACATCCAGGAGCTGCTATGGGCTGGCAACGAATATGTAAGAGAAAGAGACTCTTAATGCTTATGCGGCGCTAACTCTTTTTATTGCTATCAAGGGTCGAATCACTTCTTTCTATGGCCCCGAGCTTCAAAGATACACCTCAATCCGAGCACATCCAGTGTCCGAAGGTTCTGTGCGGCAGTTTCTTTTCCATGAAAAAGGCGTCATTTCCCTTTCGTCGAGGAGCATTCATATGGTCACGCGCCGCGGCTTGACGCAATGGCATATCACGCATACCGATATGATGGACTTGCGTTGTATGAGCTTCACCGCGCAGACAAACCGTATCATTGTTGCGGGATGTCAGAAATCAATGTTCAACATAGACATCGACAAGGGCGTCATCATCGACACGATACCAACGGAGTTTAATTATACGATTATGAAAAAGAGTCGATATCTTTGTTGTGCCACAGACACGGGCTCTGTGAATGCATTGAGCCTGGCGGATTTCAAGGTTGTGAAGACTTGGAAGGCGCACGGGGCTGCGATTAATGACATGGATGCACGTAATGATTTCCTAGTGACTTGTGGGTTTTCGGTTCGGCACTTGGGTGCCCCGATTGTTGATCCGTTGGCGAACGTATACGATCTAAAGACCTTGGCTCCGTTGCCTCCGATACCATTCCATGCTGGTGCGGCGTATGTTCGAATGCATCCTAGGCTGCATACGACTAGCTTCGTTGCTTCTCAGTCCGGTCAGCTACAGGTGGTGGATTTGATGAACCCCAACACCATCAACCTGCGCCAAGCAAATGTCAATTTTATGCTGGGCCTTGAGATCTCTCCGTCGGGGGAGGCCCTGGCAATCAATGATGCCGAATGCGCTATTCATCTATGGGGATCGCCCACCAAAATTCACTTCAATGAAATGAGCAAGGAGACTGAATTTGCCGACGTGCCCACACGACCTCAACTGGTTGACTGGTCTCCAGAGACCCCGTTGAGTATGGTTGGGATGCCATTCTATAATGAACGCTTATTTTCCGCATGGCCCAGTCATCTTGTATTCGATTATGGAAGCCCTCCCGCTCCTGTCGATCCTTCCATTCTACCCTACCTGCGGCCGGCTGAACTGGGGCATTATGCCGCAAACCCAAAGAAAGGACGACGATATCAAATCGAAAACACACGCCAGGTAGTTTCTGCAGAGCCGGCTCTGGTAGCGCCTAAATTCCTGAGTGAAAAGGCTCGTGAGTCTCCACGGAGTAAATCTGATGGAACTATGGGTGATATCTCCAGTGCGTTGGCAAGCGCAAAAATTGGTGCCGAGGTGGAGGAAGACCCCTTGCTCAAGTATAGCAACGTTGAGATCAAGTACAGCAAGTTTGGTGTTGATGATTTTGATTTCAGGTATGGCTTCTACCCCCTACTGTTTAACTAGGTTCGACTGCAGCGACTTAACTAACTTGTTCAAATAGATTCTACAACAAAACTACATTCTCTGGCCTAGAAACTCATATAGCGAACTCTTTTACCAACTCCCTTCTTCAACTATATAAATTCATTCCCCTAGTACGGAATATTGCGCTACACCATGCTGCAAGCAGTTGTCTGTTCGAAGATTGCCTGCTATGTGAAATGGGATATCTATTTGACATGTTGGAAAAGGCGAATGGTCAGAACTGCCAAGCCACGAATCTCCTCAAAGCGTTCAGCAATTCTCGTGAGGCTTCCAAGTTGGGCCTATTGGAGGAGAACCTGACGAACAAAGCCTTGTCGGGTGCTATTCAATCAGTCAACCGGTTTATGTTGAATCAAGTCTCCAACGAGCATCGTGCCGTCGCCCCTGAATCTGAGGAACTAGATCGTAATCTTGCCACGATTGCTTCGGAATCGGTTCGATGTATGTTCTGTCGAAATGAGACCATCCGACCAGGCAATGTCTTTGCCAATGAGCTTATTTACCCTGTTCCGGAATCGAAGCAAGTGCGACGAGCTCCTCCGATTAAATTCTCTTCGATCCTCAAGTCTAGCATTGAGCGAGAAACCCAGAACAGAGGCTGGTGTAACCATTGCAGACGATACCAGCAAGTGGCTATTCGCAAGACTGTTCATCGCATGCCACCCGTCTTGATGTTGAATACAGGACATACGACACCGTACTTCCGCCAAATATGGAGTAGTCCTGGGTGGCTGCCAGAAGAGTTAGGCATTATTATTGAGAATGGACAATTACTTTGTTTTGAAGGTGATGCGCTTCGAAGCCGAGTTCAGAGTAGAACCCCAGGCTTGGTAATATACGAGCTGGTTGGGCTGGTCACGGAAATCAATATCACCGAGCACCAAAAGCCGCATCTCGTGTCCTTCATCAACGTGAGCGTGTCTGCACGGCAGCCTGAAGAGAAGAGCAAGTGGCATTTATTCAACGACTTCTTAGTCACTGAAGTGAGTCGGGAGGAAGCGCTGAAATTCACAGATCCTTGGAAAGTGCCTAGTGTGCTGGCATATCAAGTCAGAGGTGCGAGGCATAAAGTTGACGATTCGTGGAATAAAAATCTTGATACAAGCTTATTGTTCCATGAATGGGCCATGAAGTATGATATAACCCCTAATGCCATTTTTGCTATATCTCTGCTAACATTAACACTACGCTTTCTAGTGGTGGTCGAGCTATCGAGTTGTGCAATATACTTGCTCCTGAGGAACGGCCGCAACCTGGCACACCCGTTGCGCTTGATACAGAATTTGTCGATCTGGAAAAGGCAGAAATCGACGTTAAAGCCGATGGTTCTCAGGAGATGATTCGGCCCAATAAAAGCGGCCTTGCTCGAGTGTCGGTATTGAGAGGATCAGGGTTGCATGAAGGCGTCCCTTTCATCGACGATTATATTACTATCAAGGAACCAATTGTCGATTACGTGACGCAATACTCTGGGATCAAACCCGGGGATCTTGATCCACGGATCAGTCAACACAATCTAGTCCCTCTAAAAGTAGCATACAAAAAGTTGTGGCTGCTGCTTAACCTGGGCTGCGTCTTTGTCGGCCACGGGCTCGCGTCAGATTTCAGAAAAATCAACATTCAAGTGCCCAAATCACAAACCGTCGACACGCAGTACCTATTCTTCCATCCAGCGAAAAACCGTCGATTGAGTTTGCGGTATCTTGCATGGGCTGTTTTCAAAGAATACATTCAAGAAGAAGGCGCAGATGTCACCGAAGGACACGACTCAATAGAAGACGCCCGCATGGCTCTTCGACTATGGAAGAAATTTCAAGAATACGAAGACGCAGGAATTGTGACGCAAATGCTAGAGGAGATATTTTCTCAGGGGTTCAAATTAGGATTCAGGCCCCCTCCTCGAAATGGACATTCAACGCCTAGCGCCGCTTCTACTGCTGCTCTCACTCGACCAGGAACGGCCATTAGCAGCAGCAATGCTACAAACGGCAGTGGCCGGAACACGCCGGATCATGTCGCTGGGACAGTAGGCGCAGGAAACAGCACGCCGTCTACGCCCCGTCAGGCATTTAGACGGTCGAATGCTTTGACGCCTAGTAATGGAACGTTCGGGGCGCCTGGACAGCCGGATTTCTTCGGTGGGAGTCCTCTTCGATAGCACATTCTATGTTAGAGGCGTTTATTTATTTGGCTTTTTGTTAATCTAGACCCAAATACAGGCGGAGCTTTAGTCGGCTTGACCACTTCACACACATTTTTGTATCTCATTGATCCTAGAAACATATAACGTATTTCCCGGCTCAACGGAACACCACCGACCCACATTATTTTTCAATGCCATATAAATTATATGTGAAAACCAAAATTTATTGATTTAACTAGCTAGGAGGATTAGGACACCTGTTACGTTTATGCCCTAGTTGCCAGCAATTCCTACACCTTGGGGGTGCGCGCTGAGGTGCCTGCGAAGCCTCATTCTGATTGGCCGGCGGAGGGGGTTCAACAACTTGAGCAAGTAACTGTGCCAGCTCTCTGCCTTCGGAAATAGTCAAAATACCGTCATTTGGTAGGGATCTTGTGCGCCTACCCCGGCGTTGCTGTAGTTGATCAAGCGAATCGCGTAAATCGTGATTTTCCTTAGTCAAAATAGCAGCGTTATGCATGATTGTTAAGGATCCCTTGATTAGTTGATCAAGCGCCTGAGTTGACGGCGAAGAAGGTTTCAAATCGGATACATTAAGAAGCCTTTTGACAGAGGAGGCCTGTCTTTGCAACGTACGTGCGTTATAAGGTGTTCGGGGGCTCCACGTAGTGCTTCTTGACGAAGTAGGTTTGACTGGAGGCGGCGTTCTCTTCTCAACACAAAGTTGCAATTGAGATAGCACTTTTTCAGGATTATAAGGCACAATCCCAGCATGTAAAAATCCTCCCATAATATTCTGTATAGTAAATGTTTCTTGACGCACAGAAGGAAAGGATTTTTAGAAAGGCTTCCTTATCCATGTGTCGAATCCCGTGCCGAATCCGACTCTCAACCGCGTGTCCATATGAACGCTTAAAAACAGAGAAAACGCCTACATCCAAAGGCTGGAGTAGATGAGAAGAATGCGGCGGCATGCAACATGGAATAATATTATATTTATTGCATGCATGATCAAATTCCGGTGTCAAATGGCTGCTGTGGCCATCTAGAATTAAAAGACGATGGGTGCCGATAGTAAGAGGTCTAGTAAAAGGTTCAAACACCTTCTCTAATCACTGTAATCCAATTTCATCTGACGGCCAGCCTTTTGAAGAGTATGTAATCGACCAATTAGGTGGCAGCTGAGGCATCTGATACCACTCAGCTTGGTGATGAGAAGATTTGAAAATAATCAACGGCGGCACCACGTTACCCCTGCTTCCAACACATTCAACAACAGTAACCCATTCACGATTTTCAGGTTGAACAAGACTAGGTTTTCCTGAACGATCAGAACTGCATATAACCTTTGCTGTTGCAACTATCCCCATGGCGAAGCCCATCTCATCAAAATTGTAAATGTCTTCTTCAGCAATGCCGTATTCGATTTTTAGCCGTTCTAGTTGCTCAAAAAAAAAGGTCGAATAACGGCCGGATTCTCGCACTGGGCCCTATTGTAGGCTAATCGGCGTGCAAATCTTATTTTTAGATCAGGTTGTCGCTTCAAAAAGGTCCCTACCCAGTTCTTACCTACTTTACTAGGTATCTGGGTAGAATCTCTTTCAGCAAGCAAAAGATTTGCCATTCCCTGGAGCATACTAGGCCTAGGGGGGCACCCGCGGCGTTCTAGAGAGAGTATCCAATCCCGGAGCGAGGCCTCCTCAGTAGGAGTCAAGGAGTCAATTTTCTGCGTTTGATTCGACCCCGCACACGTGCCCATAACGTTGTCGAATTAACGTCAAAAGTGCGCGCAGCTTCGCGCAGATTGCCCATTTGTTTGCTTTTTAACGCGTCAATAGCAAGAAGAAGTCTTCCTTCATAAGTAGGATCTTTTTTTAGCGCGATTGGGAGGCATTTTGAATGGTGTTAAGTTCGTTATAAAATGACGGGTTGAAAATCGAGTGGAATTTTTGAGGTGGTGTTCCGTTGAGCCGGGAAATACGTTAAATATATATAGAATTAATGTTGCTTACCTAGCTCGACTCGGCGCATAGTTGGGATTGACGTAGGCATCGGGCAGCCCGCTCCACTTCAGCCCCTCTCCCAAAACAAAAGTCACGGCGCTCGTTCAACTTCCTACATTTAACACCGTTCCCTTTCTCGTGTTTGTTTCACTCAGGGGACACGTGAGGTTATCATTTTGACAGAGAGCAATCACCTAGTTACACGCGAGCCTTGCTGTTTTCTCCTATCTCTACATACACCCCCCGCTTCGACATGTCCCGCCACCGCGTCAAATCACTCGAATACGACGACGATGCCTTTGACGAGGAGGAAGATGACTACGGCGAGGAGGACCCTGAAGAGCAGGCGCAGCTTGAAGCTTATACAAACCAAGTACTCAATGAGCTTCGCACGGGGCAACCGCCCGTGACAACTGCGTCGCGACAAGAGGTCCAGGAAGCGCTGTGGCATTACTATAACGACGTTGCAAAATCTGTTAACTATCTTCGTGGTATTTAGTCTTTTTTTTTTTTTTTTTCTTTCAATCTTTGGCATATGTAGTATTGGTTTTGGTTATGTTTGCTGATGATGTCCTAATTTAGGCAAGAAGGTGAAGGAGATCAACAAAAAGAAGGAAGCGGCGTCCACGTCAAAGTCGAAGGCAGCAGCGGGTGAGTTATCCCTTCATCTTTCTTTTTGTTCCCCCCTCTCTCCTATACCATCACAAGAGAGCCTGGAAGGTGGCTTGGCTGGGTAAATCCGAGGAATCCTACGACTTGTAAGTTCATTCTTGTGTTGCTCTGAGTTCTGTACACTGACGGACTTTTGGTAAGTTTTCCCCTTGGTTTCTAACAGGGTATTTGTTTGCCAGTGTCCTCTTCCTACCCCATTGACTACACGCAAGACCCTTTTCTTCAATGCTCAGTTCCATTCTCAGCGGCCGACTTCTTCCGTGATACGCCGTGGTTGAACGTTCCGCAGCATCGCAAGGCGGATATCATTATCGAATCACTATATCCACGTCTGGGACTACCCGGAGGTGCTGCTGCACAGGAAGGAAAGATGTCCAAGTTGGCTGCCCTGGCAGCGGCACGGAAGAAAAAGAATATCGAGAAGCCTTCCGACGGAGCAGAGACACTGTTACAGCCTCACCTCAGTGAACAGAAGCCTACTCCACGCTCGTTGTCAGAAAGGCTGGCAGTAAACAATACGAGACCCTCTGTCAGGCCTGGGGGACTATCCGGTATCACCAGAGAGAGCCGTGGGAATGGTGGTCGTGTTGCAAATTCAAAGAGCACCCCAACGGTTTCAGAACCTCATAAGAAGGCTGTTGCTCAGCCACCGGTTGACAAGGGGAGAATAGTGCAAGAGACTGCAAAAAGGCAGCAGCCCTGGGAAGACATGGACTTGTGTGCAGTTCCTTCAACCTTTGCAGCAACAATCGTCGGAAACGAAAGTCCTTCTAAGACGTTACCTGGACCTAGCCACCTATTCGGCAGCAGTTTTGATGTTATGCATATTTACCAGCAGGACATGACTGAAGCATTTGACTTTGCAGGACCCAGCCCCGATGACGTTGTTCTCAATGCACAGAGTGCATCCAAAGGTTTGCCTATTCGAGCAATGAGATGAACAGAAAGCAATTGCACATTGACACATGTATCAGGTCTGAAGTCAAAGCAACAGGCTGGCGCCAAAACATCCGGGGACAAGAAGAAAACTCCGGAGGATTTGTCGAATGGAATAAAAGCAATGACAGTAGAACCGGTGAAAGTGAAGAGTAAAAATCTGGACGTTTTGGCAGAATATAAAAAGTCGAAGCAAAAGAAAGCAGCAAATTTTGTAGTTATTGGTGAGATTTTACTTGCAGCATTCCGTGAAGCCTTACTCTTACTACATAAAATGCTAATAACCATGGATTGATAGGACACGTCGATGCTGGGAAAAGCACCCTTATGGGGCGTCTACTCGCAGATTTGAATGCTATCGACCAGCGAACAATGGATAAATACCGGCGAGAGGCTGAAAAAGTCGGAAAAGGCTCGTTTGCCTTCGCTTGGGTGCTGGATCAAGGCTCAGAAGAACGTGCTAGGGGAGTGACGATAGATATTGCGACGAATAAGTTTGAGACAGATAAAACGCGGTTTACCATTGTGGATGCACCGGGACACCGCGATTTTATACCGAACATGATTGCTGGGGCTAGTCAAGCAGACTTTGCGGTTCTGGTGATTGACGCCGGAACGGGGAATTTCGAGTCAGGCTTAAAGGGTCAGACCAAGGAGCACGCTCTGTTGGTACGAAGCATGGGCGTTCAGAAGGTTGTCGTTGCGGTCAATAAGATGGACATGGTATCGTGGTCGAAGGACCGCTTTGATGAGATCGAGCAACAAATCTCGTCGTTTCTGACTACAGCAGGCTTTCAATCCAAGAACTTGTCATTTGTGCCTTGTTCTGGATACCATGGAGACAACATCACTACGCGCAGCAAAGATAAAAACGCCACATGGTATACCGGTCCCCTTCTGATTGAGACCCTAGAAACGTCCGAGCCTTTCTTACATGCTCTTAATAAGCCACTGCGTCTTACTATTGGCGACGTATTCCGCGGCGGCGTGCAGAATCCACTCTCGATCTCCGGGCGTATTGATTCTGGATCTCTACAAGTCGGGGACAGCATTTTAATTATGCCCAGTGGAGAGTCAGCCTTGATCAAGAGCCTGGAAACTGATGGAGAGCCTAGTGATTGGGCTGTGGCAGGCCAGAATGCAGTTCTGCATCTTGCCAATATCGACCCGGCTCATCTCAGGTCAGGGGATATTGTTTGCAACCCTCAATCTCCGATCCAGAATATTCAAAGCTTTACTACCAAGGTGCTTGCATTCGACCACTTGATGCCGATGCAGGTAGACGTCCATCGAGGTCGACTGCACATCTCAGGCCGCATTAGTCGTCTCGTTGGCACGCTGGACAAAAGCACAGGGGCTATCGCCAAAAAGAGACCGAAGATTGTCCCTCCAGGGACTGTTGCAAGGGTTGTTGTGGAGATGGACCATCCTGTGCCCCTTGAAGCCCCTGCAAGAATTGTGCTCCGTGCTGCGGGCAGTACTGTGGCGGCCGGACTGCTAGAGTGACGGTATATCTAAAGGGCTAGATAGACGAGGACATAACATAGGAGCATTCATTAAGTGCCTATATTCACTCCATGTACGCGTAGCAGCTTACGGCGGCAAACATAAACAAGCCCGGTACGGCCAGCTGTAGCCTAGCAAGAGGACATGGTGGCAAGTTGCAGTTTTCCAGCAAGTTCGAAAGCCATCAAAAGAGGCTCTTTGTCGGGTTCTGATTGGCCCGCCCGCATGAGTCAGCCGCGCGTGGCCCCAGGCACGACAGCCAATCAGAGCGCGAGAAGTAACCTTAAATGCACAGCGAAAAGGCCAGCATGGCCCATCCGCCGCGCTGGCCGATTATTACAAGAACTGCGGAGCTTCCTTCTTACCCTTCGTTCTTCATTCCTCTCTCTCTCATACTTCCTTCTCTCATTCTCATATCTCCCTTGGCCTTCTCATTCTTTCTGTTTTTTTAATTTTGAGAGGTATTCTGCCCCCCTGACTAGTAGCCAAGGCCTTTTTTAAAGCGCGGAGGCGAGCTACGCGAGTAGTTTGGAGATCTCTTGTCCTATATTGCCCACGTCTATAACATCATGGCCCGCGGATTAAGGCCAGACAATCAGTCCAAGCCTTTCGCTTGGACCACTGTCTTCTACCTTTTGCTCGTTTTTATCGCTCCTCTCGCGCTTTTGGGAACCGCCCATGCCTCGGAGGAGCAAAATGTCACTGACAACTATGGCACTGGTGAGTCACATTGCCACCGTGTGGAAAGAGGAGAAAATGAAATAAAATACTAATAGTACCGTCTGTCTCTAGTCATCGGAATCGATTTGGGAACCACGTACTCTTGCGTCGGCGTGATGCAAAATGGCAAGGTTGAAATTCTCGTCAACGACCAAGGAAACCGTATCACTCCCTCATACGTGGCCTTCACTGATGAGGAGCGTTTGATCGGTGATGCGGCAAAGAATCAATACTCGGCTAACCCTACACGTACAATCTTCGACATCAAGTGAGTGTGTTATTTATCGCCAGGATTTTGCTTCTACTAACATCTATTAGGCGTTTGATTGGTCGTAAGTTCAATGATAAGGACGTTCAGAAGGATATCAAGAACTTCCCCTTCGAAGTCTCTTCCAAGGATGGCAAGCCAGTCGTTTCAGTTGACGTCAACATGTCCTCCAAGACTTTCACTCCCGAGGAAGTGTCCGCCATGGTCTTGACCAAGATGCGTGAGATCGCCGAAGGTTACCTTGGAAAGACTGTTACCCACGCCGTCGTTACCGTTCCCGCCTACTTTAATGACGCTCAACGTCAGGCCACCAAGGACGCCGGTACTATTGCCGGCTTGAACGTCCTGCGTGTTGTCAACGAACCCACCGCCGCCGCTATCGCCTACGGTCTGGACAAGACTGGTGATGAGCGCCAGATCATTGTTTACGATCTTGGTGGTGGTACTTTCGATGTGTCTCTCCTCTCTATTGACAACGGTGTCTTCGAGGTGTTGGCTACCGCTGGTGACACTCACTTGGGTGGTGAGGACTTTGACCACCGGGTTATGGATCACTTTGTCAAGCTTTACAACAAGAAGCACGATGTTGATATTACCAAGGATTTGAAGACCATGGGTAAATTGAAGCGCGAGGTTGAAAAGGCCAAGCGAACTCTCTCTTCCCAGATGTCTACCCGTATTGAAATTGAGGCTTTCCATGAGGGCAAGGACTTCTCCGAGACCCTTACTCGCGCCAAGTTCGAGGAACTCAACATGGACTTATTCAAGCGAACTCTAAAGCCTGTGGAGCAGGTTCTCAAGGATGCCAAGGTCAAGAAGAGCGAAATTAACGACATTGTCTTGGTCGGTGGTTCTACTCGTATCCCCAAGGTCCAGTCTCTTCTCGAGGAGTTTTTCAATGGCAAGAAGGCTAGCAAGGGTATCAACCCTGATGAGGCTGTTGCTTTCGGTGCCGCCGTTCAGGGTGGTGTCCTTTCCGGTGAGGAAGGAACTGGAGACGTTGTTCTCATGGACGTCAACCCTCTTACCCTTGGTATTGAGACCACTGGTGGTGTTATGACCAAGTTGATCCCTCGTAACACTGTTATCCCCACTCGCAAGTCTCAGATCTTCTCGACGGCCGCCGACAACCAACCCACCGTCTTGATTCAAGTCTACGAGGGAGAGCGTGGTATGACCAAGGACAACAACCTCCTTGGCAAATTTGAACTCACTGGAATCCCACCCGCTCCCCGTGGTGTGCCTCAGATCGAGGTCTCTTTTGACCTTGATGCTAACGGTATCCTCAAGGTCAGCGCTGCTGACAAGGGCACCGGAAAAGCCGAGTCAATCACCATCACCAACGACAAGGGACGCCTTACCCAAGAGGAGATTGACCGCATGGTTGCGGAAGCTGAGCAGTTCGCCGAGGAAGACAAGGCAGCTCGTGGCAAGATTGAGGCTCGTAATGCCCTTGAAAACTATGCCTTCAGCTTGAAGAACCAGGTCAACGATGAAGATGGTCTTGGTGGAAAGCTTGACGAGGATGACAAGGAGACTGTAAGTTGCCACGGATAAGCATATTAACGTATGAGCGAATAATAACTGACGTAACGAATAGATCTTGGACGCCGTCAAGGACGCCACTGACTGGCTCGATGAGTACGGCGCCAGCGCTACCATGGAAGACTTCGAGGAGCAGCGTGAGAAGTTGTCCAGCGCAGCCTACCCGATCACCAGCAAATTGTACGGCGCTGGCGCTGGTTACGACGAGGATGATGAGCCCAGCGGCCACGACGAGCTTTAAAGTGTTTTTGCTAGAAAAATTCGGATAACTTCGGAGTTGTGAGTTTTCTCTTTTATTTTGTTAAAGTCATGCATATGATTCACCATTGTATTTTAAACGGATGATTGTTTTCAGATGGCAATCAGAGTGATACCTATTAAGACATCTTTTATATGGAAATTGCATTTCAGTAATCTACGTACTCGTTCCCTGTGCCCTGTGCAGTTGAGACAATCCGTTCATCTCTTCAAATAGTCACTGATAGTCTCAACAATGACCTGGTGATCATGGTGCTGCTTCAATCCACTAACAACAATCACACCAACAATGCCATCGACGCTCTCCACTTTAATCGGAAAACCGCCTCCGTGGATGGCATAATCGTCTGGCACACCCTCAGGAACAGAGCTCTTCAGGCCATGTTTTTGCGCAAAGGCCTTCTCAACAAACGCTTCCCCGAAGCCACTATCCGATGAACCAACCATCTTCCTCCTCAGCGCCCAAGTACTACACGCCCACCTCAGAACGGTATTACGCTTACGCCGCACCCATTCCTCGTTATCCGGAGTTGTGCCCGACTCGGTGACAGCGTGAAAGAGCGTCTGATTTCCCTGGCAACTGGTAATTGAAACCACGGCTGGTTTGCGTTGAGACGCGGGCAGCGAGAGAATGCGATTGCGAATTGCACAGCCGAGATCGAATGCAGTCGAGGCTGTGAAGGCGGGGAATATGGCGGATGGGGAGAGTTCGTATTGGAGGAGTATCTCGGCCTTTCAGATCAGTCAGTTCAAAGACTAAGAAAGAAGATTTAATTGCTAGCATTAATATGTATAGTATTGCTCACGTTGGCCGAAGGTTCTTCGAGTGGGATTCCCTGTTGCGATGCAGCCATTGCAGGTTAATTCTCGTTCAGATGTCCTGGGATGTGTGAAGGTAAGATAAAATTCTCTTTTCTGTATTTGTGTATTTATAGAAGAACCAAGCGTGAAAGGTTTTCAATTGCGTTTTCCTCTGTCTGTATCTGAACCGGGGGGATTGAGGGGTGGCAAGCTTGGAAGGCAGCTCAACCCGAGAGGGACGGAGTTAGCCGGATTTACTAAATTGTTGCCTGAGGCATGAGTTCTTGTTATATATCTATTCATATAGTTCCCCATCGAGATATTCCTGTCTCGATAGACGAAGTATACGGCACTTCGGAAGCATATTCAAACCGATCCAGCAGATCCGTACATGATCACTGGTTGGTTAGTCTGGCTGCTGTATCAAGTAACCTCAGAAGAGGGAATTAGGAACTAAGAGATATAGCTATTTGATCGGCTGACTCTACTATTAGATCAGACATGAAAACAAACAAAAATTACTTGAAAAAGCAGAGCGAGGCGCAATTTTCCCCGAAGACACCCCAATATTTCTCCGAGGTACGACGTAGTATGCAGGTCTTATGCGGCGAGTTGGACTGAGTGGCAGAATATTGATAGACTATGGGATCGAGACTTTCCTGTAGGGATGTACTTTCTAGCTAGGCGTATAGGATCTCGCCATCATATGCAGGCATACATGGGTCCATTAGAAATTTAGAATCAATCTGCTACCCTTGACATTCATTTAGTACAACACGTTAACTGCTCTGCAGATAGGAGCTTACCTAGGTACTGAATAGCCATGTGGAGAAACTACAACTTAGGGCTACCACGTACATAGGTACCAAAAGCTACATAGAATTCTTCCCTGTGGCAAGATGTGTGCTTACTCACAGACAATTGACTAATCAGAAATCTAGATTGCCATGGACTTAGCTGCGTATGGTGCCTGCTTTTTTTCTGGTCCATTCATTGTTTGCTCATCTACGGAGAATCGGAGAAATGGCCTCAAGCATCTAGGAGCAAGCGGGTATTTATTTGGGAATTCCCATGCTCTATCCTGTAGCTAAAAGAGATACACTGTAAGTCTACTATTATAAAAACATCCTGACTCACTGGACTTGGACTTATCCTTTCTTTCAGTTGTTTCTTTCCTTTAGGGAAGGCTTTCCTTTTACAATTGACCTTTGCAAGTCATTTTTATTTTCCTCGGATTCATATGAATACAGATCCATCACAATGGCACAGCCAATTCCAGCTACCCAAACAGTCGCCCTGGTGAGAGAACTGGGCGGTCCGGTTGAATTCGTGGCCGGCTACCCTGTCCCAGTTCCGGGAAACAACGAGGTTTTAGCCAAGGTCCTTTACACAGGTGTTTGTCAGAGTGGTATGTAACAATCCTCCTCCATATAAACCTGCATGAATCAGACTAACCGCTGGTAATCGTTAATGAAAAAATAGATCTGCATACCAAATCCGGCACTGCTGCTAGCGCTCAGGGTACCCCAATTCTCAACGTCAAACTTCCGCACGTCGGTGGCCACGAGGGTGTTGGCCGTATTGTAGGAATTGGTCCAAACTGTGGCGAAGGAGTAAAGCTAGGTGGTTTGGTTGGAATCCGTTTCTTGAGTCGGGTCTGTCGACGATGCGAGTTTTGTCTTGCGGGCATAGAACAATACTGTACGAAAAGTACGAATCATCTTCATCATGAAGATGGTAGTTTCCAGGAGTATATTGCTCTTGATGCTGATAACTTGACCATCCTGCCTGATGATGTTGATCCTAAGCTCATTGGACCAGTACTGTGTGCTGGTGTCACGGCTTACAAAGTTGGTTCTCTTTCTCCCAAGAAATTCCCGTTTCTAGTCATATTTTATGGACATTGACTAATATATAAACAGGCTGTTCTTAATGCCAACATCAAAATAGGTGACTGGATTGTCGTCGTTGGTGCCGGTGGTGGCCTAGGACATCTTGCTGGTAGGCAAACCGGCCCTCCAATGTATTTCATATATTTGCATGATGATCATCACTCACGTATGCATACTATAGTTCAATATGCAAGAGCGAATGGTGCATCTGTCATTGCCGTTGATACCGGTAATGACAAGAGGGAATATCTCCAATCAGTGGGGGCCAAAGAATTTGTCGACTTTGCCCTCGTGCCAGACATAATTGAGGAAGTTCGCAGAATCACCAACGGAGGTGCCCAGGCTGTGATTGTAGCAGCTGGAAATGCCAAAGCATTTGCCTACGCGGCAGAATTGCTTCGAGTTGGTGGAACGCTGAGCTGCATTGGCATTCCACCGGGCAGGCCGTTCATTGAGACCCCTATTTCCACTATTGTGATCAAGGGTCTCAGGATTACTGGAAACTTGATCGGCTCCTTGAAAGAATGTATGGAAGCCGTTGAACTTACTCGACGAGGTGTTGTGACTCCAAGGGTTCAAGTAAGACCATTCCGGGAATTACCCCAGGTTTACGAGCAACTTGAAAAGGGCGATGTGCCTGGGCGGATTGTTTTACAGATTGCAGAGAACTGAGTGTATGGGCAATAATATCTTCACAAATCAAATCGGAAGTATGAAGACAGTCTAGACGTGTGTGAGTGCATATCATTGCTCATACCAACTTATAGTTGAATCAGTATGAAGGGCGACATCCTCTTCCGTTGGCAAGGACGGCAGACTAAGTGTTTGTATGGATGATGGCGCACGTGAAAATGTCTCTGCAGTCTTCTTGCGTAAAATTGAATCTAAAGTGATATCCGTGTAGAGAAAGGGCTGGATCTTTTGGTATAAGCCATGCAGAAAGTCGTATGCACTGCATTGCAATGTTGAATGTGTTTTGAGAGTAGGATTGCAGAGCAATGTATCCGCCAATGTGTTTGCTACTTCATAGCATTTCAAAAGCTAGATTCCAAGTCAGCCATTCTGTCTTTGTTATACCAACTTGATAATGCAGCTGCATGGACACACCTGGTCACGGCCCAGAGGCAATAAATCTTCTGGAGAAAAGCCACGCAGAGAAGCTAAAAGATCGCGACCGACGACGGCAGGGAAATTGAAATTCAGAGTAGTTGTTTGAGAATCAAATGACAGATATCCGGCCGAAAGAGCCTGCTGCCAGATCATCGTCCTCATCCATTCTCTTGTAATGGCAAGATCCGCTCGACGGGCTGCATCGATGTCTTCTGAATAGATTGTGGTCGCTTGCAGCAAGCGCTCTGATTTTATAAGAGTGTCTTTTGAAGTATAGTCACTGGCACATTGATAAAATGTGACAAACAGCCCGGCTAGCGCAAGCATTCCCTTGACATGAGCATTATTGTTGCCTGTCGTGTTAAAAAGCTGAGCGGGTAATTCACGAGGAAACGATGGCATTAGCCCTAGATGCATACTATAGCCTCTAAAATAAAATCAATATCTGAACTTTGAAGCACCTCATAAAGGCTTGTTACCTTTCTGTAACCCATAATAGAGGAAAAATAATTTCTCCATTGTCTACCATTTCCGCAGCCAATGTTAAACATTCATTGTGTCTGTCGAGGCCCAAAATCCTAGCAGATGTGAGCGCCTCCTGAGCGAACATTAAGGCGGAGTTTCGTTGATCTGTCTTGGCATGATAGACGTGAAGGAAGAAGGATGTCAGCACCCAACGTATATCTAGGTGCTCTCGATACTGATACTGTTCTCTGAAGCGAATGCACTCTTGTGACAAATAAGAGCCATCAATAAGAGTTGCATCCTCCCTGATAGCACATCGCAGTGGGTCGAGGTCCAGTTGAGCCATGGTTGCGGCACACAGCGCTGTTGCCAATCCATACACGGACGGCTCCTCGAAACGAGGCCTGGATAGTTGCTGTAACAACACATCGGAGCAGATAATAGGCCAGACTCCGTATGAGTGACTTTCATATTGGCGGATGACGATAGCCAGTACGTCCTGAAGGTAAATAGAAGCGTCTATTTGTGATCCTGAAAGCTCTTGCAAAGGAGCAGCTACTTGCTGCTCATGCCACGGAAGTTCCGACCCCCGGGTCAGCATCGGTGTCTCACCGCCATGTGGGCTTTGTTTTTGTACAGAAGCTCGGCGAGCTTTAGGCCCTCTCTTTTGAGCTGGCTTGTCATAGCTGCATTGCAGCTGTCGCGCTGATGTCTCGCAAGTCTCGCATGGCCAAGCTCCGTTGCACCGAACTTTACGAGCGATACAGGAGTCACAGGCTCTCTTCACAGGTTTCTTCATAGACAATTGAGTTGCTGATTGTTGTGATCTCGTGATATAGCAAACTGGATGGCATGGAAGGAAGGAAAGGGATGGAACGGTAGTTGCTTCGTTTGGAATCGTTCCCCCAGCGCCGGGGCGGCCCGTAGAACCACCCCCACATCACGCTAGCCTTATTTATCTATTTACTCTATCAGATTCATCATTCATGCCTCGATCAAAATACGCGCAAGATACACTCAGCTATTGGAATTCTAAGTCTGGACAAGAAATTGTCAAGTCCCTACTTCCATCCCAGAAACAAGATGGACACAAAAAGATGACTGTGGTCATTCGCCAATAAATTATGCTGTGTACCCCCGAGCCTTCAAAGTGAGACAGGTAGCGCTGAAAACTATCTAGGCATACAGAGAAGTCATGTGGCTCATTTGTTTACAACCTGATCTACCTGTGTACCTAGCCTAACATTCACTGAAAACTCAAAGTCGCTCGCGCTCACATTTCACATAGCTGTGGCTGGAAGATGGCTTCGTTGCTACCCATTCAAATACCAAGTTCTCTTCGACAAACACAAAGTTTTGCAATGTCTCAACCTCTCCCTTCAGCTGAGAGAGGGGCACAGTCATTCGTAGTACCTACACTCTCATGGAATCGAGCAGATCCCCCGAGGTACCACATTCCACACCCTGCATGTTCTCATCCGACCCAATCAGCAGACGAAAAGACCATGCAAAAGATCAATACTCACTGACACTATTGATGCCAAGAAATTTTCCACATTAATTATGTCTCTTTTTTCTTTTTTACCTTTTTCTTCTTCTTTTGGGGCTTGTTGCTTTGCTACAGCAGGCAGTTGTCACGGCCAACAATCAAGGAATCAGTATCCCATGGATACAACAATGAAACCGGTGTCTTAGACCCTCTCTCTCTCTTCCTCTATTTGGGGGAGTCAAAGGCTGAAAATAATCTCTTGGCAAAGGGGATCTCCTTTCGATGCCAGGGTGGACTATAAAAGGAAGATGACAAGCACTCCCGTTGTATATCCATCTGACTGGAGAAATCGGCCTTCGAATTTCTCCCTCCTTCTCTACGAGTGTATGTCTTTTACTCGGAACTTTTAGTGTGCTGTTTCCTTATCTTACACGGACGCAATTTTCGAGATGAAGTTCATCTCCACAACCCTGATTACCGCCATCCTACCTCTTGCGCACGCCGTTGGAAATGCAATAGTCCTGAACAACTGCACAGAGACTGTGTATGTCTGGTCAGTCTCGTCCTCAATCGACAACTCCCAGACACTTGAGAATGGTGAATCATACACCGAGCAATTTCGGCACGATGACAAGACCGGTGGTATCACGCTCAAGGTGACTACGGCCGCTGATGGAATATACAACAACGCCCCCGAGACCGACTACGCATATACCCTGGACAGTGAAACGGTTTGGTACGACATCTCGGACGTCAACGGTGACGCCTTTGCCAACTACTCTGTCGCTCTCGTGCCCGCAAATAGTGCCTGTGAGAGCTTTATTTGGGCGGGTGGCATACCACCATCGGGTATTCATACAGCCTCATGCAATGCTGATGGGGACATTCGATTAACTTTGTGTGAATGAGAATAGACGCTGTCTGCTATGCATAATGACTAGTTATTTATTATCGAGGAATTGAGAAACGAAAGTGCGATTGATGCTGGTATTCTTCAAACAAGTAATTCGACCACAAGCACTTCCTTATTGGCTGAGAGGGGTATAGAAAAGCGCCATCAAATTAACCTAGATAACCACAAACAGGGACACTTGGACAATCGACTTATGCATATGGAGTATAAATAAAGGAGACATGCAGAATAACAGAAAATAACAGATAAGAGCTCAAAATAAATATCAAAGAGGCGCAACATAAAGACGCATAGAATCTAAGCACCAGACTAAGCAAATATAGAAGGAACTGGGATGCAAGTAAAGAAGAGCTGGGGTGTAAGGATGCAGAATAGACATCAGAGAATCATAAGAAAACGAAAAACAAACAAGATGCAATAAATAGCAGGCAGCAGAAAGGTTATTTATTCCTTAACTCCGCTGCGAAAGCTTTCGTTATCATCATTCGTTATTGTCTTCCTCATCGCCGGCTGCGTTGCCGTCAACATCATCTTCTTCGTCATTCCATCCGTACCCTTTCAACTCCCTTTTCAATTTAGAATTCTCGAGCTTCACGGCCTCTAATTCCTCCTCATACTTTTCCATCATCTCAGCGCTGATATCACCCATCTCTTCAATAATCTTGAAGACGCGCCACAACCGCAAGACCACGACGAGCGAGCCTATTTCCTCCACAACACCCCTCAGAGCAACATCAAGGATGAAAGCCAGCACGATAACCAGAGCATCGAAAGTGTGAAACTTGGAGCGGAAATAACCCAGCCCGAAACTCAGCACGGAGGCAATCAACTCGAGCATGAACAGACATGAGAAAATCAATCCGACCAATCCCAGTGCTTCTTGTGCCAAGCCCCATCGACGATCGATAGTCTGATGTCGTTCTCGTAGTTCGCAGACTCGTAGCTCAATCAAGAAATCGGAAAAGATGCAGGCCACGTCTACAGCGACCATGAACAGGACAATGTAATGGCCCCATTTAGACGAGAGGAATGATCTGGTTCTAGCCCTGATGCCAGAGAAGATAGAGTCCGAATGCGTGTCGTGTGGGATATTATCTGGGTACTCGTGGTAATAGCGTTGTTGAGGATCGCTGCTGCTGCTGATGCCGAGTCCGCGGGCGCCCTTCCTGGACCAGGACGCCAAATTTCCTATAAAACTACTGCCATGAGCGATTGACGTAAAGACGGTGTTTTTGTTGGTATTGTAATGGCTGCTGTTGAAACTCTCCTGGCGTTCCAGATCTGTATTTTGGTGACCGAGCAGAGGTTGGGACGCATCATCAACAGCGGAGGCCATCTGATCGTTGAGGGATGGGGGCTGCAGTGCGTATGGACAGATCGAACATGTATAACAATATACGAATCCCGTCAAGGTCGGACAAACCCACTTGTTTGCTGCTGGTCGGTGGTTGTTGATGTTGAGTGGCCGGATTATGGCTTCGGCAGAGCGACGCCGAACCAAACCAAACAAAGCAAACCGGGCGTGCGGGGTAAATTTTACAATACCGGGCTGTAAATACGCGTATGTTTCGGTACTCGGACATCTCAGCGAGCTCCGCTTGCTTGCCAAGAGTCGATTTGTTCCTCCCCAGATTTCTCCCCGCACAGTCCGACGTCTCACATACATTTATCTCAACATCCAGCCAGTTTGTTCCTTTTTGAGCAGACAGCACTGTATACAGCCAGAATGGCCGTCCCAGCCCTCAGAGTAGCGCCATCAGCTGCCAGCCGAGCAGTGTCTCTCCTTCGCACTATACAGTTCACACACCCGCCCAATTGTCCCTGCCACACCAATCCAGGTCATCATCACCACCATCAGCGGCAACAGATCAATCTCGCCAACAACACCAATGTGCGTCGACATTTTGCTACTCCCACGGACCCTTCCCAGCAAAAGGAATACGCCTTTGAAATGGCAGCTTCGAGCATCCGATTTGGCCCTGGTTCCACAAAGGAAGTCGGCATGGACTTCAAAAATATGGGAGCAAAAAGGGTCTGCATTGTGACGGACTCGAATGTGGCTCAACTGGATGCTATGAAACAGGCCACTGAGGGTCTTTCTCGAGAGGGTGTGGAGTTTACCGTCTTTGACAAGGTTCGCACTGAGCCCAAGGACAGCTCGTATGTGGTTCCTTTCATTTCCTTCATGCACTTTGGGAGATTGAGGTGATATTGATATAGATGGATGCACCGTACATAGGATCAAAGAAGCAATTGCCTTTGCTAAGCCTTACAACCCTGATGCATTCCTTGCTGTTGGTAAGCAGTGAACGATTGGCTCCAGAGGTAAGATAACTGACAACCATTCCAGGTGGTGGTTCTGTCATTGATACTGCCAAACTGATGAACCTATATACCGTTTTTCACGACGCCGACTTCCTGGACTTTGTCAACGCCCCTCTCGGCAAGGGCCTTCCAGTCACAAAACCATTGAAACCATTGGTTGCTGTTCCCACCACCGCCGGAACTGGGTCCGAAACTACAGGCACGGCCATCTTTGACCTTGTGTCGAAGAAAGCAAAAACCGGCGTTGCTCACCGTGCTCTCAAACCCACCCTTGGGATTTGCGACCCATTCAACACGCGCACAATGCCCAGCGCCGTGCACGCCTCCTCTGGTCTAGACGTGCTCTGCCACTCGCTCGAATCATACACCGCGATCCCTTACTACGAGCGCAAACCTCGACCCACCAATCCAATCAACCGTCCAGCCTATCAAGGCGCAAACCCCATTTCAGATATATTCTCACTCAACGCTCTGCGCAACACTGTCAAATACCTTCCTCGCGCCGTCAGAGACCCCGATGACTTTGAAGCGCAAGAGCAAATGCTCTTAGCCGCGACGTTGGCTGGCGTCGGTTTCGGCAATGCCGGCGTCCATCTATGCCATGGCATGAGCTATCCAATCTCCGGTCAAAACCCGGGCTACAAACACGCCGGCTATCAGGTAGACCATCCCATTATCCCGCACGGAGTCTCCGTGGCCGTAACTGCGCCTTCAGTCTTTCGATTTACAGCTGCGTCAAACCCAGACCGCCATCTAGAAGCGGCCGAGGCATTTGGCGTTGATATCACCAATGTCAAACGCGAAAGTGCGGGGGAAGTGCTAGGCGAGGCTATTGCGAAGTTCTTGGTTTCTCTGGGCGACCAGCCGCGTGGGCTGAAGGATCTAGGGTTTAAGGCATCTGATATTGATGGGTTGGTTGAAGGTACCATTCCGCAGAAGCGTGTGCTCATGTTGGCGCCTAGTTTGAGTGAGGAATTGAATGCCGAGAAGGAGGAGCTGAGAACGTTGTTTGAGAACTCGATGGAATACTAGTTTTGTTATATTATTATCAAGTCACGATTTGCATAGCGTGCTAATTTTACCATGCCATGAAGCAGTGCAATTCTTAATATCCTGCAGCAATGTTTTTTCTAATGTTACCTGGCACAAAGTAAGGAAGCACCTTTGGGCCATTGGGCCACAGAATCGGAATTAGGGCAAAGCTGGCACGGTACCAAGCGAGCCAGGCAACGCCCAAAGCCAAAACCCACAGAGCCCAAGGATTCTGGTATAGGAGAGTGAGGATTGTAAGAGGAGGAGCCTGCTTGTTACCTACATTCCTGAACGCAACGTCGTTTAGCTCAGCTTACCTGCAATGCTGGCATACCTCGTATTCGCCTGTCAAAGAGGGGCGAAAACACGCATGACTCGGCGACTATCACTGTATCACAAAGAACTAGTAACAACTGAGCAGGGGTCTTTTTTGTATCAGCCACTTCCGCCAACACCACAGCAAGCGCAAGAATAGGATCCATAGACTCCACCATGTCTGCTACATTCGGCGTCGCCCTGGTCGTCGGCGGCTGTGGCTACCTGGGCTCCAATCTGGTCAAGGCCCTGCGCGCAGAGTCGCCGTGCACCGCTGTCCACGTTGTCAGCCGGAACCCAGAGCAGAACCGCTTCACAGAGGTTGTCTACCACGCAGGAGGCATCTCTGATGCTCCTCAGGTGGCTGACAGTCAACAACTCAAATATCTTGCCGGCGGCTGTCAATGGGACATTACCAAGGCAGAGCAGAAATTGGGCTACCAGCCGGTGACAGACCAAGATGCAACGATCAAGAAGGTTGCCCAGGCAGAGATCAAGCGACTGGCTATTGTGAAGAAGCAAATCTAAACGAGGTATTTTCAATATCGGGCATTGTATCTAGATAGCTAGTGAGCAATATGATTTCCCCTCAGCACCACCGCAAACCGAATGATATGTCTATGTTTCTGACCTGAGCCGCAGCAGAAGAACATTATCAGACTTGGGCATCACTCAGAGGCTCGATGATTTCGGAGTGAGAATATAGGCCAAGGAGAGCGTAGGAAGAGTTCATTTCAAACAAACTCTCTTAAAGTGGCGCTGAGAACTAACTATACGGCAATCATCGTAGGCTACGTGCCTAGTGTTTCGTCCTTTTTCCGCATTTATGTGCGCGAATCTCGTCTATACACAACTATTGCTGACAGCCTGCTCTCGCGGCTTTCACCTGGAATGTCCACAAAATCAAGAGATGAGAGCCTGCAGATCACCACTCATCCACAAAACAGAAGAGACAAAAAGAAACCCGATCCGTGGTCGCTCCTTAAGACAAATGTCTCCCTCGAGACCACATCACAACATCAAGGAGAATACCTCGGATTGAGAGATGCTGGTCATATCAGTTCGCCGCTGGATTAGTATTGGTTCACGTTGGCATCGAAGAAGTGCTCTCTCAAGTCGAATTTGTGAGATAATCAATGGTAGGAAAGCTGTGATTTTAGAAAAGAATTCCAAAGACCATGCATAATCGTCTTCCTCATTGATAGACCGAGCGTGGAGCTTGTATTCTAGATTATTTAAGTGAATATGAATATTAACGAGAACTCACTCTCATTCATCGAGTCCCACACGGTCTAGGAGAAGAGCACAATGGGACAAGAAATCAGAATATAGGTTAGATCATTGTCCATGCTCTGAAATAATCAATTCCCAACACCAGTCCCAATTAGATCCTTTCCTTTTCTGTTCCAGACAGAATATCCCAGACGTGATTATGATAAATAAATACCCCAATAAAAACAAACATATATACACATCGAAGAAAGTAGGGAAGAAAGGCTACTCTTTTTCCACAACTTCACCATTCTCAATAATAGTGCCCAATCCCGCACTGCGCTCGTCAGAACGTTGCTGCTCCTCTTCGATATCGGAACGAATCATCCCCATTGAGCATGCAATGTGATCTAGCCAGACGACCGAGCGATAACCGCCGGCAGATTTGTCACCATGATGATTTTCATCGTGATGCACTGGACCGCGGCCAATCTCAGACACCAGACGGAAAGGCAGTGTCAATGTTGTTGTTGTGGTGGTGGTGGTGGTGGTGGTGGTGGTGGTGGGATCCGAAGATGTAACGTCGTTCACTGAGCTGGAACTAGAATTCGTGAAGATGGTGTCACAGGCAGAATCAATTGATGTCGTTGGAGAGAGATAGGCCGATCCCATTTCTGTTGCATGTGAAGTAGATGAAGTAGACGGTGAAGATGGTAACGGCGATTGTGGTGGTGGCGGCGTTTCTTCGTCTACACCTCTGATACGCATGTTGTCGATTTTGACTGTCCGCAAAAGCTTTTCCAATGTGTTCACACAATGCATAGCACCCTGAAGCAGAAGGGTCGGGTTGGTATCCGGGAACAGTGCTGGTGCCGGCCCTACGAACCCATCTACGTTGACTTCTATTCCCTCCTTCTTTTGGAAATGATACATGATCGAAGCGCGCAGCTCGTCAGCAAGACCCTGAAGATTTGCACAGGTGGCATGAATGCGAGAAACAAGAGACCTCACATCCTGTCGAGGAGTGTTTGGTAATAGCTGGCGTATATCGTAGATATACCGAGGGCATTTGACCATTTCCATGAAAATCATCTCGGAGATGTGCACAAACACCGACCACTCGCTGGGTTTCTTCGCATCTTCCTCTTGCACTTTGATGGCAAAGTTTTGCCATTCCTCTTCGTCCAAGAAACAAGGTATGCCTTCATGTAGTGCGTGGGCAACTAAGAATCCCCTGAAAGTATAATAACAAGAACGGCCAAGGCCGGACATGTGTTTCTTGACGCCGCGTCTCAGAAACATTTCCCGGACGCCGCGGGCATGTTTTACCCAGGCATCTGGGGTTGTCCGAGCATACAGTTCGTAAACAGTAAGCATCATAACAGTGCTAAGCACATCGTCCGAGAAAGCTTCGTCCGTGTCTATTATTCGATTGATCCTGCGTAGCGCTTCCCCGTACATATAACGACTAGTGCGAAGAAGTCGGATGTCTTTCGTGAGAGATGCGAGATAGACGGCACTGAGACAGCACACTGCCGAATCTTGATAGGCTCTTTTGTGGAAATTCTCTGTGATATACTCGGGGAATGCGAGCTCGGACCGGAAGCGGTTGTGGAAGTATAAGGTCGGAAAGGCTGCACATGTGAATTCCATAAATAATCTTGGTTGTTGGCTCATGAATAGCTTCTGAATGAGCGCGGGTGACAGACTTTCGTCAATGCTGCTTGCGTGGGTTCGCATCAAGAGAAGCGCGTCCTCAGCCATGACTACCGGCATCTTCGTCCGCGGGTCGGTTACGATCACGGTGGAGGACGAGGATGACGGTCCAGGAGAAGGTCTCTTTTCGGCATCATTGGATTTGCGACCTGACATCCGACGATGGCGACGTTGCAGATTCGGTCCCTCATCTTGAAATTTCAGTCCGCGATTGTATCCTGGACAAGGAGAGCCGTATTTGCGACACTGTCCGCACTCGGGGCGAGCCTCGTCGCACTATATAGTTATGGATGCTTGGATTAGATTACAGCTTCTTTTCCCTGTTTTAGGGCTCTTTCCTCAGACCAGAAGATGAAAATATGCCTCACCTTGACCCGTCTATTCCGACATGTAGAGCAGCCCTTACTGCGAGGGACACCGACCATGATGCATGTTGTCTCTTATACAACATTTCAAGGCATGTCACGGTCGCAACACTTGTCTCATTATCTGTCAAACAATCTTAGCCATGGGCAAAGGCCGGCAGGTGACCTGGCTTGAAAAGAGCATGGAAGTGAGATTATTTTTTGGTGTTGAAGGTCGGAGAAGTAGGCTCCGCACTTTGTCGGCCTGAGGCGCACGGCATCAATCCACCTTTATCGCGGCTGATTTGAAACATTAACTAGTTAGTTAGTTAGCTAGTTGATACAAGTACGTAAGGCTTAATGGCAATTCTTATATATTACTTGATTTGTTAAGTAATTTAGGAGGGACTGCACCCATACTAAGGGCGTGTAGCTCAGCGGTAGAGTACTCGCATCGCACGATCAAGCGAGGGGTCCTGGTTTCGATTACCAGCTCGTCCAAGCAATTTTTTACTTAGCAGTAAATCAATTTTTTTTTCCCCAAGAGCTCCTCAATCCTATGCATCCGTTTTCTACTCTTCTTGATTTTCCATGAGCACTACCCAAGCCAACGGGCGTGGAGAATCTCTTCAGGCATCTGTAGGAAGTATGAGGTCTGTTGGGGTAGGGCGGCAGTGAGATGATGAGAGTCATTCATTCCCACAGGTAAATCCAGTCCACTGTCAAAACAGATCGTAGACTGAACGTGTTGTACTTGAGTGGGTGTGCAAGGATGGATGGTTACAAAATTTGAGCTTGCCAGTATGTAATGCGCGAGCCGAAGCAATGCATAATCCAGCTTCTCATCGACTATACGGCTCATGCCATATCTTGGTCCCGCAAAGATTTTAGGAATTTGTGAGAAGATTTATTACCAACGCACGATTAAAGCGTGAGGACACAAGAAGACAATTGAGTCAGGGAATGTTGGACTTGGGAATCTGGAAGTCGCCCATGTAATCCTTCTCTCCTGAGAATCGTCGTTGGTAATAACACGTCTGCATTCTGAACGATAGACATTACTATACTAACGTAACATAGAGAGTCTAACTTATAGCAGCGCAAAAATGCATATGCAAGTCGAACCGACTAAGGACCATCGTAATGTAGACCCATCGAGAGATTATGGTGATGACTGGAACTTTGATATCGGACTCACTGGGGATTCGGGAAAATATCCATTGCCTTCAAGCCTACAGCATGGGCATCCCAGTGGCACACAGATATGTACTTTTGAGATGTCCCTGTTGCGTATGAGGTACTGAAATATCGATGGTTGTCTTCAGCAGACATAGCAGTCCTCCCAAAAACACAAGAGACAAACTTCTTCAAGAGAAAGACGCAGGCTGCCACTGATAGTTAGCACAAATATTGAATGCATCTGTAATGGCGGTGGTGGTCGAAAGGATATAGTCGGGACTGGGAAGATATAAGGACAGGACGGCTGGGCAGGCAGCTTGTAGCTCATTGCAACATCGCAGTGATTTTTACGTGGGACCTTCTGAGAACAGGTGGCACAACAGATATGAAAATATATCAAAAAGTCTACATCTATTCAGCGGCGTCTGGCTCGCTCCTAAACTCACTTTTTCCTCACATATCGAATAGGCATTCGGATCTCACGTTCTCTTTAAATCGCTGGGGAAAAAATCTATTTCTTTCGAAACATCAGCACCATTGTCAAGGATTCGTCCCGCCCGTTTGATTAGTAGAGCCATTAACACCATTTGGCGACGGCCAATTCCACCATGCAGATGCCATGTCGTTCAAATTGGGAATCATATTGTTTCCACTGCTGGTTAGAGGTGTAGTCATGGTATCGCCTCGTGGAAGTGGTGGCCGAGGGGACGCTGTTGATGATGGCGACATTGATGCTGTAGAGAATAATGGTGCATCGCCAAGTCCTTCTGACAGCATTTTGAGATCTCTGCTTGAAGGTGTCCAGCTCAGTCCGCCACTGAGCTGTCCAAAATCAACGTCTCGCGGCAGCAGATCATGCGCATCTATAAGATTTGCACCGAGATCCGAGTCTTCTAGAATTGATGGTTGTGATAATCGCAGCTTTTTCTGTCCTGCCGCAGAGGAAGAATCATCAGGGGCGTTGGCAGATGCCCCATCTTCCCGAACAGATTGTTGATTTTTGGCAACAAATGCAGCAGGCGACTCGAATGATCTTTTCGATTTCGTGCCATTCTTTCGCATATGATTCTGCCATCGCCGTTGCAAGCTCACTAGGAAGTCCCGAGTTCTTTTCGCATTCTCAAAGGACTGGCCTAGCTCGTCCAAGGCTCGGAAACAAACATTCAAATGTGCCGCCATGTCCGCCAGTCTGTTTTTTTCCTCTGCGTGCAGCCGACCAGTATCTTGAGATGACATGGAAATGGTGATGAATATCAGCATCAATGCGGCAGTGAATATAATAGCAACTACTTGGTTATTGATTCGTCGGAATGTATAATACTTCTCGTAGAGTCGTAACAGGCGTGCAATTGCCGTCGCCGATTCGGCACATGTTCTTCGTGCGTGTTGATATCCTGGTCCTTGTTTTGGATTCTGTGGCTGTATGTAGCTTTTAGACACCCATGGTCGATGAAAGAAGATCACTATTTGGTGATATTGCATACTATAATGACAAACTTAGTTTATAAAACGATGGATAGATAGAGCGAGATGGGAATATAAAGATGACTCACTGCAACATCAATAGGTGAGGTAATGCAGGTCCATAATCATGCTCAAGGTCAATTTGCATCGAAGGAGATAAATTTCTCTTCCATGCAAACAAATCCTCCGTCACCTTATAGGTAATTCGTTGCAGGTCGTGACTAGCTATGTCACTACAGCCGTACCTAAAGTAGACATTAGTGAAATTAGAACCTAGGTTTGAATAGCTTGAAAAGCCACTGACAAAATATGCCCTACGGGCGCAATCATTTCCCATAGATTAACGAATTGTTGAGTGATAAGCTCGCTGGTATTCCTGAGGCCATTCTCTAGACTGCTTGGTAGAAGCTCGCCCATTCCGTAACCATACCATATATCCTCTCTGGTATTATTCAAAGATGATGCTGGCTTTGCAACAGATATATCCCCAGCATTCATACTGAAAGGGCGACCAAGATAAAAGCCCCAAAAGCTATGTAAATCTGGGTTAATACCACTTCTAATCACGGTCATTTAGTTTGCAAACTCACTGGTCTGCGATATAGCTTCCCCAAAAGACGACCTTTCGGACATTTGCCTCCATGGGAGTCATGCTCCCTTTCTCAACATAAGCTGCCATATCTATATGCAGACCCAAGTCATAAGCAAGTCGCATGGACATTCCTAAAATTCCTGTGAGCTTATATATTTCCGTTTATCCAGTCAAAGAATATTCTTACCACTATAGAGCCATCCACGGGCGTCTCTATTCGACGCGGCCTCGTGACTACTGAGGATGACAAGAGCCTGTACTGTAGCCACGCAGGGACTGTCCAGTTCTATCTCCAAAAGAGCTTTCGCCCTGTCTGCAAAGAATTCTGACAGTGATTTCGGGAAGGTTATGAACGTTGGATGATAGCGTGCCTCGAAAGCAGCACCAAGCGCGCACCTAACACGCTTCTAATTAGTGAACGGGAACAGAAGATGTAGAGGTGTCTCCTAATGCAGCTTTGAACCTACATTGCATTCGTAAGAACCTCCGAGTAGAATGGAGTATCATCCGATTCGTCCCGCCATTTAGCACGCGCAATCGCGAACATCTCTGGCTCAACAATGTACAAACTTGGATTCTGCCATGTGAAATAAAGTTCTATCAAATGGTTTTCCAGGCTTTGTTCAACGTGCTGCCCAATATGTAAGTGATTAAGAAGCTCTTGGCCATCGTGGCGGACCGAGCGCTCGTCGGGGCCTGGCCTTTGCGTTGAAGTAGATGTAACATCGACTAGGTTGAGGTTCGAGGTCGGGCCATAAAATCGAAGGTGTCCATCGCTGGCCAGTTTCAAAGTGCCAATACGATGTGATAGTTGCTCTATGACCTCTCGTTCGGCCTCGTCTCCAGTATCTGAATCATTATCATCATCATCATGCTGGTGTGCGCGCATTGACGTTCTTTCAGCTCCTGTATAAGCACCTGACTCTGGGTGGTGAAGAGCTTCAGGAGTAGTGTGTAACTGATTTGTAGTGTAGAGATCATCTAGGCACTCAGCTGTGGGAAGACTAAAGTCGAAGGCAGGAGGTAAAAGGTTAGGGTGAACATTGGGGTACCGTCCAGGTGGCGAAACAAGGTTACCGGCAGCTGCTGGAAATCGATTAGATACAGCTGTATCCCCATTTTTATTGGTAGTGGGATTAGGTGGGTTGATGGCGCTGTGAGAAGCGATGCCTTTGATGACGCCTCGCGGTATCTGGAGGGTATCCAGCACTCTGTTCATTTCTTGCTCGGCATCTGGTCGCATTAGAGGTGGCTCTAGGCCATTGTCATGAATAAATTGAGTCAACTGGTCAATTCTCGAAGAGAAAATTTCCGATGCTGCACGCAAGGAAATTCTAGTGAGAAGGGTCAGCAAAGTTCGAAAGGTCCATGGTAGCCAAGACTAATAATAGCCTTGGATCTCTCGCTTACTTTCTTTTATCATCCCCCAGTTGGTATCTGCATATTTTCTCTTTTTTCTGGCAGTTCAGGCAATTTGGCGTCGCGCCATCACACTAATACCAAATGTAAGCTAGCTAGCTATGCACAAATCCAAGGGATAACCACACGAACCCTGATTTTGCTCTCTCGGCAGGGTACACATGCTGTGGTAACATGCTTGCGCGGCGCCTTTTTCCCTTTTCCTGACGCTGGTGGTGGCTGTTGTGCATCGCCCTGCGAGGTTGACATGATATATCAAGCAAATACTATCAAGAAACTTTGTCCGGCCGTTCATTTCATCTAGGGCTGTCCCGCCGGGCTATGTCCAAGCATCCATTCTTATAGTCAAGAATTCTCCTTTCAAAGAGAGTGTCTGGTGTCAAACGAGGGCGAAGGGAAAATTCAAACGTAATATAAAAAAAAAATTAAAGAAAAGATGGAGATGAAGTTTTCCAGATCGCAGATTTGCATGCGGGGAAACTGCCCACCCGCGGGCAGCCACGACCAGCCCGATTGGGCCAATCATGTCATCTGAAAATGCCGTCTCCTGATTGGTCCGGTGTCGGCTCGTTGATACGATACTGTACGGTCAATACAGGTTTGATACAATAACTACAGAAGTAACATAGCATTGTCTGGCTGGCTACAGGAATAGAACTCTACCTAACGTCTGCTCTCGAACCCCAGTTCAATCCTGCAAGACGCACATGGCGGGCTCTTTAAAATTCCTGGACGCCAGTGTATTTCTGATTTTGGATAATCTCAACCCAGTAGTTATCTGGATCGAGGACGAAAGCCACGTTCTTCATCCTTCCGTCGGTAAGACGCTTCTTCCAATTGACATTGAGCGATTCGAAGCGGGCACAGGCAGCATCCAGATCATCCACAGATACGCCTAGATGGTGAGAAACAAGCGTGTTAGCAAGCGGTTTCAGCACTGACTAGTGAATTGCAGCTAAATATTAATTCTCGAGGAGACTTACAAATATGACCAAAGCCCTGAGGCTGGTCGTTCCCGTTGTGGTAGACGGGGCCTTCTTCTTTCTCGGTGCCGTAGTTCCAGGTGAGCTCTAGGAGGCCTTCCCATTCGGAAACTGGGTTTTTGGCGCCCTCGCGCACGGGCGGGTTTGATGAAGGGTATCCCAAAAAGTAAAGGTTGAATTTGGCATCAGGATTTTCTGACGTACGAAGCAATTTCATGCCCAGAACTTCCTGGTAGAACTTGAGACTCGTTTCGGCAGATTTGACTCGGAGCATGGTGTGGTTCAATCGGTAGGTCGAGACATCGGTCGTTGTTCCAACGTCCTCGTCGTGACGCCGAATGATCTCCACCCAGTATCCGTCAGGATCCTTGGCGAATGCAATGTGCTTCATACGACCATCCTGCAATTTCTTCTGGAAGGGGTACCCGGCGTCCTCAATGCGCTTGCAGGCAGCCTCAATGTTGTCTACGGAGATGGCAATGTGTCCGAATCCACGATAGGGCTCGGTATTACCGTTCACGACGCTGTAGTTCGGATCGCTCTCGGTACCCCAGTTGTGGGTAAGCTCGAGAACGGCATTTCGATCCGTGAAGCCGTTCTTACCAGAGAGCGAGTCGGGCCCATTGTATGCGAGAAAGTAGAGGGAGAACTTGGCTTCGGGAAAGTCCAATTTTTGAATCTCGTTTAGACCAAGGAACTTGTAGTATTCCACTATAGAATGTCAGCAGCGCTATGGGCGGGCAGGCGGGCAGAGGTTCACTTGCATGATTTCTGAGGGTCTTTGACCCGAATCATGGTATCTAAAAATCACTGTGAGCTGGCTGATTCTTGACGCGGACAGCGCACTGGGTAAAGTCTCACGGTTGAACTTGTAGGTCGAGAGGTTCGTGGTGGAGGCCATTGTGCCGAACAGTCTCGAGCGTCCTAAAGAAGAGCTTGTCAGCTTGCCTGCCAGTTTCTCGAAAGCCCGATCCACTTGGACGTGCCTCGAATCAAAGTATATGCTCTGGAAGATCTGAACAGGGTCGAGGGAGTGCGCAGGGTCAGCATGGGTCGGTTGATGGCGATGTCCTGCGAGGAAATTTTTGGAAGAAGTGGGAGGGAAACTTATCTACTCCAAGCTCAAGGAAGGCGGGGCATGACGTTGCCGCTAATTCTCCGTGAAGCTTTTGCAGTTTTCTCCGTGCGACCGAGCATCCTTTTCCTACCTGGTCACAGAATTTATAACTGGGTAGGAATGATCAAGCTGAGATACCAAGGCCTGGAATGAGATTGTTCAAGATACGTACGGTTAATGTTATAGTTGGCTCATATGCACACAGCTGTCAGCTGTCAGCTGTATTGTGTATTGTGTATTGTGTATTGTGTATGGTAAATACAGTTGTAACAAAACCTGGGAAGCCCAATACGCAAATAAGTTACACCGTTACACGGACAGCCGACGGCAACGCAACCAACCCAAACCACCTCCGTCCGACCTTCTTTCAAACAACAAGTTGGCTACGAGACTACGACTGCAGGCTAACCAACTAGTCGACTACGGAGCAAGTACGAGTTACCTGCGAAGTTGGGTCTTGATCAACTACCTCCTGTTCAGACAGCGTGCTCAGGCCTTGCCTTGTCTCGCCAGCTGTGAGGGCAGTGCGCGCGTCCAGTGCTTCAATCACAGCTGTCTCCCCAGACGATCGGCTTGATCTGAAACCAAGAAGGTATGCATGGTTTAGCTTTTCCGCCAGAAGTCGCATTCATCCCTTTCAAGTCCAAATTGCTTCGGTGTTTTGTTGGTGCCCGCATTGCATTTGCCGCTCTAACCGCCGCTCCCTCTGCAGTGTGAACAGCTGCTTGTGTACCCACTTGACTTCTTTTCCTGACGCTTCCAATACTTCCCCTACTCGACCATAGCTAGCAACTATGGTTAGCCCAGCCATGGGTGACTTAGCTGGCTGTCGCATGACCAGTTCTTTTCTCTTCACAAAGTCCAGGCTCAAAGCCCTCATTATATGAACTCATCTATCCCCCTATGTGAATCGTCTCTATACACTTTCTCGATTCGAAATCTCTGAGACCAACTGACTAAAATGCAGCCGTCTTTGCAACAGGTCGGTCTGCATTCAAACCAGAGGCTTGACGACATCGCTTTCGTCCCCTACTGGGCCCGCTGCCAAGTTCAATACGCTCAAAACCTCCTAGACTATTCTCCGGAGCCAATCGAATACGACTATCACGACGACGACGGTTGGGAGACCTGCTTTTTCTTCCCCGAGGATTGCACACGTGCCCCTGCGTCATATCCCTCAGACGCCTCTGAGATCGAGACCGACGCCGACACCGACCTGAGCGTTAAGTCTGATTTGAGCGATGCCGATGCCAATTCGGACGACAACATGACACCATCACTCCCAGATATTAAGATGATCGACACGGAGGCCCTCAGCGATCTGCTAGAGGATAACCTCGCGCCTCCACAAATCACCTCAATACTGTGAGTCATGGTTCTCGTCCAGCGGTGAATAGAAAGAGAAATGCGACTGACATTGTATGGCCAACACAAAAAGAATATTTGCTACCAATGGCGCCATTTTCGCTTATGCATCGAAATTGTCAACCCGCCAGCTACGCAACTTGAGCGCGACATACGGTGCAGCATATACATCGTTTGCCAGAACGGCCTCGACAGGGAACTTGACCGGGGTGAAGCATGCTAGTCACCCGTCGTCATTCGTTACCGCACCGTCAATATCCCTGGGCGATGTTGGGTCGATTGTCTTCGAGCATGAGAACCAGGTGGCGGTGGTTACGAGGATTGCCGATAAGGTGCTTCTCGCTGCAGTGGGGCCAGAGAAACTACCACAAGCAGTCGAAGAGAGTAAGAGTGCGGCTGGTCCTGGCGCTGAAATAGATTCCAATGTCGAGTCTGCTGAGTCGGCGCCGGCAGGAGAGGAAGCTTCGTCGTCGCAGCAGCAGCAACAACAACAACATGTAGAATCACCATCACCTTCATCATCACTCAAAGCCGAGTCTCAACAACAAAACGGGAACAGTCTACTGGCGACACAATACCAAATTGACCGAGACAATGATCTCGCACGTCTTGCAGCATTAAACCTCAGTTCGTCGCCAGAAATACTGTTAGCGCTGGAATCGAAGTCTGCTGCTCTAGGACGGTTTCTGCGACAGAAACTGCAGGACCTTGAAAGTCCGGAGGATTTTTGAACAGCACTATGAACCTTATGAAGTTGTATTCCTTGTCTTTTTTTCTATACTGAGCGGCAATCTGCAAGTACGCACTTTTATATGCTTGATTATGTTTACTTTTGATTCTTTCTACGAGATACCTACCATTTTGTTGTTTGAACACAAAACATTGGAACGAGTAATCCTAATCGTCGGTTAAGGCCGTATCAATCTAGAACTTGTATATAAAACGAGGGTGCGACTACGTATTTATTTCTAAATAAATACGCCTATTAAATACTACGCTTAGAGTCAGTTCTGAGACAAGCGAAATGCCTTAGTCTAGTGTGACTCACCACGAAATAAAATCCTGTGCCCGTTAACTATCTCCCCGCAGGATCAAGGTTACATGCCCAGATACATATATCCTCAACAAAACCTCGTATTCCTTTCTCCCTCTCAACTACTCATCTCCTCACAGTTTTAGATATCAACAGACAGACCGGGGTAGAAAAAAATGGTCCTCATCCTAACAGACAACAGCGAACCATACATCCGCCTTCCGGCACCGCATTCGCACATCATCCTCACTCCTCCACGCCTCGTAGAAGCGAGAGAAGAGAAAGACAATGTAGAGAAATCCCCGCCAGAATCCGACATCAACACTGCCGTCTCTGCCCTCAATGACAAGCGTGTTTACCTCAAGCTCGAATCCACGCCTTATCCGTACATGCGTGAGCACGCAATCGCGTTTGCTCGACAAGGACACGCCGATACTCAACGGATATTGCAGCAGCAGCAGCAGCAGGGAGAATGGTTTGACGGGTGTCCGTTTCGGGATATTCGGGATACGTCGTCGCCATCTTCTTCTTTTCTAGATGCAGGAGACGCCGACATTGAACACCAAGAAATCGCACAGGCGACCAAAATCGGTGATTTGTTGCTCCATCACTACCCTTTCTATGAGCTGCCCGTAGACAGTCCGGAGCGCAAAACGGCCCAGGAAAAGAATGCTGCATTGCCGGCGGGGCATGAGGATTTGATTTGGGGGATAGGATGTATATTCTCTCTCTCTCTCTCTCAATATATCTAATAATTTGTATTCTAACGGAGATAGTCTGGCTGCTACCCACTTACCACGGCAAAGGAATAATGAGTGCCGTCCTGAAGGCCGTTATCGAAGACTGGGCCATTCCGAAAATGAACATGCGCGTGCTGAAGAGTAGCGCGTATGTGGGCAATGAGGCCTCTGTGGGCGTCTTTAGGAAGTGTGGGTTTATGCACGAGGCGACGATTGAAAAGGGGAGTGCGGTGTTGTCGGAGAGTAGGGGAGGGGGAAAGAGGGATATTCATGTGTTGAGGTGGGAGAGGAAGGTATAAGTCGTTTATTATGTAATGTATATACGCATGTATGTGTTTGAAGCAGGTATATATTCACTGTTGGGATGAAAACCATTTTCATAGGTATATTTAAGCGTAATATATAGGCAGATGGCCATCAGGATAATACTATTCTCATGTGCAGAAGACGACACACCAAAATCATCCAAAACAAACACAGCACAAGGAAATAGAGAAAATAAATAACCTGTATATATATAATATAGGTGAGGATCACACTGCAGATCCACCAGGGGAAGTGTGAAAATGGCTGGGAGCACGATTGATACCGCTCGGCTCAGTGTTGATGGGCGACGGAGCAGGAGGCGCCTCAGCTGCACTTGAGTCTTTGATGACTCGCCACCACTTCTCAGCATCGTTGGGGGTGTGTGCCTTGAACTGAAACTCGGTGGTGGTGGTGAACGCGCTACCGACTTTACCACCCGAGACATCCTTGCCCTTGATATTGAACTTGACCCCGTCAATGGCGCCAATGACGCAGTCTGGCAGGTAAAGGGTCAGATCTGGCGTGGGATCCTTGGCAAAATCGTCCGTGTCCTTGAATGAGTGCAGGTATCGTGCAGGCGTAACTACATAATAGCTAGAGCTGAAGCCCTTGATGATTGCACGGGACTTGCGCTCCAATGTTCCTTCGATCGTGGGCTTGGTAGATGCGTGGTCCTGGTTGGGGAAGGTGATGTTGTTGAATGATCTGGGGGGCTGGTCTGGGTCGATGAGGATGCCGTCGTTGCGCTTGATGAAGCGGGCCCATTCGTAGTCTCCGGGGATTTTTGTTGCGCTGCCGGTGATGTCTCCATACAAGGCGCGATGTTGATCCAGTTGAGCGCCCATGAACTGGAAAAACGTGTTCATGGCGAGCTGCACGGTCTCTATGACGTGGGCTTCGAATTCGGCAAACGAGTTTTGCACTGTGATCGTGTCCTTTCGGTTGTTGTTTTCTTCAATAACCTGCTTGTTCAGGCGATGGTTGATGCCGCGGCGCAACACGTAAGGGTCGTGTTGCGGCTCGATCTTGTTGCTGGCGAATGCTCCGTGAACAGCAGCATACTGACCGAGGAGTTCAATGTGTTTCTGAGTAAGACCACGGGCCTTGTCGACAGCTTTGGATCCCTTGAGGGCACCCGAATTGAGTTCCTTGGCCTTGTTCTTGATCTCTTTGTGGAGACGGTCCAGAATGGGGAGTACTTGGCCTTTGAGATTTTGTTCTGTTTCATTGTGCATGTTGGACACTCCCTGTTATAGTTCACTACGGTCAGATACGTGTATGCAGAATCTAGAAAAGACACCACGTACCCTTGTATTGTTGCGCAACGTTTCAAACATTCCCGAAACGCCATCTAAGCTTTGGTCGAAGTGGTGGCCCTCTCTGAGAGGGTTGCTCACGGTCTAAAATAGAACATGTCAGTCTCAACCCAGCCAGAACCAACATACTCAATGGCACTCTCTTCTTGTACCTTGAGCACTTTCTCGTAGTCCTTTGCCTGCGACTTCTGCAACTTGGCCGTGGCCTCGATATACTCCTCCAAATATCCGCACATGTGTTTCCATGCTTGCAGACGCTCGAGCAGGAGGCGCGTGGTCTAGCAGAAAAGTTAGTGAATAGCCATTTCAGCAATAAGTAATGGTAGAGACCAAAGCAAACCTCGCTAGTATCTTCTCCCATAACTCCCTCATCGTCACTCGTAGCATTGGTTGCGACGCTGTGCATCGTCGTGGACCGGTGCGGCAGAGCCGGAGGCCCTGCTGTTGCGGCGGACATATTTCTCTCTGTAATTATAAGGTATTATTACTATTGTATGCAGTAGTGTTATGTTCTGAGAAGCATATATTCCCTCTTCCCCCCTTACTCAAAAACCGGCATCATTAGCGTCATTATATAGAGAGGGGCGCGGGGTTCCTCGGAGGACAAAGCAAACAAACGGTCAGGGGTAATTGACTCACTTCCGCGCAATCCGGAGCCGTCGCGCAGGAACAGGCGCTATGGATCAGATAATCCAACAGATAAAACACAAGAAAAGGCCAAAAAAGGGGGGCGAGATTGTGAATATAAGAAAATAGATGCGTTGTTAGCGATGCTACGGAGGTTCGCCGGCAACAAATGATCTCACGGGGCTCAACGGCGCCTTACCCGATCGGGATGGCGTGCACAGCCTCCGAGGATACGTAAGGGCACATAACTCACAAATGTCTACACAAAACTGAATTATGCAGGGCCTCAAGCCTCAGATACACGAAGAACTAAGAAAAGGGGTAAGCACTAATCAGCCACAGTGTCCAGAGAACCAATGATGTTCTAATTGATGTGCAAATTACGTATACTATGTAGTATGTAGGCAGTAGAGCTATGAAGAAACAATCCAGTCCATGCACACGCATCGTCTCGTCTCATCATCATCATCATCTTCGTGGGTAGCTGTTGTTCCCCATCCAGACTGCTGTAACTGTATGGAGAGCTGCTTGTTGTGATAAGGATAGAGAAAACAAGAAAGAATAAAAACGCCCAATCCAGTGACATGAAACTATCAATGCAGACGCCAACCCATGGTTAAAGAGGACATCCCCCCCCAAAAAAAAGTAAAGTATGATGGTATATTGTGTAAGACCAGAATAAGCCAGAAGAAAGTAAAGGAAGGGGCAAAAACTCCGTATAACAATGCGAATGATCTTTTTACACCGGCTCAGTAGGCGGGAAGGAAAATGAGAGATTACATATCAACACGAGCTTGCGAAATTCGAAGTTGCCGCTCAAGATCATTGTGCAATCCGTTGGCAAGATTATGCTGGCCGTACAGTGGAGGGTGAAGCGTCTCATGGAGCGGTGACATCCGCGTAGGTGATGCAGTGCCGCTGAAGCGGAGATGCGCCTGTTGCGGCAGAGGCGGCGGACGCGGCGACGAAATTGAGATCACGGAATCGTAGCCCGGGAGGCCATTGTCGTATTGCGTCCGAACGTTCGAACGAATGGCGGTAGAATAGCTCGGGACACGACTCAGAGTCTCGACTTCCATCGACTGGGGATGATGCGGTGTAGCCATGCCGGACGGCAGCCCAGAATCAAGGTAGTCGCGTTCGTGTTCATCCGAAGCCCGACGAGATCCTGCTTCAGGGCTATGCGAGTGAGAGTTGACGCCGGAATGTCGGCCGCCAAAGCTAAAGTAGTCTGACGAGTGGTTATGTGGCGCTGAACCATGATCTGCATCGAGCCCTGGAGATGCGACTTGACTACCATGAGTGGCATGGAGATCCCGAAGTCGGCTATGCAGCGCCGAGGCGGATATGTCTCCGTTCGTTATGGCTTCCAAAGAAGGAAGATCTTCGGATGATATATTCCGGCTCAACGCCCCAAACGGAGTAACAGAACCACTGATCGGCCCAGGTGTGCGATATCCACTCACGTCGACCTCACTGTACAAACGGTCAAACTGGTGTTCCCCATAAAGAGGGGGTGCTTGATGCGTCAAATCGTCCACGGCCCTTTGACGTGAGATAGCAGTCTCCTCGACCAGGATGTTGTTGTCGTCGATCCTCAAGTTTGGCGAGATTAGAACTGAGACGGGAAGCGTGGCACGCAACTGTGATTCGTCAGCATCGCCATAATACTTGGGGAAAAAAAAAGAACAAAGACGTACCTCGCTAGTGTGCCCATCAGGGTTGTGCAGCTGTATGCGGAATTTTAGCTTGTGACGAATTTTGATGCCCTTCACATCAGCATCCTGAAGACAGCGCGATAATGACTGGGGGAGTTCCAACGATCGCGAAAATTGGAAGCCTTCGACTGTCTCGTCGAGGATCTCGAGCTGCTCTTCCTCGTTCAGTTCGTAATCGTCAGTCTTGATTGTCCGCGTTGATTTGTAAGTATTGTGCACGGACACTGGGTCATCCGGATTCATCGTAAGCTCATGCGTCTCAATGAGTTGCGAGGTAATGCATCCGATCTTCAGGCCCTTTAAAAGAGGGACCAGACGAAAGTCAATGCGCACCGATGCGCCGAAAATGACAGCTTTGGTGGGAGTACTGATGGAATACTCAATCTTGTTGGGCCAAATATTCTCGACAGACTAGTAAACGAAATAAGAGATAAGCTATCGGAGGTCTGATTGGCTATTTCTTCACGTTTCTTTTCCGCTCCAAACCAATGGACAGGGTCGGACGGATTTTGAAGTCAACTTACCATCGCATGCGCTAGCTCAAGAGCGCTGGGATCCAACGTCCGCACGATGCGCACGGGCTTTCGAATAATGATGTCACGTGCATATTTCCTGCCAATCTCGGCTTTGAAACGATATGTAACCCAGGTATCGTGCAGCCCCTCAACGCTCTCCGGCAGAGACCCCTCGAGGATGACGTCAAAAGGGAATTCGTAGTTATCGGCAGGGAGAGTCTCTGTTTTGCCCTTTCCGGCATCGCGAAACTTCCATTCCTTCTCGAAGAAGACTTTTTCCTTGTAGGGTTTGCGGCCACCTGCAGTTGCACTAGCGGGGAGATGCCAGCTGAGGAGTTTCAGTCAGTCAGCAAACCATATCCTATAAAGAGCGGCAAGGACAGAAGAGAGCGCATACCAAACGCGCGACATGCCCGTGAGGGTCAATTTGAGGTGCTTGATGGTGAGTGGCTCTGACAGACAGAGCACTAGTGTGCCACGCAAATGAGCGCTTGCAGCCTCATGCTCACCGCCGCGGAAAACCACATATTGATCGTCCAATCTGCAAGGAGAGATGAGCTGGGTTCTCTTGTGGTGAGAGGTATTTTCCAAAGAACGAGGTTTACCTGATTTCAAAGTACTTGGCACTGCTGGCAATGCCGCCACCGCTGAGGAAACTCAGAGCTTCCATGTCGGTTTTCGGGCGAGGCACATGTGACGAGCTCGGAGACTAGGTGGTTGCAATAGAGGTGAAGACGAAGATCAGTATGGATGCAAATAAAGATGAACGAGCGTGGGCGCGAGATATAATATAGGCAGCGAAGAGAAGGACGGAGTGAAAAAGAAGACCAAAACGGCAAGATGCCCCTCCGCAGGCTAAAGGCCGGAACTATTTTGCTTCGGGTCCACCGTGCCGATTACGGATGGATACAGTACGGTATTTTACTTTTCTCTGCCCTCTGCTGGATAGCAGAGATTTTCGGTTTTCCGGTTCAACGCTCTACAGAACCGTCAACAAGAAGGGAAGAGCATATCAAATGATGCGTGGTTGTAGGTGGGCTGACACTCACCACCTGATGCCAGATCAGGCATGCAGGCAGAAATAACTTACATGGCTTATTAGATAATCAACTGACTAATGACGTGCTGCGAGCAACCGCAAACAGCGACGGGGGCTTAACTTATATTATCATCTAACCTTATATTTAATGTATTTTGAGTAGTTTATTTGCTAGTCACGTAGCTATCGATACGCAGCAGCTTTGATAGAGGCTTATGTTTTTTACGTACAGAGCCAACTATCGCTGCGACCCTTATAGTACGAGTTAGCTACAGTATGTATTGCAACGGTGTTACGTGACGGTATTACACGGTACAATACGCGCAGATCATGCTCCACTGCCAAAACATGTTTCTGGGAAAAAGTCGTATGACTGTTGTACCTGGCCAGGTATTGAATCATACAGGCACTCGATATCGTCAGCAAGTCCCTCGGCTGCTGCTGCTTGACGCTGAGCAATACCATCACATGAATGCAGAACGCAACGGGTCTCCTTTTTCCTGCGTGCATAAGTCTTCTAGACTCTAAGGGTACCTACGTAGAGTAGTATCGGATCGCTCACGGGATGCCGATATGCTGCCCAAAAATACCCGCTGTCAGTCGCCCGATAGTCGATACTCAGCAAGCGGACACGCCGACTTTATGGTCTCGACTTGCCTGAATAGAACTTTTCGTTCTGATGAAAGACACGACTCGGGAAGTCCCGCCGTGTCTTTTACTATCGGGCCGCGAGTGAGACCAGCACCGTCCGCCAATCAGAGGCAGCACTCGTGAAGAAACTCGAGTCTAGAATCAGCCCTGACGAAGATCCGATGCTTCCCGAGGTTGAAGAGTTTTGGCCGGGGCGCTCCGATGCGCATTCACTCTGATTCATTGCCAACTTGGCACGGAGGACTGTGAACCGCCGATGCACGGCGGTTTCAAGATGGTCTGTTTATTACAGGGATGCTTTACCTGCGTATTATTGACTTTATTCAGATGAGAAATTGGCGTATCGGCGCATGACGTAGTTTAGCTCTTGTTCTTGTTTTATTATTAGGAAGAATAAAAATGGTTGTTGTTGTTGTTGTTTTCCATGACTCGAGGTGGTGCCTGTTTAGGCAATATAGCCCTAACTCTGAAACCCCAACTGAAGACAAGCAAACAGGCAACAGGAATTCCACCATCCTGAGTTCCTCATCACAAATACACGCAGTATGAAGCCTCCATATCCCGGCTTCAGCCGTCAAATAAGCCAATGTTGCAAAAGATGCAGTCGGAGATAATTATCGAGGTTCTCCAGCATCTTTCATTGACAAGCAAATATCTCTACTGCTACTTCCAAGGTTACCTATACCCCCCTCCCAACTGAAAGACGACCGATAATACACCCCAATAATGATCTCAGGTACGGGTATAGAATAGAACCGCCATAGACTTGCGAATAAACGCTGGAAGTTTTGCAGTGGAAGTCTTCATCGACGCTCTGCATGGCGCCGCCCCTTATTTTCAGAGTATGTCCTTGAATGGTCATTTCCCCAAAAGCCACGCTGCATGCCGTATGCTGGCGAGACTACTATCTGTCCATGCTTGGACATCACAATGCTTGAGAAGCGCCGCTTAGCAGGCACAACTAAAACCAGCAGAGATAGAACTTCTAACATGCCCCGAGAATACTACTACAATAGGTTTCTCTATCATCCAAACGGTGGCGGCTGAGCCCAACCATCCTTAAGACATAATTGCGTTCTCGGCTGCTCACCCTCTTGCAGAAATTCGAATCACGACTATGTTCCGCTGGGACGAAGGGCCAGGATTGTGAGGGTCGCGAGTCAACATACATTCTGGCAAAATCTGTGCAAGTGCCGAATTATGACCACGTTCCTTCAGGTATGCGGACTCATTTTTTGTGTTCTCGTGGAAACACAAGAAATTGGCTTTAACAATTCTTCGATGAAGCTGGTACGAGTTTATCGCCATGGCACAAGAAACGCAGAGTTTTTACCTTGCAATGTGACTACGATAGGATAAAGTGTAAAATCATGCCGTATTATAATATTCAGATACTTCTTGACTAGCATCTGTTAGAGTACCTAGGTCAATGGCTTGGTAGCATTGTGTCGGTCCTTTAAGGACATGGATGGCATGACAGTCACCTTTGCTTGTCTCGTGAACCATGATACTTTCCTTGATATATATCCCTTTACAGTATTGCCTACCTAGATAGATACCGTATACTCTGTATATGCCAAACGCCGATGTACGGCGGTTTTTCCTGGCCCGAGTTTTAGCTAGTCATTGTTGGAGTGTTGTAAATTTACCACTACGTATTCCAAAAAGGGACCGCTGCAGGCCCCTCAGGGTTTTCTCTGGTGATCTGCATGACTAGGAAGTTCTACCTTAGCCAGTTAGATAGGTGCATATTGAATGACTAGCATAGCTATATTGATTCTCCCACATGCCAGGAGAGGCACGGTTTTTAGGGCTGGGTTTAGGTTAGGAAAGTAGCCGGCGCTGATTAATCCAGCCGACATCAATCAACACCATCGGTATGCCAGACTGTATCTATAAATGGCTTCAATGACTGTGGCTCTCACAAATGTCTGGTACAGTTTACGATTGCTGGATTGCCACAATACGCATCGTAAGTCAATATGAAAGGACTCGCCCAAGCCTCGGATGCTATCACAAACAATCTCATTCTGACCAACGTGCCTCGCAATGCGCCTGGAGTTAACCCGCAGGAAGTGCTCCCTGTCGGCGCAGGTGGTCTTCAACATGCATTCAATGGAGAGACGCTTCGCGGTGTACCTAGGTACGGTTGACATATGACGCCGGACTGAAGGAGGCCTGGGCTCCGATAATCGCGTTTTTCTGTGCTTCATTCTTTTGCACTTTCATTCATTCCGAAGTGGCCTGGACGTACGGTTTCCTGTCCCTGTCAAGGGCAGTAGTCTGGATGAGAAGAACGCCACTGGAGAGTGTCTACCTAGGTAGCTAGCAAATTTTTGCGGATTTGCCTGGGAAATGATTGCAAACTGCCGATATACGGGTTTATGCAAGCCCTAGCTTATCTTCCATTGAGCAACTCGATCTTCTGATGGATCCAGATTTTATATAGACACATGCCCAAGACTAACTATAATAATACAGTCAAACTGCAAACAAATGGGTAAATTTAGTATCATCAAAAAGAGTAATCAACCCGGGAATAATTGAGAAATAAACGCCAAAACGCTGTAGTCAATACGTACTCATCCTCAATGCTTCAAAAGAAGAAAGAAAAATTGCATAGAGAACAGATCAAAATAGGCTAGAATACCCACCCAGCAACAAGCCACAGCACAACACCAGTCCCAGCACAAATCCCGGCGACTTTCATAACAGCAACTTTGTCGCCTGCTCGCGCGGCACGGGTTAATCGTGATGCACTCCCTCGCAAACTGGTCGACATATTCGAGAAAACGTCATTCTGATTTTTCCAAATCATTGTGATTAGTATCAAGAAACCGAAAAGAAACCAGAGAGCTGAGGCAGGGCAAAGTACAGTGTTATCCAGCGTCTCTTGATTCCGCGCATTATCATATATATCAATCGTAACCGATTTCAAAGCCGACGTTTTCTGAGCCAGAGAATTGAGGAGCGCATTATTTTGTCTGTATAGTCACGCCATGATGTGGTTAGCATAATGCCTGATACAATTCGTCCCTTTCCATTGTCATTGCCGCCGAAAGAGATACGAGAGAGACATACGATTCCCGTTCGTAGGCGTCACTCATTTTGTCCGTGATTCGCTTTTTTGAAGCAGACTAACCGCCTCAATTCACCTCAAGGGTATATTGCCTGCGCTGCTTGTGCTAGCTGCGGTGTATTGTTGATTTCGCTAAGGAAAGGAGTATAATCGTCGAAACGGATAGACAATATACACGTCAAGTTGTCGGAAGATGTTCAAAAGCGGAAAATGGCTTGAAATATTGAAAATAGCAAAACGGTAACGACGTCCTGCCTTTGGTTGAGAGACTGGCGGGGTGTTGAATAACATTGACAGACTCTTTCTTCAACTTGCCCCGGAGTCTCCGTCGCGTGGCTGAGCTTAGGGTCACGTGATACAGCCCCTAACTTGGCGGGTGATGACAGCATGGATGATCGCCGCTTGGCCTTTTATGGAATAGTGCAATAACAACAGTCTCGACGTCTAGCAACTAATTACGGATATGTCGAGATGTAATGAAGAGCTCTGTTGTTGTTCTGCTCATATTGCATAATTTATGTGCCAGGGACTCAACAATACGGAAACAAAGTATGCTCATTCGGATAAATATAGAGGAAACCCATCGAGTCAAGTCATTAATCAGTGAACAGCGCATATGGGGCCATAGCAGAGTAAAAAGGATGCGATGAGAAGAGAATACATATGTGTCGTCAGCAGAGATACATGGAAAGACAAACGATGATTTCGATAGAGAGAAACAAAGAAGAAAGCAGACAAACAGGAACAAAACAAACAGGTGATGGAATCATTCCTTCGACACGCTATGCCCAGTTTCTGACGCCGTGTGCAAGCCCCAGTAGAGATGAATAGAGAACATAAATAAATAATAGATAGAGGGAAACGAAAGACTTAGCCGGGCATGCTTGAGCAGGCGTACAGCAATATCCTCGTCAAGCATTCATAAGAAATCTGAATATAATCCCAAAGCACAACAACGCCCATAAACCCCCAACCTTCAAATTTTTGACCACAACAGAGCAATCTCACCACATTTCTTCGTCGCTGTCTAATTGAGCAACATCTCCGAGAGATCCATAAGACCCATCGTAATGTTGATGATGGCCTGTTCCGTACGCATTGCCATCCTCATAACCTTGTTGGTCATCTATATGAGATCCGTATTGATCGCCGTGATCTTCTACCTCATAGCTGTACTCTTCATATGTTTGCTCCGCATATTGCTGTTTGTTCATAGACAATATTAGTTGGGACATGAGCAAATGTGAACAAATATTTGCGGGAAAGCTTACCTCCTGGTAGCGTTGATACTGGGTGTACTCATCCGGTTGCTCCGCTTCTTGTTGTTGCTGGTGAAGTTGCTGCTGCTGCTGCTGTTGAGCTCTTTGAGAGGGTGATGTTGGAATCGACATCTGCGGATGCATTTTTTGCACCTTGGACAAATATGAGTACATGAAATTGCTGAGAAGGACCTGGGAATGAAGTGGTCGACGGGGATTGGCTAGCTTAATATGCGCCATGCGATATATGGCTCGCTCTTCCAAAATTGTAAAGCGCGTCCAAGGGTAGTCATGGTCCGGTATTAAGTGTACATAAGTTGGTTCCGGAGATAACGTTCGAGATGAGCTCTTTTTGTGATCTCCTCCGTTTCTCTTCTTGCTGCCACCAAATATAGAAGATAAGAGCCTTGATTCTTTGTCTTTCTTAGAATCAGACGACTTCCGCTGACTTTCCTTTCTTCGTTCCTCCTCCAATCGTTGGTCGACAGGGCGTTCCAGGACCAAACTCTCACGTTTACGAGGCACGTTATCCACGGAGTTCTGCAGAACGTCGAGTCGGGTGTTGTCCTGCCTTTCGTAGACTCTTTCGGGGGTATTGCTGTTGTTGTTGCTGTTGTTGTTGTGGTTATGTTTCGCTTTGCTTTTCTTGCCTTCGGAATCCTTCTTTTTCTCTTTGTCGTCTGACCCGCGCGACCAAGGCCAACTTGATTTCCGGCTTCCTTCGCTGTCCTTTTTATCCTTGCTTTTCTTGCTATCGGATCGTTTCTCTTCTGGGATTGTTGGAATGACTGACAGACTATCTGTGCGTGAGCTCGTTCCTGGCAATGATGATGGATGCGATGCAATATCAGTCAAAGTCTGCGGCGAAGCATTTTGTTTTTGCAAAGCCGGTGCTGATCGCTTGTTGTATGCTGAGGTCGGAAGTGGAGAGGATTCATGGGAGGATGTCCGCTCGGGGATCAGGCCAGACTGTAAGCTAGTCAACACTTGCTGTCGGTGGGGGTCTGATGAAGGCGGTGTTTCGATTATTTGCGGTACTGGTTGGGTAGAAGGCGGGCTGTGTATAGTTGATCGGCCATTCGAGCTATTTTGCGATTGCCACGATTGAGAAGACCCCGCTGCACTGGACTCTGGCACGGCTTGTTTGACTGTCTCTTGGAGTGTGAAATTTCTCTCCGAGACGCTGCGCCCAGGATCAGTTGATGATCGTGTAAGAGGTTTGATGGCCGGGGGATTTTCGAGTGCACTAGCAAAAGGATTTCCTCCGAGTGTCTCCGGGGTTCTCCCAAGTCTCTTTGAGTAAGGTAGACGTTCGCCTTTTTTCAAGCTTCCTTTCCGGTACTGGGTTCTCGTCGAGCGTTTGAGACTATGGCCCGGAGGTGCCGCGGGGAGGATTGGTCTATCCTCATATGCTGATAGGTCGAGCTGTTCAATACTTGCGAGCATCGAAAATGTGTCCTTATTTATTTGTTTCTTTTTCTTTTTGTCGTCAACGATTTCTTCTAATTCTTGTAGATTCGGGCTGGATGCATCGGCCTTTCCATCATGAGATTCTGCTCGTTTCTGCTCCAGCCGCTCCGCGCCGCCAATGTATTCGTTTGAGCTGTCTATTTGTCTTGATAACTTGGACCGTTTTCGACGTAAGCTCCCGCCAGAATCCTGTGGTTCAATGCTTAAGCTCGAAGAGAAATCGCCCGATCTTCTTTGTATCTGCTCCTTCCTGCTTTCGAGAAAGGATTTGAATTCCTTGGGGGCTAGCTCCGGATGGAGACGAGCAGGCACCCAGAACAAGCGAGAGGCATCATTCTCATCTGCATCTGCTGACGGCGCAATCGCGGGCACCTGCACATTCGAGAATGACGGCAAATCCGGGTCCCCAGTGACGTCCATCGACATCCTGCGAATAGCAGCGAGCGTGTGGTATTCTTGTTTAATGGCATCGGGGTTAGATTCATAATCGATATCGTTCAGCGGAAAGGAAGAATTGGCGGCGTCTGAGGGGGACAAATGCACGGATTCTGTTTCATATGATGGCTGTTTCTTCACTGTAGGCCGCGAGGAGGCTTCCACTTTGAGCTTGTTGTCTCCTCCGCCTGTTCTCCTCCCAGCGTCTAAATTGCCATTGGTCGGGGCGAGGGCCGACACCGAAAGGGTTTCGCCCTGCGGCGTCGGGAGGAAGCTTAATCTTCGTTGATCTCGAGCATCGTAACTGTCGCCGTACAGATGGCCAATGGTCTCCGTGACATGGTGACTATCATCACTTATCGACAATTGCGGTACATGGCCTCGTTTCGTGGTATAGCCCCCGTCGGTTTCGTAGGGACTAGCTGTAGTAGTCTGGCGCAACTTCAAAAGTCAGCGGACATGATCGCACAGGGAAGGATGACCCAGGTACGACATCAGGAGAGCTAGATTAGTCTTTCACGCATAGGTGGAAAGGAACAGGGAGAGAGGGAAGGTCATTATTTTATCGGTAACGCAGAGCGGGCGCGGCGCCCTTTCAGGTGACAATCTGCCGGACGAAAATGGAAGAGGGGCTATCTTCTTTTTTTTTTTATTGGCTCACGCACCTGCATCGGAAGGATTCGAGTAACAGTCCAAAGGGGGAAAGAAAAAGAGACAGTTCCTTATGGCGAGGCAGAAGGAACAGTGTGGTGGCATACACGGGGTTGCTGTTGCACCGCCTGGGCCGAGAGATGGGAAGGGCTGCCAGTAGTCATCGAAACGAGGGGGCGTGACAGGGTAGAGCCATGCAAATTAGTCCGTAGGCATGGAACCGAGGGCTTCAATGGAACTGGGCTGGTGTGTCTGTGAATCCGCAGCGACACGAGGGAGATGAAGTTGGGACGTGGTATGGGATTCTTCGAGGAGAAGCGGGCAGGCACAGTTAGTTCTCCAGATCGCGAAATGCTAGCTAGCGCAGCGCAGCGCGGGCCACACTTGGACGGACGGCCAGGCAATTCTCTCTCTTGTGCTACGATACGTATCCCACGCATTGGCCTACACTATTTACGAAGAGTCAATCTATAGTAATCTGCTGATTGAATCCATATTTTATTTGTTTTTCTCTTATGGCCTCCCGGTTATCCATTGCAGCCGCCAGTGTCATGCCTAGAGGCTCCCAGTACAAACCATGATCATTCTGCTGCCCCTGATAAAGCCATAACAAAAGCATTACAGAGTATCTGGTGCGCTGGCAGGTCCGTCTGAGAGGGCCAGCGTGAACCTACAGCAGTCGCTCGAGAGGAAAAGAGCGAGCCTTGTACCGGCCGTAGGGTAACCAGCGGTCACCTGATCCCTTGCAATGCATTTCTCCTCCTGCTGTCTTCCTCCTGAGCCGGTCAGCTGCAGTCAATGCGAAGAACACCAGCAGTGACAACTGCCCACTAGATCTAGATGCCGTGATAAGATTGTTGCTGATCGCCAGCCAGCCCCATGGGCCATCCCACCATGAGCTAGTAGTTGGTTAGTTAGTTAACTCGGCTTTAGCCAACTTATTCAGCTGCAAAGCCAGCCGCTGATCCTCCTACGATTGGCTCACTTGATTGATGCCGCGCTAGTCTGCCTGTCGTTTGTCGAGACTGAGTGCGTGCCTGTGCATATTATATTACAGGATGCCCCTGTATGATGCGAGTTGGCTCAGTTACCTAGGTAACTAGGTATTGCAACGACTTTTGCACAGCGAAATGTCGCGAAACTTGACTCCTCTATAACAGGGCGCACTTAAAGCCTGTTTTTGAAATACCGCGTGACCGCATAATACGCGCCAAGGCCGTAATGAAGCCCCGCTAATTGCTCAGCTAGGTAGGCTGTCGAGTGTATGATTGGCTATTCCTCATCCATGGTTTTTTTTCGTTACGTGCCTCATCATACTTCATACCATAAACGCACTCTATACCTATATACGCGAGTAAACATGAACACGAACACCTGAAGATTTGCAAAGCTTCGCTTTTGATAGGACTCCTAGGGTAGACGATGGATTTAGTTAGAGAATCTTCGAACTGATTGAACAAATCATGGAGGAAAAAGAGAAAAGAAAAAAAAAAAAAAAAGAGTAAAGAGAAACAGTTATGCTTCGTAGCATTGCAATCGAAACGGGAATCAAAAATCGTTAAATGCAAGGGAAATCTCATTTCGTGGCGGCGTCGACATAGTTGCTAGAACCAATAGTTATTCAAATGCCTTGTTCATTGGGGCAAAGACAGGGAAATAATGCGTACCTTGGAAAAATGCCGGTCCGGTCGCCAATTCTACCAGTCCACCAGTCTTCTGCCTTATCGGTGCGTTTGAGAATTGTGATAACCTCGCCTTTCTTGAAACCGAGATCGCCTTCTTGGTCCGCGTCAAATGTGTAACGCGCAACTGCTTGGTCTTCCCGTAAACTGGCCGCAGCTCCAGTACGTTGGGCAAAGACAGGTTTAGGCGCCGTAGGACGGCTGGGCCGAGAGCGATTGCTGAAGAATTCTTCATCGTCATATCCGCTGCCGCCTCTTGTTGTGTTGGAGCGACCAAAGCCGCCAGAACTTGGTCGGTCGTATACATCATCCTGCCAAGTTGTCGCTCGACGAGGGCGGTCTCGATATTCATAATCGTCCAAAGGCTCTGTCGCCCGAGATCCAGCTCGTTCTCTCCTTTGTCCTTCCCCATACGCAGAGCCCCGACGACCTTCCCAAACGACGTCATCATGGGTGTCTCCGTAGACGGGGATGTCATTATACATAGCATCGGGGCTTGACATAGAAGCACCGGAGAAGATACGGGAATTGAGCACTCGCATAAGAGGATCGGCGGCTGAAGGAGGGGGGACCGAACCAGAGAGGAGCTGACGAGCTGTGATGCCAGGGCTGTAGAGCTTCGCGTTGGCGTCCCTTCGCTCTACCAAAACACTTCCCTCCAGACTGACACCAGCAAACAGCCCCTTCGTTTTGGAATACGCGAAGACAGCCGCTACACCTCTTGTGCTAGCCGCACCCGCAGCCTCGGCGTTTCGACCGACTGGCCCAGCGGCTATTGAAACATTGCCACCCAGCGTGATACTTCCGGCCTGTGAAAATGTACGGACTGCAGACGCGTCATTGAGGATGAATACAAAATCCGTCAATTCAAACCCTATTTGTCCTCCAAACCCGGCACCCGCTGTAGCGATCGCAGAGGGCGCAGACCAACTTCCATCAGAGAGTCGAGCGACTACGACTCCGGAGCCAAAGCGACCAGATCCCAAGAAACCGGCTTTGAGAACAGAGAGTATAGCAAGACCCTACCAACACCAACTAAGATCAGTATCGGAATTCACCTCCACTTTGCAAGGGTCGGCTCCTTTACCTTTGCTCCGGCCAGAATCTCCGGTGGAATAATCTTGTCAGGACCGAATGCTTGCCTGGGGTCAACAAACGAGGCGAGAATTGTCCCAGCCTTCTTACACTCGCCTATAAACAGAAGGACAGATCAGTCGCGCGAACACCAATACGGGGAAACCTGTGGTCATCATTTGCAGGCACAGGTGGACTTACTCCTCATGGAAGAGGGCAGCGGATTGTGGATTCCCAAAGGCATTTCGGTGAAGCCAGTGCCTCAGACTGAAGAGTAGATCCTTTTCTTTTCTTTTCTTTTGTAGAAAAATCCGACGAGGTGGTTTTCCGGCGATGACGCTGGGCTGTGGGTCGACCCAGATAAGAAGTGAGCTGTAGTTAATCGTAGAGTCAGGACCAAGCGGCTAGAGCTCGACCACAGTCGCAATGAGGATCATAAGAGTAGCGTTGAATGGCGTGAGAGTGAGTATTGTTATAAGTCTGGCTCACTTATTGTAAAGTTAGTTGTCGGTGCGAGGAAGTGGGATGAGCGGCTGTGCTGCGCCTTCACACTCCTTGGCGGATGCTACGTCCATGGCGCGACTTCACTTTCTTGCTGCAATCCCCGAGTGGCACAATCATGAGGGATACAGCATGTGCAATTTAACAACGCCATTGGGAAATTCTACGCTGTAATTCCCAATACCCTCCTGGTGATCAGCAGTGAAGAAACCGCACGGAATATAGCGCCCACGAGCTCAACTCCGCGTGTTATTCCGTTCCGCAATTAACTACATCGCCTTCTACCTAGCTTATGCTACGAGCCAACGTCGGCTACTCTCCTATGATATGATGCCCAGGAGTACGAGTGGTTAGGTGCCGTGTGGAACTTGCATGCCATGGTAAAAGATGGCTACAGGTGCGTATCCAACGTCTCAGGTGCCGCACTTCCAACGAGGCTAACGTCAGTCGCTACAGTGCGAATTTGCGTTTGTGGTGACGAAGGCACCGGCAAATCCAGCTTGATTACCTCCCTCGTCAAGGGCGTCTTCGTCACGAATAAGATCCAACCAGTGCTTCCACAGATTACTATTCCTCCTACGATTGGCACCCCGGAAAATGTGACAACCACAACGGTGGTCGATACGTCGGCACTTCCTCAAGAACGTACCAACTTGGCCCGCGAGATCCGCAAGTCAAATGTCATACTCCTTGTATATTCTGATCACTATAGCTATGAAAGAGTGGCTCTTTTCTGGCTACCGTATTTCCGCTCGCTTGGAGTAAACGTTCCGGTGGTGTTATGCGCCAACAAGGCCGATCTTGCTACGGATACAAGTGACGCGCAGGTGATCGATGAGGAAATGCTACCCGTGATGGCTGAGTTTAAAGAGATTGACTCGTGTATTCGCTCAAGTGCTCGGCAGCACCGGAATGTTAACGAAGCCTTCTTCCTTTGTCAAAAAGCAGTGACGCATCCTATTGCCCCTTTGTTCGATTCCAAGGAGTCGGTTCTTAAGCCTGCCGCCGTCGCTGCTCTGCAACGTATCTTTTACCTATGTGACAAAGATCGAGATGGCTTCCTGTCTGATAAGGAAATTGAAGATTTCCAATTGAAGTGCTTTGGGAAACCATTAAGCGAGGAGGACCTTATTCATATCAAAGAGACGATCCAAAAGGCCTACCCGGATTCTGTGACGCCAGCCGGGATAACTTCGCGGGGCTTCCTTCACTTGAATAAGCTATATGCAGAAAAAGGCCGTCATGAAACCGTGTGGATTATCCTGCGAACTTTCCAATACACCGATAACCTGTCATTGCAAGAAACATATCTCCACCCCAAGTTCGACGTTCCACCATTCTCGTCCGCAGAGTTGTCTCCAGAAGGATATCGTTTTTTCGTCGATTTGTTCTTGCTGTCCGACAAAGACAACGATGGGGGACTCAATGATTCAGAGTTGGCGTCTCTGTTTGCGCCGACCCCGGGGCTGCCCAGTTCTTGGGCAGATGACTCATTTCCGTCTTCTACAGTACGAAATGAAGCAGGCCACGTCACCCTTCAAGGTTGGTTGGCTCAATGGAGCATGACAACCTTTACGTCTCCCAAGACGACTCTAGAATATCTTGCTTATCTGGGATTTGAACCTTCTGACCGGAGTAACCTATCAACAACGGTAGCTCTCAAGGTTACCAAACCACGCAAAAGACGGCGTCGACCGGGCAGGGTTGGTCGTAACGTGGTTCTTTGTCACGTCTTGGGTGCTCCCGGTGCTGGAAAATCTTCCCTTTTGGATGCCTTCCTCTCGCGGGGATTTAGCAATACATATCATCCTACAATTCAGCCACGCACCGCTGTCAATACCGTCGAGCTCCCGGGAGGAAAACAATGCTATCTGATTTTGGATGAGCTCGGGGAGTTGGAACCAGCGCTGTTGGAGAACCAGAACAAACTACTAGACCAGTGTGATGTGATCGCATATACGTACGACTCTTCAGATCCTGACTCATTCGCTTATATCATCAGGCTTCGTGCCAAACACCCTCATCTTGAGGAATTACCCAGTATTTTCCTTGCCTTGAAGGCAGATTTGGACCGTACCACACAACGCGCAGAATGCCAGCCCCATGAATTTACGGCGCGCCTGGGATTGCCGGCGCCGCCACTTCATGTCAGCGCTACCTGGAGTTCAATCCAAGAAGTTTTTATTCACATTGCCGAGGCGGCAATGGAGCCTAGCACCACGTTCCCGCGGACTGAAGAGGACTTGGAAAGCAAATGGATGGCTTGGGGGATTGCTCTAGGCGCCGTGGTCTGTGCCGGTGCTGCCGCTGTAGCGATATGGCATCGAGTAAACAGTAGCAGCTCCTAGAACGGATCTTTTCTTTCTTTTTTTTTTTTTTCTTCGTGAGATGCTCGCACTCGCACATGGACATGTTGCTCTATAAGACTCGCTCTAAGCCATTATGTATCACTATGTTTGTTCACAGATACCCCCACCTCATCCAATGTATGAATGCCGAATGGACACTATGTAGTTATAGTATAAATAATAAGAAATTCGGTCATGGTTGGATGTATTCTGGCCGTTGATTGGCTCAAGGGAGTCTGCCACGCGGCGATTCTGCGCCTTCCCAAATTCGGCATAGTGCGTCTGGACTCTGTAAGTCAGCTTCCACTATGGGACTAGCGCGATTACCCCAGAACCAACTCTAAAAGGCAAGCAGCGCCAAGCACTGACCTGCTCCTCCCCTCCCTCGCTGTGTCGGAGTCGCAGCCTGCAGTCCTCGCCTCAGCCATCCCTTCTGTGCAGAGTCACTGTCGGTCCCACGGGTTCTGTTGCCTTCTATCTACCTCTACAGGATATCTACGTTCGATGCTTTCTCGTCTTGCCCATCCGATCGATGACTTCACTGGCGATCTTCTCGGAGCTCTGATGAGATAATATACGGCAGTTCTGCTTTCATAAAGACGCAAGCACTTAGTCTGCATTATATAGGTAACCAGAGAGCAAAAAGCCGTTTATTGAACAAGTTCGCCGGTTCGAATTGCGCGGCTCTGCCAACCCCAACCCTTGATCGAGCCAGGTTTGGGAGAAACAGACCAATCGGACGGACAACTACCATCATAAAAGATATCGGTTGCAGTTCTATTTATCACTCTATATTTTAGCAGAGAAATACTTGGCAGTGGTCGCAGCAGCCATGTTGTAAGTAGATCCCTGTCCTCTTAAACTACCACGGGTTTCCGGCGCAAGTGATGGAATTATGCACGCATGCATAATTGCACAATTTATATTCTCAATTACTCATGAAAGTCTCTAATATTTCTCTATATAGTGTTCTACCTCCACCTCCGCCACGCTATTCTATACCCATCGCCTATGCAGCGGGCGCTGCAAATGGCATGGCGGTGCCTATCATCGAGACCAACAATGTTATTAAACATCCCGAAGGTGGCTGTCCGCTTCAGGTTGGAGAGGGTATGGATTGCTTTAACAACAACTTGTGAGACAATATTTAACATGATGCAGGGACATATGAGCTCGTCGATGATCTACATTTAGCAACGCCTCCACCCCACCCCTCTGAAGCGCCGATTGTAAACCCAAACCCCCTCGCAACAGTTCCAACTCCTCCTACGGCCGGTGTGAAGATGTCTCTCGTTATTACCAATAACAATAAAAGCCCCCCGAATCTATACAGCTCAAGGGCATCAGCATCGGCATTCGATTTGAGGAGTATTAGAGAAAGCGAGAAAGAAGGACGGCGCTCCGAAAGTGAAAGTTGGAGCTACATTTCGGCACCGGCTTTTGGGGAAGGCAACCCAGCGCTGATGATCGCCTCGGTGAAAGACGGATTGAAGCGGAGAAAGCCGAAGAACAACATTGTCAAAAGCAGCTCGTCGTTTGTCTCCCGAGTTATATCACATGAAAGCGCTGCCAAGCGGCTGGCTGACAGGAATCCGGATGGACTTTTTGCTTTTGCAAATATAAACAGAGCATTTCATTGGCTTGACCTAGGCTCACCTAACAAGGAGGATCCGCTTGCAAAGATCCTTTTCACCAAAGCACATATGCTTTGTCACGATGTTAATGAACTGACTAAGTCGTCGTCGCATATCGACGTTGTTATGGGATCATCTGCCGGTGACATTATCTGGTATGAGCCCATATCTGCAAAGTATGCTCGAATCAACAAGAACGGCGCAGTCAACAACTCCCCAGTCACGCATATCAAGTGGATACCGGGCTCCGAGAACCTTTTTCTAGCAGCGCATGCCAACGGTCAGCTCATCGTTTACGACAAGGAGAAGGACGATGCGCTTTTCACACCAGAAGTGGATGAAGGAGCTGATAGAGCTTCTTCTTCAAGTAAATCACTGCAGATTTTGAAATCTGTAAATTCCAAGAATCAAAAGACCAACCCAGTTTCCGCATGGAAGTTGGCAAACCAACGAATTAGCCAATTTGCTTTCTCTCCTGACAAGCGTCATCTAGCCGTAGTGCTAGAAGATGGTACACTGCGTGTGCTGAATTACCTCAAAGAAGAGTGAGTACTATACCATCTGTGTATTATATTATTATTTGCTTTCTGTTTTGCTTATGCTTTGATTGATTATCAAGAGTCACGGACATTTTTGCAAGCTACTACGGCGGTATGATTTGCGTCTGCTGGTCTCCTGATGGCAAGTATATAGTAACCGGAGGGCAAGATGATCTTGTGACAATCTGGTCTCTGGCAGAGCGAAAGATCATTGCTCGATGCCAAGGTCATAACTCCTGGGTCTCTGCCGTTGCATTTGATCCTTGGAGATGTGACGAACGCAACTATCGATTCGGCAGTGTTGGCGATGATTGCAGATTACTCTTGTGGGATTTCAATGTCGGGATGCTACATCGTCCAAAAGCAGTACGTTTTTGTTTTTTTGTTTTGCGACTTAGCCTGAAGATATGGTTTCTGTCTAACCTTCGAATAAAAATAAATCAGCTTCAAACAAACGCCCGTCACCGAAATAGCATCACACCGGGAATGCAACAATTAAGTCGCCATCGAACAGACAGTCTAAGCAACCGCAAGAGATCAGATTCTGACCGGACGGAAAAGCCCATCGACACTGATGAATTAGATGCACTTTGTCATCCTGTTGAGCCACGGAAGATGATCGCATTGCTCCCTCCGGTCATGGTATGATTTTACATCTCATCATTTCCATCCTGGTTTGCCATAAGACTAAAGATTTTATACCCGTATAGTCGAAAGAAGTTGGGTCCGACCCAATCTCAGGCTTAGCTTTCCAAGAAGATTTCATATTCACTTCTTCATTAGAAGGCCAGTCCTTCCTCCCTTTTCTTTCTTGTTCATCTACTAATGAGAATAACAGGCCATATCCGCACGTGGACTCGACCAAGAGAAGGTGTCACAAACGAAAGTCGCGCAGAACTCTCATCAACCATGTCAGGTTCCGGCTCAGGTAGTGCGAAGCCTGGCTCCATGCTGTGATATTTCTTCTCTTTCGATTCTCTCTAATATTTCTGTTGGGATATATTTTTGATGAAAGCGGATTTATGACGCTGTACAGAAACGATTGCTAGTTTTGTTAGTTGTTGGATGTGCATCTAAATAATAGTCATGTCTATTCTATTTCCCACCACCCCTTCTTGTCTCGATGGTAGCTAGCTGTACTTGAGAGAAAGAGGGAGAGAAAAGGGTAGATAAAGGAAATAAATTCCAATTCAGTGTGAAATAATTTGTTCTGTAATGTAATGTAACGCTACTTATCTACCTGCTTATTTACCTGCTTACTACTCCCATACATTAGAAAACAGGTCATCACTAGCCCCAAAGCCGCCGGTTGCTGATTTATTATTAGTCGTACCAGCAGCAGCAGTAGTAGTCGCCGAAACAGGCGCTGCGCTGGTCCATCCTCCAAAATCATCTTCGGGGGCAACAGCTGGTGCAGGTGCTGTAGATGTTGCGGTGGTAGTGGTAGATGTAGCAATTGGGCTGGTGGGTGCACCCCAGCCGGCTCCGATATCCTTGGAAGTCAATGTATCTGGCATCCTCATTGCGTCGGCGAAGGCGTTGGTTGACGAAGATTGTGTTGTTGATGATACTGTTGCTGCTGCGGAAGACGCGGGAGGTGCTGGGTCGGGAGTGCTCCATGCATTGCCACCCCAGGGGTCAATGCTGGCTGAGGAGAGCATGCTAGTTACATTTGATGTAGAGGTGGTTGCGGCGGCTTTCTGTGTGGGTTGGTGTTGGGCAGTGTTGGACGAGAGGTTGAAGACTGACGAAGTCATCGAGGGTTGATAACTTGGAGGTGACGTGGGTTGTGATGGTGCCAGGGTTGACGCTGAAGCTGGGGCTCCGAGATCGAATAAATCGAGAGAAACACTTGGCGCTGGTGCTGGTGCTGGCGCTGGCTTTGGTGGTTGCGACACCGGCGATGTGAAATTATTAGTGAACCCAAAATCGAGTCCATGCGAAGAGGTCGCAGGCTTCGTAGGCTGATTGCTCGATGTTATACTGGCAAATAAGTCTCCCCCGCCTATGGATCCAGGCGAAGTTGATTTGGGTGGTGCCGGTGGTGATTTCGAACCGCCGAGGCCAGTGAGGCCTGCAAAAACATCATTGGATAATGGTGACTGTGGCTTTTGCAACGGTGGAGAAGTAGGGTTCGAGGGAAAACTCAATCCACTAAAGGCATCTGTCAGACTGTTCACATTGGACTGGCCGGCAGTACTTCCAATAGAGGACGTCCGTTCATGTTGCGCGGGTGCCGGTTGTGGCTTCGGAGCAGTGGCGTATAGTGACAGAATAGATTGCTTTAAGTCAGGTCGCGATAGTCCGGTTTGTGAGGTAGACGTAGGTGCCGTGCTGCCAGGACGACTAACCGGGGTAGACTGACTATTGCCAAAGAAATCCAGGCCTAGCAATGAATCGGCTGGTTTTGTTTGTTTCGGAGCAGCGGGTTGTGCAGAGTTCGGGGGAGGAGGAGGACGAGCAACAGCGGTCGGGCCCGTTGTGCTAGGGCGAGCAGGAGGGCTAATAGGATCGTCGTCCCCGAATAAATCAATGGACGGTTGTGGTTGTCGGCGGGCGGGTGGTTGGCTCGAGACAGATGTCCGCTGCGATGCCGAGCGCTCGATCTTCGCTCTCTCTTGGACGACTGCAAGTGGCTAAAAAAGCAAATGAGAGTCAGTTGTATGAATAAATAAATAAGCGGTGGGATATGTGCAACAACATACAACATCGTCATCATTCCCTAGTGTGGAGGGGTCGGGCATCGGACCGTCCATCACCCATCGCTTCGATTCATACTTGGTGCGAATAAAATTCTCGATTTTGCTAAGATGAGGCGACTAAGCAGACAATACTTGCAGGCAAATTGGCAGGGGGGGGGGACTCACGATTCCGAGGGGACATGGTTTGGCGCCAACTTAGCCTCCCAATACCTATGGTCCGGTGGCGTTAGTTATAGAAAATCACAGACACCTTCGCGGGCTGACGCACTTATTGGCACGAGAATTGCCCCACTTCAAGACACTTTGTAGTTGTTCGTCGGTCCAGGCATCGAGGTCAACAGACTTGACTCGGCTGATATGGGTGCCCATGCCTCTGTGGATGCCTGAGCAGCGAATGCAGATGAAAATACCGAGGTTCCATGACGCCCATCGTGGATCTGCCAGAAGACATATATAGATGTAATTAGTTATAAGTTCATCTAAAACAAGCAGTGGATCATAGGGAATGATGTAGTGCATACGCTTGTTTCGCTTGCAGTCCGCACAGGTCTTATTATGATCCAATTTCAACAAATTCTTGATCGTCTGCTGGTTTTGCGCAGCCCGCACCGGGTCCGGACGCCGAGACATGGCACACGAAGATAGAAGACTGAATAAATTGAGTGGCGTGGTTTGGGAGGAGTAACGAAAAGGAGGGGCGGTATGAGAAGGAGGAAGTGTAGCGCTTGATAACAGACAGCTTAGCCCTCTTGGCGCGCGGCAGTTTCTGACCGCCTTGATATTACGTCAAGAAATTTTGTCGTCTTTTTGTCCAGTACGTACCTAGGTAGTTAGCTAGCAGGAAGTGAAACTGGTCGCATGATAATATGACAGAGAAAATGCTACAGATTATTCATTCGACACCTGTCTATCTTTTCTTGCGGGAAGATGGACCGTGCTATTGTGGATGACCACAGAATACAACTTCACGCCTTCGCTGCCTCCTTTTTGCCTTCTCCATCCTCACTAAACTTCAAACTGACACTATTCACGCAATGCCTCTCATCCGTCGGGGTCGGGTATCCCTCTCCTTTAAACACATGGCCGAGATGGCCGCCGCAGTTACTACACACAATCTCAATACGCTCCATGCCAAATGTGTTGTCCACATGTCGCGTTACGGCGCCTGGGAGAGAGTCAAAGTATGCCGGCCAGCCGCAGCCAGACTTGAATTTGGTGTCGGCTTTGTAGAGGGGGGCGTCGCATGCGGCGCAGTTGTATACTCCTGACGAGGGGTAGTGCTTGTCGTAGGAACCTGTAAAGGCTGGTTCAGTGCCCTTGTTGCGGATGACTCGGAATTGCTCTTGAGAAATAAGAACAAGTAAAATCAGCATATAGACAAATTCCTTCCTTGCAGGGGTGTTGGGGGGTTGGCATTGATACCTGGACTGAGGACTGCTCGCCACTCGTCATCCGTCCGCTGGTCAGGATAAGTCATGTTGGAGTGGTTATTTTCTGCACGCGCGCTGGAGCCGAATAGAGAGCCGAAAAATGAAAACACAGAAGCCGACATCAAAGTCCTTTTCGATGTAGCAGAAGAAGAGAGCCGCGCTCTTTTGACACCGGAGTGGAGTGCGCGACTGGCGTTGATAGTGGAGGAAGGCGACGAAACCGTGGGGTATTGACTTAGACGAGTCGGCAGAAGCTTGCGATGCGGAGTAAGTCGAAAGCTTGCGAGTTGTTTTGAAGCCATCGAGCGAGCACCGTTTGCTGTTGGGTATTTATCTGCAGTTGATGCATTAGCAATTGCTTGCTAGTACCAATCGGTGAGTGAAGACGAGATGCAGCGCGCTCCTGACGTCATCGTGGCATCTGGCTCGACTAGTCAAGTATACGAAGATGAGAGTTTGAGGTATTGGGATATATTTCTAAAATAATCGATATAGATATATAATCCTCTTCTTAAGAGTTGCGAATATGTACAACAGCAACAACAACAACGTTTGCTATGTTCAGCGTCTTATTTCGACCGGCGTTTGCCTGTAACAGTGAGCACTCCCTCGCCGACTTCAACTTTCCATCCTTCTCTTGCGAGCATTTTGCCCACAGCAGGGCCTAGGCGTGATGTTCCGTCGCGACTATGACGCCCTGCGCCAGTGATTATCTTGTAGGATCTCCCAGCGGTCCCGCCAATTACATATTTCGCGTCTCCCAAGTCTTCCCACCACTGGCAAACGCGATTGTTAGCGATGCGTACGCCGTCATGGACACTGACGCCGTGTAAGTCGAGAACATCTGCTGTCGACTGCGAGTTGACAAGCCCATCAGCAGCTGCAGATGCCTCCCTTTTAGCTCTTTCGAGATGATCTCGACCGACCGAGGCGTAGTACGCCGCCGCACCACCCATTAAGCGATCAGACTTGCTACGACGATAAGCAGAGGACGCCTGAGTAAACGCAATCGAACCCGCAGCAAAGTGTGATTCAGCCATGCTCTGGACAGCACTATAGTTGTTGTTGGGGGTCGTTCTCTGAACAGCGGCCGGACTCCGTTTTGGCGCTTCGTTCTCGTCCAGAATAGGAGCTGGCGCATTGATTCGAATAATGTCTGACAACTGAGGTATGGGTCGGAAGACCATAGCTCTGGCTAGCTCATTGGCAGCGGACACCGAATGGCCCGTGATATTGAGCAAGCCTTCCATAATGGTAGGTGGAACGACGGTAGAAAACTCCTGAGCAAGCTCTGCAACCTGTGATACGATGACCGCATCCTCGCTGGCATTTGTAGGGGCATGACAAGTCGCAAGAAATCTAATTGTTTCCGAACAAGAGGCATGGTTCTTGTGGTAAGCTGAGGCAACGGTTTCCTTCTTGAGTACTGACGACGTTCTGGAGTGAATAAACTCCAGGTCCTGTTTTGCAGCGTCCCACTTGTTTGTCTTAGTAGTGTTGTCTTGAGCTGAATCTGACAAGGTTCTATGGTTCGAAACTTCTCGTGAATTTTTTATTTTTGCTCTCTTGCTTTTCCCCTTTCTTTTTCCATTCGTGCTAGGAGACGAGAAGCCGTCAACACCTTTGGGTATGAAAACAGTTGACTCTTCGTCACCAGTAGCACACTGACTATCAAAGAAGGCCAAGTTTAATAAAACATCCATTGAGCGATCCACATCGTAATCGCATTTGGCCAATGTGTGCTTGATAGTGTACTGAGTTACAGAGGGGAACATTTCCGACAGATAGCTCGTCTTCTCTTCGGCCGTCAAGCCAGTCAGGCTGAGAGATCCCTCGGGATTAATAATATATCCCCCTATACCAGGTCTTTTGCTATCATCGCTGCCAATGAAGACAGATGACAGGTCCGATGCCAACGAGGTAATATCTGTCTCTCGAGATCCATTTGTGTCATTCCGCGACGTATTACCGTCGTTGTAGACTGCTTCCGTCAATGAGAGCCCACCTGTCCCAGAGGGATCAAAGGGCAGATCCTGTTGTTCTTCCGCCGTAACCCTTAATGCATCCAGAGTGTCCTTCAATTGCTCTAGGCTCGCCGGGTCCGTCAGGTCGAAGTCGGAGCTAATCGCGCTGAAGAGCGCGGTATCCAGAGGAGGGCAATAAGCATTTTGTAGTTCCTAATGACACAAGACGGACATGAGCGTTATGTTTTGGATAGTCAAACGTTGGGAGGCAGTACGGACTTGCAGTGGGTTGTCTTTGTTGTCGTCAACCATCGTCAGAGTCGCCAAAATTATAACCAGATACTTGATGCAATAACGCGTGCATAACTTCAGGGTAAATATGATATAAATTGGTGAATATAAGTAGATATGAGGCAAGACAAAGATTTTCCCAACACAAAAACTAGCAATCCATAGATCAAAGAAGATGGATGCCACCTACTTACAGTGTAAAGCAAGCGTTGGCGGATGTGGAAGAAGCGGGGGAAGTTTCCAAGGAATCGATCGCTTAGCGGAGCCTGAGGCCGTCAAACTTGCTTGCTTATCGATAAGATTATTTTCCTCGACCACGCAACGTCCTCCCAGACTAATCTTCAATCAACATCAGATATACCTAAAGTATACCGTGTGGCACTTCAACTACGTACCTGTACTTAACAGACGACATGACTAACCGTGTCATCAAGGGAGCTATCAAGGAAAATTGCATGCAACATAGCGGAGACACCCTTTTACTTGGCTTGCTGATCTAGGAGCCTCAATAGTTACCCCTTGGGCCTTGTAATTATACCTAGCTGCATGGAAGAAAAGACGGCAGGAGCATCAATCATATAGTTGTAGGCTTGTGAATGGTGATACTAGTATGTCTACCCTCCTTGCAGATATTCTCCTAGTTTAACCATACTTGAATAGATCCAGGCATGCAAATCTGACAGGTACTATCTGCCTACATTCAGCGAGTGAAAAAGGGAGACTTATCATAAGATTACGAGATCGTCATATCTCCTCCTCTGTTGGCTCTCTTCGAAGCTTCTGTATTCAATTTCATGCAAAGTACAACGGTCAAGGGATATCCCAAATAGGCAATTATCGCTTTCTTGGAACCAGCGAGACATGTCTTAGGCTGAGCCTCAGGGCCACTGAATACTTTACCCCTATGTTTCAAGGTACTGCCCCTCTGGTGGAGCTATATCAATTTTTTGCTGGTCACACAAGTGGTACGTACCTATATATAAGTGCAGTTGCTCGCTATCCAGCTCAGCTCCGATCATTCCAAATTTTCATCCAGAATTATTCCCATCTACCTAGGTGCCAACGAACAAAAAAAGACTCCTTCGTCTTCTCTTGCATCAAAATATCTCAACATGCAGATCAATCTCAGTACCGCTCTTGTATTGGCAGCTACTGCCTCAGGTAAGCACGATGGCCCAATATGCCTCCTACTACCTATACGTCCACTAATGTTACTGCTACTACAGCGCTGCAAGTCACGTCACCCAGTAGAGGCGACGACCTGGACCTGAGCGGTTCTAACGACGTAACATGGGATTCTGTAGAGTGAGTTGTCAGAATAACAAATTTTTTTGGCCATACCTGACTGGAATGACTAGGTCTGATCCTACCTCATTTGATATCCAGCTTGTCAATGAACACGTCAATCCCCCCGTGGTGAAAACCATCGCAACAAATGTCCAGACCAGCGCTGGATCGTATAGTTTCAGCAACGTCGCTGCCACTGTTGGGTAAGACTAGCTTTTCTTATTCCACAAGAAGTACAAAAAAAAAAAAAAAATATGTCTTTCAAGCCAGTTGCTTACATTTTTTCCAAAAAAGAAACGACTACCAAATCAACCTGGTCTCCAATGACTCCGACAACACAGGCATCCTTGCTCAATCCGCGCAATTCGATGTCACCAAAGCCGTCGACAGCAGCAGCAGCTCCTCAACAAGCTCTACTTCTACATCTTCTTCTTCTTCGACATCCACGGACGCTTCGTCAACGAGCACCACATCTAGCTCTACCTCTAGCTCCTCCGGCATTCGCACTAGTGCTTCTTCTTCCACATCTGCAAGTAGAACTGCAACTGCAAGCTCTTCCGGCGTTTCAGCTACTCATACTGGTGCTGCTACGACAGTTTCTGTCTCTATTCTCGGTGGTGTTTTGGGTAGTGTATTCGCTCTGTTTTTGTAAAGAGTGGAGGTGCCTTTCAACTTAAAGTTTCATGATGTTTGTTGGGGGGGGCGCGAATTAATGTACTTTATGTACTTTATGTACGAGACCGTAATTCATAATCAGTATTGTACAACTTGGGAAGCAATTATTCATCGTCTTCAAATGTTTTCAACCCTCTAGCACTTCACTTGCATGTGAAAATCGCTGACTCAAAGCTTATGCATCGATTTCATATTCATTACAACTCTACCAGTGCAGATCGACCTCCAAAAGCTCAATCCAGTCGACCCCGGAGACCACTTTGGAACTCGAGAAATGCAACCAATAGCTAACTACCATCAACCAAATGTTTGACAAACAGAAGGAAAAGAAATAGATAATGTACATAACTACCATGAGGGGGAAACACCCCCCAGATTTCTGGAATATCGCCCAGGGTCTAGAAAGAAGCATGTGCGCCTACCCTTCACAACCCCCCTGACCTGACTCCAAAGATCGTGAGATAACAAACCGGAATAATACCCATACACATGCGAAATTCTTTTGTTAAGAAAAGAAAAGAATTAGAAAAAGAAGGGGGGGAAAATACAACACTCCCAAATCACTGATGTAGAAGATGAGCCCATATTTCTCGCCCTCAAATGAGATCGGTATCATGAGGTGTCATGTAATGTCAATTAGAGACGCGAATCCCGAAAACGAAAAGATGGGTATCGGCAACATTAGAAGAATCGAAGTAAGAGTGGTGTCAAAATAACACTGTTCAAGAAATGAAACAGTAGGAACCAAGAACAAGCGCCGCCAATGTCATCAAGACTCATGCAATCGTCAAATTCGTCACTTATATGAACCCGTGGATCAAATTGATAAGATCCGTCAACGTTTCACGCAGAGTGCGGTTGGACTCGAATTTAGTGATGATTGCAATACGGTGGGTGATAAATGCATATTTGTTCCAGGGAACACCTCTAGTATGTTGATCCGAGCCTGTATCGGGTAAATACCAGGCCAGGTTGCGCATGACCAATGCTGCTTTGTACGCAACACCGACGGGTTCGCCCTGTGCATCAATAGGAGTATCATAAAAGCTGCGTCGACGAACTATGCGAGGCTGGAGTACCTTGCGTTTATGCTGAGGTTTTGCCTTGGGGTCCCGATCTTGAGGCAAATGGCCCCCAACATGTTCAACGACCAACTCGGTTTCACTGCTAGGAGCCTTGTATTTAGTGCAGTGGTCCCACTGGCAAGTTTTGGGAGATTCCTTGGCTTTGTCAAGGTTGTACTGGTTTGGCTCGTCCAGCGCCTCTAGGTCCAAATGGTCCACAAACACATGAAGGCGAAGTTCCCGTGGCTCAGCAAACGCACGGTCACAAAAGTGTCTCGGCTTGTCCTTGTCGCCAACCGACCACTTGCAGTATAAATAGGGCCATTGGTCGAATGTAAGCGCGGTCTCTAAAGGACGAATGCCCCTGATGATGAATTTGTTGGTGGCCTGACCAGAGACAGTGGCTGGAACAACCTGAGCTTGGGCAGTTGTAAATGTTGCGCTCACGTTCTTAATGAAATCAGCTGCAGCTAATGCTCCGGTGTTGGGCTGTTGAGGATTACCGCCTTGCTGAGGAGCACCAAACCGATGTTGATATGCCTGCCACAAGGCGATTTGAGTAATCTCACAATCAGGATCCTCAACGAAGCAGCAACGAAGCCATTGAGAGCTGCGCTCCGGTTCAGGCAAAGTCATGAGCTTTCTGAAAAGTTCAGCGGGCACTTTAGGGATTATGCTGGGAGGAGGTGCTATCTTCTCTTCCTGCACAACAGTTTCTTGCACTACTTCGTGAGCCTGATACGAAAGCAAGTCCACCATTCTTGGGACAAACATAATCGCCATGTTCACCTTTTTAGCAAGTTTTTCAACATTTTTGCGGTCAAGAGTGTATTGATAAAAGAAATCCATAGCACCGCTAAGCAGATCTTCATCTGATTTGAGGAGTAAAAAGGAGAGCAGTCGGGTCATGGTATCGGAATCAATGTCGCATTCCATAGCTCTATTTGGAGCACCCTCGACTTCCGAAGAATAATGGGTTAGAGAGCTAAGAGCTCCAGTAATGTGAGCACGGTCTGATGAACCAAGGCATTTATAAAGAGAAATGCACAGTGGGTCATCTGGTGCGGATGGCAGGTGCTTTGTTACCGCTTCGGCAATGTCGAGGGCATCATTCTTGAGTTCGTTGAAGCGTGGCGGTTGTGGAAGGTTCAACATCACGGCAAGGAAATCTCTGAGAAGCCCCCTAGCAAAGTTCGCTACGAACCAGGCATTTATGGGTAGAAGACACATGTTGCGCAAGACTAGAGTGGCCTCTTTGATAATCCTGAGCTGATCGCTGAATTCCTCAGTCTCAAGTGTGTCTTCTGGAAGCGTAACGGGGATCTTTTTGATGCGTTCGAGAATGTCGTGGGTACCCCAAAGAGTATTCATTACGTTGGGTCGATCACTCTTTAGAGGCCATTTGTACTGATCACGCTCGATCTCCCATGCTACGCCAGTGCAAAGCCGTGTAATGTCCAAGCCCTTTTCCATCAAGGCCTCAACCAAGAGTGGGAAACCTTCGAATACGAACTTTTCCGTCTTTTGAGAGGACAATTGCACAAGATGAAACATACCCCAGTGCACCTCGGAAGGGACGTTAGATCGCACAGACATAAGAACACGATAATAGATGTTGTCACCTAAGCGTAGACGTTAGTAGGCTCTAATTAGACCGGCATAGATTAGGCTTACCTCTAGGGATATCCAAGAACCTCAAAGGATAGTATGGATGATAAAAATCGGGTTGTTTGGGCTCCTTTGTCATCTTGTAGAACTCAGGGCGGTTTCCAGGCGTGATGACATCCCTAATCGACATGGCTATTTGTTTCATATCTTTGCCCTCAAAACTGTCGATATCAAAGTTTGCACTAAGAATGTTGGAACTATCTACACCAACAGCGTGAGAGCTAGGTGTGTGCGCAGAAGGGGTTGTTTGGAGTGGGGTGGATGATGTATGTGCAACTGAGCGTGTCTGGCGCACTGGAGCAGTATCGGGGATAAAGGGTTGGTTTGCCTTTGGCGCTTGACGCAAGCCCTCTAGAAACGGTTAGGACCTTGAGTCAATTCGACAAAATACAGAACTTACCACGCAGGGATGAGCGAGTAGACGCCATGGCCGCTTGCTTTCTCTGGTAAAAAGAGAAGAAACCTGTTGTTGGATGTCCAGGAAAATATTTGTCGACCAAATCTTCAAGCTGTTTCCTCTTACTGAGAATCTTGTCTCGAAATGAAAGAATGACAGGAGGCTGCGAATTCTCACGAATGGCAGAGGTTTGATTGGCAACAGTGTTGGATAGAGATGGCGATGCTGACAAAGTTTCGTCAATTACGCAGTTTTCGTTGGCAGCATTAAAGACATCGACTATTGAACTCTCGTCAAGTATGGCGTGTTGGTTGGGGGTGGCGGTTGTGGACTCGAGGTCCTGTCTAGCGATGTCCTTCTCAAAGGGTCTGAAGAAAAATGGCTGTTAGCTTAAACAATCCCTGGCTTGTGTTATCAGAGGCTTACAGTAGATATCTCTCGTACGCGTCCCTGAGTTGCCAAGGCAGGAATTCGCCAGTGTCAAACCGATCGGTGCAGATCCAGGTCCAATCTGCAGTCGAAACCTTGTCAAAGCCACCGTGACCACAGACAATCTTGAATAGATTGAACAGCTCAAGACTGGTAAGGGGTTGTTGGTAGTCCAGTTGTGATATCACTGGGAGATTGGAGGCACTAGAAAAGAGAAGTGAGTGAAAAAGACGCGACAGACACAGCAGTGAAAACTGGCTGCACAAACCTCAATGCAGGATTGAACTGAGAGAGTGTGCGGTTGAAAGCTGCAAAAGAGCCCAGCACCTGTTCCTGTAGAGACCCTCCAGCAGGTGCTGGTGTAGGCGCAAAGATAGATGCTGCTGCTGCTGCTTCACTGTGCAGTTGCTCTGGCAGGCCAGGAGCTTGGTTGGCTGGGGCTGCCATCGCGGGTAAGAACGGTGGAAATCACGTGAGCTGATAGTCACGTGGAGATAACACGTATTTAGCCTAGCCGATAAGAATGGAATAGACAAGAATGGAACAGTTATATCCAAGATGGAGATGGAAAGCAGGAGGCAAAAAGGCAGAAGGAAAAGGAGGAGAGGATGTGACAACACTAGTCTGGCGTTCTTTTTTGCATTATGATTTGTGAAGCAGAATAAGGCTGTGGTCGTGGTATGGGACTCACGATGCAGTGCTGTGCAGGCCTTCATTGTTATACAAGGATATATGTGATTCCTCTGGTAGCTCTAGACACCGACCTTGACTACGGCTTGCTCTCAGGCATGGAACAGAGAGGGAAGGAGCCAATGCCCAAATTGGAAGTGCTGGTGGCTCTTGCCGTTTGGGGAGGGCTGCGCGACTGCCTCAGGAACGCTGGCCGAGTCCGAGCCCTAAAAAAGACAATCTTCTTCATTTCCCTCCTTGAATAGACATCCCGCGTCTTGCAACAACGAATGTTTTCAGTCTAAGCGCCCCACGCTGACTGATCGCTCATGTCTGGCCTGCAGCCCATGGTACTTGCGCAGTTTCCTCTGGCCAAGTATTCTTATGCCGAAACTTCCTCGGACCAACATGGCCCGATCAACTGGACTCATGTGCACTCCAGTGACCTGAACGTTGTTTTTGAGAAAGAGGAAATGACCACACCCTCCATGGCCTCCTTTCAACAGAGACTCACGTTGAGAGTCGTCCGCGGGCGTGAGCAATTGGTATGCACATGTCTGCCCTGTGTCTGAAAGAGGGAGGTTAGTTAGATAAGCGGTTGACTGATTTCCTCTCATAGGAAGACCTCGATCTCAACAACCTAGCTCGAGAAGCTACGCAGCAAGCGATCGCCAGGCAGACAAGGAATACCAAGCCTTCAGTTGCTGTCCTGGTGAAAGATCCATGCCTGGCTGTTCGGTTCCCGTCCGGGAGAGACCAGGTTAGTCTCAGGACTTACGCGTCGCTCAATGCGAGGAGACCTAATGAAAAACATGTTAGATGCATCGTTTCCAATTGAAATTTTCCTCGAGCAGAGATTACCGTGGTGCATTGGAAATTCTGAGGGAAATCAACTGCCCATTCAGCGAAACACAGAGAGATCATAATCTACGATCAGCAAGTTCTAGGCCGGATTCATCGACCTCACGGATAACAAACTCTACAATTCCGGCTTTTACTGGGAGCGTTGATTGGGGCCAATATACTGCTGCCCCAGCCAGCAACCGACCTTGGAGTCAAGGATTGTTGAGGAGTCACACAGCAACATTGGGAGCATCCTCTCCGAATTCGTTCCTGTCTGATCTCCATTCTCGAAATGACATTACTACGGCAATCACTAATCTAGACAGATCCCAAAAAGACGCATCAGGCGTACGTTCAATTTCACAGATTGCAGACCATCGGAATCAAGAGTTAGGGAGGCCTATCACAGCCCCGAATTTTGACAGTCAAGCTCTAGACCAAGTGTTACCACCGAAGAGGGACCTCCCCTTTTCCAAACCCGGACCACGTTCCTCGCACGTAGCGAACCAGCTCTCAATAACCGGGTCTTCTCGACACGGACTTCCTCCTGAACCAACGTCAGATTCTCGGGACATGAACACCGTTTCTAGCATAGTGACTGCGTCGCCGCGTCCGCATACTGCACGGTCACGAGTAACAGTTCCTGCAACTAGTTCACCTGCTCGACAACTTCGCTTGGAGCTAGAAGACAGTCGGCGGAGTAGCACCAGTCAAGACCGAGGACCGATACCTGCGTCTTCTCCAGTACTTGGCACTTCTCTCCTTGGAGTCTCTAGTCCGGATATAAATAACACGGAATTGCATTTCAAGGCCACTGCTCAGTCCCCACTAAGAAATCTAACCAATTCATCTCCTCTCGCGCACGACAGTCAATCAGTACCTCAGCAGCAGCAGCAGCAACACCAACAATCGCAACAGCTCAACATCGTCAATCCATACCTAGATAGTAACAGTAATAACAACAATGGAACGACACCGCCAGTCACGGCTACCACCATGTCCTCAGTTGACTTTTCTGCCTATCTCACAACACCAGAATCAGAACGCTCGCAGTTGGTCAGCAACTGGATATGCCAACAACTCGAAGACGACGGATTTCGAGCTCTGTGTCAGGACGTGGAAAGGGTATGGCAGCGGATTGCATTTGGAACTCGAAGTAGGTGACGAATAGATATCTCTCTAATGGATGTATAACTTTATATCCTCGATTTCGAACCACGTAGCCAAGTCACTTGCACTTAACAAGGTTAATATAGGATATGGAAATATATATTGTCTCTCTTACATTTCTGCTCATCCAACTTCGCAGATAATTCCATTACGCCTTCCTAGAAAATCGACATAACCTAGCTCATCAACCTACTGAAACCCATAACACTAGTAACAACAACACAAATAATAATACATATAGATAATTTCACAAGAGCAAATTAAAATTAATGACGATCACCGGGCGTCATACTCAAAACATTCATAAAACCTCTCCGCAACGCAACGCTGAAATCAACCGCAACACCTCCTTGAGTTCCGACGCCGACACCGCCAGAATTATTAGCTTCGTCGTTTGATACGACCATGCCCCCGGATCCTGATGTTTGCGGCCCACCGGTATCATCGCCTCCGCCAGTAACACCTCCGCTTCCTGAAGCTGCGACGCCTTCGGCTCCGACTGCGAGGTCAGCGAGATGTTGGAGAGATCGTTGCTCATTAGGTCCAACGAGGGGTTGATTTGATGAAGAGGAAGAGGAGGAGGAAGGATTGTTATCATTACCGGCAGAAGCAGGAATAGTGGGATTAATGTTGTTACTAGAAGACGGATTGTCCTGACGGTCGACGATATCTGAGTCGATAGGTTGATGGGGGTGTTGGTTCTGGGTTTGATTTTGGTTTTGGTAATTATTGAGACTGTGGTTATGCTGCGATTTTTCCACCTCAATCCATGCCCGCAGTTGACGGTCCCATTGTGAGGTGCTGAATAGATCTTCAAACTCGCCTGCCGTGGCAGTGGCTTGTGCGCGACGATCGAGGATTTGTTCAATGTTGCCGAGAACTTTCCAGCAGAACTCGGCGCAAAGCGGTAGTTTCGACGCTTCTAGTAAAGTGAGGGTAGCTAGAGATAGAGAATAAATGTCAATGGGTGAGGAAATTCGGGTTGTCGCAACAAGGTCTTTGTGCATCTCTTTCACTAGGGCTTCGGCTGAGTGGATGACTTCGTATGGTGCGAATATGTAGAGGAAGCGAGTGATGTAGAGGTTGACGGTCCAATAGACCTGTGGGCCGAGAGCTTCAAGATAGCCGGCGGGAATGAGTGTTGGATCGGTGTTGCCGAGACGTTGTTCATGGCCCAGTACGACTTTGAGCATGTGGAAAAGTAGTGAACGAGAAGCTTTTTTGAACCTTGAATTGAGGGACAGTGAATCATGATCTATTTCAACGATACGCAGAGCGGCGGATAATTCACTTGAATATGCTGGGAAAATATTAGTCAGTAATTTTGTGGCGAAACTCTTCTCTCAGACATTGTCAACTTACAAGCAAGTTGAACAGCTGCTGGGCCCATAAAAGAATAGTCCGAGGGCAGATTGATATCCTGGAGATCGTCCTCCATTATATCACGCTCGCCCATGCCGACATGGTGCCATCGACACAAGACGCTCGCAGAAAACCAGTCACGACGAGCAATGCTCGCATCAGAATCTGCATCTTGAAAATCAGGGAATGGATCACGGATCTGGTCGAATGGCTTAGCTATTCTGTAAGCCAGAGACGCGAGATGATCGACAAGCGTCTGCTTTGGATAGCCATTTCTTCCGTGTAGATTGTCAGGTCCTCGCGTATCGCAGTCAATGACTAGAAAACACAGAGTCTGAACCCAGATCAGATTCACCGGGAGCGTGCGGAGAGTATATGGGTCACGAAGATGCGTCGACACCAGGTCGAGAGCGGCATCAAGAGAAGCAACCTCACTGAAAGTGGCATGAACACGATCAATGTTTGTGTGAGTTACAGAGTAGAAGGCATATGAAAAGACCTCCTGTAGTGATCTGCTGCATTTATGGAGTATAGCCAAGAATCGGTCCTTCGAGTCTGGAAGTATCGGGAGAATGGGGTGGATCTTCTCATAATACCTGCGCGCAAAGATTAGGGTTGTCTCGTAGCCAGAATGCGAAGTTGGAATAACATACGTCCTGAGTGCTCCTTCATCGACTATGTAAGGTTTTGTAGCATCATTTGCGGGTTGAGACAGAGCTCCAATAACTGCGTCAACGGGCAACGCATTCGCTGTAAGGTCCTGATCGCGATCAAGACTGTCGGTCCAGTATGGGGCGGACAGTTTACTTTGCGTTTGATGAATATTGAACAGAGGATAGCTCTCCGGAAGATTCACAGCGGTTTCTCCTAGACATACAAAGTTAACATGATGCAAGGCAAGAGAGGCGACTCCTCCTCTTACCAACTGACGGCTGACCACGAGGCGCAAATGTTGACTGAGGCAAGGGTAGCCCATGAATGCCTTCACTCATGGAAAATGTCCGTTTCCGACCAAGTAGGTTCGTATCGATCGGAGGAGAAAATTCATGGTACCCTCGCGGAGGCGATATCTCACTCATGCCTTGATATTGCATATCTTGGTGGGTCATCGGTGGTTGCATTTGAGACTCTAGAGTATTCAATCGCTCTGCCAGTTCTTTGATATACCTTCAATAACCCCATCTTTGTCAGCCAGATATTTTTTTCACAACCAAGCGCAACGGCATAGGTGGACATACCCTTTACTAGGCCCTCTCTTCATTGGGACGCGACTGAATTGGCATGCAACTTCGAGACGACGACAATTGGAGCACGTTTCAACTCCAGACTCTGAGGTAGCATCGCAGCGAACCTTTTGACGTTCATATCGAGTTAGCCACCGTCGGAGAAATGAAGGCAGCACGTCGGGTCGCGTGAACAACAGCTACTCACCTTCTTGCGCCTACATTCATCACAGGCCCGGGAGACCTTGGATCGTTTGCGACGAGCACTTTGGTCGCCATAGCTCAGATCATGATTCGGATCAACGCCGACCTGCTGGTTGGGAGGGAAAGGGAAGGCATTATTGTGTTGTTGATCTGTACGCGGAAACGCGACGCATGTCAGCGAAAAAAGAATGTAGCTTGATATAATCGCGAGACAAACAAATGAGAACAGCGCACCGCAAAGAGACATACCATTAGTTGAGCCGTCGGCAAGATTATTACTGGCAGCATCGCGCGATAATTCAGCGGTCAGAATCTCATCTGCAGTAAGCTGGCGGCCACCGTAGTACATGGCACCTTGGGCGGCGGGATAGGAAGACGCCGGAGGCAAATCTGACGGCTCGCGAGAGTTCATTGTCTGCGGCGTACCGTGCAGAGCAATTGAATGGTCGGGGTGCAGACAGGAATGGATGCTGGAGTGGGTGGGTAGTGATACGTGATGCCGCTGGGGGGTGGTGAGGCGTTGCGCGCAGGAGACAAAAGCAAAGCAGCAGCGAGGTTTTTTTACAAGCTAGCCATAGCCAGGCTTTTTCATACTGGGCGGGGAGTTTGCCTTGGCGTGCACAGCAGGCGGCCGCCGAACGACAAACCCAGAATGCATATCGCGCGACTCTTTACGAAGCTGTTGATGATGCCTTTATTTAACTACCATCCAGTTACATCCCATTTGCTACGCTTCACAGTTAGACTACTTGCTTGGCTCATCGCGTAGAAAAGAAAAGCCGTCTCCGTGCTCGGATTAATTGCTTATCCGGCATCAAATGGACGGTGGTTCAGTCAAGAGTCGCCTTAAAGGAAGTGAGAAGCAGACCGGAGCTGGCTGCCTGGTCTATAAGCTGATATCAGGTCTGATCAATCCAATTCTCTCCATGCCGATTCCAGATTCCGTATACAGCGATTTGAGGGCAGAAAGAAAGAGTGCACAAAGGTCACGTGAAGGCACGTGCGGCTTAGGTAAGCAACAAGTGGGGAATGCGAACATCCACCAATCACAGTCTACATCCCTTTTGCGCTTTCAGCTTCGACGCTACTTTTGATACTAGAATTGGCTTTCCAGCCAGCCTTGCGCATCAAGGTCTCAAACCAGTAGAAGCAATGCGCGGGAGCTGTCATGATCTGAGATATGATTTTCCGCGCCAGTTATATTGGTTGCATGGCGTATAACAACTATGCGATCAGCGAGCTTGTAGGGCGCTTCACGGCAATGCGATGTTGGGCGACTTGGAGACAGGAAGAACTAACGTAGAGAGGCTGTGTGGCTGATCAGTGTCTCACTGTCACGTGTCAATAATCAACAGTTTAATGGTTCTATTCTAGAGGACTGGACAAAGTCAAGCCTCCAGTTTGACGCGACATGTCTGGATCGTTCGTGGTCATGTCTACTAACTAGTAGTCTATATTTAAGGCTGCCGGTAGTAGGTACTACCCCCTGTCTCACCTGCTTATGTTTTGGCTCTCCTATATGTGATGTAGAAGATTTGTAGGTTGATATGATGTTGATACATCAAAATTAACACATTCGCGATGTATCGTGGACTGCAACGGGCGCTAATCTAATCATGTGTGTTGGAGGTGAAGAGCAAGAGTTATGCAAATTTTGAAGAAATGAGCCTTTCGGCACTCGGATATCATCCAGGAAAGACAGGGAAACCAATGGTGCTCTCATAAGATGATCTGACTTGGAGGTTTATAAAATAGTGAACTTTGAATCGACCAGCCAATTATCAACTAAACGAGTCACAGTTTTATTTGGCTATCAAGATATTCAGGCCAACCTCAATCACATACTACTACAACAGACTATCCAGCTACAAACTATCTCGTGCTCGGACTACGTCATTCGGGGGTTTAGTAGAAGAACACTCAGACCTAAAGCGCCAACGATGTAACCAAGGCCAATCCCTCGAGAGGCCCGGTCGCGACTTACGTAGCAAGTATGGAGTAGATCTCCAGCCCGTTCTATGCCGCGCCGTGATAATCCTGCTACTAACACTAACTGCTAGCTGCCGTTTTTACCCGGTCCACTTTGCGCGCTATGGACAAGCATGATCAGATGATTGCGCTGTGCTGTAAGCTATTTGGCGGTCTATTTTGAGTGCATGGCGCAAGTGTATACGACATACCTCTGTGCTCCATGGGTAGGATGCAGTGCTCCGCGCAACTCCATGCAGAGATTTCTTACAATGGCAGTTACTTGAAGAAAGTAATACTAGCGGTAATAATCCGGGGAGACTGGCCCGGCAAACACGGCATCGATGGTCATTGGCCGCGCTCCGCCAAGGAGCTAGCCATGCATGGAATAGCAAGGCATTCCTTCTGGAAGCCTGCCGGATACAGCCACCGCCCGATGGCCCTAGTCCGCGTGAGGTTAGCGTTGCCTAGCCCCGATTCCTCGTAGTCTATTGCTATTGTTAGAGTACTTTTACGTAGTTAGTAACTAGCACTATTCGTGTTTAGTATTCGCTACGTAGGTCATAGATAGTAGATGCATTGCAGACGCAAGGCGCCATATGAGAGATGCGTGGGTTGGATTCCTCGACTTGAGCAAGTCTAGTGTCGTGCAAGGTAACATGCCTGCGTTATCCCCAGCCTGAGGCACAATTAAGGGATTTTTGCACTCCGGCAGACGTCATGCGCCCAACATGCAGCTTACTTAGACACTCTCTGCGCGCTGATTCGCCGGGGGGCTCGCGTCGCCACTAGCCCTTTTGCGGCTGGAGTGCGCCTCACTCGCTCGCTCACTGCCTCAGGCACGCTCAGGCACGCACTGCGGTTGCTCATTACTTAATCCTAAACGCCCCCCTCCCCCGTACGTTCGCTCTTTCTCCCTCCTCCCAAAAACACCCCCCCTCCTCCATTTTCTATCGTCGTGGATGAACACCTTCAAAAAGTGCCACCGAGCTCTCCATCTTCTGGCCGCCACTACCGATATTTGGTGTCCTGTCTAACGGCCGGCGCCAAACGGTGCGTAGGTATTTGGCCCTGTGCGTTTTTCCTGCCTTTTCTCTAGTGCCTATTCTTTTCGTGGTCTCGCTTTCACCCCGGTCGCGAACTGCCGGTTTCTGTCACACCAATTGCTCTGCTTTCAATTGGGTCACTTGTCACTGCCAATTTTTTATTCTCCCTGTCAAGACGCTTTTGCACATTGCTGTCGGCTTATTCCTTGGCTTTCCTTTGCGTGGCTTGTTGTTTCTGTCCGTCTGCTCGGCAATAACCCTGTCGACTTTTAGCCGTGTCGTACACAACACAAGACTGTTTTTGCTTCTTCTGTTTTTGAATTCTCAGTCTTTCACTGGAAGTCGTTTTCATTGCCTTACATTCGATTTCTTATTTATTATTATCTGCCAATTTACAAACTCTCCCGCGCAGAGTCGCATGTGTACTTCATAGTTTTCGCGGCAATGCTTATAGATGGGGAGAAGTGGGCTTGTGAGGCTTGCGTTCGGGGTCACCGAGTCAGCAGCTGTCATCACAGCGGTATGTTCTCTTGTGTCGTCTAGAACTTAGACAAGCATACTGACATTGCCTCTCAAGATCGAAACCTGATCCATGTCAACAAGAAAGGTCGTCCAGTGTCCCAGTGTCCCCACTGCCGCGGCCTGCGCAAGTCGAGGACAACCCACACAAAATGCGACTGTGGCGACAAGAAAAAGGACCATCATGGTGTGGATGGTGCTTGCGGCGACAATGGCGAAGCGAAGTGTCGTTGTGTACACGGACAACGGTGTAGCTGCGCTTTGAAAAAAGAGCACCTGGATCCTGTTCCCGAGACTGGGCTCCCTCCACCGCCTCATAATGCTGTAACAGAAATACGCAAGCCTCGTCTGACATCCACCAAGTCCGAGAGTACGTTGACCGTCTTCCGTGATGGCCACCATAAGCCAACGCACAAACACAACGATATGGCTCATAAATGCGGTCTACCCTACACCATTCCACGCTCTCACACGATCCATGGGACATCCGAGTTGGCTCAACGGTCCGCTGATCACCTACCATTGACTCTTGACAACAACAACAACAACAACAACAGCCTGGATGCTTCGTACTTCAACCCTGGAGCCGATTTCGACAGTTTCACATCGCGCCGTCGGGTTAAGTCAGAACACGGATCTCCCGAACTCGTGGCTATTCCAGCGCCAGAGCAGCTCGTCTCAGAAGTTCCCCCGTTAGATCTGCCATCTCTCTCTGCCCTCGATACTGGCAACAACACCACAGAGTCGATGAACCCGTACGTTCTACAGGATCCATACCAAGAGGCCTGGCTTGCATCTCCTGAATCGGAGTTCCCCCTTTCTGCGGGAGCTTTTAATGCTCCGCCGGTTGACTGGTCTAGCTTCCCCCTTCCTGCTTCAGGTCTGTCTACAAGTGTTAGCCAAGCGCCATCGTACGCCAGCTTTGACCTCAACACCGTCAGCAATCCGAGTTATCCTGGTCTGACCGGCTCTTCGTCAGGTGGGGATGCTTCCGAGGTAGAAGAATTGGGTCCAAGGGCTGGTTTGACCACTTCCAATAATGATCTGTACGACTTACACAGTCTCAGCGATGGCTCCGACGTCGATCAATACCGCATTAGCTCTGCTTCGTCATTTGCAGGATTGCCACAAGCACGGTTGCTGGCTTCGAGCAACTTGGAGTCGATCAACATCGATGATTTCCTCCGGTCCGCTAACGAATCGACCGCAGCACTTGAGCAGCAGCTGCAGGCAAGTATGGCAATGGAGTCCAAAACTATATCTACGTCGCCGCAGGGATACGCAATCTCTCAATCGCAACCTTCTTACCCGCCTACTGAGTCGATATCTCCTGCGCAGTTGGAACCTAGTCAAGCTGACATGAGCAGCATGCTATGGGCCTCTGGTCTGCTCGACAACTCTATGCCTCCTCCTTCAATACCAACGGCCGCCTCTACCGCCGAGGATCCGTTCGCTCAGCCGCCGTGGGCAAACTAGCCATGTCGCGTTGTCTTTTGATCTTCTTTGGAAGAAGCGCCATCATGGAACCTTACCACCACCTCCCGCACCGTCATGACGACCCTGATGAGAGATGATGATAATGTGTTTCTGCTTAAGATACCATAAAATGCAGTCCATTTATTCCTGATATTATTTGCTTATATTATATTTTTTTTTCCGTCCATTTTGCTCTCATCATACCCGCTTAACTTGGGGCTTGTGGCATGTTTATTTACCAGAACAAACTCCGCCTCTGCTACAGTAACATGCGGATTGCTTTGATTTGATCAGAAAAGAATAGATATCTATTTTCTTCTTTCAGCCTTGTTTAGGTCTTGATTCCGACTCTCTCTCTCCCCCCTCCCCCATCCCTTGCATTAAGTAGTACGAAACTCTATATACACCCTATGTACCATAACGATCGTTATCCGTGAGCCAGGTAAGCTTTCTGTGCCAATCCCTTGCATCTACCTCCTACGTACGTCTAGATCTCCATGGCATGTATAGATTAAATACACTTAAGTTTTAACACTACAACACGCACCGATCCGATCGCCATCCCATGCCTAGCTCACTCATGCATGTTGCATATCCTATAAAGCTTGATTGTGCCGTACATGCATACGAATCAAGCGGTGAGCTATTTTCGTTACGAATACTAGTACATTACTACTTTTGTATGTCCTGTCATGCATGAAAAAAAATGGGACTACGTACTGTGCATTATCATGATTGATGGAATCGAATATTCACCGAAATCATGCAGGAGGAGCACTGGTGCATACATACGCTCGGATATCGGTATCTTGGTAGATTTTGAGGCTATTGATGCTCCGTGCTTACGATACTTCAGCCAATGGCACACTCGTTCAAAAAAAGCTTGATTGTCTCCTTGAAAAGCTTAGCATGCACGTGAGATTGGTCAGGCGAGCTTGTACGAGGCCTGCTCCTTGCATCAATTTACATACATGCCTCGTTAAGACTGTGGATGTTGCTCTGGCCATGGATTGTTGTTCATTCATTCATTGTGATTACGTACTTTTTGGGTTTTTTTCTCTGGGTTATTCTGCTCAGGCACACTTGTTGTGGGATGTAATTTCAGGTTTTTCTTCCTATGCGCAAGGGGGTTGCCATAATCCTCTTTTTTCAGCGCGTACATCGACAAGAATGAATGTGACAGAACCAAGCACGCAGCGATCTCCATCACAACTACCACTTCTAATGTTGATATCCCCCGTACTTGTGTCAAGTAAATCGGGACTCATTTGCGAGACTGCCGGGGACCGGATTGTGATCTTGTATATTCATGGATGGTCCTCTGGAGAGGATCTACTATCCAAGACTGGTGCTGAAGACATCTATCTAGCAGCTGGTCGTACTACCAAATCTTAATGATCCTTGGCCTTTGATCGTGGTAGACCGAACTATCTAAGTGTAGCGAACTGTCTGAGATATTAGCTTCACTCTATAGATATATATATATATCCGGCGAAAGGTATTAATCGCTGGAATCTATCTTGCTGACATTACAGATTGGTAGAAAAATAGACCTTCACACTCACCAAGAGACATAAATTTGTTTCTAGGCTATATAGATATAGGATATCCTTCGAGTTTCTGGAATTATCCAGACAAGGCCAACATGGACGCCTGGGGACGCTGCAGTGGAAGAAATAGGTTGTGGAATGGGTATGATCGAGAGTTTAATGGTGTTTATTTATTTGATCAACTATACTCCTTAATCTTTTATTCATTCAAGGAATAAATTATTCCTGTTGTTTCAATGTTCTCCGTGATGAACAATCATCAGAACCCAATTTAGGGCTTTTTTCTGACTAGCCCCAGTGCGAACCAATCAGAGCTCGTTTCCCTCACCATCTACATTCTCACATTCTCACAAAACCCTAACTGCAGATGGCTTCAAAAGCAAGAGGAAACGTGTTTCCAGCATGTTATTCGAGCTCTCAAGTAGCGCAAGCTAGTATTAGCATTAGCCTGCTACTTCTCGTCAAATCCGAGTTCTTCAAAAACCCAGAACTAGTTGACACCAAAATCGAACTGGCTACGTGCGTTTTCTGTGCTCCCATAGCATGCACTATTCGATATTTAGGGATGACCCTGGTTATTCGCTGATCACTGGGCTGGGAAGTGCCTTAACTCCCAGGGGATGATGCATCATTCTCCAAAAACGAATAGAGAAAAAGAAAGGAAAAAGGAGAAGAAAAATGCCGCCAATTTATATAACTATTACGGAAATTACAATTGAGTAGGCGAGAAAAACCCTCTCAGACAAATGGAGAGCTTAGGAAAGTAGGAAGGAAACAAATACCAAGACTCCAATAGACGACTAAGAGGCCCGTTCAATTGTGACAATATATACGAGGTGAATGATTGAGGTTGATCCTTCTTCACTTCTTTTCGTACTGAAAGTTCCGGACTGCTGCTCCCCCCACCCTTCACAAAAACTCTGCTGGGCGTGCTTGCTCGAATAACTCCAGCATTGCTGAAATATTCCCCACTTATCAACACCAGCTGAAGCGTGGATTGACCAGAATGACATCCAGATGAATCCCGAACTGGATCGCACCAAACACCAGAGTTGCGGTGTTCTGTGGAACAATGATTGGATTTCGATGTATCCAGACCTATATCATCGAAGGCTATATCTGTCACGCAGCCAGTACACCAGTAGCAACCTCTGTGCTGAGAAGTATGGCTGGGCTTGCATTTCCGTTGTTTGCGTCTTATAATGTATGATGCTTTGGGTTATGGATGGGGAAAGAGCCTGTTGGCCTTTATCGCTATTGGGCTCGGGTGGCCAGCGCCATTGTTGCACTGGAGGTATTTGAGGAAGAGGGATTCCTATGCAAGTGGATAGATCGTACTTGGGGGTTGACCACGATCACCTAATTTGAGATATATTGTTAGAAGGAGGGCAACAAAGTGAAGGAAGATGAAGATTGCCTATTGACGGCGTCGGTACAGAACCAAACCCTCTATATGCTGTTCAACTATCTACCGTATGCCAAAAGGTAGTTCAACTTTTGGTACAATGGTCTCAGGTGGAAGAAGCCAATTCGTTCAATAGTGCTGGTGATCGATCTGCCCAGCACTGTTGCATATTGACTTCATTGGGTGGTGACGGTCTTTCGACGTGATCGTTAAAAGAGATTTCAAAGATGTACTCGTTCACCTTGCGCTCAGAATTCGGTCACTTGTCATCCTATGGAAGCGAGTAGCTAATCTTCGCGAGGATTCTGTGGGTGGTAAACAGAAGCGGAAGCAAACAAAGAAACAGTATCCCACTGGCTCGCTTTCAGCCAATCACAAACGGGGACGGCGTCTCTTTTCAGCACCTCAGGCACGCTCCATTATTCATTTAACCCTCTTCACCTCCATGCCAGCATCACTTTGCGCCAGAGGTAGTCGAGCGTGACATTTGAATGAGCTACCTTTCACTTGCAGCCCTCAAAGTCAGCAGTCCTTTGGACGACTGTGGCGCATAATGGACAGCACACACGCCGAGGATGACCCTGTTTTTGCCAGCGACTCTGAGGATGACCAAGACGCAACAGCTGTCACAGAACAGCCAGCACGTCAAAAGCAGAATCTGTACTTCAAAAACTTGTCAGTAGTCCCGTGACACTCACAAAATGAACATTATTTCTAACGCTTAGCGCACAGGCTGTCCAAAGCGGCGAAAGACTTGACGGAACAGGAGTTGAGTGCTGGGACGCGCGATAGGGCAGCTGAACTCGAAAGGTCTACTCGCTATCTTCTCAAGACGCAAGATTTTGCTGCAACTATCGACGATCCGCGAGAATACCAAATCGAATTGTTCGAGAAGGCCAAGAAAGAGAATACCATAGCGGTGCTTGCTACAGGTATGTAAAACCGACAGGTAATGCTGGATTTATGTTGGCTGACTGCACTCGAGGATCGGGGAAAACATTGATCGCAATACTGCTCTTGAAACATGTCATCCAAAATGAGCTGATTCGTCGTGACCGGGGCGAACACCCACGTATATCATTTTTCCTGGTTGGCAACTATACTCTACATGCAACAGGCTTATTAGGATACTCACATAAAGTGTAGGTTGACAGCGTGACGCTCGTTTTCCAACAAACTGCCGTCTTGAAAAACAACATCGACCAGCCCATCATGTCTCTATTCGGTGGTATGGCTGTAAACCTTTGGAGTAAAGATGTCTGGAGACAGCATTTCACAGAAAACATGATCATCGTGTGTACTGCGGATATTCTCCAGCAATGTCTTTTGAACGCGTTCATCGGTATGGAAGATATAAACCTGCTCATCTTTGACGAGGCTCATCATGCCAAGAAAGATCATGCTTATGCACGGTACGTATGTCCCCAAAATAGTGAATTCCCTGTATTAACCGTCCTGTCTTTGTATAGAATCATCAAGGACTCGTATATAAAAGCAGACCCAGGCTGCCGTCCACGCATATTCGGCATGACAGCGTCCCCTCTAGATGCAAAAGGCGACGTTGTGAAAGCTGCTCAGTGAGTCCGACTGTGTTCCCGATATTGTTGATCAATGCTTTCTGACAATACAAAAGAGACTTGGAAAATCTTCTGCATAGTAAAATAGCAACGACTACGAATCTTGCTCTCCTGCAAACCGTTGTGAGTCGGCCGATAGAAGAGCTGTGGAAGTATGTAGAGCCCGGAAGGCCCTTTAAAACGTTCCTTTATCAAACCTTGGAGAAGCAATATGGAGATATGGAATGCCTCAAGAAGATTTTCACTTTCTCTTTGGAGGCCACTTCTGCTCTTGGGCCATGGTGTGCAGACCGCGTTTGGGTGGCCGCTTTATCCGACGATTCGCTTCCTAAATTTCATGGAAAGATCACAACATCTTTCAAACGAGTGGCCTCTGAAACCGCGGCAACAATGGTAAATAACGAGATCCAAAGACTCAACCGATTGTCAGAGGTGGTAGCAAACTACAAGCTGCCACGCGGTCCCGACATCTTGGAACAGCTAAGCGACAAAGTGAAAGTCCTCTATCGAAACTTGTTGAGACGCTTTGTAGAAGCCCCAAAAACAAAATGCATCATTTTCACCAAACAAAGACATACTGCCCAGTTGCTCAAAGAGGTGTTGGAAGAGTTGTCAATTCCTAATCTGTATCCCGGAGTCCTGGTAGGTGCCCGGTCTGGGGATTATGCTGGAATGAATGCGACTTATAACCAGCAAATTAAAACAACGATCAAATTCAGAAAGGGAGAATTCAACTGCTTGGTATGCTGTGAAGTATCAAACGGACCGAAATTTTGTGCCAGGCTAACACATTGGTGTAGTTCGCAACCTCTGTTGCCGAGGAAGGTCTTGATATCCCTGATTGCAATCTCGTTGTCAGGTGGGTTATGCCCATACAAACCACCAACTGAATTATTTCGCACTAACTTCTCAAAGATTTGATCTTTATGACACCCTCATCCAATATATTCAAAGTCGCGGCCGAGCAAGGCGTGCTGATTCGATAGTAAGACAGCGTCGAGCAAAGAAATAAAACATGAGACAAATTTACTAACTTCTGCCGTTCAGTATGCTCACATGGTAGAAATCGATAACCTGGAGCATGAGACCAGACTGGATCAAGTGCACCAAGAAGAGGTAAGCTGAGAGATGCATTGATGCTTGATGTTTTGAAGCTGAATCGTCGATTAGAATGTAATGAGCCGCTTCTGCGAGGCTCTTCCAGAAGACAGAATCTTGGGAAGAAACGGGGATACCTGGAATGGCTTATTGGAAAAAGAAGCTACAAAACGGCAATACAAAGTAGAACATACAGGGGCAACTCTGACTTATCATTCCGCCCTAACCGTTCTTGCTCGTTACGCGAGCTCTCTGGTGAGTGTGTCTCTTTTTGGTTGATATCGGCAGCAAAAACTGATCTAGATTCTAGCAATATGAGAGCAATGAAACAAGTGCACAGGCTCACTACGTGATAACTCAGAGTAGAGGTATGTACGAGTGCGAAGTGATACTACCAGCGACTTCCCCTATTCGGGGTGTTGTAGGCAGACCGGCGACACGAAAATCGCTCGCCAAACAGTCTGCAGCCTTTGATACATGCATCCTTCTGCTGAAGCATCGTTTGCTCGACGACAATTTTATTTCCACTTACCACCGCAGGCTACCCGCAATGAGAAATGCCAAATTGTCAATAAAGTCCAAGAAGACAACCCAATATTCGATGATTGTCAAGCCCGCATTTTGGAAGAAGGGTTACGGCGTTCTGCCATCTAGTCTATACCTTACAGTGATCATATTTTGTCCTGGCAATCGCTTGCAGAGGGAACATCGCAGTATTGTTTTGTTAGCCCGCGAGCCGCTGCCACAGTTCCCCGAGTTCCCCATATATCTGGAGAATGATATTGAGACCAGTATTAGAACAGTCCATTTGAACAAGGCGTTGACAATCCAGCCAGAGGAACTTGAACTTATGACTAACTTCACTCTTCGGGTCTTCCAGGACTTATACAATAAAGTCTACGAGAAGGATGAAGAGAACATGCCGTATTGGTTGCTTCCTACAGAAGCAGATATTAAAGAATTTGGAGAGGACATTGAGCCTTCTGATGTGATTGATTGGAACGCCTTGCGCTTTGTTGATCAACACGATCAGATAGAGCGAACATCGGCTTCCCCAGACGAGATGATTGGTCGTTTCGTTTATGATCGATGGGATGGGAGATACCGCTACTTCCTTAAGGGCATCAACACATCGCTCTGTGCATCGGATCCACCACCAGCATTCTTGCCACGTCGTCGTAACACGTGTAATATCATGGAATATGGCCTGAGTTTGTACAAGAAGGCTCATTCCACATTTCTATCGACATGTGATTGGAAACAATGCGTCTATGACGCCGAATTGATACCACTCCGGCGAAATCTGCTTGATAAGTTAACAGAAACCGAAAAGAAAATGGAGAAGAGAGCGATGCTGTGTCTAGAGACACAGGTTATTTCTGCTGTTAGTAGCATTCGTTTTCTTTTTTCCACACTGTACATTGGCGTTGATGACTAACCGTGGCTTAGATTCCTGCTAACATTGTTACGAGTTGCTTTGCAGTTCCAGCTATTATCACTAGATTCGAGTCGTACCTTGTTGCACGCGAATGTGCCGAAAGCCTTGGTCTGGAGATACAATTGGCGTATGCTTTGGAGGCAGTGACGAAAGACTCAGATAATACTGAGGAGCATCGCTTGGAGCAGGTTCACTTACAAAGGGGCATGGGCAAAAACTATGAACGCCTTGAGTTTCTTGGAGACTGCTTCCTAAAAATGGCCACTTCAATAGCCTTATTTGCCCAGAATCCTAATGACCAGGAATTCGACTTCCATGTCAATCGAATGACTCTGATTTGCAACAGAAACTTGTTCAATACAGCAAAGGAACGGAAACTGTACGAATTTGTGCGAAGCAAAGCTTTCTCGAGGTGTGTGTGTGTGTGTGTGTGTGTGTGTGTTTGGAGACCGTGACTTATAGGTTGCCATCAAACTGACTTGTGAGTGCGATTATAGACGGAATTGGTATCCCGAGGGAATGAAGCTGCTTCGAGGCAAAACCAAACAGGAGAAAGAATCGGCAAATCAGCATGCCCTCGGCGAAAAGACAATTGCAGATGTTTGTGAAGCAATTATTGGAGCATCGCTGCTTTCTGGAGGCTCAGTGCACCGTTTTGACATGGCTGTCAGGGCCGTAACTGCTCTAGTCAATAGTGACATTCACAAAGCGGATAGCTGGGCGGACTATTTCTCACTTTATTCTTTGCCGCCCTATCAAGCTCAGGACGCTGATGGGTTTGAGAAAGATCTTTCTTCGCAGATTGAAAAGAAACTTGGTTATCGTTTTCGATATCCCAGATTACTCCGGTCCGCATTCACTCATCCCTCATATCCTTCGGCTTGGTCAACAGTGCCTTGCTATCAGCGACTTGAATTTTTGGGTGACTCGTTGTTAGATATGGTCTGTATTGAAGACCTATACAAACGATTCCCGGATCGTGATCCACAGTGGCTCACCGAGCACAAGGTAAGCATCATATCCAGGAACCCATCTAAAGAAGGATCTGATTTTAATTCCCACTTCTGTAGATGGCCATGGTCTCCAATAAGTTCCTAGGAAGCTTGGCCGTACGTCTTGGTTTACACACGCATCTCCAGCACTTTAGCAACCCGCTTCAAGGACAAATCCTTCAATACGTCGAGGACTCTCAGCTTGTTTATGAAAGTAACCAATCTGTGGACTTTTGGCTTGATACTCAAGATCCCCCAAAGGTTTGTTTCTAAGTGACTGCACTGAAATATTAAAAGTTCGTTGATACAGGAATGCGGGTGGCTAACGAAAAAATCCAGTGCCTCTCTGATATAGTGGAGGCTTACATTGGCGCTATTTTTGTGGACTCCGAGTTTGACTTTGGTGTTATCGAGAAGTTCTATTCTCAGCATATCAAACATTACTTCGAAGACATGACGCTATATGATACATTCGCAAACAAGCATCCTACGGTAAGCCGGGCGTTTATTGGTTGTTGATAAACAGGATAAGGAGAGAACAGACTGACGGCTTGCAAAGACATTTCTACACAGAAAATTGACCGATGACTTTGGCTGTATCGAGTATTCCCTGAAAGCGGCTGAGATACCCACTATAGACGGTGCGCCTACAATTGTGCTGGCGGCCGTCCTTGTCCATGACGTTGAACTCGCCCAAGGGACGGCATCGTCGGGCAGGTATGCTAAGGTCAAGGCAAGCCAGATTGCGTTGAAGAACCTGGAGGGGTTGAGTGTGGAGGAGTTCCGTGAAAAATACCACTGCAAATGTTCCAGAACCGCGTTTCATGGCACGGTACCTACCCAAGACGAGATAGGCTGTGCCATTTGACTAGGTTGGATTCGAGGAAACTGAAAATACCAATGGATGTAATCACCATTTCTGTCTCATTTGCATAGGAACAACAAAATCGAGAAAATGGTAGATATAGGCCTGGCATATATGGTTTTGAGCAAAGCAATAGTTTGTCTCTACGTATGGGTCATCGCCAGAAGTAATAACTAACTACATGGTTGAATATCCAGTCTAGCCTGTTACAGTTAAACGCATACAAGCCCCTGAAAGTGGGCCGCGGCACGGCGGCAAAAGTGGAGTCGGTGGGCTGATGCGTGTTCATTCGCTGCCGTTCGGACTAATACTTGCTTTCTCGCCGCTGATTGGCCCGAAGCCCTCCAGTCCCGTGATAATGCCAGAACACGCCTGCCGCGTCCGCCAACTGCCAAAACGGAGCAGTCCAGAGAAAATAATTATACGACAACAAACAATACGGACTTCTCCGTAAAGAACTAATCCTAGCCTCGAGGAGGTCGCATTTCCCTCGTCCTGCGTTTCGCGTTTCTATCATTGATTCCTCTCCCTTTTGTCTGCCCAGCTGCCGCGTCGTGAGAGATCGCATTCTCTCCAAGTCAATCCTAATCATAATATTATTTTCACTATCGACATATTCTTTCCTTGACTTCTCGATTCTCCTGCTCGATACCACCACTCGCATCGTCGTCATTCCAAAACACACCCAAGCATACTGTGACGTCGATGGGATTTATACGTTATTGATTTTGGAGGTTCTTGAACGATGGAGGTTGCTGCTACTCCAGGGGTTACAAATGGCCTCGCAGCTACGGCTCAGGTGTCCGCGGCGGATCCGAACGTGGTCGTTCAGTATCTCACAGATGTTCTCCAGGTAACACTGGGGGCCACAAAGAGAGATCTTGAGGCGATAGGGAGTCTGCTTTCGCAAGCGAAATATTCAGAGACCGTGCAGAAATGTACGCGATTCGCTTCGGAGTCGCAGGTGGCGCTGTATGTCCAGCAAGACATTTTCAGTGCCGAAACCCCAAATGGAACAGAGAGTGATGATGGTAATGCCCCAAGCCTCTACGTTATATTTATGAACAACAACCCACCTTTTCTAACTGTGTTTAGTGGCAGAGAACCGGTATACGTACACCCTCGCCTCCGAGGTCTCCTTTTTGTCGACGACTGTTGCTTCAGTAGCCTTTATCAAGCGCTCGGGGCCTATCGATGCTACTCTACCTATCGCCACTCAGATTCAGGTCACAAATTTCCCTGGTCTATCTACCCTCAGTAATGCACAAGCACAGCAGGGCGCTTCAATCTCCGCATTTGAGATTCTGCACTCTCTAGTGCACCACACACTCGCACCATACTTCGAAGCCTACACACGTGGTCAGGAAGCTGCCAGTGGTATTAAGCAGAGGACAGAAACAGAAGCGAAGACTGGTGTTCCGGGAGCCAAAAAACGCATCGCAGAGTTGGACCTTGCGTTCCTTCATCTTCAGCAAAATGTGGAGATTCCAACTCTAAATCTACCTCTTCATGAAATTGTTCAGGCTGCCTTGGACGACGCAGAGACCCGTGGGATCAAACCGTCTGTTGAACTAATCCCACCCGCGGCCCTCGAGAGCAGTACCGTTCTCAACAGCATCCAAAACAATGTGAACGGTTGGATCAAGTCAATCCAAACCATTACAAAAATGTCTCGAGACGCCGACAGTGGCTCGGCAAACCAAGAGATTAATTTTTGGCTGTCCATGGAAACCGCATTGGAGGGAATTGAAAAGCAGCTTCGCGGGGACGGAGTGCAACTCACGATGGATATTCTACGCCATGCAAAGCGTTACCAGGCAACATTGAGCTTTGTAGCAGATACTGGGCTTCGTGAAGCAATGGATACGGTGCAGAAATACAACCAGTTGATGCGGGACTTTCCTCTGGATGAATTGTTGTCCGCAACAACGCTGCAAAAAGTGCAAGAATCGCTTGGCTTGATTTTCAATCACTTGAATAGAAAGCTCAAAATTTCACCGTATCCGATTAAGAGGGCATTAGCACTAGTGGAAGCAATTTCGGGCGACTTGGACTCTCAGATTCATGCTTTACTACACGGTCGAACTATCATGCACCTTGACTACCGAGAATTTCGCTCATTGATGAAGACCTGCAGTGCAATTTGGCGGACGTGGGACGAAAACGTGAAGGATTTCACCAATGTTGGTCGTGAAGCTTCTCGACGTCGAAACGAGAAGTTCATTCCAATTAAGATTTCGCCCCGTCATCTGAAGATACAGGAACGCCTCAAGTACATCAATACATTCCGTGTCAACCATGAACAATTGCAACGAACAATCGTTAATGTGCTTGGCCCAAAATCGTCTGTTAATGCAAATGGCGTAGATGGCGCGATTATCGTGGAAGAGATTGGCGATGTGGATGCTGTGGAGGAAGTTACTCAAGCATACGCAGCTCTGAAAGATGTGGACGTTCTTGATGTCTCCGAAGAAGGCACCCAGTCCTGGGTTCAGGCTGAAATCACGTACAACGAGCGTACATCGCGTGTGGAAAATTCGATTATCGCTCGCCTGAGAGACCGTCTCGCAACCGCCAAGAATGCTAATGAGATGTTCCGTGTTTTTTCCAAGTTTAACGCCCTCCTAGTACGGCCTAAAATTCGAGGCGCCATCGGCGAATACCAAACTACACTCATCGATAACGTGAAACGAGACATCAATTCCCTACATGAACGTTTCAAGCAACAGTATGGCCACTCCGAAGCACACGCCATGGCTCAGTTGCGAGACTTGCCTCCTGTCTCCGGCGCCATTGTCTGGGCTCGTCAGATTGAACGCCAACTTGATGGCTACATGCGAAAAGTTGAAGACGTGCTCGGTGAAGACTGGCATTTGCACTCCGAGGGCCAGAAGCTTCAAGCCGAAGGAAATCTGTTCCGGAAGAAGCTCGACACAAGACCGGTCTTCGAGTCGTGGCTCCATGATGTTCAACGGCGGCATATTACTATTTCAGGTCGCTTGTTCAACATCATTCGCAATAGAGCTGCCGGTAACTCACTGGAGCTGACAGTCAATTTTGATGCACAGATCATTGCCCTTTTCAAGGAAGTGAGGAATCTGATTTGGCTCAACTTCCAGGTTCCTCATGCAGTTAGCAGTATATCCAAGGAAGCTAAGCGCGTATATCCCTACGCCATCAGTTTGATGGAGACAGTCCGCACATTGCTACAAACAACCCGTACTATCACATCAATGACAGAGGTTGCAATCTTATTAAGCGGCTACCAGAACGACGCGCAAGCTATGATCACAAAAGGCGTTCCTCTACGATGGGAGTCCTTCGTTCACTCTTACGAGCTCCATGTCAAACAATCAACATTGTCCAATGGCACTCTTGATCCCTCCATTAGTGGAAGAGGGGAAAGTAAGCACGTCCAATTTGTTCGCGAATTCGCTGCATCCGCTTCGGTGCTTCAATCAAAGACTGCGACTCTGGCTTCCATTAATGATAGCATACAAAAAGCTATACTAGAGCTTAAAACTTGTCCATATGATGCGGCAATTTTTCGCCAGCGACTGGATTCAATCCAAATGTCCGTGGATAAGTTGAATCTCGAGAATTATGTCAACCTTGGATACTGGGTGTCAAATCTGAACTTGAAAATCGAATCTATACTGCGTGAACGACTGCACCGGGCTATACGAACCTGGATTGTGTCATTCCAGCAATCGAAAGATGCCCAATATGCCAAACGACTATCTGCCCAGATAACCAATGAAAAGAAAGTGAACGATACTTCCGAAACTGCGATTTATCACATCGAGTTCCCTCAACTTGTTCATGAGGTCTCCATGCGGAACCAAGTCTTGCACCTTGATCCGCCATTACAGTATGCTCGGGCCAGCTGGCTCTCTCACTTCGGCCAGTGGCTTGGAGTCATCTGCAATCTGGAGAAGATCAAGTCATCCCGATATCAAATTTCCATAGATGTTGTGAAAACCACATTATCTGAGACGTCATTTGTGAACTTGCCACAATACTGCATTGAAGAGTTGGCAGAAGTTTACGGAGCAATTGAATCCAGACTCTCGGAAATTTCGGGCTATGTGGACAAGTGGCTCCAGTTTCAGTCTCTATGGGACCTGCAGGCCGATCAAGTGTACGATATTTTGGGTGACGATTTAGCTCAGTGGCTTCAACTACTACAAGAAATTCGCAAAAACCGCGCCACTTTTGATACATCCGAGGTTAGCCGTTCATTTGGTAATATTACAATCGACTATGAACAGGTACAGACCAGAGTCAATGCCAAGTATGACCAGTGGCAACATGAGATTTTACAGAAGTTTGGTTCTAAGCTGGGTGGCCATATGAGGGAAGTTCATTCTGAGATAGCCACTGCACGTAGAGACCTCGAAGGGCAAACCTTGGAAGCGTCATCAACTGCACACGCCGTATCCTTTATCACAATTGTTCAACAATGCAAGCGCAAGGCCAGAATATGGGAGCCGCAAGTGGACCTGTTCAGACAAGGCCAAACCACCTTGGCTCGACAACGATATCAATTCCCAACAGACTGGCTTCATGTGGAGAACGTCGATGGCGAGTGGGCTGCTCTAAACGAACTTCTCACTAGAAAGAGCAAGATTGTCCAGGATCAAACCGACGCGCTACGAGCCAAAATTACTGCCGAAGATAAGGTCATTAGTGATAAGATCAAGGAAATAATCATCCAATGGAACGATGAGAAACCCGTCTCCGGCACAATCCCTCCAGAAGAGGCCTCTCGCACCCTTAGTTCCTACCAATCCCGCTTGGAAGGCCTTCAATCCGAATTTGAGATGGTTTCGAAGGCCAAAGAAGCCTTGGACCTACCTTCTAGTGCAGAGTCGTCATTACCCCCAATTCTGGAAGAAGTCCAGGATTTCATGTCAGTTTGGGCGGCTTTATCGACAATTTGGAAGAGTTTGAACGACCTTCGTGATATGCTCTGGACTAGTGTTCAACCCAGGAAACTTCGGCAATCAATTGATAATCTCATCAAAATGACCAAGGAAATGCCAAGTCGTATGCGCCAATATGCTGCATTTGAACACATTCAGAATGTTCTCCGCCAGTTGTTGAAAATTAACCCGTTGCTCTCTGACCTGAAATCAGAAGCTATAAAAGAGAGACACTGGCAAAAGATCTTTAAGGCTCTTAGACCTGGGCAGCGTTTCTCACAGGTCACTCTGACACTTGGAGATGTTTGGGATCTGAAACCCGCTGCTAGTGAAACTGTGATCCGAAATATCATCGCCCAGGCCCAGGGTGAAATGGCTTTGGAGGAGTTTTTGAAAATGGTTCGCGAGACCTGGCAAAACTATTCTCTTGATCTAGTCAACTACCAAAACAAGTGTCGTTTGATTCGAGGTTTTGATGACCTTTTTGCAAAGTGTAGTGAAAATCTCAACTCTCTGCAAGCCATGAGACACTCCCCTTACTACAAAGAATTCGAGGAGGAAGCTTCGACTTGGGAGGACAAATTGAACAGAGTTCACGTTTTGTTCGATGTGTGGATAGATGTTCAACGTCAGTGGGTATACCTTGAAGGTGTCTTCACTGGAAATGCAGATATCAAACACCTTTTGCCCTTGGAATCGGCGCGTTTCCAAAACATTAATTCCGAATTCTTCGCCGTTATGAAAAAGGTCTACAAGTCGCCGTTCGTCCTCGATGTACTCGCAATAAACGGGGTCCAGAAATCTTTGGAGAGGCTTGCAGAACTTCTCAATAAGATCCAGAAAGCTCTTGGTGAATATCTTGAGCGCGAGCGTGTGTCCTTCCCTCGGTTCTACTTTGTGGGTGATGAAGATCTTCTAGAAATCATCGGTAACAGCAATGACACACTTCGAGTCGCCAAGCACTTCAAGAAGATGTTCGCTGGTCTTTCTGGACTTTTGATGGATGATGATAATAATATTGTTGGCTTCACATCCAAAGAGGGCGAAGAAGTCAGGCTGAAGCGCGAGGTCAATCTCATCAAGACACCGCGAATCAACGATTGGCTTTCCGCCTTGGATAATAACATGAAATTGACATTAGCTGAGTTACTAGCCGAGGCAGTTGAGCAATTTGAGACTATCTACGATACAAATGAGGTTGATCAAACTGCTTTTAACGACTATCTAGCCAACTATCCCGCACAGATCGTCGTGCTTGCTAGTCAGGTTGTATGGACAAATGCTGTACACAAATCCTTAGAAAACGGCGGAGGAAATCTCTCAACTCTTTTTGATGCCGAAGTTCGCATACTGGAATTACTCGCTGCGACTGTTCTGGGAGAGCTTGATGGCATCACGAGAAAGAAATGTGAGCACATGATCACTGAGTTCGTTCATCAACGCGACGTTATTGCCAAGCTCATGAAGTTCAACGCAACGACACCCACGCATTATCTTTGGCTTCTGCAGATGCGTTACGTGTACAAGAACGAAGGCGACTTCCTTCAGCGCCTATATGTACACATGGCTAATGCTAAGTTGGACTATGGCTTCGAATACCTGGGCGTCCCCGAACGGCTTGTACGAACTCCTCTAACGGACCGTTGTTTTCTTACTTTAACTCAGGCCCTTTGTCAACGACTAGGAGGATCTCCTTACGGACCCGCTGGTACGGGTAAGACCGAGTCCGTCAAAGCTCTGGGCTTACAACTTGGTCGTTTTACTTTGGTCTTCTGCTGTGATGATACTTTTGACTTTCAAGCCATGGGGCGAATTTTCTTGGGTATTTGTCAGGTTGGTGCTTGGGGTTGTTTTGATGAATTCAATCGTCTCGAGGAACGTATTCTTTCTGCCGTTTCCCAGCAGATACAAAACATTCAGATTGGATTGCGCAAGGGCACAGAGGACGACAAGGCCCAAATTGAACTAATCGGCAGACGGCTGCATGTTAACCAGAATACTGGTATCTTCATCACGATGAACCCTGGTTATGCCGGTCGCTCGAACCTACCTGATAACTTGAAGAAGTTGTTCAGAAGTGTGGCAATGTCCAAACCCGACAAAGAACTCATTGCCGAAGTGATGCTTTTCTCTCAAGGTTTCAAGCAAGCGAAGCCTCTTTCTAAGCAGACCGTTCCTTTCTTCGACCATTGCGCAAGTAAACTGACGAAACAGGCCCACTATGACTTTGGTCTTCGAGCCTTGAAGAGTGTCCTTGTTAGCTCTGGTGGTTTGAAACGTGCACGACTGGCAAATTCCGATGGAGACTTGGGCCCTGACGCGATCATTGAGCCTCAAATTATTGTGCAAAGTCTGCGCGAAACAATTGCCCCTAAATTGATCCGTGAAGATGTGGAGACCATGCTGGAAATCCAGACGGAGGACTTCCCTGGAGTTGAATATGTGCCTGCCAACTATGAGAAACTTACTCAGGCAATCCGTGATATTGCGAATGAAAACCATTTCGTCGCTAGCGATACATGGATCACAAAGACACTGCAATTGTATCAGATTCAAACCATTCATCACGGTGTGATGATGGTGGGACGATCTGGTGCTGGTAAATCTGCTTCATGGAAAGTGTTGCTTCAAGCCTTGCAGCGTGTAGAGGGCATTGATGGGATTTGCCATGTCATTGATTCCAAGGTCATGTCGAAGGAGGCCTTATACGGTAATCTCGATAGCACGACCCGAGAATGGACAGATGGCTTGTTTACCGGAATACTGAGAAAGGTTGTGGACAATTTACGTGGCGAGGACTCGAAACGTCATTGGATTGTCTTTGACGGTGACGTTGACCCTGAGTGGGTTGAGAATTTGAACAGTGTCTTGGACGATAACAAGCTCCTCACTTTGCCCAACGGTGAGCGTCTCAACTTACCACCAAACGTCCGCATCATGTTTGAGGTTGAAACTCTCAAATATGCTACACTTGCTACAGTTAGTCGATGCGGTATGGTCTGGTTCAGCGACGATACTGTAACACCGGAGATGATGATCACGAACTATGTCGATTCATTGAAGACTAAGATTTTCGAAGACTTGGACGACGACTCTGTTCCTGCAGGACAAGCATCTGCTAAGACTCAAGCTGTTCAGGACATGGTTTCGGACTTCCTCAAGCAATTCATGCAAGGCGATGATCTCATCTACAAGGCCCTTGAAGAAGCCCGGAAGTATAATCATATCATGGACTATACAAGCATTCGCGGATTGAACACTCTTTTCAGCCTCTTGAACAAAACTTGTCGTAACGTGCTCGAGTACAATATTCAGCATATCGACTTCCCTCTAGAGCCTGAACAAGTCGAATCATATATTTCCAAGAAGTTGCTCCTTGCGCTCGTATGGTCGCTGACTGGTGACTGTCCTCTCAACGACCGCAAGCGCTTCGGAGAATATCTTGCCGCGTCTACTACCATTGATTGCCCGTTACTCAGCGAGTCGTCCTCTCTTATTGACTACGATGTGTCCTTGCCCAAAGTGGAATGGATTACTTGGCAGTCACAGGTGCCCTCAGTCGAGATCAATACCCATTCCATCACTCAAACAGATGTAATTATTCCAACGCTGGATACCGTACGTCACGAAGATGTGCTATACTCATGGCTTGCTGAGCACAAACCTCTTCTGCTCTGCGGTCCTCCTGGATCCGGTAAGACTATGACGCTGTTTTCTGCCTTGAGAAAACTGCCAAACATGGAGGTTGTTGGTCTCAATTTCTCCAGTGCAACCACTCCGGATCTTCTGATTAAGACTTTCGAACAATACTGTGAATACCGCAAGACTTTGAACGGTGTGGTGATGTCACCGAACCAGATCGGACGGTGGCTCGTTATTTTCTGCGACGAGATCAACTTGCCTGCTCCGGATCGATACGGTACTCAGCGCGCAATTTCATTTTTAAGACAGCTTGTGGAACAAAACGGTTTCTGGCGGACTTCTGACAAGACATGGGTTACTTTGGATCGCATTCAATTTGTTGGAGCTTGTAACCCGCCTACCGATGCTGGACGTACGCCAATGGGAGAACGTTTCTTGCGCCACGCCCCCTTGATGATGGTTGATTACCCCGGCGAGCTCTCTCTGACACAAATCTATGGCACCTTCAACTCGGCCGTTTTAAAGATTATCCCAACGTTGCGCGGCTATGCGGATGCTTTGACCAAAGCAATGGTGCAATTCTATTTAGAGTCTCAAGCAACATTCACACCAAAGATACAGCCACACTACGTGTACTCACCACGTGAACTCACGAGGTGGGTACGTGGTGTTTACGAAGCTATCAAGCCTCTCGAGAATCTCTCTGTCGAAGGTCTGGTCCGAATTTGGGCCCACGAAGCTCTCCGGCTCTTCCAAGATCGTCTCGTAGCCGAAGAGGAGCGAAAATGGACAGCAGATTCCGTGCGGCGGATTGCCCTGGAGCATTTCCCAACTATTGACGAAGAACAAGCATTGAAGGGACCTATACTTTTCTCCAACTGGCTCTCAAAGAACTACGTACCAGTTGAACAAGAACAGCTAAGGGAATTCGTCAAGGCTCGCTTGAAGACATTCTGTGAAGAAGAAGTTGACGTTCCGTTGGTTCTTTTCAATGACGTTTTGGAACATGCATTGCGTATCGACCGTGTCTTCCGACAGCCTCAAGGCCATCTGATTCTCATCGGTGTCAGTGGAAGTGGAAAGACGACGTTATCAAGATTCGTTGCGTGGATGAATGGTCTGAACATCTTCCAAATCAAGGTTCACGGGAAGTACTCATCGGATGATTTCGACGAGGATTTAAGAAATGTCCTTCGACGAGCAGGATGCAAAGGCGAAAAAATCTGTTTCATTATGGACGAGTCTAACGTGCTTGACTCTGGATTCTTAGAACGAATGAACACCCTGCTGGCCAATGCTGAAGTTCCGGGTCTCTTTGAAGGTGACGAGTTTGCATCCTTGATGACCGCTTGCAAGGAAGGCGCACAACGACAAGGTCTACTTCTTGACTCTCAAGAGGAACTTTACAAATGGTTCACCCAACAAATAGTGAAGAATCTTCATGTTGTATTTACGATGAATCCGCCTGAAGATGGGTTATCATCCAAGGCCGCAACAAGTCCTGCGCTGTTCAATCGTTGCGTACTTAATTGGATGGGCGATTGGTCTGATCAGGCTCTCTTCCAAGTCGGCACCGAGCTCACACACTCTGTGGACCTCGACAAGCCCAACTTTACGGCGCCAGACAGCATTCCAGTGGCTTATCGCGACCTCAATCTTCCTGCCTCTCACCGCGAAACTGTTGTCAATTCGATGGTCTACATCCACTATTCACTGCAGAAATTCAATCAGCGTCTGCAAAAACAACAGGGTAGAACAACGTTCCTCACTCCCAGACATTACCTCGACTTTGTTGCTCAATACGTGAAACTTTTTAATGAGAAGCGAGAGGATCTCGAGGAACAGCAACGTCACTTGAACGTAGGTCTCGAGAAACTTAGGGATACAGTCGATAAGGTCCGTGATCTTCGTGTCAGCCTTGCAGAGAAGAAAACACAGTTGGAGAAAAAGGATGCCGAAGCCAACGAGAAGTTGCAGCGTATGGTTGCGGATCAGCGGGAGGCTGAGCAGAGAAAGACTGCATCACTTGAAATCCAGGCTGCTCTAGAGAAGCAAGAGCAGGAAGTGGCTATGCGGAAGGATGTTGTTCTGAATGACCTGGCGAGAGCAGAGCCCGCAGTTCTCGAAGCCCAAAAGAGTGTCAGCAACATCAAGCGTCAGCATCTTACTGAAGTGCGTTCTATGGGTAACCCCCCAGCAAGCGTGCGTCTGACCATGGAGGCGGTCTGCACGTTGCTTGGTCACAAGGTCGACAGCTGGAAGACAATCCAAGGTATCATCCGTCGAGATGATTTTATTGCGAGCATCGTCAACTACGATAACGAGCGTCAAATGACTCGCAACCACCGGGTGAAAATGAAGAATGAATTCCTGTCCAAGGATGACTTCACGTATGAGCGAGTCAATCATGCCAGTAAAGCATGCGGCCCACTTGTACAGTGGGTTGAAGCACAAGTGAATTATTCCGAGATCTTAGACCGTGTGGGACCTCTTCGTGAAGAGGTGGATCAACTGGAGGAACAAGCACTCCAAACCAAGGCGGAAGCACAGGCCATTGAGAATACTATCCAGAGTCTTGAAAGCAGTATTGCCACATACAAAACAGAATACGCCGCTCTCATCAGTGAAACGCAGGCTATTAAGACTGAAATGGGCCGGGTGCAGTTCAAAGTTGACCGCAGTGTCCGGCTGCTAGACAGCTTGGCTTCTGAGCGAGAACGATGGGAAGAAGGAAGCAAATCGTTTGAAACGCAAATCAACACACTAGTTGGTGACGTTCTCATCGCTGCTGCATTCCTTGCCTATGCAGGTCTGTATGATCAACAGTTTCGTAAGGCGATGGTAGAAGACTGGGTCAATCAGTTAGGGCAGTCTGGAATCACATTCAAGCCTCACAACCCGGTTACGGAATACCTATCGAATGCGGATGAACGTCTGGCATGGCAAAGCAATTCTCTTCCTGTTGATGATCTGTGCACTGAGAATGCAATTATATTGAAACGCTTCAATCGCTATCCTTTGATCATTGATCCGTCAGGCCGCATTACGGAGTTCTTACAGAAGGAGAGCAAGGAGAGGAAGCTTACGGTCACTAGTTTCCTGGATGATTCTTTTGTCAAGCAGCTCGAGAGTGCTCTGCGTTTTGGCAACCCGATACTCATCCAAGACGCAGAGCATCTGGACCCCATTCTCAACCATGTCCTCAACAAGGAATACCAGAAAACTGGAGGACGTGTCCTGATCCAGTTGGGTAAACAAGAGATCGACTTTTCACCTTCGTTCAGGCTCTTCTTGTCTACGCGTGATCCGTCTGCTACTTTCCCACCCGATATTTGCAGTCGCACGACATTTGTTAACTTTACGGTCACTCAGAGCAGCTTGCAGACCCAGTCTCTCAATGAAGTGTTGAAAGTGGAGCGTCCCGACGTTGATGAGCGACGCACGAATCTTATCAAGTTACAAGGAGAGTTCAAGATCCATCTCCGGCAATTAGAGAAACGTCTGTTGCAGGCACTCAACGAGTCTAGGGGCAATATTTTGGATGATGACAACGTCATTGAGACATTAGAAACCCTCAAGAAGGAGGCTGCGGAGATTACCAAGAAGATGTCAGAGACAGAAGGAGTGATGACGGAGGTCGACAATATCACGCTGCAATATAATATCATTGCTCGGTCGTGCAGTGCTGTCTTTGCGGTACTGGAACAGCTGCATCATATCAACCATTTCTACCAATTTTCATTGCAGTACTTTGTCAAGATTTTCAACTCGATTCTTCATGGAAACAAGAGACTGGCCAATGAGAAAGACTATGCCGCAAGGGTGCAGATAATTCTTCGAGACCTCTTTATCACGGCGTATCAGCGCACTTCTCTCGGGCTTCTACAAAAGGATCGCATAACCCTGGCTATGCTGCTTGCCCAGGCTACTCCCTACACGATGGACAGGAGCATCATTGATACCATTCTTGATGAAAGCGTGGAGGGTCTAGACTTGTCGACTACTACGGAGCTACGCGAACAGACCATCAGCCGCATTTGCAACATGTCTTTGTTCAAATCTTACGTGCCCAACATCACACAAGCAGCTTGGACTTCTTTCTTCACCGAGGAACTTGCCGAGAACTTTGTCCCTACGGTATGGGATGAGAGTACAGGGGCACTCGACCAGCAACTTCGATCGCTTCTGCTTGTCAAGCTCTGCCGGCTGGACCGGTTCGTCCCCGTTGCAGAGCGGTTCGTCGCCGCAGTCTTTGGTCGCGAGATGTACGAAGATAACAGCGATCTCAAGGATGTCGTTGAACAAGTGACAGCAATCACGCCGGTGGCGCTGAGCTCCAGTCCCGGATTCGATGCGAGCTACAAAGTCGATGGTTTGGTCGAGCGGATGAATGCTACTTGCGCGAATATTGCGATGGGATCGAACGAGGGCCTGGAAAGCGCGGACAAGGCTATTGGGCATGCAGCTTCGGCAGGCACCTGGGTTCTAGTCAAGAACGTGCATCTCGCACCGTCCTGGCTTCAGAGCTTGGAGAAACGGCTTGACTCTCTGAAGCCGCATCGGGATTTCCGGCTTTTCTTGTCAATGGAGACCAGCCCCAAGATTCCAGTCAACTTGCTCCGTGCATCTCGCGTTCTCATGTTTGAGCAGCCGGCAGGAGTGCGCGCCAACATGAAGGATTCGCTCTCTTCTCTTTCGCTACGTGCTACGACGGCTCCGGTGGAAAAGGCCCGGGTCTATCTGTTGCTTTCGTTCTTGCATGCTGTGGTCCAGGAGCGTCTTCGCTACGCGCCTAATCTTGGTTGGAAAGGATTCTGGGAATTCAATGACAGTGATGTATGTACCCCTTTCGCCTCCCACCCCCTCCTTTCTTTCTCTTCTATTCTATGGACCCTGGTCAAAACTAACCAGTGCAGTACGAATGCTCCGCGTTTATTATCGACTCGTGGATTGATTCGGTCGCTCAGGGACGGTCTAATGTTGCCCCTCAGAAGCTGCCATGGGATATGATTCGCACGCTCATCACGGAAACATACGGCGGCAAGGTGGACGACAGCGGGGATTTCGAGCAGCTGCAGAAGCTCGTGGAGAATCTCCTGACGCCGGCGGCATTTGAGGAAGATCACAAGCTTGTGTCCGGCGTAGAAAACGACGAGTGCCTGGCGCTGCCGGGCAGCACCAGCATGCGCGACTTTACGGCGTGGGTTGGGCGGCTGCCAGAGCGCGAGCCGCCGACGTACTTGGGGCTGCCGGCCAATGCAGAGAAATTGCTGCTGGTCGGACACGGGCGCGCGATGATCTCAGATGTGTCGCGAGTGACGACGTTGCTGGACGAGGGCGAGCAGTTGATGGTTGAGGCATAAAAGACAGGCATAAGTGTATAATTCTCGTCTTTTATTTTTATGTCGGCACGGGGTTGTGTTATGCTTCTGTTTGTGCGCCAGCATAAGGAGTCTGCTGTTGAATATTTATTCTTATTATTTTCTTTTCTGTCTTCCCTCTCTCGTATGTATGCATCGAGTGTATTTAGTATCGAGTGGCTAGTGCTCAGCGCATAGATCCTTGCATGTTCCATCTGGAGTATATTCACCTTATCAGCTTGGCGGCGCAGACGTGATAAGCACGCAAGGCAGTCCAATCCACGCCCGCCCCGCCATATCCCTCTCTCTGAGATGGGATATAGAGCGTAGAGTATAGAGTATAGAGTATATAGCATGCTCATACTCATAGCACACGGTGGAGAGCTGACGACGCCGGCTGCACACTATACTGCGTGCAGTGAAGGCGGGCCCGCAGATCGGCTGCACCGCAAAACTCTCAGCATGCATCATCATCTCTCGACCATCCCGCGAGGTATGTTTCTTTATATTCATTGCCCATCTACGCTGCAAAGCATCATGCTAATACAGCCATGCATAGCCTTCCTGTCCTCTCTGCGCACCAATCTGCAGATCTCCTTTGAAGACCTCAGTGCGTCTTCGTCTTCTCGCCAGCCGCCATCAGCCAGCGAAGACTACTCAAACGACGCCTCTTCTTCCGCGGGCTTTGCGGATGATCTCGAGGATCCCCCGTCTCCAACAGACACATCGACCACCTCGACTACTCAGCAGTCCTTCCCCCTGCCGGCTACCTGGACCTACCATGCCTCGACGGACGGTGACCGTCGGGCTGCCCTCAGACTCGTTGCTGATAGCATCCGCGAGCAGCGTGTGAACGCCATACGTAGTATTCTACTCCATCCGGCAGTCCTTGCGGCTGCCTTTTCTCTGCTTACGTTGTTCGTGCGCTGTGCGTTGCATGGCCAGGAGCAGAAGAAAAAGGGGGCCGTGGCATGTCTGCTCGCCACTGCCGGTCTGACAGCAGCTGCAGTTATAGTTGCATACCGCACAACCAGACACTACCTGACCATGGCATCAGCCGTCGAAGATACAGCTTGGCTGCGAGAGGGACTCGTTCAGCAGCAGCAGCAGCAGCAGCAGCGCAATAATCACCACCCAAACTCGCATGGACCTGCAGGCAGCTCCAAACACCACAGCCATCACAACTCAGGAACCTCCGAGGACGAACTCCTAATAACCAGAGACCACGAAGAAATAGTCGCTGCCCTGGTCCTCCGCACCGCTCGCACCAACGCACTCACCTCCGGTGCCCCGAGTGCCAACGGCATGCGCGCCCTCCGCCATCGACACAGCAATAGCTCCACGACCGGCCGTTTGACGGGCGTGATTCGCGCATGGACAGTGAAAAAGTCTCATCGAAATCACGGCCTGGGCCTGGGTCTGCTCGAGTCGGCAGTCGCTATTTGTCGAGTGCGCAGGCTCGACGGCCCCATATTCGCGGACGATGAGCGGTTTTGTGGTGCGCATGTCGTCTCGCCCGGATACTACTGGTGGTGGTCGTGGTGCTGGTGGCATTTTGGTCATGCTAGATCTGCTGAGAAAGCGGAACTGAAGGCCAAGGAGTGCTTGAGGGCGGTCATTGAGGGGAAGCAATGATACTTTCTATCTATATGCACTGATGATTTATGATAATGATTTTTTCTTTTTTTGGGGGGGCCTTTTTGCCTTTTGCCGTTTTGTGTCGACGTTGTCAGATTCATACACTTATACCCGGGATACATGATATTGATACATTAGCTTAGGTACTTATTTATACAAAGATGGCAGGCTGGAGCTATATGGATTTACTAGGGAGGATAGGATGATATTCATATTTCGAATCGGTCTTTGACATTGTTGTAGTTGCTCCTGACATCGCCCATTCATGCAACGAGGGTAGTACCTGATTAGAGGACATCAAAAAAGGACAAAAGGGGAAAGAGAAAAAACCCTCCCCCACCAATGACGACCATCACATATTCGTGACATGTCTTTCCAAGTCGTGGATATGTACTGTCTTTGTCACCCCAAGGTGTGCGATGTAGATGTAGATAAACTCAGACTCAGTAACACCAGTTCGATTTCGATCTCAAGTCGATTGGAGTTAGACATGGTCGAATCCCCAGACCGGTTTTCCCATCTATACATCCATCCGTCCATGCATCATTAGTCTTGGATATGTCATGGGATAACTTGGGAGACTCACGCGTGCTAAAACGAACACAACCTGATCAAAATATCAAAAGGCAGGATGATATGGTCAGATTTATCTGATTCATTGAATGTCTGTCCGGTAGAGCGAAAACTTACATCGCGAGTAGTGACCGTCTGGAGATGAAGTTAGCTGACATGAAGCATATCATTTAGGGAGAGGGAGATCTCTACCTTTCTTCCATATTTTTCGGTGTTGGCTGACTCAAGGAGCAACACGAGATTCTTGAGGATCTGAGAGATCAGAGTGTCAATATACTCTGTGCAGCACAGTAAGGGGCGAAGTGTACACGCACCTCTTGGAGACGCGCTCTCAGCACCAGCTTGATCTCTTCGTAGATATTATAGGAGATACGCTTGACACCACCACGACGAGCAAGACGGCTGTTCAACATGAGTAAGTGAGGACTTGGTATTCGTCTGACATACAGCTGAGAACAAGGCAGATTGGCGCACGAACCGAATGGCTGGTTTAGCTGTAGAGACCTCTCAATTAGAACAGTTAGCATATTGGACTAAACGGACAGACTTACTGATCCCATTGATAGTATCACGAGTAAGGCGTCCGCGTCGTCTTCTGTTTAAGGGGAGCAGGAGTCAGTCATCCCTCTCGTAGTGCCGTGGATGAAGGGTATGACTACGTATCTGGCTGTGAGGTTCACAGCGAGGGGCAGATTGGCTCACCTGTGACGCAGTCCTCGACCCAAGCTATTCGGTGGAGGGGCCATTTTCGAGATGTAACTTGGCGATGCTTCTGAGGTTGGTTTGGTCTTAGTGAGTTGAACTGGGCGAAGAGTAGAGTCAAGTGGGAAGATAGCAACTGTGTGAGGGGGAAAGCGAGAGAGGGAGAAGAGGAAGAGGAGGAGGAGGAGCAAACACAAACATGTCAAGTCAACCTCTGAAAACGACTGCTTCGTTCTATGTCCATGAAAGAAACGCATGAGGAGAGAAAGTAATATGATTATTAATGAATTAACTTAAGACAACTAGTACCAATACTTGAGCAGTTCGCTTCTTGAGTTCAATCACGAAAAGTCTTCCAAGAGGACTGCATGAGATAAGTGAACAAACGCCGTGACTGCAACGAGTGAATACAACAGATATTATCATCTTTTATCGTGAATCGACGTATATATATATATATATATACTTGTGGTAAGACGGTATACCCCCTTACGAGATGAATGTAGCCTCAGAGAACAGAGTGCCTTCTTCAGCAGTCTCAGTCTCGCCTTCTTTGACCTTCAGGGTGAGCTTGTCCTGAGGAGAGTACTGTCATGACACACAGTCAGTAAAAGAGCAAAGATGGCATATGATGTGGGCATATTACCTGGTAGATATATGGCCTTGTGCCAGCAACGCTGCCCACGAATGTCTTCACAAATCCAGGAAGCTCGTACATGACGTCTATCCGGTCGAGTCTCTTGCCAAGGGAGCCCGCCAGTTCGGCCTGGAGATCCTTGTCCTTGCCGTCCCATGCGAACTTGATCACCTTTGGCTCTGGCCAGTCGTTTTCCGAATCCGTGTTCGTCTCGACGTGCTCAGCAGAGTTGGTTGAGCCCGCATAGAGGATCTTGTCGTCTTTCACAATTCCGCCTACGTTGACGACGGTCGATCCATATGATGGCGGGGTAGTGAACTCCATCATAAAAGCCGAGTATGACGGACTCTGGAAGTTGACAAAGTTCCATCTCGATGCTATATTCTGTTATTCTCCGCTTCGTCAAATCATTTTAATCCAGGGGGAAATTAAAATACCAGCATGATGGGGCTTCATGCCCTGGAGCGCAAAAGAGTAGAAGCCTCGACCCTTCAAGTCATACGTCTTCTCTTTAGTGGTGATAGTACCCTCGACCAAGCAGCGAGGCCAAAAGGCATGTCGCATTGAGCCCCACGGATTCGCAGGATCGGTGCCAAAGTACGAAGTGCCGTTCTCGCCAATGACCAGACCGGGGGCTTGCTGGGTGAAAGTCAGGTTAACAAGACTGTCCTCGTTCACCGCCGACTTGACCGTATAAGCGGTGCCTTCCTCGTTGAGTGTTAAGGCGAAGTTGTCCGCTCCAAAGGAGTACATGTCCGGGTCAAACATATGGTTTGAAAGTGTGTCCGAGTGCCAAATGTGTGGTGCATCGCCAGCGAGCGAGTAGATCTTTGAGTTGAATTGGCAAGTTGTGTGAAGGCCACTGTCACGGATTAGCCAGACTTCTGCAAGACAAGATACAAGTTCCTTACGCGACATTGCTGTAGATAACTTGGACCCACGCCAGAGCGCCATTGTCCGCCATGATGTAGAAGGTCTGCGTTTCCACCGACGTATACTGATGAGCCTGCCATTTGAGGTCCTCCTTCTTCAGTACTGTGTAGGGCGTCTTTTCGGCCTGTTTGGTGACGGGCTGGATAGCCTCGGGGCCGTAGATCGGTTCTTGCGTTCCAGCCACATTGGCCAAACTGGAAACACGCTTTTCCGTCAGCAACCGGGGGGTTCAAAAGGCACACAGACAGGAGGAAGACCGTACGTCTGCTTGAGCCAGTTCATGACTGCGGTGGGATTATTTTGTATTTACGTAATCAGACTGACCGCAAACTTGCAAGTCCCAGCTCGACGTGAGGAAGCAGACTAATGATAATGCAGAGGAACGAACGCGGCTGTATATGTGAGGGGCAGAGAAGCTTTTCGCAGTGAGCAGTCGTCAAGTTAGTTGGGAAGCTAGCAGTGGGCCTGGCTGGGTGACTTGGCCAATGCTTTGCCGCCTAAGGACGATCGCTGGGTCTGCTAGCTGGACGGAAGCCCTAAGGAATTGGCGATGATATGAAGCTGTTGTACTTGACAAGTTGGTCGTTGGCGATGAGAGCAGAGGAGAGAGAGAGAGAGAGAGAGAAGTAGTTGAGAGGAGCCGAGTTGATTATCTAATCTCGTCAAATCGACGCGATGACGTCTTTCGCCAGCCCAGAATGCCGCCCAATCGGGTTAGTCAACAGTTTCGACTCGAGTGGTCAACGCTCAAGCACAGAGCTGGAAGAATGCCGGTATACAGCGCTTGTGCAGCGATGTAACGGTTAGCTAAAAGTAGTTACGTATTGGCTATCTGGCTTGTTACTCATTTTATGTGCTTGAGCCTTGAGGGCATCTTCTACAGCACGCTCGCACGTGATTGGCCCGCGGCTCCTCGGAAAAACAAGAACAGCCGCTTCCGACGCCAAGCATCGAACAGTCCTTCTCTCTTCTCATAATTTGATGTTGTCTCGGTCCAAACACTCTCCAACGTCAACGCAGACCTCACAATGGCCCGCAAAGCCCTCGCAAAAGACCAATTCGTCAAGCTCATTGTGGGCGCTGGCCAGGCCAGCCCCAGTCCCCCTGTTGGTCCAGCCCTGGGAAGCAAAGGAGTCAAGAGCATGGATTTCTGCAAGGTATAAACAACCACAGCTCCGAATGATTTGATTGCCTATGCTAATACTGAATGTCAGGAATTCAACGCCCGGACAGCGCATATTCAGCCCGGCACCCCGGTTCCAGCCTACATCACCATCCGCCCCGACCGCTCGTTCGCCTTTGAGCTGCGCACCCCTACTACATCGTGGCTACTACTACAAGCAGCACAGGTCGAACCGCGCAAGGGCCGTCTACGCGGCGCCCAGAATCCCGGCACAGAAGTCGTTGGCTCAGTGACCCTGAAACACGTATACGAGATCGCCAAAATCAAGCAGTCAGAGTTGAGACTGTCGGGATTGAGTTTGCAAGGCCTATGCAAGAGTGTTATTGCACAGGCCAAATCGATTGGCATCAACGTGGTCATGTGACCTGGGTTCTAAGGAGTTATACCTTCGATCATTGCGCCGGCGTTTAGAAGGAATTGTATATTATTTGGGTTTGAAGGAATCAGATATGTATACTACAACTATTTCAGGAGCTTTTCTATATTTTATACACACACAACAAAGCATATATTCTATCATCATCCCCGCCGTCGATCTGTCACTTCCCTCTAATCCTGTCAATGACCGAGGCAGGGTCATTGCATTCATCTCCCTGCCACGCTATGTACTGATCCGGGCGGATGATAGTGATCGAGGCGGGATATTTGCTCCTTGCAATACCAACAGACAGCCTGAGCCGTGTGATGGGCAGTCCAACCCTCGCAGCGACATTCAAGAAACGTGCAACCAGCACGTCTGACGCCTCCACATCCAACAAGGTGAACCCCTTGCCAAAGTGATTCAGCAACGGCGTTCCATCCTCAAGCCATACATGCGGCGCCCGATGCCCGGGGCTGGCGTAATGCCAATACTCTGTGGCGCTATACGGTGGAGCTTCCCAGGTGCCCTTGATCGTCAGGGGAGACTCGTCGTAGCGTTGACCCAGAGTGACGCCCAGACTGTTCCACTGCTGATATGTGATCTTGTAGGCGGTGTCACCGCGTGCACACCGCTGCCCTTGAGTAGCACTGTGTCCGAGAGGAGGGAGCTCGGCGAATATGTCGCTCACTTTCTTCATCGAGTAGCTGTTCTCCATTGCAGAGCTGGTCACCCGGTCCCCGACTGGCCTTCGTTCGGCGTCGTAACTTGACAGCAGCTTCTCGCCGCCCCAGCCATGCAACACGCCAGCGAGCTTCCATGCGAGGTTCACAGCATCGCCAATCCCCAGATTCATGTTATGGCCACCCGTGGGAGGACAGAGGTGTGCTGCGTCACCGGCGATGAACAAACGGCCGGTGGAATATGAATCGGCCAGGCGAGTGAAGACGCGGAACGAAGACGAACTGATTACTTCCAACGGCACGCGCGCACCCAGAACATTCTGTCCGGCTTGTATGACTTCCTCATCTGTTGGGTCTGGTTCGTTGTCGTCGACCATAACACTGAACCCCCAGTGCTCGTCATCCGGGATGCTAATAATGGTACAGTTTGCGGGACTCAGCACCATTAGAAAGGCCAATGCATCATGCGCCGGAGAGCTGATCATATCACGAATTTTATATCCTTCGCTTCGGACCACATAGCTACAAGCTCGAGATATAGGACCGACGCCTTTTCGTGAGATTCCCGCCGCTTTTCGCACAAGACTGTGTGGCCCATCGGCGCCAATTAGATAGTCTGACGACACGCGATGGATGGTTCCCTCTGCTAATGACTTCAGTTCCGTGACCGCCTTGTCGATATCTTGCTGTGCAGAGGTAGCTTCCCAGCCTCGCCAGATTTGTGCGCCGAGCTCAATAGCTCGCTTTTGCAGGACGCGCATTAAGATCGGCTGGGGCAGACTCAGGGACGGCTCAGCGGCGTATTCCCGCGACTCCTCGACATGCCGTCCGTATTGCAACGGATATGCGCCTAGTGGCTGCTCCGCGATGCTTTCAGTGATGATTACTTTCTGGTCTGGGTTGCGCGTCTGCCAGGACAGCTGGCGCAGTTCGTCGCTCACGCCCCATCGATGGTAATGCTCTAGGGTGCGGAGGTCGTTGCCGCGGCCCTTGGGGTGACCATCGACGATGTCTAGGTCACGGTCTACGACGAGGACGTCGACGCCGTGTACTCGCAGCTCGATTGCTAGGGAGAGACCGATGGGGCCTGCTCCGACGACTAACACTGGGATGGTGTCTGGGATAGTTGCAACCATCTTTGGTGGCAAGCTCGAAGTGATGCAGCAACAATCTGAGGGGATGGAAAGATACACAGCTACATTTGTTATGACATGCATGCCAGTGGAAGGGGCAGCAATGGCGTGCTTTGATGGATCTCCTCGATCATTCGATACATACGATGCTAGCGGCGCATTGACCTGGCTCTAGCAGAAGCCTCTCGCATCAACTAGGTCTGGATATCCGTGAGAGCGATGTCTAGGTAGGTAACTTATATCCGGCTTACAAAGATACTAGGGTGGTTTATCCGTACTCATACTCTGGCTAGGCTATGTTATCAATCAAATATGGTTGGCCCTAAAGTAACGTTTAGTCAAAACCCGTCCAGTCCCAGCTTCACCACCGGCGCTTCGTCCGGCCCGTTCTCGGCCTGCCACTCGCTTAACGTCTTCCCATTAGGATCCCAATAGGGCCGCTCGCCATAGACCGCCGTCCGCTTGCCCTCTCTTTCCTCGGTGTTGTATCCACCGGGAATGGCGCGGTGAATGACGACGCGGTTGTCCCAGAACGCCACGCTGCCGGCCTCCCAGTGCCAGCGCACGGTCAGGTCGTCGGCGGAATGGAGATGGTCACGCAGGAAGTTGAGCGTGTGGAACGACTCGCTGGCCTTGAGTTCGGCTATGTTGACTACGAATGCTGGGTTGTAGAAGAGTGCCTTGAGGGAGGTTACGGGGTGCGTGCGGATCTGTCTCTCTGTCAGATATGCTGTCTCCAAGGAATAGGCGCGGCTAGGTGTAGCGTACAAGTGGATGCTCTCTGCGTACGGGCAGCCGGAAGGTAGTGCCGCCACTGTTGATGGTGTTGATAAAGACATTCTATAGAATATCTTAGTGAATGTTCAGAGCCCGCAGCCTACAGGGTGGAGAGCATACCTCTGAGCTGTGGACCGCATGCAGTCCCTCGAATGTCTTTTGAAAGGTCGGGCTCAGTTTGTCGAACAGCGCCGTCTGGCTGGTGAAGATGGTGTCTCCTCCTGCAGCAGTCTGGTCAGTGGCCGAGACTAGAGCGCCTTGGACGCTCATTACATACCATATTCAGGAGACTTGACCATTCGGAGCATCGTGTACGAAGGCGGGTTGATTTCGAAGGAGTGGTCAGAGTGGTATTCCGCAAAGGCGCCGCTGGCATTCTGGAAAGACCGAATGTCACTGGAGCAGTGAGCACGTATACACAGCGAGACAGAGATTCAGGCTATGCCTACCCTCCGCGCCCTAGAATAGTAACATGGCGTGGATCGACCTGGTTTGGGTCTCGGTCTTGCTGCACGACTTAGCACGGACATCGTCTATATGATATGGCTTTGACTCACGATGCCGAAATGCTTCGTAAATTCATGCTGTCCCTCGATCGTGAGATCCTGGTCTCGGAAAAAGACGACTCCTCTCTGTCCGCATTTGAAGCGTGAGTATACAAGGCCATCCGTTATTTAATGATATCTCACCTCGGCAACCAGCAGCGCCAACTCGTCTCTCTGCTTCTCGTCCAACCGACTCAGCTGCACGCCCTGCAGCTCCGTGCCAATGTACGGCGTCAGATGCTTCACCTTGGTGACTGCCGCCAACAGCGCGGACTTGCGCGGGTCAGCGAACAACGCGCGGTCCGGGGGTGGCTGGATTTCCTCGACTGGCGGGTCGATGGGCTTGAACGAGAAGACTTTCTCGGTGAGGCCGGTGTGGGTTGCGATGGGCATTGTGATGCTCTGTCTTGGTTTAACGATATCGAGGCTCTACCTCGCCAGCGGTGGGCTATATCTTAAGATGAACCGATTAACATCTTCAGGGATTGTCAAGTCCTTGCATAATCAGAAGCTCTGTGGCGTCATTCGGAGCTGCAGTTAGGGCACGGCGGCGTCCAGTCAGAATTTCGCCGCAGTCTCTAGCACATCACGACATCTGCATCGCGGCTGATGCCAGAACGTGCAAACCCCGACTGTTCACATTCAACCTCACTCATTCGTGCGCGCAGAGGCGTGATGGGCCACACGTGGTTGGCATGCAGCAAACCCCGGATAAGCGACAGAGCGCGCGGTATAGTGTGTATATGTGTATATATATATATAGGGCATCATCTTCTGCAATCAGCTTGCTCTCATTCTCAAACAGGGGACTATATGGAAGAACAAAATGGCCGACGCTACTGACGTGACAAAAACCGCCATAGTCAACGACGCAGACCGATTGCCCCGTGAGTCAATCGACTTGCACCGCGAGCTCATTGATACCTCGGCGGTCGACGATGTGCTGACCAAGAAGATGGCGCTGGTCAATGCCGCAATCGACGAGATCGGAATGACGGCGTTGCAGTGGAAGCTCTTCTTCCTGAACGGCTACGGCTATGCTGTCGATTCGGTGGGCAAATGCAATGCAATGCAATGCATAATCCATTGATACAGACGGAAAGAGGACGCTTGCTAACAGATAGATACAGCTCCTCGTCTCCTGCCAGTCTATCGCTCAGACAGCTGTAACCCAGCAATGGGGCAGCCCGACTGCCAAAATCCAAGGTGTAGCGCTCGCTTCGCAGGTCGGCCTGCTTGTGGGCGCTGCCGTTTGGGGCTTCTCTGCAGACATCATCGGGCGGAAGCTCGCCTTCAACACCAGCCTGTTCGTCTGTGCTGCGTTTGTGCTGATTGCCGGCGGAATGCCGAATTACATCTCCTTCTCTGCCATGTTTGTGGTGCCGTCGATACGTAACCAAACAACAGGATGTTTGCTGACCGGTTCGTCTGCACAGGGTCGCCATCTACTCGGCGGGCGCTGGAGGAAACTACATCCTTGACGCGACCAATTTTCTCGAGTTCCTGCCCATGTCGCACGCCTGGCTCGTCACGTTCCTGGCCGTGTGGTGGGCGGTCGGATACACCATCACCGGCCTCCTGGCCTGGTGGTTCATGAGCGACTACAGCTGCGCGCCGGACGCCTCTGCTGCCGAGTGCACCAACGCAGACAACATGGGCTGGCGGTATCTGCACATCACCTGCGGCGCGCTGGTGCTTGTCCTGAGTGTCCTGCGCCTCGTCCTCATCCGCATGGTCCAGACACCCAAGTGGCTTGTGAGCCAGAACCGGGACGAGGAGCTCTATCAGGTCCTGCTGGACCTGTCAGTCCGGTACCAGCGCCCGCTCTCGCTGAGCCTGGAGAAGCTGCAGTCGCAGGGACGCGTGCTCCACACGGAGAAATCGGTGTGGTCTGGCCTGCGGCTGAAGAAGCATTTCTCCGGGCTGTTCAGCACGCGCAAGCTGGCATACTCGACGGCCATGATCATCGTCAACTGGCTGCTCATCGGCACCGTGTCGCCGCTGTACGGGGTGTTTCTGCCGTACTATCTCGAGTCGCGCGGCGCAGACACCGGCGACGACTCCAACTACACGACGTGGCGCGACTATGCCATCAACCAGATTGCCGGGCTACTGGGGCCGATTCTCGCGGGCGTCCTGGTCGAGACGCGGTATTTTGGGCGACGAGGCACGCTGGCCGTCGGCGCGGCCATGACCACGGCGCTGCAGCTGGGATACACGCAGATCAAGACGCCGGCGCAGAACCTGGGCGTGTCGGCGGCCATCACGGCGGCGTCCAACGTCTACTACGGCACGATCTACGCCTACACGCCGGAGATCCTGCCGAGCGCACACCGCGCGACGGGCTATGGCCTCTGCGTGGTGGTGAACCGCGTTGGCGGCATCATCGGCGTGCTGGTGGGCAGCTACACCAACGTGACCACGACCACGCCGCTGTGGGTGTGCGCAGGCCTGTATGGCGCGCTGATTTTCACGAGCCTGCTGCTGCCGTTTGAGAGCATGGGCAAGAGGACTGTCTGAGACGGAGTAGAGAGTATAGATATAGAAGAGAATAGTGCCTGCATGCATAGTGACAGGCCCGGCAAACCGGCAACGCAGCATTACTACTCTATGCAGCACTCTACTTCAGAGCAATACACCAAGATAACTAGTAACTATATCTAACTGTACAAGGACAGGGCTCGTATTGCCCGGACAATGGATTGTGAGCGCTGCACAACTCCATTGTATGCACAGTACGGTAATGACAATACGGCACACCCCGGGCTCGGCGTGCCGAACCAGCCGCGCCCCGCCAGTTGCAAGCGTCAAGGACTGCAGTGGGAATAAATACCGTACGCGTAATTACGGCTAGCCGCAAGCGGGTGCTCCCCACCTGCAGCGAAAGTCTTCTTCTGTCTGCCTCTGCTCTTTCTCTCTCTCTCTCGCTCTCACCCTCTCTCTGTCTGTGTCTGTCTCCCTCTCTCTGCCTGCTTCTGCCTGCCTCTGCCTCTGCCTCTGCTCGTCTTTCTCCGTGCTTCTGAATTGTCTCCGTCCGACCGGGTCCTTCGTCGGTGCTGGTCTTCGCGGTCCCGACCGCCACTGCCTGCAGAAACGCTGCCAAAAGCATGACATAACTCGCTCAGAACGCCTTGCAGGAGATCAAAAAGAAAAGAAGACGACGCCGCCGCCGCACTATCAAACAGAATCATTCCTACGCACTTCTATTGCAAACTCGACTGGCCCATTGTTGGCCCTCGGAGTATTACATCTCTCAGTCAGTCGATCGGTTTCCCCGGAAAAATAAGGCCAGGCCAACATTCCATCCGAGAAGACAAAAAAGGCGGGGACGCTGCATACACTCTGCAGCGCACACCACTTTGTGATTGCTCCGAAACAAGAAAAAGCAAGAATCCAGACAGAAGAAAAAAGAAGCGGCGAGTCCTGAGCCCGCCGTTTCCGTTCCCCGCTGAGCAAACATGCCGGCGACGTCAGGTATGTGTCAACGCGCTGTTTGCAGGGAAAGGAAAAGAAAACAAAGAAGTAGTATTGTTCACTTGCACACAATCAGCGACTAACACGGGATTTCCTGCCTGCCCAGAAGAGCCAACCGCCTCGCAGTCTCAACAACAACAGCAGCAACCGCCATCTGCTCATCGCCCAAGCGAACAACAGCCAAACCTAGAAGCGGGGCAGCCACATGCTGTCCGCTTTGCATCGGTAAATCAAGAAATCGAGCCTGAACAGTCTCTGCAGTCTCCTGCGCCGGAACAAAACCAACAGAATGGGCCAATCGCTGCCAATCTGGACGCAGATGCTAAAGACGAGCTGCGCTCTCTAGCCATCAGCTTGCAAGACACTCGCCTGCAAGAGTCGCGCCTACGTAATTTTGCGTTTGAGCCCGTCTCGCTCCCCGTATCCAGAGTACGTACTGGTCCAGACCGACTTGGTCGAGTAACTGACACCCCCCTGTGACTAGGTGAACTCTCGAGACACTGCCAGCGCAGTTGCCTCATACGACAACACCGTTTCTGGCAGCAATTCGCCGCGCATCACTCCTCCCGTGTCTCTCATGCAGTCGCCGCCTCTGACTCCTGCTGCCACGCATTCGCGGGACAGCAAGCCCAGCGAAAACACGGCTCAAGCATCCAATGAGACGAGGAAACACGAACCGTCCGCCATCACTCCGTCATCCTCCGAACCCGCCTCGCATTCAGCTAATCCACCGTCAACTTCTGCCGGCCCAACAAGCGCGCCAGGGACACGGCCGAGCTCTATCGAGTCATCACGAACGACTAATCCAGAAAGCTCTTCTGGTACGACTGCCACTCCAAACCACAGAGCACAGTTCTTCCTCGGGTCTTCTTCCGTGGACGGCAGCTCACAAGATGAAAGCCCACCAATGACTCCGCGACATGAGTATGGCTGGTCTACGCCACCAGGCGGTGCGTCTGGGACCATCACGCCCATCGGCGAGCCAAACGATCCGTACGCCCGGAATAAGCGACCAATTCCAAACAGGAATCTCTCCCAGCTAGATCAAAGATTCATCTTTAGCGGAATTGATTCGAAACGTCGGTCTCACAATTCCAACAACTCGCAGAGTACCGCCGGTGGATATGGCTCTGGTAGCAATCATGACCTAAAGTCGTCAAGTGACAAGCGCTCTTTGTTCGGGAGCAGCAAAAAGGACCACCACGGTCACCGGCATAATGAAAGCCACGGCTCAATGGTCGAGCTCAAACGATTCTTCCGCATGGGCCACAAAAAGCGCGGGGAGTCACCATCTGGCATTTCTAAAAAATCCGCCCTCAAGTCATCCAATGAAAAGAGCAATACTCATCAGATGGCCCCAACGAGCGTTCCCTTTGCTGATGACCATGGTCTTCAATCCAAGTATGGGAAACTGGGCCGAGTGCTCGGGTCCGGAGCGGGAGGATCGGTGCGATTGTTGAAACGAAGCACCGACGGAGTCACATTTGCCGTGAAACAGTTCCGAGATCGTCATACATGGGAGACTGAAAAGGAATATTCGAAAAAAGTCACGGCCGAGTTCTGCATTGGCTCCACGTTACACCATGGAAATATCATTGAAACGCTAGATATCATCCAAGAGGGAGGCCACTGGTACGAGGTTATGGAGTATGCTCCATTCGACTTGTTCGCGATTGTCATGACGGGTAAGATGAGCAAAGAGGAAATCGCCTGCTCCTTTAAGCAGATTGTGAGCGGCGTATCCTATTTACATGCAATGGGTCTCGCCCATCGGGACCTGAAATTGGACAATGTCGTGGTTAACGAGCATGGCATCATGAAGTTGATTGATTTTGGGAGCGCGGTTGTCTTCCGTTATCCTTTTGAGAACGATATTGTGCTAGCCTCAGGTAGGTTTCCTCCTAGTCTTTTTCTCCTCTTCAAAAGAAAGAATAAAAAAGGGGTCTAACGTTCCAAGGCATTGTCGGCTCGGACCCGTACCTGGCACCAGAAGTATACGACGAGAAAAAGTACGACCCTCGACCCACAGACATTTGGTCTCTGGCCATCATTTTCTGTTGCATGACTTTGAGGCGATTTCCTTGGAAGCAGCCACGCGTGACAGACAATTCTTATAAACTATTCGTCTCACCACCTACTCCTGGCACCCCAGTCCCTGACTCGCATCCCCGACGCAGTGAGCAGCGTCCCAAGTCGACCGCAGATCTCCCATCCATGGCAATCGAGGCCAAACCCGGAACCAGTGGCTCTGACAGTCGCCGGCATCACCACCGGCATGGCAGCAACAATCCTCAGCTGCCGAAATCCGAACCGGTCACCAGAGATGAGCCACCCAAGGCCACTTCAACCGAGACACAGCAGTCTCAAGCTCAGCCTGAGTCCCAAACCCAACCATCCCAAGAGGCGCAGTCGTCGACCGAGCCGGTTGAAAAGCCCAAGTCTCGAGAAACAACCAGCAAAGAAGCGCCTCCGCTTCCAGCGGGCTCGGCTCCTACTGGACAGCGTCAGGAGGTCATCAAGGGACCGTGGCGGTTGCTGCGCATTCTGCCCCGAGAATCTCGTTACATAATTGGGCGCATGCTCAAAGTGAATCCCAAAGAACGGGCGACTCTTGACGAAGTCTTGACGGACGACTGGATCCAGAGCATTCAACTCTGCCGGCAGGATGACTTTGGCGCGGTCATCAAGGCAAAGAATCACGGCCATATCCTGGAGCCACCGTCGTCAAGTGCTCCAGTGGCCAGCAAGGGCAAGTGAGCAATATATTAGAACAACCTCGGTGTGCCTTTTTTTTTTTTTTTTTTACTTTCGGCGTTTGGATCCCTCCCGGGCAATACCTACACTAACTGCAGCAACGTATTGTACTGTTCAGCACGGCGTTTTGTTCTTTTTGTGTATTCTGCTCTCATCCCCTCCACCTTTTTTTTTTCTTTTTGCACTTTCTTCTTTCTATAGATTATTTATCCTTGAATGCTTCCCACCAGGCAGCATCCTGTTTTGATATCCTTGCGACGGTTGCAGTCGCATCATCTGTTGACCCCCTGCAGACTCACGCTGTGAATAAAGTATCGATCCATTATTGCTACTATGACCAAGATAATGTTCCCCCCCCCCCACTTCTGTTTAACATTGCTCTTTGACCTGTGTTGTTCTTATAGTTTGCTATCTATCTACGACAGCTGATGCATCTCATCTCCCTTCGATCCGGATTATTTGTTGCTGCGAGTCAGCCAGGATGAAAAGACTATTATTTGTGTATTTAGTTACTTTAGTTACCCATCTAGTACCCGGGAGGAGTGGATGGGCTATGAAATAAATTGATTGACTCTTCTAGAAGCAGTCGTAGTGAGTATTGAGTAGTTAACGAGCTAGCAGCACACGTCGAGGGCGGAGATAATCTCATCCTCTCCGAGCTTCGGAATAAATCAACTTCTTCCCCCCCC